TGATAAAACCAGTGCAACACTTCCTAAAAAATAAGGTAATGACGTATGTTCTCTATTGGCAAATGTGAATTTTATTACTTGTGAATAGATCACATTCTCTGTATTTAATAATAATTGTTAACTCAATTAAATTATAAATTACAAACGTACAAAGTAATTTCAATTACTTTAATAGTTGAATTGCCGTGTAATTGTAGTGTAAAAGAATCCACTATGTACACCGTATTCTACCGTATGTCGTAAGAAACTAAGAAACTGAAAACGCCAAATGGACAGCAGCATCTTCCTTACATTAACTCAAAATCATCAAAAACTGCGGTTGATAACCCACCTGCCGAGCATGGCAACTATGGCAAATATTCCCACTGTGAGATAATCAATAGGGGGGCCCCCTCTTGAATAAATGGTGGAATAATGGAAAAACTTTGAAATGAAAACTTATTGGAACACTGCTTTTGATATAGTTTAAATTGTATTTAGTAAAGACCATTAGATGGAGTGACAATCTGGTAAGCCATGCAGGTGGCTCAGGACCGTGCTTTGTGGCATTACTTGGTGGAGGCCTATGTTCAGCACTGGACTTGTCAAGGGCTGTAACGAATGGAACTGCTGAATCGAAACAGACTGTTTTATTGGGAATAAATTATTTCACATTTTGGAACTCTCCAATTTAGTGAAAACTAAACACCAACCATACCCTTTTAAAACAGAGAATCCTGTTGGATATAAATATATAAGCAAGTAAAACCATTTAATATTTTCTAGATACATTTCGTCAATTGAGAATAATGCGACATCAAGTTTTGAGTGACTTCACCACACCACAGCAACTTGTCTTAAACAAGCGGGTGGTGTAGGATTTCCAAGGTAGTTTTTTGAGTAGCATAATTAAACTTGTATTACGAAATAGTACATAAATAAAACTCACTTAAATAATTTCAATTTTATTGGTATACATGATAATATGCAGAAAATAATAGCATTGGACAGATTACATTAACATACAACAAATTACAGACACTATAATCGGGTCTTAAAAAAATATGGATTTATTTTTTTGGTATTAAAAGAATACAGTTTTTCGAGACTGACGTCAAGTAGACTTAATAAGAAAAGCGAAGTGAGTAATATTTAAAATCTCTAATATCAATGTAATTTTATCATTTACCAACTACCAAAATGAGTTCAGACTATTTTGTGCAGGCTATATATCTTCAGTACAAAATTTATTACTAACAGCAAAGCACTAGCACCAATATCTATAGAACCTGATCCACCGAAATCTACTTTTGAGGTAACCCATAAATATAAGCATTTATCTATAATAACTATTGTGATGCAAATGCATAAACATTTTATTGTGTCGCTATAATAATGCTGCACTATCACCAAAGTTTTAATACATCTAAAGATACGTGAATAATAATAATAATACTGTAAATAAAATTAGACTGACAAGAATTATTTAACTCCAATATCACATGTCATTAAATACACAATCACCTTTTATCATCAAATATTATGACTAGCTTTTAAAAGTTCGCACTCCCAGCAGCTCAATCTAATTTGACTCATGTGTCAGATAAGAGATCTCTCTCAAATTATACAACATCAAGTATATAAATTGTAAACCAAGTTAAAAACCACACAAATGTTACAATACCAATGGAATGCCGGCATATTATTACCTTCTCGTTGCATAGTTTTATATTTTTCGTAAACATTATAGCAAATAACTGATCTAGCAAAGCGTAAGCATTCCTTATAGTTGGTTTGAAATACTCATATAAAAATTAACTTATAAATAGTATCATGATGCATCAATGTTTGGCGCATTTGTTAATTTAATCATATACCTACATTACTAACCTTGTAATTAGACGTACAACATAAATACTAGGTACTTCTAAATTGCTTAAAATGTATAAGGCCTCAAATAAAAAATAAAATGACGTTTTTTAAACCTTGATGCTTTCCGAGTATAATTTCACCTAGAGGCCGTGATCAAATCGTCTTTACTTTTAAAAGTTCCAAATTTAGCAGTCCACACATTAAAAAAATTATTTCACTTAAATATAAAAGATTAATTATGTACTAAGAGTATTTTATTACACGCCTATAGTTTGTCTTACCAAATTTTAATATCACCGATTTAAATAGGATTTTTTATATAGGTCCTTTGGATATTCAAAGTTGGATGAGCAGGTGAGAAATGCCAATCACGAGTACAGATAGCGGCACAAATTGTTGAGCACAACCATGACTAGCGCACTAGTGGATTTTGGGGTGGGTACAGTGAACATTTCTTCACGTGTATGGTATGTTAGTAATCCGTCGTCCCCTATTGGATATTCATTCACGTGTTATTCGCTTAAAGTTTAATTATGAGTGTGATACTTTATCCAAGAATGTAATAACTGGGAAATGAACATGCAAACTTGTTCCCACTACTATCACTACTAGACATGTGTTATTCATTCATTTCTAGTGACCCGATCATTCCAGTATTGATTAGTCATTTCGAGTTGCAGTACTCTGGGCGTTTCCGATACACACTGCGAGAATAGCTCAGTGCTTTCACTGGTGAAAAATTCGTTCTGTTATAGACTGCCAGTATACTGCCGCAATACCCAAGGGCCGCAATATTTCATAAATCGCCGCCATTTTAATACTGTGAGCACTGACACTTTCGAGGTAAGGTACTGTCAGTACTTTGGTCACGTGATCAAAAAACAACAGCGCCTAGAGATTTACCAGCTTCCAAGAATGACTGTTATTATTATTCATTAATATTGTTATTCAAATAAAGTCGGACATTTAAGTTTTAAAAGCAACAACATTCATATAATAATTTTTCTCGTTCAACAGAAAACACGTACATGATAAATATTTTCATTTGAAAACAACGCGTTGCGTTTTTAACAGTAACCAGTATAGCAGTATAGCTGTAAAGGAATAGCTACTACTACTACTAGTATACTGAATTGACGTCACACCTTACAGTGGTCACAGTGTATATCGGAACACGGCCTCTGTTAGAACCGTTCGATAATGTCGGTCGTCGACTTAGAGCATACATTACATGGAGGGAGCACTGTGTGAGCAGAAAGCGTGATCGGCGTAGAGAGAGAGACTGAGTTTAGGTAGAGTCTGTCTCTCTCGCACAGTCACTGTCATTGGCTGTTTCATTGGGCATGCGCTCGCGCGATGCAACGGTGGAAAACACGCCAGCCAATCAGAAGCATGTGCGAGAGAGACAGACTTTACCTAAACCTGAGCACCGATCACGCTTTCTGCTCACACAGTGCTCCCTCCATGTAATGTATGCTCTGAGGTCGTCGAACATTAATATACTCTTTGGTCGTACGTCATGCCAATCTTTTCATCCGGAACGTTCAAAAATGTAATTCTAAATAATCATCAATATTTTGATGCGACCCGAGTCAAATGAATGCATCATTTATGATTGACATAACATGTCTAGTCTCTACTATCACTTTGTGCTCACGCCTCGCGTCGCCTTCTATACTATATATTATAATATAATATTCCTCACTAAAGCATGTATTCACAACTTTTAAAAAGGCAAAATTGACCTCTATACCACCATATAGCAAGTTTTCAAACACTGCAAATCAAATGTCAGAAAATAGCAAAAGTTTAATTTTTGGTCGTTTAGTGCCAATCTTTTATGAGATCAAAATATTAGTTACACAAATTCATACGGCGCGCTGAGCGGAATGGCTACTCGCAGCGAGTACCCTGTCACTCAGCGAATTCTCGTGGCAAGTATAGGTATATTCGCAGAGAGTAAAATTGAACATGCTCAATTCAAATCGCGACAAATTCAAGTCGCGGCGAATGAATCTATTCGCAGCAAATACGCTATTACACGAAAATCTGTTCGTGCTTTGTTTTTAGTGTTAAATTACCATATAAATTATTTCCATAGGTACTTAATATTAAGCAAGATGAAAATTTATTAGGATTATTAACTGCACTTGTTTTTATTGTTTGGTTGGAGTAACTGAATAAATAGAAAGAAAAAATAGAAGGAAGTAGAATAAATGCTTTTGAATATTTTGTGTTGTAAGATACTAATGATCGAAGATAAAGATATACATTACTTTTCATAACAAAAAAACAATTTCGCTAGAGTAAGCAATGATAGTCAAGAACTAAATAGTACTTGCACCTCGCTGCCGTCCGTCTTTAAGTTTCATTCCTATTCCTCATCACACGACCCGAAATATAACGCATTAAAAATAAAAATATAAGGACAAATAATCATAGAATGTTATTATGTAAATATATTATATGATTCCATTTTTATTTTATATAATAAGCAATCTACGAGAAAATACTCTACAACTTGAATTTTATTATTCTACATAAGTGCTTGCCAAGTAAAACTATAGAATAATAGGAAGAGTTGCCAAACCTATTACACAAAATAAATGATTCTATTCTGTTACGGGTCCTACACGTGAAATAAAAGTGAAGTGTAAACTGTAAGCTAAAGAACTATAATAGTTTTATACGATTTGATTTGTAATAGATTTAGATGTAACTTTGTGAGATGTGTGTGATATAGATAGTCAGTACAAATGTTACAGAAAGTAAAATTTAGAATATAACGCTTGCTTTCTTTTGCAGCTTAAACAGCAAAAACTCTAATTTAAAAGACAAAAAATTGATATTTTAAGTCTCCATTCTGTTGTATTAACTTATAACATTTGTTCATTTGGTATATTTTTATAGTTTTAAAATAATATTTTACATTTGAGAAAGGTTAGCCGACGGTCTTTAGATCTGCTTCGTGGTATATATAAGGTAGGGCGAGGGCAGCAACTTCGATCCCGCTGCCCGCAAACACCACACAAATCCTACCTACAAGTGTATGATTGGTTAGAAAAATGAATGTGCAAACACGTCCTATCAACAGTCCAACGTTTGAGACTGGTGCCGTATACGGTGCGTCAGTCAAGGGTTGTGAGGGTTCAGAGCCAGGTGGGGGGGCGCGTGAGCGAGTAAAGCGCGGGCGGGTGGGGAGTGTGCGCGGGAGGCGCGGCGTCGTCCGAGTCCGACTCCTCGGACGACACGCGCTCGGCCGCGCTCAACGCCACGCGCGCGTACTCGTCCGTGTCGATGCTCTTGCAGAAGTGGATGGCGTATCTGTGGGAAATATAACGAAATAGTTAAATTTTTTAAACCTTATTGTGCTAACCTTAAGAGTTACACAGGGCGTACTAAATTCCAGTTAGAATTTTTTTAATTAATAAGGATAACAACAGCGTATATCATAATCTAAATACAATTTCAAATTTACTTACGTATGCCAATATCAGTTATCCACATACAAATATCTGCCAGTCAACCCATGGCTTCGTGAAAAATTTGTGGCAGGTGAGTTAAGTAACTAAATATAACAAATATAAGAAATCTAGATCGACGTACTACCCTTATAGTCTAGGAGGAATCGACGCTTGAGTACCGAAAACTATTCCACCTCAACTTTATTATGCTATTCTCTTCAAATTGTTCTTACTGATGATGTAAATGCATATCGCCGTGGGGCAGCTCGGTGCCTTATTGTTTTAAGTTTAAACAGATTTTTTTTTTCAATTAGAAGGATTTGTTATTTTCAAGCGGGAAGTATTTTTATATTTTTGATAAAATATAAATAAAAAAGATCAAATGACTTTTTACGATAGAGTTAATATTTTCGGAGTCATGAATTTTTAAAAATCCGTAGTTATGATTTTTACAAGGTTAGAAAAATTCCAAAATCTGATACTTTTGATTCATTAAAATATATAAAGAAAAAATATATGAAAGATATTTTTTTTATTCTTTGATGAAATACGAAAAAATAAGTTTTTTTTGAAGACATTACATATTGACAAACTAGCACACAGTTCCCCTGATGGTAAGTGTATGTTGTGGCCCATAGACATCTACATTTAAACTCGATTAAGAATCAAAATGCAGATGCGTTGTCACCCTTGAGGACAAAGATGGAATGCCTCGTTTCCAGTAAAAAAGGTCTCCGGATTTCTACACTAACCACACGAATCACAGCAGCATTAAGCTGCTATTTTACACTGGTATTCTGTGAGAGCGCGGGACGTAGACGTTTCCCGGTTGAGGCGACACATTCGTGCTACAACCATAATATAGCTGACTGCCTCGTTTGTCTAGTGGTTGAAGTAGTGTAACTACTGATCATGAGGTACTGGGTTCGATGCAGGAGGGTACAAGCTTGATTGTGGATGTTGTCTCTCTTACATAGGACAAACAAAAAGATCAATAAAGAGTCGCTTTAAAAAATACATAGCTCATGTAAAGAATCGACGCTCCGGGAAGTATACAGTCTGTGAACACGTACAGGATCACCCTATAACTACATCTGATTTGATACATTACAAATCCTCGCTAAAGGACACCGATTCCTTCCAAGGATGATTTGCGAGGCTTTTGAAATAAAAAAAAACATCCTAATTTCAATAGCGAAGATGGATTGGTGCTAAAATCTGCGTGGGATCCTATAATAACTAATAAAATTAAATCCCAACCCAAGCAATATAATATCTTTTATTCCTATATAATAAAAATTAATGATTTTAATCTGGAGGTAGCCGTGGTTATTACGAGATTGACTTTGGGACGACACCTCAGTCCCCACGTGACCATGGGTGCTGTAAAGTGCTCGAAACGTCGGGAATATAAAATAAGTTAATATACGCGACAAAATCCGTAAAACCCAGTTTTATTTAAACGTGTAGTGTTCGCGTAAACGTAAGAAATCATTACGAAGTAAAATTTATAAATAACTAGCGGGTACCCGGCGCGTTACAGCAGAAGAAATCAATGTGAAAATATCCTCTTAAATTAAGAACGGTTATATTGTTTAATTGGGAATGATAACACATTAATTGAAGTGGAATGATATATGAACTGTATATATATAACATTATTTTATTACAACATAAGATTAAAACCCATTTGTTTTAAATATATTCATATTTAAATAGCAATTCTGCAATGGATTTGCAAAGGTTTTTAAAACAAGAGGAGGCCTGTGCCCAGCTGTACTTAAATAGGCCAATTTTTTGTTGCAAATATTGTAATAAATTCACTTATTGGGATATTGGGATATTCAACAATCAGTACCTACCTGAGTTTCTCCCGTAGGACCGCCTTGCACGAGTATCTGGGCATCTTAAGAAGGAAGAAGCATGTGTAGCTTTCTGGCAAGAAATGATCTGGCGGTTGGTACTTGTCAAGCACCTAAAATATTTAAAAAAATATTATTAAAATATTTTTTAACCAATTAAATACTGTTCTGTTCGATGATGATTAAATAAAATATATCTGTTGAACCCTCAAGCATGTTTAAGGTTGCAATAAAAATACTTGAAATAAAAAAGAAACTTAGAATCTAACAATCTAAGGAAACGAAATAACAATCTTACAACTTTATTTTTCGAGGATCATTATTATATTTTCTGTATAAGTAACTAACCATGTTAGTGACAATAAATATAAATAACCGGCACGCGTAATATAATGTATATCAGCAGTGTAGTGGCGGTGTAATTACACCCACTATGCAATATTATTTCGTGGGTGTCGAAGAGGCGACACTAAACTGCGGCGAAACTAAAACAGATCGGAGCAGCACCTTCCCGATTACAGCTGAGTTTAAAAAAAAACTGCGGTTGCCAACCAGATTGCCAAGCGTGACAATCACAGAATACTATAATACACAATAGAATAGAGGTCAACCTTATTTTGTACGACGATAGGCGTTGCCGGGAGCACACAAACAAACAATAACGTATTATCACTACTACAAACTCGATTCGCTGTGTTGACAGACAGATTTTAATACATATTTATTTGTAAATAGCGTGCAATTTGGCATTTTCTAAATAATTTGCATGCACAATTTGGAAACGATTGTAACGTCAAAACACATCTTGTGTTGACATTTATATGTGTGAATTGACGTGTTAGTGACATTTTAGTGGCTACACGGGCTCCGCCCACTCCCCCGTTCTATTATGTATGTATTATAGTATTCTATGGTGACAATTATGGCAAAATCCCTCCCATGAGGTAATCTACGGGGGATGCCTATGTTCGCTGTGTAATGAGGATGTATGTTTTGTATGTAGTGGACTTTTATATGTATGTGTTAGTTGATCTCATAAAGGTTAAAAGGTTTACTTGAAATTGACCTACAAAAATTATTATTTTCTATGCTGACCTGCAATACGAAATCCCTTTGTCTAGGATCCTGTGGCGCGCGCGGCAATCGTGTCCGTCCCCACACGAAACGCAGAAACAGAGCCCGCTCGCTACCGGACAGTTCCTCCATCACCTCCCAGAACCACTGCACTAGTGGCGCATTCGGGTCTATACCTGTGTTGTAAAATTCACATTGGTTCTAACCCTCCTGTCTCACACAGAAAAAAGAGAAATATACAAATTATAGTAAAATATGGCGACGTTCACAAAATTCTCACATTGGTATCATGTATTTTATATTTCACTTCTATCTTCCTTATATTATATTCGTGCTTACTATATTAAAGTGTTAGTATAGAGACGTTGTTATTTATTGTTACGAGCTTGAGGTTCGTGACAATAAAAAATGTCGATTGAATTACCAAAATTTACACTTTCATTTCCTAACACCAATTAAAACTTAATAGGCACTAATAATTAACCACACTGATTCACTTTATTTCGCTCCGAAGCTTCGCTTGTCTCGCCAATTTCAATACTGCCCCGATCGCGGCATGCAGCGAGTTTAAATACACTTTTACGCCGAAACATCCAGAATATTCCCGTAGATACGGGCGCCGGCCGACCAGACGCAGAAAGTTCGAGTGTGAAGCTTCTAGAAAACTTAGTTTTTCAATTCGATACTAGATGGCGATGTTGGTTAAAAGATTAGTCATGTCATTTTCTAGAAAGCTCTCCTCGCTCTGTTACCCGACACTAGATGGCGCTCGTGCCAGACGTCAACTTGGGCGCGCAACACTGCCCCCTCCTAAGACATGCTCGTCCCGAGCATTATCGGCCCCATAATAACGCGCCAGGCGATCTACATGGACGATCTTAGGAGGCCCTCTTGCGCCTTTCTGTATCCGGTAGGTTACATCGTTGATCCTGGTCACAATCCGGTACGGGCCGTCCCATTTAGCTTGAAGCTTAGGAGATTTCCCTTTGCTGCGGACTGGATTATGCAACCACACTAGTGAACCTTCGTCGAACCCTTTGTTGTTCATTTTGCGGTCATACCGGGTTTTCATCTTTTCAGACATTTGCTAGCCCGATTGTCTGACGTGCTCATAAATGTCATTCATTTTATTCCGCAAGTCATTTGCATAATCGGTTATACTGCGTGGGGCATCAGGTGGTATCCCGGTGATCAGGTCTGCAGGCAGCCGTAATTCTCTTCCAAAGTTTGCGAACGCTGGTGTCACTGCTGTACTTTCGTGAACAGCGCTTTGATATGACAACAAAAACGGTGTATGTGCTTGTCCCAATCTCGTTGCCGATTGTCTACAACTTTTGCTAAGTATCTCTCCAATGTCTGATTAAATCGTTCCACCATTCCATCAGATTGCGGGTGATAAGAAGTCGTTCTTGTTTTATGAGTACCCATAACTCGGCAAGTTTCCTGGAATATTTGAGACTCAAAATTCTTTCCTTGATCGCTGTGAATCTCTAAAGGTACTCCAAAACGACAGAAGACTTCATGAACTAGTTTATCCACAACTGTTGAAGCTTCTTGATTTGGAATGGAGAAGACTTCTGGCCACTTAGTGAAGTAATCCATCACAACCATGAAATACTTGTTACCGCTTTCACTCTCCGGAAACGGCGCCGCCACGTCAATGGCTATTCTCTCCCATGGTGCACCAACATTGTACAACTCAATGCACCGCTACTACGAGTCTGAGGTGCCTTTACAGCCGCACAACTTGTACATTTGCGACACCAGTCCTCGACATCGTTTCGACAGTGGACCCAGTAAAACCGTTCTCGGATCTTCAGTAGGGTTCGTTTAACTCCCAGATGACGAAATTAGCTGTAGAACATTCGGTACTTTAGCTTTAGGGACAACCTTTTGCAAATGACAGCTGTCTCACCGAACATTTTCCCATTTACGGCACAGAAATCCATCCTGAAGCAGCAAGCTGTCCCATTGGGCCCAATAGCTTTTAGTGTTCGAACTCATCGCTGAGACGTCGCTTCACTTGGGCTTGGGAGCACTGGCCTTCATCCATTCCAGAATCGGCTTGATGTCCGGATCTTCCTGCTGTGCATGTTGTAAGCTGTCCTTCCACTCGTTGCTGAGGTGGTCTGACCTGAGCATCCTCACGGATACCACTTCCTTACTCTCTTGCCTAGTACAATGTTTGCAATCTTCAGGACCAGGTCTTCTTGACAATGCATCTGCGTTTCCATGAGATTTCCCGCTGCGATGTTCGATCTCAAAGTCGTATTCCTGCAGTAGTTCAATCCACCTCGCAACTTGTCCTTCTGGATTTTTAAACTGCAATAGCCATTTTAGTGCAGCATGGTCAGTTCGTACGTGAAATTTTCATCCCAGAAGATATTTGTTAAATGCTGCAACGACTTTACCACAGCTAGGAATTCGCGTCTTGTGACACAATAGTTCCTTTCCGATTTTGACAACGACTTGCTGAAGTACGCTATCACGACCTCCTGGTCACCATTCCGTTGAGACAACACACCGTCAAGTCCTATATCACTTGCGTCTGTGTCAACTATAAATTCTTTGCTTGCATCAGGGTATCCCAAAAAAGGTATTTTGCACAGACGGTCCTTGAGCTCCTGGAATGCGATATTGCAACTTTTATCGTAGGATTTTCGTGACATGAATTACATAAATGGTAGGCCACAGTTTATTTCTTGACGACGCGATAGCGCAGTGGCTTAGCATTGGGTCGCGGCGATGAGGACCGCGGGTTCGAATCCCGTCTAGAATAACTATTTGTATGGGCTACAAATAATTGTTTCCGGTCTGGATGTTTGTCCTTGTGTAATTTATGTTTGTAAACTGCCTGCACGATACAAGAGAAAATCCTAGTGTGGAGGTAGTTTTTTCAAAAAAAAAAAAATAAACGCGTGCAGCTCACACGTGACAGAAGTGAAACCTTCAAATGAAATGACATATAAAATGTAAATACTTTACGGCAAATTATTTATAATTTAAACACTACATGTTGGACATAAAATGTAAGAAAATTTAATTTTATAGTAAATAAATGTACCAATCCTTTTAATAGATATATTAGACACAGATATTATATTACTCTTTTCGATATACCTTATATAGGTAGTACTCACGAATTACAAAAAGATTTATATCAATTTTACCTATAACGAAGTTGAGGTTTGGCTGTTCTTGTGTATTCCATATTCCATAGGCACACGACACCTTCGTACCTTGTTGAACAAAACGCGTAAGAGACGTCGCTTCGGAGGCGTTTACGACTTTTTTCTCGCGAGCATTGAGCTATAATCTATAATGCTTCCTATCTCATTTTCTCCCACGTTATTAATTTATGTGTCACGTTATGAATTTATGTGTCTGTCTCTTTTTTGTTTCATAGACTTTCAAATCACAACGATGGTAAAGAAGTTTTCACTACAAAAACATCAACAAAACAATTCCTATTAAGATGCAGTGTTTATCGGTTCGTTCCGATCAGAAAAGGCTACGTTATATTATATATGTGGATAGAAAATCTACATATTAACATAGCCTGTGTTAAGTGTGGTGAGTAACGAGAAGGGAACCGAAGACCTTTTTAATAGTAGCGAGCCATTACGCTTTAGGCCTTAGGCATGTGAAATTTATATGAATGATATGTGGGATGGATGGAAGGGGGGGGGGGATATAAAAAATACCTTTGTAAGTGGCGGATGCTCTGAGTGCGTGCACGGGTATGTCGGGCGAACCGCACACGAGCGTCTCCAGCTCGGCGGCGGAGAACAGCGCCAGCAGCGGCGCGGGGATCACGCGCGACATCCCGTCGCGCACCGCCCGCACCTGCTCGTCGAACTCGTGCAGTCTGATAAAAGAACCAATCAGCAGTCATGCACTCGTATCCTTCTAGTCGGGTTTCAACAAAAACTATCAACAGCGTATTCTCGGATCGAAAGAATAAGATGCACGGCGCCTGAGATTATTAGACGTGGGTAGGTGTAAATTTGAGTGTAAAATTCTTAGCACTATAATACACACTCAGAACAACAGTTAAGTGAACGGAGTGAAACAATCAAGAGAAGCCATGAAAAAGAATAACAAAATGCAAATCCAGTATTTTTCATAAAATTGGCTGATGAATTTTCATAAGTATTTTTTATAACATTTATTTTGAAATAATTTTACTGTATGTGTCTAACGAATAACCAAACAAATAACCAAATCGCGCCAATGAACACTGTGGTCAGCTATTATTTTATTAATTGATATTCCTTTTTTTGGCTTCACTTCATTGCTCCACTCACTCCGTCTACTTAATTGTTGGTCTAAGACGGTATTTTAAAGCACAAAAAATGATCAAGCGAATCTACACCTATAACCATGCGTAACGATTCTAATCATCATCATCATCATCATCATTACAGCCCTTCACAAGTCCACTGATGATCATAGGCCTCCCCCAAGTAATGCCACAAAGCACGGTCCTGAGCCACCTGCATCCATCGACTTCCTGCATATCTTACCAGGTCGTCACTCCATCTAGTGAGGGGTCGCCCTACACTACGCCTACCGGTACGAGGCTGCCACTCGAGAACCTTTCTTCCCCATAGGTTATCGGTTCTTCGAGTTATATGGCCGGCCCATTGCAACTTCAGCTTACTAATCCGTTGGGCTATGTCGGTCACTCTGGTTTTACAGCGGATATCCTCATTTCTGAGTCTGTCACGCAGAGAAACTCCGAGCATAGCCCTCTCCATAGCTCGCTGAGCGACCTTGAGCGTCCTCATACGGCCAGCAGTGAAGGACCACGTCACAGCTCCGTAAGTCATCACTGGCAACACGCACTGGTTGTACAATCTAGTTTTTAGAGATTGAGGTATACCTGACGAGAAGATATGTCGTAATTTCCCGAACGCTGCCCAGCCGAGTTGAACCCGTCGATTGACCTCTCGGTCGAAGTTGGACTTACCTAGTCGGACTATTTGTCCCAGGTAAACGTACTCGTCAACAACTTCGAGCATAGTGCTTCCAACAACTACCGGCATAGGTGTGACATGGACATTAAACATAATCTTTGTTTTGTCCATGTTCATCTTAAGACCTATCCGTTGGGAGGCACTATTGAGGTCATTGAGCATAGTGCTTAAGTCCTCCAGCGATTCTGCCATAAGGACTATATCGTCCACGGCAAATCGAAGGTGAGTGATGTACTCGCCATTGATATTAATACCGTATCCTTTCCAGTCCAGTAGCTTGAAAACGTCTTCCAATGCAGCGGTGAAGAGTTTCGGGGATATAACATCACCCTGTCTTACACCTCTCTGCAGTTGGATAGGTTTCGAGCTCTGGTTCTGTACTCGGATAGCCATCGTAGCCCTACTGTACGAACACTTCAGCACTTCGATATACCGACAGTCAACTTGGCACCGCTGAAGGGACTGTAGCACCGCCCAAATTTCGACGGAATCAAAGGCTTTCTCATAGTCCACATACGCCAGGTAAAGTGGCAGATTGTACTCTTCAGTCTTCTGTACAATCTGCCGCAAGGTATGTATGTGGTCTATGGTACTGACTAACTAACGATTCTAATCGCTTTCGGTTAAAACGACCGCCGTGTCGGAGGCAGACATAAAAGCTAGAACTCAGAGATAATCTCAACTTGGAACTCTAACAATGTCAAAATTCAAGTCAGTCTATACTATTCTCCACAAATCTCTATATATAAAAATCAATTAAGTAGTCTCGTTATAACTCGAGAACGGCTCGATCTCGAACTCGAAAACGATTTTGATGAAATTTTTTGTATGCATTTGAGCGAGTCCTTGGGATGGTTTAGATTCACAATAGTGTGATTTATACGTGGTACAGCCATGCTGCAGTTATATTAGTAGTATAGTTGTAGCACGAATGGGTCGGCTCGACCGGGGATGGACCACGCTTTCACAGAATACCAGCGTAAATTAGTAGCTTAAGACTGCTGTGTTTCGTATGGTGAGTGTAGAGAACCGGATACCCTTTTTTACTGGAAACGAGGCATTCCATCTCAGTCCTCACGTGTGACAACGCATCTGCATTTTGATTTGTAATAAAACGAGGATAGATGTAAATGCCTATGGGCCGCAGCAACTACTTACCATCAGGTGGATTATGTGCTCGTTATAGGGTGACCTATCCTGTAAAAAAAGGCGTACGTAGGTGGCGCTGTTGTCGAGATCCAGAAATCACACGTGCGAAGACGGGGCGAATCGCTAGTATTCGTATTCTAGGATTGTAGGACTCGTATAATAGGACATATATTATAGGACTCGATTCGTATAATACGATAATCAGAGCACAAGCAAACCCAAAAGTAAACAACTTATTTTTAGACAAATTCTTAACCATACGCGGCGCACCTGTAATGCAACGCCAACTGTACGTATTCATCCTTGTTGTCCGGCGTGACTCGCTTGTGTCGCGTGGAGAGCGGCACCTCGTGCCCTGCAGCGGACGGTATCGAGAAGGGCAGCTCCAGGTTTTGTAGTTCCTGTAACAATTCATATGAATTTGTGATTTGGATTGACACATGGTCGTTGTGCGAAACACGACAATGTAATAATCTAACTTTTCAGTAGTTAGAACAACAACATCAGTTTTAACAAGTGATTGAATAAAAACTACCTAAATATGTCATAAGATTTTTGCTACTAATTTGAACAATTGAAACAATGCAAGTCAGGTTTTTAAATATATAGCGTTTGGTAAATACTACATACCTTTGTAGACGTAGAAGTGTAAGTTATCGGAGAGGCATTAGTTATGAGAAAGCAGTGGGGGTAAAGAATCTGATACTATATTGTAAAAACCTCTATACTTCTGACATCGTATCATCGAGCTTGAATATATGATGAGTTGGAACATGCACATGAGAGCACTATAATGTGTTTCCCGTGTTCTTGAAACAACCCGATTGTTCGGAAGTTGTCGAACATCGTGCAGGACGCTGGACGCATGAGGTGGCGGGCGGGGCGCGCTGACCTTATTGGCGGGCGTCATGTCGCGGATGCAGAGCAGCGCGGGCAGAAAGTCCTTGTCGACCTCGGCGAGGTCCTGAGGGCGCAGCGCCTGGCCGGCCAGCTGCCGCCACACGCCCTCCGCCAGCGACAGCGACAGCGGCGACCCCGTGCGCACCGCGATGCCCATCAATACGCCTGCACGCATCAAAATACCAATTTCAATAATTACACAGAACCTATGTATTCATGGGCGCCGCCAGGATTTCTATTTGCACCTGCATCTCACATTATAATAGTAACTAATATAAAATGTTAAATTATTCAGGTTATTGCTGATGAGACTGCTGATATTAGTGACACAGAGCAATTAATGATTGAAGTTTTCTATCTACGTTATGATAAAAATGGTAAAAGACCATAGAATACTATAATACATACATAATAGAACGGGGGAGTAGGTGGAGCCCGTGTAGCACCAAAATGTCACTAACATGTCAATTTACACATATAACTGTTAACACGACATGTGTTTTGACGTTACAATCGTTTCCAAGTTTCGCATGCAAATTATTTAGAAAATGTCAAATTGCACACTATTTACAAATAAATATATATTAAAATTTAAACGATTTTTTTTAATGATGATCTTGAACATTAATCAAAAGTCTAAAATGTTTAAATTTACTCAGTCTATCAACACAGCGAATCGGGTTTGTATAGTGATAGTAATGATAATTGCTTATATGTGTGCTTCCGGCGATACATCGTCGACCCTCGTACAAAATAAGGTTGACAGCCATTCTATTATGTATTATAGTACTCTATGTAAAAAAACCAATAATTTGTGAAGAATTCCTCAGATATGTACCGGTATAAGAGTTGAACGCAAAAGCCATTTTGGAAACTATTATCCGCCACCAGCAAGATTGTAATTTTGATTTAAATAAACTTACGATACGACAAGTGTGCTGCAATGGTAGGTCACATAGGTGGTGTGTAGAAAATTACGAGGGACGGCTGATAAGTCCGCGGCCTAAGGTACTTAACGAAAGAAAATATATGGTTTCGATTTTTTATCTACCTCAAGTGAAATACATTTCGCACATCTCGCATACAATGCCTTTAACCCACCCAAAAAATATTCTGTATCTTTCTTTTCAAAATGACGATCAACCGCAGCTTTCATTTCATTGTCATCTTGCAAATCTCCGGCCCCGTAAGTCCTTTTTTAAATTGGATAACAGAAAAAATTTGCTAGGTGCTAGGTCGGGCTATATGGAGAGTGGTCAATCTCTGAGAATCACATGTCTTTCAGGGCTTGCCTCGCAAAATGTGCGTTGTGAACTGGCGCGTTTTCTTGCAGAAAGAGCACTCTGCGAGTCAGTTTTCCACGTCGTTTCTGTACAATAGCCTCACAAACCTGAGTCAATAAATTGGCGTAATATTGGCCATTCATCATAGTTCCCTTGGGTAGGTAGTCGATGAACGAAATTCCCTCGCTATCTCAGAAAACGATCGCCATTAGCTTGGACGCCGACTTTTCCTTTTTTTATCCATTGCATGGACTCTTGATTGAACTCCGGATCATATTGGCGAATCCATGTTTCATCTATGGTGACTATCCAATGCCAAATGTCTTCCTTGTTAACGCCGACTAGCTCCAAAAAATCTTTCCAACTTGCGAGTCTACATTGCTTATTGAGCGGTGTGAGTATTTTCGGTACCCAGCGCGCACAAATTTTTCTCAAATTCAAAGATTCATGTAAAATTTCTCCAATTCATTCTTTGCTAATCTGCAGTTCTTCAGCAATCTGCCACAATTTAATTCTTCGGTCGGACAGAACGATTTTTTCGACTTTTCGGACGTTTTCTTCAGTCAGTACCGTGACAGGGTCGTCTACACAGCTCTCTCGTTCTTGTTGAATTCCATTTTTTCTCCATCGTATATGAAGGCGCAGAATCCTGAAGAACTGATGACATCTCTTCATAAATGTCTTTCGGTGTATTTCACTTCTTTACGAAGAATTTTATCATGGCGCGGTGTTGAAAAGTCCGAGAATTACCAGATTTGGGTGTCATGGTGATATTTTTTAGGTTGTTCAATAAATAATTGAGTGCTTTCATAATACTACTGAGTGTTGCAAATAGTGACATGAGTAACAAGCTAATTACTCATCGTTAAGTACCCTAGGCCGCGAACTTCTCAGCCGGCCTGGTATTAATAATAAATATCCTTCAGCACTATTTTTCCACTGTGCAAACCATGTAATGAATCTTGTCATTAATGACCTGAATACTTTCAGTCAAGTGAAAAATACTGCTGGGACTACAAAGAACATTATTGATCTAAATCTTAAAGTTTTTAATCTATTGTTACGAGCTCAGGGTTCGTGACAATAAAAACTGCCGATTGAATTACCAAAATTAACACTTTATTAACTTTACACCAATTAAAACTTAAAAGACACTAATAATTAATCACACTGATTCACTTTATTTCGCTCCGAAGCTTCGCTTGTCTCGCCAAATTCAATACTTCCCCGATCGCTGCATGCAGCGGGTTTAAATACACTTTTAAGCCGAAACATCCAGAACATTCCCGTAGATACGGGCGCCGACCGACCAGACGCAGAAAGTTCGAGTGTGAGGCTTCTAGAAAGCTTAATTCTTCTGTTCGATACTAGATGGCGCTGTTGGTCGAAAGTCAAGATTGACATTTTCTAGGAAGCCCTCCTCGCTCTCGTCCCCGACACTAGATGGCGCTAGTGCCGGGTACATGACGTAAATTAGGCGCACAACACTGCCCCCTCCTAAGACATGCTCGTCCCGAGCATTATCGGCCCCATAATAACGCGCCAGGCAGGACGATCTTAGGAGTCCCTCTTGCGCCTTTCTGTAACGGCTCCGTAATGTCAAGGGCTGTCCTATCCCATGGTGCACCAACATTTTTACTCAACAATTTCGATGCTCCCCTACTACGTGTCTGAGGTCCCCTCACAGTCGCACAACTTGTACATGTGCGACGCCAATCCTCGACATCGTCACGATAGTGGACCCAGTAAAACTGTTCTCGGATCTTCAGTAGAGTTCGTTTAACTCCCAGATGGACTCCTGAACAACCATTATGGTGCAGCTGTAGAACATTCGGCACTTTAGCTTTAGGGACAACTATTTGCAAACGACAGCTGTCTCCTCGACCATTGTCCCATTTACGGCACAGGACTCTCACATTGGGCCCAATAGCTTCTAGTGGTCGAACTCATCGCTGAGACGTCGCTCCACTTAGGCTTGGTAGCACGGGCCTTCATCCATTCCAGAATCGGCTTAATGTCCGGATCTTCCTGCTGTGCATGTCGTAGACTGTCCTTCCACTCGTTGCTGAGATGGTCTGTCCTGAGCATCCTTACGGATACCACTTTCTTACTCTCTTGCCTAGCACAATGTTTGCAATCTTCAGAACAAGCTCTTCTTGACAATGCATCTGCGTTGCCACGAGATTTCCCGCTGTGATGTCTGATAGTAAAGCCGTATTCCTGCTGCTGCTGGGCGGTGATAATAGCCGCACTTCCCTTCTGAGATCGTTCACCTTCCCTTTCTAGGGTTCGCTTAGGGCAGCTGGATTGAAGATGGCCCCTTTCCCCACAGCCATAGCACCTAGGGGTGTATACTTTATTGTGGTCGCGAACCGTAACTGCTGCAACCTCCCAAGCGTGAGGGGGAACGATGATCCTGCCACTGCCAGGCGTGCCGTTAGCTGCACTACCCTCTCGAGATCGATCAACTTCCCTTTCTAAAGTTCGCTTAGGGCAGCTGGATTGAAGATGGCCCCTTTCCCCACAGCCATAGCACCTAGGGCTGTATCCTTTGTTGCGATCGCGAACTGTAGGTGCTGCAACCATGACGCGATGGAAACGATGATCCTGCTGCACGGCTTCCACCTCCAGTGCATGGGCCAAGGCGTCCTTAAGCGTCTCGTGGTGCCCGAGCCTCACAGCAGCTCTGACTTCCAGGTCGCGGAAGCCGTCGATGAATGTCTGCATCAGCTTCCCTTCAATGAGCGCAGGTACAGACCGTTATGCTTTTCGCACCAGCTTCTCCACCTCTAGAGCCCACTGCTGAAGGTTTTCGTTGATGCGCTGCAAGCGATCTTTAAGTTGCGCACGAAAGACGTGTTCCAGGTAAGCGTCGCCATATACGTAAGTCACTTCCTCACCGAGAGCTTCCCGAACTGTTAAGGCCTGGTCGCGCAGGCCTAGTATGAGAGCAGTCATGGCCTGACGTTTATTCCAGCCGTTCGCCTTCATAACAGCCTCGAACTGGATTTTGTAGGCTGACCAGGAAGAAGTCCCATCGAACAGTGGCACCTTGAACACACGTAGCGAAGGTGTTGAAGCTACTACGGGAGCTATAGTTCCATCTCCAAGTTTGAGTTCGTCCAGTGATTTCTTCATGTCAGCCGTTACGTTTTCAACCCGATTGTTTAGTTGGTCGATTCGGGTTTCAGCTTCCGACAAGCGGTTGTCATGTTGAGCAACCTTATTCTTCATCTCTCGTATCTCTTTTCCGAAGGTAGCATGAAGGTCCTTCATGAGGAGCATCTGCTCTTCCAACCGACGTGCCTGTTCCTCTTGTCGGCGGGCCTGTTCATCCTGTCCACCCCGCAGCTGCTCTTCCAATCGACGGACCTGTTCCTCCTGTCGGCGGACCTGTTCCTCTTGTCAGCGGGCCTGTACATCCTGTCCGCCCCGCAACTGCTCTACCAACCGACGGACCTGTTCCTCCTGTCGGCGGACCTGTTCCTCCTGTCGGCGGGCCTGTTCCTCCTGTCGGCGGGCCTGTTCCTCCTGTCGGCGGGCCTGTTCATCTTGACCGCCCCGCAGCTGCTCTTCCAACCGACTAACCTGTTCCTCCTGTCGGCGAGCCTGTTCCTGCAGCATCACCATCAGAGCACCTAAGTCGGGTGCTGCAGATGAGGCTACTGACGGACCTGCAGCCGGTGGCTGGCCCTCCGACGTCTGCGGCGTTGCACCACCAAATCTTCTTTGGTACGTCTTCTGATGACGTTGACTTCGGGTACGGACACCCTCCGTTTCCTCCTTAGGTAAAATCGGCATGATTTTATCCCACTTCTGACAACAATTGCTACGAGCTTAGGGTTCGTGACAATAAAAACTGCCGATTGAATTACCAAAACTAACACTTTAATTCACTTTACACTAATTAAAACTTAAAAGACACTAATAATTAATTACACTGATTCACTTTATTTCGAACCGAAGCTTCGCTTGTCTCGCCAAATTCAATACTGCCCCGATCGCGGCATGCAGCGGGTTTAAATACACTTTTACGCCGAAACATCCAGAATATTCCCGTAGATACTAGACGCAGAAAGTTCGAGTGTGAGGCTTCTAGGAAGCTTAATTCTTCTGTTCGATACTAGATAGCGCTGTTGGTCGAAAGTCAAGATTGACATTTTCTAGGAAGCCCTCCTCGCTCCCGTCCCCGACACTAGATGGCGCTAGTGCCGGGTACATGACGTCAACTTAGGCGCGCAACACTATTATGATTCTATTATTTGCTCTAGTACAATCCTACTTAAATGTGGCAATTTATCTGAAGACGGTAAAGGACACAGGGTTAGCTTAACAGACGTTTGATGTAAAATAAAGAACCTCATATTAGTGAATTAATTCATTAATGTTTTCCATGAGCATTCACAATGTGTTTAAAACTAGATACAAAACAATAACAACATAAATGATAAATTTGGCTAGAAATTTAAGCATTTGAAAACTTTGAAAAATTGTTGCCACTAATCTTGTAACCTGGACACTTGTACGTAGGCTTGCTGCAACAGGTTATTCCGTTTATCCACGCAAGGGTGGATATACTCGGAAACACATGTTTGCAGTTATTAAAAATTAATTAAAAATTTAAGTATATGTGTTGAACTGTACTTGGGGTAAAAAGTCGGAAGATTAAATTAAAGTGAATTCCGATTATAAGCAAGTCTGGGGTGGCTTATAACTCGGCACTCGCTTCCGAGTATCCACCCTAGGGTGGATTTTTTAGGGTAGATAAACGGAAAAAACCGCTGCAACAACCAAATTTTATGTGTGTATACAATAAACAAATATATATTTATAAAAGCGGCGACAAAATTTACCGAGGAATCGGAAGCAATTAAGATGTAGCGGCGTATTAGCGGTGGGGTTGAGCAGGAAGGCGTCGCGTGAAGCACCCGCGTCACCACGTCCGTTGGGTGTCACCATCAGCAGCGGCAGCGAGCCATTCTGCAGCTCCTCGCACATCTCTGCGATGCTCTCGCTGTAGCCCCCTCCGCAGTCATCCACGCTCTCGCCTGGCATTATAATATCGGATTGGTTAGTTCGGTTGCACTTTATCGTGTCAAAAACACGGTGACAGTCACATACCCGAAAATTTATAGCATAAAGGCTTCGCGTGTCGCGCGTCACTTCTGAGTCCAGTTAAAAACGCGGACAAAAAGTCAGACTCAGTGTTAAATTAAATGCTAAGTTAGGTGAATTAGCGCTAAAGTTATTATAGTAGTCGAAAAACTATAGTTTTTCACACAAGAAAAAGGAACGTGAGTAATCCGCGAGCATGGACAAGTATCTGCGTTCAGCAACTGTTAAGTAAGATCATCCAATTTTTTATCTTTTTCTGTAATATCATAATAATATCTCGATGGGATATGGAAACATACTATCAATTTGGAAACGTATTAACCTCTCAATATGCACGCGGTCGGATCCGACCACGGCGATATTCCGTCAAATTCCAAGTGGTCGGATCCGACCACACCCACCCACAGCACTTTAAACCATAAAAACTTATATTTAGAGACTACTTGTCTATGAAGAAGTTTGGCATTATAGGCTCAATGTGACATTTCCTTTCCTCTAATGCAATAAAACGTAGTTAGTCTATGGTTTTTTATTTATAATCGACGTTCCTGTCATACGCCTATTTCGGGGGCGTGTTATTGTGTTGACTTTTTAATATTTTATTAGTGTTTAGTATAGTGTTTTACTATAAAATCATTACAAAAGATTTTGTGTGAATACAGTTTATCTTTTTACGTAAATAACTTCGAGTAATATATAGAAATAATTGTGCAAATCGAGCTGCTATCCTGTGCTGAGTAAGTACTATTTTTACTATAAAAATATAATTAAAATATATTTGTAATGAAGCAAAAACATTAAAACTAGTAATATGACATAATAAATAAACAGAAACAAGTATTATATTGAAATTTATAATGAATTTTATAGAAAATAAATGTAGTAATGGGTTAAGGAGTCCTTAATCGACAACTTTTTTAAATTGGAGCAAGTTTTTTGGCTATGGAACAGGTATTTACAAACTAAAACTAGAGAGTTAGCATAAGAATCTGGACTATATAAAAGTAGTAAAGTTAGATAATTACTAGCGCGAATATAAATATGACATCGTATAAATTGCGTGAAAGAAAAGGAAGTATACAATAATTGTCATCAAATAGAAGAGAGCAGGGCTTCTAACTCAACGGGGCTTCTAAACAAAACACGCGAACACGTATTATGTCCTCCGTTGGTCGCGGTAGCCTGATGTACAAGCCAGACACGCCAACGTAAATAATAATACGAAAAAAAACGGGGAAAATAAGAATACGAGACGAACGGGAGGCGCGTCGCACTAGCGTGGCTCACGACTAACAAGAGAGCGGTGTCCCTCATTCACTTGAGAAGCATCAACAGTGAAAAGTACAAACTGTTAATAAAATAATGTAACATTTTAACAACCGAATAAAAATATTAAAGTAGAAGAGACTGACCGACAAACTTGACCTTCCAGACGCGGTGCGGCAGCGCGAGCGCGTCCTGCGTGAGCGCGGGCAAGCGCGCCACCATCTGCCCGAACACCGAGCGCATGCCGCCCGGGCCAGCCAGACCCGCGCCGCCGCGCCGCGCGCGCCTCGCTCCCACGCGCGACAGCTCCACCACCGGCCCGTGCTGCCGCTCGCGCACCATCGTCGCCATTATCGCCTGCACAGTAACGCACAAATTGCCTTGAGCGGTCGTCATGAGATACGTCATAAATTAACTAACTGGTTATTAAGGCGTTGCTTACGCCTCCTGGACCATCGTCATCGTTATCGTCTGCACTGTAACGTGTAAATTGCCTTGAACATTCATCTTGAGATACGTCATCAGTAAAATAATACAATTATTGTAGTGTAGCACCGCTACTTTCACCTGGTGCAACGTCATTGCCGATATCGCCTGGACCGTAAAGTGCAATTTTCTGTGAGCGTTCACCGTGAATAGTTTATCAATAAACTTGACGTGGACCATGGTGTCATCTGTTTACTTAAGCAAATCTAGATGTTCGTTTAAGTTGTAGCGCGCAAATACATCGGAACTTTGGACACATTATTAAGCCCCAAGACCAAATCCGCAGAGGAGTAAACTACTAACTATATTGACCTCATGTCGAGCCTTGTGTGGATATTGCATAAAATATAATTATAACTCATTAACATATGTACTTTTATTAATAGGATTAAAATCATCATCATTAGACTTCACATATTTTTTTTTTTATAAAACCAAAACTCAACGCGCGTCGCGTCGCTGAAACTATTAGCTTTTTCAGACCGATACAATTTATTTATGAAAAAAAAAATACACAGAACAAGTAATAAATATCTTTCGTCTTTTCGTTCCTTACCTTTCTGAAAGCAGCTTCTTTGACGCTGTAGAAGAGCAGAGTTCTTAACTGGTCCAAAGGTCCGTCTAAAATCAGCAACTGTAAATTTGGGCACACCAATTCCGAGAACTGATGCAGTAGAACCTGTGAGGAGCAATAACAAAACAATTATAGAAATGTTAGCAATTCAACATTTTTGACTTACGCCGGATTCACACTAGACAAACGTGATGTATTGTGATGCATCAATAGGTACAACAGAAGTTTATCGAAATCATATATTTTGTATAAAAATATGCACACTATTCTGACGCCTTTCGAAGTCATACGGATTGCTGAAGCACCGATCCCATTAGCGCCCCCACTATTGCTCTGACGCGTGTCAACATGACACTAGTGCACACGCTACCTATCGCAGTCATTTAGCAAAGTACGGGTAATGGATGTTTTAAAAGAATTGGTTCGGCAACATCCGAAGGTAACACACATGATACGTAGATATGCTCGCTAGCTCTGACGTTACGAGTAAATTATGACACGATGCGTAAATTTTGTGTGAATTTGATGTGATGAGTATTACACTGACTATTGATGACTATTTTTACCGTCCGGAAAAAAATAAAGTGTAACAGATGAACGGAGTAGAAATCTTGGCACTGATATTTTACAAAAAATAAAAACAAAAATTTTGAATTAAATAAATAAATCAAATAAAATTTATCGAAATTCGAATTTCAATACTTTACAAACGGCAATAAAACAAAAAATTTTTAGCCATCTTTGTCAATGTCCTTTCGCACGGTCACAGGCTCAAGGGCAAAGCCGCCCGCGCCTTAAACTCTCATTTCATTTACCTGTAGCTAAGCAAGGAGTGACGTCGCGTCGCCGTCGTATTGTTTATGGTTCTGCGTGTGTATCGTAAACATGTACCAAAACTCTAATGTCGAGTATCTAGCATTGATGAGCCAATTCCGTGATAGATGGAAAGGTCCCGGTTGACCTGTGAACTGGCCGGCGAGAACACCAGACCTAATACCTCTAGACTTTTATTTGTGGGCCGAACCAAAACGATTAGTGTACACAGAAAAAGCACAAAGTGTAAGTGATTTAAAGTTTTAAAGCAGCGTATAATAGACGTATTTAATGTGATAAACAGTGATAAAGATTTAAACAGTAATAAAGGTTGATTTCGATCTTTTAAATACGCCAAGATGTTGCAGTATAAGGTAGGCATAAATATTATTATTTTACTGTTTATCAATTCATTATATTATAATATATAGATTTGTGGACTATGAGAAAGCCTTTGACTCCATTGAAACTTGGGCTGTTCTAGATTCTTTTCAGCGGTGCCAAATTGACTAGCGGTACATCGAAGTGCTGAGATGCTTTTACAACACCAGTACGATGTCCGTCCAAGTACAGGACAGTCAAACAAAACCAATCCAGTTGCATCGCGGAGTGAGACAGGGGGATGTTATATCCCCTAAACTGTTTACAAATGCACTGGAAGATGTTTTTAAGACGTTATTAACGCAATCGATGAGTACATCTCACACTTACGCTTTGCTGATGATATCGTCGTCATGGCAGAATCGCTGCAGGAACTTCAGGATATGCTGAACAGACTAAATGAATTCTCCCAACGTGTTGGTCTGTGCATGAATCTGAACAAGACAAAAGTTATGTTCAACGATTACGTCATGCCAGTTCCAATTACTGTTGATGGTGAAATTCTCGAAGTTGTCCAGGAATATACCTACCTCGGGCAGATATTGCAACTAGGTAAGAATAACTTCGAGAAGGAAGCCGATAGGAGGATTCAGTTGGGCTGGGCAGCATTTAGAAAGCTCCGTCGGGTTTTCACCTCGCCCATACCGCAAAGTCTGAAGACAAAAGTCTTCAACCAGTGCGTTCTGCCCGTACTCACTTATGGTTCCGAAACGTGGACACTCACGATACTTCTGCTCCAAAAGCTTAAAGTCGCTCAGCGGGCAATGGAAAGAGCTTTGCTCGGAGTTTCTCTGGTACACAAAATTCAAAACGAAGAAATTTGCCGGAGAACCAAGGTTACTGAGATAGCTTTCCGTGTTTGTAAGCTGAAGTGGCAATGAGCTGGTCATGTTTGTCGCAGAGGTGACAACCGGAGGAGTAGACGTGTTATGGAGTGGAGACCGCGTCTAGGCAAACGTAGTGTGGGACGCCCCCTGACCAGATGGAGCGACGATCTGCGCAAGGTGGCTGGTAGAAACTGGATGCGTGTAGCCGAAGATCGGCCTAAGTGGCGCGCCTTGGGAGAGGCCTATGTCCAGCAGTGGACTGCTGCAGGCTGATGATGATGAAATGAGTAGTGAATGGATGTGAGGGCGGTTATTAGTATAGTGTGCACGCACCAGCCTGTTGCAGATGAGGGGTGTGGGCAGGTCTCGCAGCAGATGGCACTCGAGCGGCGGCGGCGGCGGCGGGCGCGGCGCGCGAGGCGCCTCGACGCACAGCGCCACCGTGTGCGCGCTCCCGCACGCTACCTTCGTCACGCGCTTGCCCTGCAACACCACTCATTCACAACATGCTACATAATAAATACTTTCCTATCTGGAACCATTTTTGGTATCATCATCATTATCAGTACATTACGTTACAGTAAGTACATTATCTATCCGTTGGGACACACTATTGCGGATGTTGAGCATAGTGCTTGCTTATCATAGAGGTTAAAGAACATGAGAACGATCACTACGTACTAAAGCAATAGCCCGTCTGTCCTTGAAAATTGTAGAATTTATAGCGGCGCTGACGTCGGTGAGTAGTGACTGCGAAGTTAGCTGTTTTTTAGTACAAGTAGATGAAGTTAGTTGTATAATATACAAATTTTCTTCGCGGCAATGGTGAGAAAATTTTCATGCTCCGTAATTTTGTAATTTTTGACAAAAAGAAACACTAAAAATGGAGAAATATTTTATTGTGCGTGGATGTGCAAGTGGTTTAGCATCTGATCGGAAAATAGACTGAAAATTACTTTTATTCAGCGAACTTAGCTATCGCAGCGCCTCACTTATGGTGTCCATATTTCTGGGACACTATTTTCTACGGCGATCGTTCTCCTCTTCTCTAACCTCCATGGTGCTTATTGTCAAACAAATCTAAAAAATACACTTTGACAACTGTCAGACTTATTGCACCGAGCATGCCAATCAAAAAATGGGAACGTACAATATTCGATTAAAAAAAAATCGATATCGATTATTTAGAGTTGGTATTAATTTACAATTTGGTTTTAATAATACAAGAATAAATTAAAAACGAATAATTTTAAATCCAAGATTTATCAGTTTCTTCCTATTTGTTGTTACTGTTTATTTCTAGAGGCACAGTTATAAAAATTTAACATTGAACTAGATTCAAAATAAATTTATTCAATCACTTTCAGTACAACTAGTTGAGCTGTCGTTGTTTAGATGAATTATTACTTGATTTTCAATAATGCAGCCAAAATTAATGTCTCTTTCAAAGTCATTCATAATCAATATTTTTGTTTTTTCTACCCTATTGCCCAATCATGCTTTGTGACATGGGCACATGCTTCAACGAATATAGAAGAAACAGTTCAAAAAGTTAAAGCCGAGTCACAAAATAAGAAGACAAATACAAAATCACAAAATTACGCACAGTAAGCTGCCGAAATAGCGGGTGATTGAAATTACGTAGTGGTTTTTTTGCCTACACAAATTTACGTTGACAAAGTAAAATAAATAAACTTGTGTTATTTTCATGATTCACGTAATTTAAAGAATTTTAAAAACAAATAAATAACTAAACAAATAATACATAAAAATAATTAATGATTCAATTATTTGAATATTTTTACCGATTATTTAAATATTTTGACGATTCGTAATGAATCTCGAAAACAACACGTAGACGCGGCTCAGAAGGGAAATTGGTCTGTAGTTCTTCAAGAGAGGGTTGTCGCCTTTCTTGAAGAACAAGACCACCGCACTTCTGCTCCACGTTTCCAGAGTAGCTTCACTAAGGAGGACGGAATTAAAGAGCTTCTGAACGACTTTAATTACCGGTTTTCCAGCCGCTTTCAGAAGCTCCGCTGTAATTACATCATCGCCTGGGGCCTTGTCATTTTTAAGGGGCTGAAGAGCCATCCTAATCTCGCTCAGACTGACTTTCGGGATATCATCGAAATAGTGTGATCGATTGCTTGGTGTGGTAGAAAGTATCAATCGACTTCGACTAATCCATTGCATCATCGATCGATTGGTGTGGGTTGGGAATTAAAAAGTTAAAATAAAACGCGATAAATTTCGTAAAATTTCACTGAATCGAATACCTGTAAAGCCACAAGCAGGCGGGGCCTTTGCGCCGCCAGCGTTGTGCCGTCGCCGAGTTGTCCCTCGTCGTTGTCTCCCCAGGTGTACACCTCCCCCGTGTCCGTGCACGCAACGCAGTGGAGACTCCCTAACACAGTTTCAACACTGATGTTAGGTACCACAATATAAGGTATAACTACGAATTTAATAATAAAACAATAATTCAATCCATTAATGAATAAGATTCCAGTTTAGCTAAAAACATGAAAGTTTTAACAACTACAATTCCGCACAAAATTATTTATTATTGTTTATAATATATATCTACCTGTCGCAATCGATGTAATCATTTTGCCCTGCATGCCCGTAACGCGCATTGGACGTCTTACGTGTTCGTAGCTGCCATGCCCTAGTCTATGGTAGTCGCCTTTGCCCCTAAAGTATTTTTTTTTAATATTAGAATATTAAATTGATTCCTGTGTATTTTATTATAAATAATTTTGCATTTAAGTTAAAGGAAAACTTAAATTAAACTATAGATTTTTATATTTTTTATTTATATAGAAGAAGTGTGACAAACGAGCACACAGTTTACCTGATGGTAAGTGATTGTTGTGGCCCACAAGCATCTATATCTATCCTCGATTACGAATCAAAATGCAAATGCGTTGTCATCCGTGAGGACTTAGGTGTAATGCCTCATTTCCAGTAAAAAGGGTATCCGGTTCTCTACACTCACCATACGAAACACAGCAGCATTAAGTTGCTATTTTACGCTAGTATTCTGTGAAAGCGTAATCCTTCCCCGGTCGAGCCGACCCATTCGTACTACAAATATACTACTAATACAGCTGCAGCATGGCTCTACCACGTAAAATACTGATAATATGTTAATTTTAAAAATACACAATAATAATATTTCATTTGAATGGAGTGTTTCAGATGAGAGTACCCAGTGTCTTTGTAATAAGTCTTTGTATAATGACGAATAAAAAATATGAAATAAATCAAGTCAAGTATATGTATATATAATTAAGTGTATTTTACAAACCATGTATAAACACTTCCACATTGGCATAAAGCGACGGAGAACTGAGAGCCACATTCTACCTTGATAACTCGCAGACCTTTCAGACAGTCTATTCTCATCGGAAGCTTGCAGCCTTCTGAGCCTCCTCGACCTAGCAAACAAAGATTGACAAAATTGGTCAATACGTAATACGTAAGATCATAAATAATTAAAATCCCCGCTGGAAGTTCCCAGGAAAAAGGTTTTTCAAACTAATGGTAAAAGTAAAAATAAAAAATGTCCAACGGAATATCGAAACTTTCTGTATTCTGTAAAATATTCTATAAATCTATAAAAAAGTAGATGTCGTAGTCTAATAGACATCTACATGTGAATTAGAATGCAGATTTGTTGTCGCCCCTGACGACTAAGATGGAATGCCTCGTTTCAGGTAAACGAAGTCTCCGGTATTTTTATATTTTAATTGTATTGAATTATTATAATATGTTGTTATAACAATCAAGTAACTACACTAAATATAATTGTATGTATTTTATTTACATGTATTACACAATTTTTGCTATTTTAGTTTATTGTTTTCTCATATTAACTTTATACCACACCTACTTCATACTATCTCTGCATCACCCCAAGGTAGACTGGTAGAGAATGCCTTATACATTAAGTCCGCCTATATACCACGTCTGTACATGAAGTTTTAAGTAAATAAATAAAATATCCCGACCGACGACACATGCAAGAAAGTTGCGTGTATATTATATACTGCAATTGCAAAATACCTGGCTCCTAACCATGGCGAATTACGTGTCTGTTAATAAGCAGAGGAGAAAGTTAATCATATGACAACTTTCGCAACAGTTCAATTTAAAAAAAAATTGGGGTATGGCTGTGTGGTGGACACGACCGTGTTTCACGTGAATTACGTGTACGTAGCGAAACGGCCAAAAAAGGGGGTCCTTCTTTTTCCACTAAGTGCGATGACGTAACAGTCCTGACTCAACGTAACGGATTCTTTGATCTATCGAGTGGTGTAGTTAAATTTTGGATGTAGATGATAGATATGTAGCTGCAACACCAAACTGTATCTTCCGATTTTGTTATTAGTTTTCAGAATCGCCTCCGACTATGGAAGCTGATTTAAAGACGTATTCACGTCAAAAAACCAATTAATGAAGAAATATAGGATACCAAGTTTGCCATAGTCGCCGTCGCCCCAGGACCACACGTTGTCGTCGTCCGTGATGCACAGCGTCTGCGCGTCACCCGAGCCGCACGCAACGTCGATCACCCGGTGCTGCGAGAGCGCCTCCACCTAAACGTTTGGAGAGTTTAACTCAAATTCAACAATAAAATGCAATTTTAGCATTGCTATAGAAACTGTCTTACTGGAAACGGACGCGCCTTCATTTTTCCGGGGTAAAAATACCTATCTTATACTTTCAGTGAGCAAGTGTTGTGGGTAAGTGAGAACCTATCGTAGCAAATCATCAAACAATGCTTGTTAGCTTGACTAGTATCGACCGCGACGTTTTTTCGGTAGAAAAATTCTTCTTAAGAATACAATTAACCGATGAGCATGTATGCGTAGGTATATGGATGTGGAAGAGGTGAGAGAGGTATGTCAGGATCGTGCTAAATGGAAGTCTGTAGTCTCTGCCTACCCCTCTGGGTGACAGGCGTGAGTGTTTATGTATGTAAAGATTATTCTAAAGTCAAAGAAACTAACTGTAGAGATCTATTATTTAGATGAAATAAACGACACGTTTGTCGGAATGCGCTTCAAACAAGTACCATAATCTATTTTGCGAGCGTGCGACAGTAACCTAATGGTCGTGAGTTCAAACTTGCTATTCGGCTACTGTGGCGAATCACTACTAAAACAAGTATTTCTAAGCTTACTAGAGTGGTTAACGGAAGTTTTATTTATGTTAATAGCGTTACCAGTATTCTTATAAAAATATATATAAAAATTAAAAATCATACACAAAACAAAAAATTAACTACTGATTCAAAAGTTAGTATAACTAATGGTTCTTCCCAGTTTTATGATGACATGGCCTACCAAACATCATCTAGGTTCATGTTTTACACACCATCTTAGGTACAAGTTGGTCTTCAGAGTCGCCATGTCCCAGGCGTCCGTATCTGCCCTTGCCCCACGTGTAGATACGACCGCGCGCAGTCAGGCAAGCGGAGTGAGCGCCGCCGCAAGCGATCGCCACGACCTCCAGTCCCGACAACGCGGTGATTAGCTTCGGACGGTCGTAGCTTCTGTGGGTGTATTGACATAGAAACATGAAACACATGTTAAAATACTTTTATGACTTCGAATGAGTTAACAGTCCGCCTGCTGGTAAATAAAGACACCCACAAACAACCTCAAAGAAAGATATAGTAATGAGACCTACGAGAACGCATTTATGTTTTTTTTATATTTTTATTTGTTCATTGATGTACATATAAATGTTTAATAATTTGTATGTAAATTTAGAATTTTTTTAAACAATGATCTTGTTTTGTGTATTTTTCATGTCTTAATTCACGTATCAAATAATGTCATGTCATCCAGCGTTGACTGGAAGAGAATGCCTTAAGGCATTAATTCCGCCCTTTGTAACCTTATTATATTTTAAACTGAAATGTAAATAAAAAAATAAAAAAATAGCAAAATGCCACGCTATCTGTAATAAATTGTCTCCATTAACCTCAAATTCTAAACAGCCATAGCTTTACCCTACTCAGCGTAGCGACAATAGCAGCAGTGAACATATAAATATCAGATATGTAGGAAAGACGGCGGTATACTATCTCAGGTATTCAAATAAGCCTTTTACTAGAAATAACACCTTTATCGTATTTTAAACAATATTATTTTACTCATTAAAATATATCATAAAAGAGAATCATTACAGTTAAATCATTTGTGAGTTGCATTACGTTTGGTTATTTGTAAAGACTGGCAGATATTAGTCTAGTTTATACACATCTATTTGCGTCTTTGTTCACGTACAATTATTATATTATAAATCATTGTTTTTTCAATCGGGTATCTAGCCTATCAAAATTACACTATCTCTCACATTGATTACATCATAGGGGAATATATATGTCATAGTTCCTACGGTTAGCAGGTAGATGGGTAACGCAGTCATTATTATTTAGAGATGTTATCAAGAAGATGCTGCTGCTAATCTCCTATTTTATTTCCCTTTATCTTCTCTTATGACTTCTACGATGTGATATGGGGATAGAATCGCTTACGCCGCCTGAATTTGTACGTTCTAACAAATACATTGTTACACCATTAGTAAATTATTTGAATCAGTTAGAACTAAAAGGTTTAAATCAGTTACTGTTTTTTTCTCTAAGTTAGACAAACATCTATATACTGATATATACACACAAAGAATCGGGATATTAGTGAATTGTAAAGTATATATTTATATATTAAGAGAAGTAAAAATACATGTTACTAATCAAAAAACTTACACTCTGTTGCCGTGGCCAAGTTTACCGTCCTCGCCCTCGCCCCAGCTGTAAACGTCTCCATCAGCAGATAAAGCCAGGCAATGTTTGCCTCCAGAGTTACAAGCCACCTTAAATAAAAAAATCGTACATATGTAATTACAATTTTTTGCACACAACTCATTTGGATGACCATAACTTTTTTACTTAACTTCTAACTTACAAGTGCCTAATAAATTGGGACATTTTAAATTTAAAAATATTCCCTTACTAATTTTCTTTATACTTTAACGTTTTGGTTAATATACTATAATCTATACTGATATAATAAAGAAGAAACGTTTTTTTTTTTGTTTGTTTAAATACGCTATTATCTGAAACTACCAGTCCGATTTGAAAAATTATTTTTCGTATACTATAGCCAATTAAACTACACCTCTCAGCTAGTCTTAAATATTAATTTTTGCTAAGCAAGTCAGAGGAAAAAGCGTTTTCGAAATTATTTATCCGCGTGCGCTAGCATAATAGTTAGTGATATGTAAATACAATGTTCTACAAAAATATGGATCTTTACTCCCAGCTAAAAAAAGTCCACGATACCATATGACTAGTTTTATTCATAAGCCACAATAAACTATTTTGTGACAAAAATTAATAAAAATTTAAAAAAGTGATTTATGAGCTTTATTATAAGATATGGCATATTAATCTTTACGAACGAAAGTTAATTCATCATCAAGTTAATTTTATGAAGATAAGCTTTGCTTTTGCTAGCATGTTTTTGGACGCATAGTTTAAGACATAGAATACTGTAATACACTATAGAATGGCTGTCAACCTTATTTTGTACGAGGATTGGTGTCGCCTGAAGCACACATACAAGCTATTACGTTCTATTATCACTACTAGAAACCCGATTCGCGAATTTACACATAGACTTTTGATTAATGTCTTAGACACATCAATATTGCCTGATAATGAAGCCTGTGTTCATAACCAAACACAATCTGCTGAATAAATATCAGTCAGGCTTTCGTGCAGGTCACAGTACTACCACTGCATTGATAAAAGTCACAGATGATATTAGAATGGGAATGGATGAGCAAAATCTTACGGTGGTAATGCTTGTTGACTTTTCAAATGCTTTTAACACAGTCAACGACGATATCCTTATAGCCTTCCTAACTAATCTTAGATTCTCAATCCCAGCTTTGGAATGGTTTTCATCCTATCTTCGCGGCCGCCAGCAATCAGTACGATTAGGACAAGAGTTCTCAAGATGGGCTGACATTGAAACAGGCGTGCCGCAAGACAGAATACTTTCTCCTATAATGTCTATTTTTCTTTATTCATAAATTCTATCACTTCAGTTCTCAACTGTTCGTACCATCTGTATGCAGATGATCTTCAGCTCTATGTGCAATCTAGTGTTAACGACCTTAACGATAATATTCATTAACTAAACCACAACCTCGATGCCATAAGAGATTGGTCGTACAGACATGGTGTTTTAGTTAACCCAACCAAATGCAAAGCAATGGTTATAGGTAGTAGCAGAATGTTAGCTAAGATTAATAACGATAATCTTGCTCCCGTATTTTACAACGGAACGTTGTTGCCATTTTGTAAGTCTGTCAAAAATCTTGGCTTACATATAGACCATACCTTAAGCTGGGGAGTTCAAGTTGCCGAAACAAGCCGTAAAGTAACCGCCACCTTACGTTCTCTTTGTCGTCTCAAAAACTTTCTGCCTTTTAAAACTAAACTTCTGCTAATCCAGACTTTGATATTACCCATTATTGATTATGCGGATGTGTGTTACCCAGATCTATCTCAATATCTTCCCGATAAGTTGGAGCGCCTTCTCAAGAATTGCATTAGATCACCTGACCTCTATATATACAAGTACGCTGGACTGGCTATACCATACAACAATACAAAATGACTGCGCCAATTTGAAGCGCCGCTAAAGGATGTCTTGAAAAATAAAATTGACATAATATGCCAAAGTATGTTGTCTTATTCAAATTATCATATTTAATAAGTCTGTATTTTGAACTTTTACACTAGAAAACGAAAGTATTTTATATTGTTTGATTGTGTATAATATTATACAATTACATAATAAGATTTATATTTATTAATAATGAGAGGGTGCGTTAATCTGTAAAACTCGGTTACCAAAAGGGGAGTGGTATAACATTTCACAAGTAAGTGAATTTGCAGTAAATATTAAACAAAAACTATTTGATAATATAAGTACTCAGAAATTTGTTACTAATCTTAATATCATATATACCAACATGTTTGGCTGTATATTACTGAGTTTTGATAAACAATAAAATTCAATAGGGTTGTCGAGTTCCTTGTCTACAATACTTATCGATGTTCTTTCCTACCCATATCTGTTAACAAACAAAGTCACCAACAACAGATGATTATCAAATATTTATTAATTAACAGGTTTCCAAATGAACCTAGACTAAAATTATGGCTTAAAATCATGAATATTGTGAATTCGCGTCCGAAACAAAATGATCATATTTGTTCCAAACATTTCACAGACGACTGTTTTATTAGACATGAGAACTGCACCACTTTCAAAAAGTGCAGTCTACCGATAATATTTTCTGGTAGTACCAGTACCGAGCACTGACAACTACCAAGTACTAAGTATTAGATTATTATTTCGAATGTTTTTTTTTTATCTCTTCGTTCCTAATTTTCCACCAAACTGAAGGGCCATAGCCGAGTGTCGAAAGGTCGCCTGATGATGTCGAGCCACGTTGGATGTGTGTTATGTGCGGCTGCGGCTAGAGGAGATTTCTCTCCGTTTACCGCTGTAGTCGAGGTGGAGTCGTAAGGGAAGAGGAGTGTTGGTATGGCATCGTAGAAAGTACGAGCAAACATAAATTTTTATATAGTAGAAAATATTTTACTGGTAATAGACAGACCTGTAGTTGATTATAATAGGCGTTATTATAGCAGCTGATTTGTCTTTTATAATACTAAAACAAAATGAACGGTTGACAATAAATTATTCTATAAATTATGTTTTTATTTTGTGTGCTTAGTTAATTGTTAATAACTTTTAGTTGAATGGTTAAGGGCTATAATGGCTATCCGAGTACAGAACCAGAGTACAAAACTAATCTAACTGTAGAGATGTGTAAGACAGGGTGACGTAATATCCCTGAAATACTTTACCGCTGCATTGGAAAACGTTTTTAACCTACTGGACTGGAAAGGATACGGTATTAACGTCAATGTCGTGTACGTCACTCACCTTCGGTTTGCCGACAATATAGTTCTTATGGCACAATCGCTGGAGGACCTACGCACTATGTTCAATGGCCTCAATAGTGTCTCCCAACAGATAGGTCTTTCTAGATGAACATGGACAAAACAAAAGTCATGTGTAATGTCCATGTCACAGCTATGCCGGTGGTTTTTGGGAGCACTTAGCTGAAGTTGTTGATGAGTATTTTTATTAGGACAAATAGTCCGAATAGGTAGGTCCGTCGATTGACCTGGTTAATCGACGGATTCAACTCGGCTGGGCAGCGTTCGGGAGATTACAACACATCTTCTCGTCAGGAATACCTCAAAACTAGATTGTACAACCAATGCGTGTTGCCAGTGATGAAATATGGATCTGAGACGAGGTCTTTCACTGCTGGCCGTATGAGGAAGCTCGAAGTCAAAGCTATGAAGAGGGCTATGCTTAGGGGTTCAAACTTATGAATGAGGATATCTGCAGCAGAACCAGAGTGACCGACATCGCCCAATGGATTAGTAAGCTGAAGTGGCAATTGACCGACCATATAGCTCGAAGAACCGAATACCGATGGGGAAAAAAGGTTCTCGAGTGGCAGCCTCGTACTGGCAGGTGAAATGTAGGACGTTCCCCCACTAGATGAAGTCAAAACCTGGTAAGACATGCAGGAAGTTAATGGCTGCAGGTAGCTCAGGACCGTGCTTTGTGGCATTCCTTGGGGGAGGCCTATGTTCAGCAATGGATTTTTGAAGGGTTTTAATGATGATGAATGATAATGGCATTATATTAATATGATACATAAATAGAATGGGCGTTACGGGTAGAGTCCATCTATCCATAGAGTCCATTCTATTTATTTAGGTACAGGTAGGGTATAGAATTTTTATCGATATAATTTGGTACACTGTCTTATCCCTAGTATTAGTTCCGTGGACGTGCACTTCTGCTGACAGCGCCAAAATGGCGGAAATCAAATCGCTTCAGTATGTCACGGTGTATAGCCAGTCCAGCGTATTTGTATATATAGAGGTTAGTGCATTAGATTCATTTTCGGCTTACGTAAGTATGACCATATTTCCCAGTACCGATCTAAGCTTAAATGGCTCTCTATTCGTCAAAGGCGTAGCTCCCGAACTTTGCAAGTACTACATTCAATTTTAAATGACCCCAATTCTCCCTCGTATCTAAAGGATAACTTTCAATATTTGTATTCTACTAACGATAGAGTTCCCGTTCCCAAAATTGTCTTAAAATTCGTATTCCACCACACAGGAGTGGTTTCTTTAATTCCCCTTTTTACTGTACAGTCTATACTGCTCTGGAATGCCTTGCCTGTTTATATCAAGAAAACTAATAATAACAAGAATTATTTTAAAAGACTAGTTCGAGAGTTCTGTCGTAAGAATAATACCACCTGACTATCCGACTATTGTTTTTTCTCTCTCTTTCACTTTATAAGTAATATTTTGTATAATGTATTTTAATATGTATTGTGTTATTTCATATATTTATTATTTATCCTATATTATATATTAAGTAAGTATGTATATTTTACTAACTATACATCTATTCTATTCATTTGCATTTTATTTTGTTTTATATCCTTATTATTTATTTATGAAGTCATTGATTACACCTGCCACAGTTTCTCAAATCATCCAGGATTGACTGGCAGAGAATGTCATAAGGCGTTAAGTCCGACCTTTATATCTCTTAGTATATAAGGTGTATAATAAAGATTAAATAAATAAATAAATATTTTATTTATTTTGGCTATAATATTTACAAAATATAAATAGTTTCGATTTACTGGTTGTAGGATATGTCTCCTTTACTTAAATTCCATTTCCCGCTGTTCTTTCTACAAATAATGATTGCACAATTTGCCATTTTTAAATAATTTGCATGTAGCGACGCTTGACACGAAAATTGAAAACTATTGATTGTGTTGACATTTATAGGTGTGAATTGACATATTAGTGTATTACACGGGCTCCACCCACTCCCCCGTTCTATTATGTATGTATTATAGTATTCTATGGTTTAAAAGATAATGAAAAATTAAAATAATTCAACACTCGGCTCGGCGCGCGAACGACGCAAAAGACCTAATCACCCGATGACAACTGAGAGAAATCAGCAGTAAACTCTTCTACAAGCGAGGTTAATTCAATAATTTTAACTAGATAGTTAGCAAAATTAATAGAATACTTTTATCTATCGGCATGTGTACGTTATAGAGCGAAGTTAAATTTTATCCCCCTCCCGGATGAGCATCCCGCGCCGCAGAAAGCATCCCAAAGCGAGGTTTTTTCAGTTTAAAAAAAACCGTACACAAGTGTGTAGGTACGAAATGACCCTTGATAAATTTTCTATCAACCTCTTATAAATATGAACATTTTTTATTATTTATCGATTCTTTTAAAAATTTTGTTTTCTCAATCGTCACCCCTCCCGCTCAAAGTGTCCCAAATCGCGGTTTACCCCGAAAACAGTACACGAAACAAGAAAAGTGTGTAGTGTGAGGGGAGAATATATTGTTGCGCGCTATAATTAGCGCCCGTTATATGGCGGGTGATTATTAGCGCCATCTGGTATCAAGCAGCAGAAATAGGAGCGTCAAGATCTTTCTAGAACACTTCCACTAGTGCCATCTAGTGTCGAATAGAAGAACTAAGCTTTCTAGAAAACTCCACACTCGAATTTTCTACATCTAGTCGGTGGGGATCGGTATTTGCTGGAACATTCTAGATGTGTCGGTGGAAAAGGTCTATATAAAGACGTTGAGGGCCGCGACCGGGCCAGTAATGAATTGGCGATTCAAGCGAAGCTTCGGAGCGAAATTAAGTGAAATAAAGTGATCAATGTGATTAATTATTAGTGTGTTTTAAGTTTTAATTGGTGTTCGGTAACTAAAGTGTCAGTTTCGGTAATTAAATCGGCAGTTTTTATTGTCACGAACCCTAAGCTCGTAAATTTGTCAGACGTGGGATCAAATCATGCCGATTTTACCTAAGGAGGAAACGGAAGTCACGCCAGCAGGAGACGGACCAGAGACGATTTGGTGGTGCAACGCCGCAAATGTAACTTAGCTCAATAACGTATATAACCAATTTCTTCTCTACATTGCCATCTAAATTTCTTGAACTAGGTGTCATGTCATGTCGCGCATGCAGCTAGTTCGTTAAATATTACTCATGTTTTAATACCTTTGTTATAAAGACATGTTGAATTGACGCTAAAAGTGTAGGCTGAGAGACAGAATCAATGCCGCCTATTCCTAATCGTCCCCCAGCGCCGTAGCCTGCAAATGTGAAAGGGGATTAGTGCCAGTTTTTTATATAGCGATCATTTATGATTTGATCATAAATAGTCGCTATTAAAAAATAAAATTAAATTAGTGTTGCAAAAAAAACCAAGAACGTCGTTCAATTTTGGAAGTGTTATATAAGAATATACATTATATCAGAAATGTATTAAAATTTTAGTTATTACACATACATGAAGCTACATGGGACTACAGAGAGATGGTCAAAATAAAGCGGCATGACTTCATATAATATCTTCTATGGGTGTTGTAAGAGGCGACTGAGGAAAATTTAAACAAGATGGATAGCAGCTTCTTTCTGATTATAACTTGAAACTGTGAAAGACTGCGGTTATTACCAACCCAAATCCTTCCTATGAGACTATCTATGGGGAGGACTACGTTCAACAGTGGACTTTTATAGGACGTAGTGGATGCACTTTATAAAAATACATTTTCTTTAGTTAATGCAAAACGTCAAAAAAGTAACGTTAAATTGGCCATTTTTAAATATGTTAGTATTTTTTTAAAATGTAAAAAATACCAAGTTTATGTAAAATTTAACACTGACGCCCAGTCTGAGACTACTTGTTTTGTTGGAAAATTGGTTCTAGATTTTTAAGCCCTTCCAAAAATGGCAAACTTGCCATGTTTTAAGGTATTTATTAAGTTATCATAAGTAAACTTGTATAAATATAGTTATATTTTATAAATAATGAAAAGCAACAAAGTGACCTGTGGCGTAGACTTTTCCATCGGGCGTGACGGCGAAGAGCGTCTGCTCGCCGCCGACGAGCTGCACGGGGCTGAGCGCGGCGAGCGCGAGGCAGGGCGCGGGCGAGCGCACCTTGGCGCCGTCCACGCCGCCCAGCTGGCCGCGGTGGTTGTGCCCCCAGCCGTACACCGCGCAACCGCGCGCGCCGCCGCCCCACCACCCCGACCACTCCTCTGCTCGCCTGGTACATTGCGCACGGTATAACCACTATGAGGACTAATAAATTCCCGCCAACCAGATGTCGCTAGTTAAGACCGAGGTGAACTTTTTTTTTACAAAAATCTCATTTCATTGAGAAGTTATTTTTTAATAAAAGTTTATGAGTTTCTAGAGTTTTATATAACCACACAAAACAATGCCTCAGTGGTTTGCTCTTTCATTTTTTGCACATTTTTAACTTCTTTTTAAAATTTTCTACTGATATGAGTATCTGTTGTTTGATTTATTTATTTAATCTAATTAATATAAAATGTAACTAATAGTACAGAAAGGAACATTAACATTACGTTTTTCGAACAAATTAACTTCCCCGCTATGAAGTCTGACTCCACCTCATTTTAATCGGCGCCGCCGTGGTGGCAGAAAAAGTCGTGGATACCCTTATTGTATACATTCTCTTGTGCCAAAATAAGCGTACGGTACGCATATTGTGACCGCACCATTGGAATTATTATTTATGAGTATTGAACACTCAGTTACGCACAATTATTAATATTGGACACTACGTCCGACGATTGGACACTATAACCGTGTAGTGGCGGTGTAAGAATATCCACTACCAGATATCAATCCGTAGGTGTCGTAAGACGCGACAGAGGGTAAATGAAACAAGAGATGAGTAGCAGTATCTTCCTCACAACAACTCAAAATAATAATAAACTGCGGTTGCCAATCCGCTTGTCAAGCGTTGCGACAATGGCAACCCCCCCCCCCGCATGAGGCAATCTATGACGAAGGTCTATATTCAGCAGTTAATTTTTATAGAGATGAAATGGACACTATGTAAAAATAAGACTGCGCCTTAAACCTATTTAGTCGTACACAGTTAGTGGAGCAATGTCTACTGTGCGCAGCCAAGCGTATTATATCGTTTTTTAAGTGTGGTTATAACAACATTGTTAATATTTTTGCGCTATGCTTTCCATTAGATATGACAAAATGGGAAGAATTAAGACACTAAAATATAATTTTACCCTATCAACATTTTCAATATATATAGTAGTCATAAAGTTAAATGACCAATGACGTTCTTCCGTTCTTGGATGATATCATAATAAAATTTATTAAGCTGTAGGATTTGTTTTTCTTTTTAAATAGATAAAGAATGGTCTTATGGCGTCTATCTACATGCTAGACCTATAAATTCTTGCAAAAACAAAAGGAACAGTTAAAATAAACAATTTTTTCTTTAATTTATTTAATACTAGACACTGACGCGCTTGGTACCTGCAAGGGTGTCGATGACACAGTCTCATCTATTATTTTAGCAATTTGATTTAAATTGTAACATGTTTTTTTTAAATATACCACAAAATAATTAAAACGAGAATTCCGTTTTATTTAAATAACTTTAAATATGAATATAGCGAACTCACTTATTGACCCAATGCAGCAACTGCTCATCATGTTGCTTAGTGAACTTGGTGTTATCCTCCCAGGGGTAGGGCGCGTCGCCGGCAGTATCGTCGACGTTGTAGACACCGAGTTCGGCAAGTCGCTTGCGTACGTCCGCGAGGAACGGCACGGGCAGCGGCGCGCGGCGGATCAGCGCGTCCGCGGTGCGCACGCACAGGCAGTAGCGCTTGAACCACGCCCAGCGTGCCGCGTCCGCCCCGCCGCACACGCGCGAGTCCACGCGCAACCCGCACGCGAGCCACGCCAGCTCCTGGATGTTCACGTATTTGTAAACGTTTAAACATTGTTTTGATATAGATAAGTTCCTGAAATTTATTTCTGAACTGTTGGATTTTACTTCCCGTGAACTTGTGATATGTTTTCAAATAGGATTTACTTTGAACAGTAAAAGGCAAATTTCACAGTACAAATGCAACCTGAGCTCGATCTGCATCGGCACCAATGAAATAGTTTTGAAATGTAAATGAAATAGCAATTGATATATTTTAAAATCATCTCAGAAGTGCGACGAGATCTGTGTTTAGCTTTTTATAGAATATAAAAAGAATATAATAGATCGCAACTCAATCTCTACTCTTTTTAAGTAAAAGAAATAAGTTTGTAAATTGTTTTTTTTTAATTAATAATAAAATTTAAAAATGGAAGTGACAAACAATCTTACAGTCCTATCACGACAGGAGTAGCTAAGGGATAAATGCAACCGGCGTAAACAAAGAAGGCTACAGATGTGTTGGCATCTATGAGAACTAAGAAAACAGCAGTGTAAGCACTGTTGTCCGGCCCTGGTCGTAGCCATGGTCCGGAGCGAGACGGAATGGGATGCCGTCACCACCATCTGCGAAGCAGTGATGCTAGCGAAGGAGGTGGCGGAGCGGGAGAAGGAGAGAGCAGCAGCTTTCCTCCCCGGCCGCCGCGGGAGACGCCCCGGGCGTCGGGGGCTACGTCGTGGCCCCCGGCCACCGTAGGCGCGGGCCTGTGGACGGCGAGCAATGGGTAGCTCGCCGTCCGTCCGTCTAACGACGACAGGCCGTGTCGACGGCGCGTTTTGTTCCACGCGCGCCTCAAAGAGCTGTCAGCAGCGTGAAGGGGCCCGCAAGGGCCGACGCCTGCCGGGGCTGCGGGCTGTTCGAAAGAGATACCGCGGCTCCGGAACGTAAGGGCACTGAAGGAACACGGATGGTTTTTAGTCAGTAAAAGTCTGACACTCCCTTACGCTCCACCCAGAGCGAAAGGCGTCATTAGATGATTTTCCATCCGCAAAAAAAAAAGTGTAAGCACTGTTATTTGGCGGTAGAAAGGGGTAAAAGCATAATACCGACCCTAGGTAGACTCCTAGGTAGAAAAGAAATTCTACCACCTTGTGCCACTCCTCACTGATGTGTAGTGATGACCTGGTAAGACATGCAGGAAGTCGATGAATGCAAATAGCTCAGAACCGTGTTTTGAGCATTCCTTGGGAGAGGCATTTTAGGTTCAGATAATGACCGCTGATTTGCAGTGATGTTTGGGATAAAGAATGCAATGTGAAAACTTTTTGAATCTTTGTCTGTCTGTATACCAGATCATAACATGCAAATGTCAGCCAATTTAATTCTCAAAAGCATTTTAGATATTATGTCAGTAATATAATATTATAAGGTCAAAAGTAGATAGATCGTGCGGTTCACCTTGAGGTAGTGCGTGTGCAGCAAGTGCGTGCCGGTGCGCAGCGCGGGCTCCTCGTGCTCATACTGCGCCTGCAGCAGCTGCGGCAGTTGCTGCAGCGCAGGCGGCACCCCCGCCCCCGCGCCCGCTCCCGCGCCTGCATCACCCGCGCCGCCGCACACCACGCCACGAAGCCGCCGCACGCACCACACGCGCGCGCGCCACGCTAAAGCACACATAATCACATACAACAACACAACTTTTTTATATTATATCTAATAATATATAAACATTTACGTTTGTTTGTTCGTATGTTATGAGCTGCCTTACGCTACGCTTGCGATTGCGCTAAAACTTTTTCAACTTCATGCTGGCACTTGTGCGAAGTTTATAGGCATAGTAAAATTAATTTACAGCAGTATCAAATATAGCCATTAGTAGAGATGATATAATTAGAAAGATTAAAACACAAGAGGCACACAAAGATCCAAGCTCCGATGGAATTCCATCATTATTTGTTAAGGCGTGTTGTGAAGAACTTAGTTTGCCGTTATTTATAATTTTAATAAGTCTATTAAGAGCGGCATATTTCCCTCTGTTTGGAAAAACGCCCATGTAATTTCAATTCGTAATTCTGGTGATAAAGCAAAATGTGAAAACTATAGGCCAATTACTATTTTCTACTGTATGGCAAAAATTTTTGAATCGCTGGCTTATGACCATATTTACAACCACGTGCAAAGCATATCAAACTTACAACATGGTTTTGTCACTGGTAGATCAACTGTTAGTCACCTACTTGTGAACAAAAATTACATCTGTCAAACGTTTGCTACCCAACGCCAAGTAGACTCAATTTATACTGACTTTTCAAAGGCGTTTGACAAAATCAATCATAGAATACTTTCGGCTAAATTAGCAGCATACGGGATACATGGCAATTTGTTGCGTTGCAAAATTTATATCTTTCTAAACGTATTCAGATCGTTGCAATAAAAGGTTTCCTCTCCAAACCAGTACGTGTAACATCCGGGGTTCCTCAAGGGTCCCATATCGGCCCTCTGTTGTTTATTTTATTTATTAATGACTTGGTAGACCATATCACAAGTGAAAGTTTACTATATGCAGACGACATGAAAGTTTTTAGCATAATCAATGATGTTAATAATTGCCTCTTGTTGCAATGCGACTGTAACAATATTCATACCTGGTGATCTCATAGTAAAATGTATTTGAATGTACCTAAATATTTTTTTGTAACTTTCACAACTAAGAAAACTAGTTTACAGCATACATAGCATATAAATGATCAACTTTTGTCTGAAAGTAATGTTACTAAAGACTTAAGCGTTATCTTTGACTCTAAACTAGATTTTAAGCAACCCTTTAGTCACTTAACGCAACGTGGTTAACAGTTAGTTGGTTTTATTACACGATTTATGAAGGAATTCAAGAGACCCCTTAGTCTAAAAAAGATATATTATCTTTTTAACACTCTTGTGACACCGATCCTTAAATACGCCTCAGTAGTCTGGTCACTCTATTACAAAGTACATATAGTTAATATTGAACGAATCCAGTTAGATGTTTTCTGCGGGGTCTATGTTGTAAACATGGATCAATCCGCCAGTTGCCATCGTAGAATGAAAGAGTGAATTACTTTGGAGTTACGAAATTAGATAAACGTAGACAATATTCTGAGCTTATTTACCTCCACAAAATCGTTCACTTCTCTATCGATTGCCCGGAACTGCTTAATTTGATTAATTTCAACAATCGATCCCGTCTGTGTAACCCGCGTATCTTTCGCCTTGATGTTTACAGAAACAACACGTCTTTCTTTAATCCGGTCATTAGAATGTGTCGAAATTTGACGAGCTGGGACATCATAACGCTGATATGGACATTTTTAATTCTAACACTTCACAATTTATAAGATCTGTAAATGGTGCGTTAAAAATCTAAATGTATACTTGTATCATTAAGGAAATTGTAAATATTTGAAATTTTTATTTAAAAAATTGTGAATGTTTGCAGTTCACATGCGGTAGAAGTGAAACCTACAGATGGAATGAAATATAAAATATAAATAAAAATATACAATATTTAATATACCAATATTAACACCAACAGCAATAGCACCATCTACTTCATTTTATATGTAAAGTCATTTTATCTAACTAAAATTGATCGATTCTCAAGGTGGTAAGTAAAATAGACGCTAGACCATGGAGGTTAGAGAACAGGAGAACGATCGCTGCGTGTTAAAGCATAGCCCGTCTGTCCCTGAAAATTTGTAGAATTTATAGCCGCGCTGCCGTCGGTAAGTAGTCTCTGCGAAGTAATTTTTTCATTTTTGGCAAAAAGAAACATTAAAAAAATGGTGATATATTATAAAAAATAATATTAATACTAATAAATAATAATTTATATTTGTAATAACTTTTAATATTTATAATAATTAAAATTACGGAGACAACTTAGCGATCGCAGCGCCTCACTTATTTCGTCCATATTTCTGGGACACTATTTTCTACAGCGTTCGCTGTCTTGTTGTCTAACCTACATGCGCTAGACGGCCGTAACACGACTTATTAAATATAGTATTGTATCTTATTCTCTCGCAGGACACCGTAAATCCCATAGACGTATAAGTTTCTCTTATTTTACTGTCGCTTTTTTGTTTCATCGAGTTCCAATTCACAACGATTCTAAAGAAGTTTTCACTTCAAAAATTGATAAAATATCTGATCTTTATAAATCGACAAATTGCCTCATTTATGCGTATCATTACATATATTAAAAATGTAAATTGCAGATGTCTGCACATTTTATATTTTTGTAACAAAATTGATTGAGAGGGACTAAAAATAAGTAATTGAATACATTTCTATAATTTTCAGAGTTGTTGGTCTGTCGGCCTGTCTGTCTGTCTGTTTGTTTTTTAAAGTATCATGTGTAAAGTAATGATTTATAATATATCAAAATAATCGTTAGGAAAATTGTGAAGCGTATCTTCTTTTTAAATATAGTCTTTGTTTTATTAAAATCGGTTCATCTTATCAAAAGTTATGAATAATATTCTGAAGTATGGGTACGAAATATAAGAAAGAATTTGTTCAATGGTAGAGTTGAGTGATCAAGAACATTTTTGTAATTAAATAATGTAAAATAATGTTGTATAACGATATAATCGTATCTAAACGCAGTAAGCAAAAACAATACAGAATAACGAAATAAATATTTAAAAAAATATATAAATTCTAATATATTAGCTAAAAAAGTACAATAGTTAAACAATGTCATCGACAGATGGCGTTGCAAATTATTTATTAAATTTTAAGTAGGTGTGCTTATAATTTTTTTCTTATAATTTGGTGAGAATACGATTTTTTATAAGACTGGGCCCTTAACGTGCTTTTTGAGGCATAGGGACGAAACACTGACTAACTTTTGCCTCGGGGCTGCTACTGTGAATTTCTTAATAGAAAACCTATTATTACTTAAAAGACAAAAAACTTTCTAGTTTTTTTGTCTTTTAAGTAATTGTTTTATTTTTGACGTGACAACGTCTAATAAATCGATGAACACCGGCTACATGCACGAAAAAGGATGACTCATTGTCCCGTTACGCTCCAGCCGAGCCGAGCACGATCGGAGCGAGAGCGCGGCACGAACGAGCGAAAGGCACAATCGGTTATTTTATTCATAAAAGTGTGCAATAACTTCATCAATGGGTGCGTTTGGCAGAAAAAAGCGCTAGCAAGCGCTTATAAGCGCTAAAATAGTTTTCGGCCAGGACACGATTGCTACTTCAGTAGCGCTGACACAATCCGCCATTTTGCTTATTTAATTTGTTTGTTTTGAAGTAGAGTTTATAAGTTGTTTTGTGCAATATTAGTTTTAAGTAATATAGTGACATGAATAAATATATACATGCTATTAAAAACTCATGATAGGTAAGTTTTTAATATGAATACTTTACAAACATATATTTAAATTAGGTTAGATTCCCCGCTTAAAACTAACATCGTGTCCTGGAGGAAAATAGCTACTTACGATTTGACAGCGCTTACCGCTTACGAACGCCATTTTGCTTACAAGCGCTTGCTAGCGCTTTTTTCTGCCAAACGCACCCAATGTTTTGTTATGACGTTGTTACGTTAAACTATCGTCCGTAAACCAACTTTACAGACAACCATTTTTCATTTGTTTGCAGGATGAAACAAAATATAGGTACTTACGCAATTTCATTTATTTTGTTAGTATAGGTACTAAGTTTTAGGTAGGTATTGGATTGTAGTTTTCATTTCAAATTTTTTATTCAATATCAATAATTAGTGATGGTGCTTGCTTATTTAGGGCAATATTTTATTTTTTGTATGGAAACCAAGTATTGGCTAAAGAAATTCGGGAGCAAATTAAGAATTACGTTATTGCGGTCATTTTGTTGTTTATTTACAAAATAAAACACAAGCGTACAGTTTGCCCTATTCGTTTGTGGGTCCATTTATTTATTCGTTTGTTTGTTTGTCTGATTGACCGACTAACTGAATGTTTTATTCAGATTGGTGTCTTTCTTTGTCTTCGCGACCGTTTAATTTACAAATAAATCATCATCACTTAGAATAGCAAAAGTACTGATTCCACGCGAACGAAGTCGCGGATACAGCTAGTCCTACATATAATTAAAGAGGTGTTTGCGTAGAAGAGGCAGTTCGTAAATCTTTAAGTAAATAATTTTTCTGTGCGTGTTTATGTGACTGAACTCTTTCTAAACGACTGGGTTGATTTTTATTGAAATTTTGTATGTGTTATTAAGTTGATTCAAAAATGGTTTAGATTTACATTTGGACCCGGTAGGTTGTCGAGATACAGAAATCACCTGTGAACATAAGTAATAAATTACATTAATAAATACTTACAAAGAGTTGGCATCTGAGCACATATAGCGAGTGCTTGTGCAAGTCTTGGGGCCAGTTGATGGTCGTTAGAAATAGCCGTCAGCAAAGGACCGTCTAGTAAACGCCATGCCAATTCAACCGATGGACAGGACAAAACGTAGCGGTCAGATCCGCTTTCCTAGAGGATAAAATTAAAGTATTAAAGTCAACCAAATCTAAGAAATACCTTTTGACGTTTCACATTAATCATTCCGCAATAACTTTGCACAAGCGTACTCACACGATTTAAAATAACCTTTTACGTAAATCCGAAGAATTATGAAGTTATCTATTTCATTAAAACGTGTATAGTTTTTTTAATTTATTTATACTTGAATTTTTTCAACAAAGCAAAATATTAAAAAATAACCAGTATTAACTTTTTTACTTGACGTCGTTTCAATGACATGTCGCTATGTATATTACCGTAGTGTTTGGATGATTAAAAATCTGAAAAATATTCAAATAATCGGTAAAAATATTCTAATAATCGAATCATTGATTTCTTTAGCATATTATTTGTTTTATTTAATTTTTATTTTCAAAATTCCTTAAATTACATGAATCATAAAAAAAAGTTTATTTTTTTCACTTTCTCAAAGTAAATTTATGTAGGAAAAAACTCTTATACAAGGCCGTGCTAAAATAACCACTACATAATTTCAATATCCCGCCATTTCGGTACCAGTTACTCGACTCCACAGAATCAGTAATTCATTTTTGAGGCGATGTATACGCTTTCATAACAAAATGCCAGAAAATATACAAAATTTGACGTAAGTATACAAAGTTCAAAAACTATTAAACTAAGTTTGTATAAAAAGGGTTATATTAATATAGAGGAATTTTTTGGAAGCTATTTTTAATGTATTTTGTGTTGTTAATTGTAACATACATGATTGTAAACTCTTTTTTTTAAACTAGTCCCGTTGGGTTTCTTGGTGGTTCTTCTCAGGTCAGAGGTTTTTTTTGCGAACCAGTGGTAAATGAAAAAAGTGACTTTCAATAAGTATTACTTATAATCTATATTGAATAAAAAAGTTTTTGTTTCTGTTTCGAGAGCTTACTGTGCGTAATTATGTAATTTTGTGTTTGCCTTCTTATTTTGTTACTCGGCTTTAACTTTTTGGACTGTTCCTTCTATAATAAATTTTTGTAAGTGTTAGAGCCACGCTACATCTATATTATAGTTGTAGCACGAATGGGTCGGCTCAACCAGGGCAGGACCGCGTTCTCACAGAATACCAGCGTAAAATAGCAGCGTAATGGTGATGTGTTTCATATGGTAAGTGTAGAGGACCGGAGACCCTTTTTACTGGAATCGAGGCATTCCATCTTAGTCCTCAGGGGTGACAATGCATTTGCATTTTGATTCTTAATTGAGGCTAAATGTTGGGCCATAGCATCCACTTACCATCAAGTGGACTGTGTGCTCGTTTGTCACCCAATGCTATAAAAAATTCGTTGAAGCATGTGCCCATGTCACAAAGGATGATTGGGCAAAAGTGGTAGAAAAAATAAAAATGTTATGGATGACTTTGAAAGAGACATTAATTTTGACTGCATTATTGAAAATCTAATAATAATTAATATATACAAGGACATCCCTACTATTTGTACTGAAAGTGATTGAATAAATTTATTTTTAATCTAGTTTCAATCTTAAATTTTTATAACAGTGCCTCTAGAAATAAGCAGTAACAACAAATACGAAGAAACTGATAAATCTCGTGTTACAAATTATCCGTTTTTAATTTAATCTAGTATTATTCAAAATAAACTGTAATTGATTACCAACTCCAAATAAACGATATCGATTTTTTTTAAGAATCGAATATTGTACGTTCCCATTTTTTGGTTGGCATGCTTGGTGCAATAAGTCTGACAGCTGTCAAAATGTATTTCTTAGATTTGGTTGATTATAGGTTAAGTAAATAATAATGGAAAATGAAGGATAAACATATAATTTTTAATATGAAATTAAGGTTAAATATAATTTCATGATCTTTAAAAAAGTTTGTTTTTTGAGTACATAGTAAGTTAGTATTTAAGTAAAGCTCAATACAAATTACAATTGCATGCGAGACAATTACCTAGGTTTTACAAAAGTGCCTAAGCATCAAAGTTCGATTTAGAATGCCGTTATTGGAAAATAGCGTGAGAAAATTAGCAAGATGAAGAAACAAACATGTTAGAGGTTGGGAGTCGGACAGGTGATTAGAGCTGAAGTAACAGACTAGGCCTCTCTTCATTACTCTATCAATGATGAATAGAAGATGAATGTGAATAGAAGCTCCTTGTAAATTTCACAGTACGCAAGCAACCCGGGTTTGATCCCCGCCGACACTAATGAAATTATTATTTATTAAGTGCTGATTTACCACGTGCTCTGGGGTGAAGGAAAACATCGTGAGGAAACCTGCATGTCTAAACAATAAAAAATATATTTCGAAGACATGTGAAGTCCGTTAACACGCAGTGGGGCAGCGCGGCGGACACTTCTTTGCCCTGAAATCTTCTCAGAAATGAGAGGCCTATGCCCAGCAGTGGGACGATAGGCTGTTACTTTACTTAATAAATAGAAGCCATCCCATGAATGGGACATCAGTAGACTGGTTTTTGTACTACCATCGACATAATATTTAAGTCACATTCAATTGTTTTATAAAAGGCAATATGTATATTAAATTAAAAAAAGAAATAGCGTGTCGTCTTCATATTTGTTATTTTGATTATCTCCTAGTAGCCACTAAGTAGGTATAGTACAGTAAGTAGTTACATTATATTATATCAATAAGCATTTTTTATTAAATTAGACATACAGTCCACCTTTTTCATATAAAGCAGTGCAAGCAGAAATAGGTAAGAGGACCCACCCAGACACTCTTATAGCCGATTAACACATCGACAAGTACAGTAGAGAGTTCAGTTCCCGGGCAGTCGACAGTAAACGGTTAAGTGGACAGTAGCGTTCAAATGTATTCGTAGTGAGTTTAGTTAAAAAAGTACAATTTTATATTTTGAGGGTCGAATGCGAACACGTTACGTCCTGTAAACTTATGCACTGAAATAAACTCGCTCGTTTACACGAGCGGCGAATTTAATTGCGGGTGGCGGGAGACGCGCAGGAGGGCAGCACTTCTAACTTAACATGCCGAAAAATAGACCGGCCGGCTATCCCGTTCAAATTAATTGTTAATTTGCTACTTAACTCACTAATTGCCGTTCAAACGAGATTTGCTGCTTAACTCACCAGGTTCGCAAGTTAACTCGCTACTGCACTTGTCGAAGTGTAAATCGGCCTTTAGAAAGTAAACAAGTTCTACCAACTAATTGACGATAGTTTGATTCCTACATGCCATAATTCATCCACCACCAACATATTGCCACAAAAAAAATAGTTACCGCAACTGAATGAGCCGGAAGTATTGGATATACAGTGAACCTCCAACCCCAACCGGTTACTGAACCGTCGCTCGTGAACCTCCACCGTAATTCATCGCCTGTTGTAAAATTAATAATTATTATTGTTAATATAATTTTATGCCTTGTGTATAATTCCATTAAAAATATGTTAAAGCATATTTATAAAAATCTATGTTAGTGAACCTCAGAAAAAATGGGTCAACAGCCTAATTACGATTCTAAAAATGACTTATGTTCTAAGGGCAAACGAACTCATCATCATCATCATTACAAGTCCACTGCTGAACATAGGCCTTCCCTAAGGAATGCCACAAAGCACGGTCATGAGCCACTTGCATCCATCGATTTCCTGCATGTCTTACCTGGGGCAAGGCAATTATTATAAGCAAAATCATGTAATGGCGTACATGGGATGAGAGAATTACAGAGAATTACATTATAGGGATGTTTTAAATCAAGAGGGTTATAAACTATTTTCAAAAGTAACTTTTTGAACTGAGTAAAATATTTTAAACAGTTCTTACCATTAACTATAATTTCCTGTGCCCAGTCTGCAGGTTCACGGCCGGATCGCGTGGCCAACACGCGCCCCGCTGCGTCCGATATCGTCAGTGGATCGTTGCGTCGCTCCGTGGAGCAGCCCTGCTCAAACGTCACACGGAGAGACGACGCGCCCGGGATTTTCACAACTCCTGTATGCGATAGCTTATAGATAATAAAAAGAAATTAAATCATTAACCTATAAAACGGATCGGATCTATTTTTGATGGAATAACTTTTAGATAAAAATTGTATAACACAAAGCGCTTCATCAATCATTAAAAACTTTAGATTTACCAAAACTAACATATTGTTACGCGCTCAAGTCGACGGCACTAGCGCCATCTAGTCTCGAACCGAAGAACTAAACTTCTTGAAATTGAAACACGAACTCTCGGTACCTTGTGCGTGTTTACTTGAATATTCTGGATATTTCGCTGCTAATTTATATAAATAGGCGCTGCAAGATGCGATCGAGGAAGTATTGGATTCGGCGAGACAAGCGAAGCTTCGGAGCGGAATAAAGTGAATCAGTGTGATTAATTATTAGTGTTTTTAACTTTAATTAGTGTAAAGTGAATTAAAGTGTTAATTTAGGTAATTCTATCGGCAATTTTTATTGTCACGAACCTCAAGCTCGTAACAATATATTCAATTGCAAAAAGCAGTTTTACTTAATACTTGTAGAATAGTTAGAAAATTTATCTCTACAGAAAACTACCCATAATCAAACAAGTTCATGGTATCCACTTGGCTTTGTCCCGTGGTAATAATCATTAATCCAGTTTTGTTAAAACAAACTGAGAAAACGTAGAAAATATAAATAACAATAATAATATTATATTAAATAATAATAATAGTCTTTTATTCCTAAACATAGGGTTACAAGAAGTCCCTAACTTCGGTGTGCCTTTTGGCATAGGCCTCCTCCAATTCCTTCCGATGGTTCCTGTCCCTTGCTGCTCTCAGCCAGAATGGTCCCGCTGTCTGTTTCAAGTCGTCTTCCCATCTTCTGACTTGATGACCCCTGCCTCTTTTGCCATCTCTTGGTTGCCAGAGAGTGACTTGCTTGCTCCATTTGTCAATGTGGTGGCGTAGCAAATGTCCAGCCCATCTCCATTTTCGGACGTCTATCCGGGTAAGAATGCCTGTGAGTTTTGTTCTTGTTCTAATGTCTACGTTCCTGACTCTGTCTTTGATTTTTAACCCTAGCATGCTTCTTTCCATGGCACGTTGGCATTTTGTTAGCCTTTCCCTATGGTGAAGTGTTGTTGACCAAGTTTCACAGCCATAAGTAAGAACTGGTAGAATGCAGGTCTCGAATGTTTTCTTTTTTATGTGATTTCCTAGATCCTTACTTTTCACTATTTCCTTCAGTGACCAGTATTTTCTCTATCCTTGGGCTATTCGTCTGTTTATTTCTTTTGTCATTTCATCTGAAGGGGATATTATCTGTCCTAAGTAAATATATTCTTTGAGATATTATATCTTTCTTTTTGCCATCTACCATAACGTCTATTTCCCTTGAGTTTGACATTAATTTTGTTTTACTGGCATTGATTTCCAGACCAACTTCCGTACTTATATTTGCTAGGCTCTGCATCATTTGTTCTATTGCTGCTGGATTCTCTTCAAGGAGCACCGGATCATCAGCAAATCTTAGATGGTTTAGGCGAGCTCCATTAATGTTCAGAGACCTAGGTGGTCCCAGTTTAGCTGTCTAAAGATGTGCTCGAGTACGGCGTTAAATAGTGCAGGTGAGAGAGGATCGCCTTGGCGCACGCCCTTTTTGATAGGAAATGGTTCTCCTGTTGATTCTAGTTTAATACTGGCCTTGCTCGATTTGTATATACTCTTAAGTATTTCTATATAGTTGCTCTGGACCCCTTGTTGTTCAAGGCTCCGCCATATGTATTGGTGCCTGAGGCTGTCGAATGTCTTTGAGTAATCTATAAACGCCAGGTAGATTTGTTTATTGTATTCGTTATACTTCTGTATCAAATGTTTTATTGTGTGAATGTGATCTATTGTGCTGAAGTCTTTTCTGAATCCTGCCTGCTCTACGGGTTGGCTTTCGTTGAGTGTTCTTTCCAGGATCACTTTAGCAAATACTTTATATATATATTTGAGAGAAATCGGCCTATAGTTCCCAATCTCGTCTCTGTGGCCTTTTTTATGTAGTAGAATTATGTGACACTCGGTCCATTCTTCTGGAATTTGCCTTGTTTGTAAGATTTCATTGAAAAGTTTTACCAGCACGGGACTGATATCCTCCAAGGATCCCTTGAGCATTTCATTAGATATCTTGTCCGGCCCTGGGGCTTTCTCGAGTTTTTGGGATTTTATTGCCTTGATTACCTCATATGTAAGGATTTCTGGCACTTCATCCACTTTGTTTTCTTTTACTTCGGTTACCTCCGGAATTGTGGCCATCCTTGAATCGAAATTATCAGAATACAATAGGCGGTAATAGTCCGTAGCTAGTTTTTGTATTGAGAGTCGATTAGTTAAGTAAGATACGCGTTGCTTTAGTTTCGCTATCCATTCTTTCCCATGTTCGCTTAGTTGTTTCATAGCCTTTTTTGTTCCTCCTGTTCTTTTTATATTTTCTTCCAAAACTCTATTTCTTTTCTCCTTACGGTCTTTCCTCATATTCTCCTTAATTTCCTTGCTAAGGGTTGCAATTTTTTGGCGTCTTTCTTTGTCCTCTTTAATTTTATATTAATGTTCTTCTTTCGTCTAATAGTTCTAGTGTCTTTTTACTTAAATAGCTTTCTTTGCTTCTGGGTTTGCTGACTAGCATCTCTTTCAATTTGTTTTGTAATCTCCTGTATTTAGTCCCAGTTTCTGCGTCGGAGGTAATAATTTCATTGAGTGATTCTGTTGTGCGAGTATTATTGGAATCATTGCATTCTGATATTTGATACAGCTTATTATTGTTTACTAGGCTTTTCCTGGATATTTTGGATTGGTTTAGGTTTAGGCAGCTTCTTACCACACGGTGGTCTGTGTTAAAATTGAGGTTTTTAACTATGTTGGTATCTGTGAACGCACTTGCTTTGTTGGTTATAATAAAGTCAATTTTAGTTTTGAATTTTGCACTTGACGGGGAGGGACACGTCCATTTGCTTTTTGTTTTTTTTTTTTGTTAAAACATGTGTTCATTAAAATAAGGTTATTTTCCATCATGAATTCTACTAATTTCTGTCCATTTTGGCTTCTTTTGCCATGGCCAAACTTCCCGATTGAGGATTCTTCTCCAGTTTGCCTTTCTCCAACCTGTGCGTTGGGCGACTTCCATGATTATTATGTTGTTGTTGTAACGCGGTTTTATTGCTTCTGAGATACTCTCATAGAAATATTCTATTTCTGATTTCCCTGCTTGTTCTGTTGGGGCGTATATTTGAAAGATGGCCCAGTTTTTCTTGTACCCCGGAAATTTTAAATGAACTACAGCAATTCTGTCAGAAACTCCTTCAAATCCCATAATGTTCTTCTTCAGTTTAGACTTTTTGAGGAAACCTATTCCTTTTTGTCCGGTGTATTCTCCTTTGTGAAACATGATATAGTCGTTCCTCTCTTCTATCTCTTCTCCTGGCCTTCTCATCTCGCTGATGCCAATTATGTCCCATTTTATGTTAGATATGGCTATTTCTAGTTCTTTTAGGCTTTCTTCTGTTCTTAGTGTCCGAGTATTCAGTGTGCAGACATTTATATGTTCAGTGATCTTTTTACCTTGTTCTATCTGTATTGTTTTCTTATTAAATATGTTTGCTTTAGGGTGTTTCGAAATATAATGTTTTAATTTAGATGGAGGGTGTTTGTCTTCTTCCCCCACGGTGACAAGCCGGCTTGGGATGCAATTTGTGAATATTGTGTTTGGTAATGTGTTTGTTAGGGTTGTTTGGATCCGGGTGTCGCTTATTAGTTTTTTGAGAGATTTGATAATGAAGCTGATCTCCCACGCTCTACATAGTTCAGTATATTTGGTCTGATGATATCCTTTGTCGCAGTTTTAGAGGGGGCGTTGTTCAAGGTGGTCAATGTACTTTCGGTGCTACCTGCATTGACTTTCTTTTGTGATGGTATTTTCGGTGATCTTGAAGTCTCTCTTTTCCTTTTTTCTCTGTTGCTTTCGTGTGTTTTCCTTTTTATCAGTTTGTAGTATTTTATGTAGGCTATGTTCCCTTTTTTCTTTTCCTCTTCAACTTGCAGCTGCAGTTGTTTACGTTTTCCTATTATTTCTTTAGGGTAATCCTCTTTGATATTTACACCTTTTTGCAGGTTAGCTCTGTTTCGCAGAATCATATGTATTTTTCATGTAGTTGTGAGTGAGACTACAACTGGACGATTTTTATCCAGCTCTTTTTTTACCGATTCTGTAAACATTATTAATTTCGAAGACTTCTAAGTATACTCCCATTTCTATTATAATGTCTTTTATGTAGTCTACTAGCTCTGGTTCTGTTGTTGCTTTTCCTTCCTCGATGCCAAAAAAGACAAGGTTATTTTTGCGCTTATCCTTATCAACGAATTTAAGTTTTAACTCTAGCTCGCTTACTTTATTTTTGAGTTGGGCGTTTTCTTCGGTGACCACTTTAAGCTTTTCGTCTAGTGCTGCCATGACATTTTGTGTTACTGAAGTTGTTATAAGTTTAGTTTGTTGGTCTAACTTTTCGTCTAATTTTGCCAATAGGATTTCCATACTTTTTTCCATTTTTGGTATTTTTATATTGCTATGGCAACACTTGATTCACTGTGGCAACACTCGTTTCGTGTTGGCAACACTTATTTTCTATGGCAACACTTGTTTTGCTATGGCAACACTAGTTTTGCTGTTTGTTATGTTGGTACTGTAGTTTCCACTCTATAGTCTATGTTCAATTTGCATCAGCTGACTCTTGACGGTATTTTTGTAGGTTAGAATGATTACAGAATTTAGGCACGTTGGGCACTTTTGGGATGGTGAAAAATCATTGCAGTGACCGTCACGTTCAGATACATATTTACAGATTTATATATATATATATATATATATATATATAACGGAAATTTCATTAGTACATTAATAGGTTGATTAAATAAACTTCTAATACAAAATACTTCCTAAAAATTTTTTCTTAACAACCCCAAAATAATGTTTACAAGTATGCGAAGCTAAAAAGTTTTCATTCAGACGAGCAGTCCTACGACTGACAGTTTTTTTTTTTCAAAATTAAGGTTTACCTTAAAAATTAAATATATCTATTAAGCGTTTTTATATAGTTAGGATGACTAACGAGCACACAGCCCATCTGAGTTGTAGGTGTTTGAGCCGATCCATTCGTGTTAAAACCATAATAAAGCTGCAGCATGCTCTACCACATATGTAGCTCCTTCATTTATCTATTATTAGTCGTAGGTAGTCTCGTGTGTAATGCGACGCCCCCGCTTACTCACCGCTTGAGCCCTTGTTTGTACAGCAAGCGTTTGTTAGTCTCTTACATTACCTTACAATCTCGAAGACGTCGCGCTCCGGACTCAAGTCTCACGTTATTATACACGAGTAGTACAACCCCAGTCAGCCGGGTTATAACGAAAGATGTATGTGCGTCTGTTTTAAAGACAGGCGTATCGCGTGCGACGTATAGCTGCGGAGTACGCACCGGATATGTTGGTGGTAGTCCACGTAAGGGTGCGGGCTGTCGACGGTGGTGGGCAGGGGAGGCGCGCGGCCTGCGCCGGCCGCCGCCTGCTCCAGTTCGCACACGTACACCTCCATCTGCGCAGTACGTACCGGATATGTCGGTGTCGTCCGCGTAAGGGTGCGGGCTGTCGACGGTGGTGGGCAGCGGCGGCGCGCGGCCCGCGCCGGCCGCCGCCTCCTCCAGCTCGCACACGCACACCTCCACCACCATGTCCGCCACCGCCGGCTTGCTTCCGCACAGCGCTGCAGTTCCCCAATCATATTTTTATAAAAACACCATATTATGGTATTCGCCGCATAACTGTTACATGTAAGAGAATTTACTATCCAATACATTTTTTTTGTTTACTCCTTAACAAAGAAGTTGCAAGGACGGACTGCTTTTAGGCATTCTCTCTCAATCAACTTTGGGCGTGGTGAGATGGTATGATAGGTTCATTAATTTCATGGGTGTCGTATAAGGTTACAGTAAGAAATTAAAACAGGAGATTGGCAGCAGCATCTTCCTGAAATTATTCAAAATAATTAAAAACTGCGATTGCCAAACACACCTGCCAAGTATCGTAACTGTTGCATATAATCCCTCATGAGGCAATCTATGGAGGAGGCCTATGTTCAACAGTAGCCTGTAATCATATGTGATAATGATGATGATGATTGATCATACTACAATGTGAATTTGCCACTTTCAGTAATCTTAAAACTTTGTCGATTTTCCAACATAAGATTAAATTAAGATTTTTTTTTAATATTTAAAAATATACAAATAAGATGATAATTTGACTATTAAATATTCCAAACCTTTTATACAGCACTTTGATGCAATAAAGAATAAAATAATTATGATGATGAGCTACTTGATCGATTTAGACTACAGTGAAAGCTTTCAAAAATATCAGCTTAATCCTCTAGCGGTCTCACGAGACCGCGGCCATATTCCGTCAAATCCCTAGCGGTCTCATAATACCGCACCCACCCACAGCACTATAACCCATAAAAACTTATATTTAAAGACTACGAATCAGATACGAATCAATATGAAATTTTCTATCTTCTAGTTGAATAAAAATTCAGTTAGTCTATAGATATTTATTTATATATGTAATTTTAATGTATATTTATATCTACCGTAAAATTGCGCCATTTTCGTATGGTCGGCAAATGTCGTAAATTGACAGGAGAATAAAAATAAAATACATAGAGTGACTGACTTTTGTTTAGACCACAGGATAAAGAATTTCGTATAGATTCTATAATGAAATACTTCTTTATAGAAAAGTAGTCTATAAATATATGTTTTAATGCTTTAAAGTGCTGTGAGTGAGTGCGATCGCATGCCACCGTTCGGAATTTGACGGACGCTTGCGACGGCATGGGAATTTTAAGAGGATTGAGGGAATATTATTATAAACTGCACAGGACACAAAAAAAGAAAATAGAGGCATATACTCGTTCCAATCCAATATGATGATTATAACCTCGTACAGATTTTGAGCATGGAAATAACTTTCAAATATTATCGAAAGCTTTCATCATTACTAGTAGTAATAGTTATAGAATATTACCCATCAAAACGTCAGTGATAACTTTCACTGCGTTATTAGCATCGGGCACTCGGCCGGCTGCAGCAAGCTTCAATAAATCCACTAAAGCTCTCGCGTCTGATTCGCCCAGTTGAGATGTGAAGTCGTCCAGTACCAACTATAATAGATAAACAAAAACAAAAATTACAAAATACCAAATATAATTACGCATCAAAAACAATTTTTTTTTAAATATATAGACTTACTTTAGGTGCCTCCGCCTGTTGCACGGTCATCGTCGCAGCGGCGACCGACACCGCACTAGACGACATTACGGCAGAATGACGTGACGAGATAGAGCCGCTAAGCGGACTGCTCGCACCGCTCTAACCATAAAAGAAGCTATCAATAATTATTAATTTAAATATATAAAACGTCTACAAAAAAGTATATGTGCAGTTACACGCGGTAAAACCTTCAGAAAAGGAGACCAATATAATAAAAAAAACACTGTATACCGTATTTTTCTCATTCTCTCACTGAATAAATTCTATTGATGTATGTTTGTCTAGATAGAGATTGTATAGAGTTTAAAATAACAACGATTCTAAAGAAGTTTTCACTTCAATAATCATGAAACCAGCAGTGCTATTATATTAAAAAACTCACTACGAACCTGCGTTGCCTTTATAATAATTTAGTGACCGAAAACAAAAATTAATATACAAAATATCGGGACGCTATCTTTTTTAAAGTAGATAAAAATGAATTCTATTCAATGACAACGAGAACTAAATATGAAGTATAAACATACGGGGAGTGTAGCTCTGTCGGCGGGCGCCTCGCCGCCACCTGTGCGCGCGTCGGTCTCCGTGTCGTCGTCCTCTGCGTCCAGACTGGCAGACACCGGCACCGTAGAGCACGCTTCATGCGCACGAAGTGCCTCCACCAGAAAACTGCGTGCCTGGTAAAGCAAACATTTGATACATTTTTAATAAATTATTAAAACATGTTTTATGTATTACTATTTTCATACATTAAATCATTCATTGTTACAGCCATGGCAGGCGGTTTGACCGCCACAGTTTTTATTTTTTAATTGTTATTATGAAAACGCTGTTACATCTCCTGATTTGTTTCCCTGTAATCGCCTCTTACGGCACAACCCAAACACTCATGTTATAACATGGGATAGTGGATATTCTTACACTACGCGGTACACGCAGTACATTCATTAATTGCAGCTTATAAATGTCTAGCTAGTACATATTTGCAACAGTTGCCACGCTTGATAGGCGTTTTCTTATGAATGTATATATTATTATTTATTATTTATATTATTTTGAATTTTAATGAGGAAGCAGCTGCATTCATTACTGTTTTATTTCCCTCTTTCGCCTCTTACGATTCCCACGGGATAATATGGGGTAGGTAGCGACTGTATTCTCTTATGCCGCCACTACACGGCGATTTAAATTTTAAGTACAAAATATTGTATTGCGTTTATATACATAAAATTCACATGGACAAACATCCAGACCAGGTATCAGGTATTACTAATCTCATAATATTTTTGGCTGTTCCATGGTTCGAATGCGGGGATAAGCCAAAATCAGTTATTGGGTTGTTTTGTTATGAAATTCTCAGCAGCGGACAGAAACGAGAACAGGCCCTTACCTCGCGAGTAGAGTCATTGGTTCTGCGCTTAATCTCTCTCCTGACATATCGGATTAATGTGCCATCTGCCTGTGATAGACAGGGAATAGAATGCACTATGGTTCCGCGTACACTCTGGCACTATAATCATGTCCTGCACAAACGGCTAGTCTCCATTTAGACTTGCCGCCTTAACCGATCGATCGATCTGAAGTAGATTATAATATTTTTACTGACCTGTGTTATGTGTAAGGCTAATAATAACAAAGACAGTGCATGTTGGACGGCAACGGGAGGCTCCAGAGCTAAAGCCGCCGAAGCCAATGATGGACGTGGTCCTTGCGGTTCTTCTATGGCAGATTCTTCGGAGTACAGACCTAATAAATTGTCGATATTATTGCGGTGACAGTATAAGTGAATAAATTGGCATTTCTTGATTTATATCTATTTTTATAAAGAATCTTTAAAACATATATTATGTATGCATGTAAACTATTTAAAATAAACACTTTTATACTTATGTGTACATCAAAGTACCAACCGAGCTACAGGTATAAATAGAATAAGAACTGAGCATTCATACTAAAAACTGGCCACATTTAGAAAAAGTGTGTTGTCCACACGGTGAATACCAGTCTTTTTTCATTTTTTTTTTATAGAATAGGATGACAAACGAGCACACAGTCCACCTGATGGTAAGTGGTTGCTGTGGCCCATAGACATCTACATATATCCTCCATTAAAAATCAAAATGCAGATGCGTTGTCACCCGTGAGGACTGAGATGGAATGCCTCGTTTCCAGTAAAAAGGGTCTCCGGTTCTCTACACTCTCCATACGAAATACAGCAGCATTAAGCTACTATTTCACGCTGGTATTCTGTGAGAGCGTGGTCCTTCCCCGGTCGAGCCGACCCATTCGTGCTACAACTATACTACTAATATAACTGCAGCATGGCTCTACCACGTAAGACAAGTGGGCTGGTTAGAGATCCGTGTGTGCGTTTCAATTAGTGCTTTCGTTGTTAACTTAACAATATAACTATATTGTTAATTTGTATTTGCGTAACCAACCGAGGTAGTATGCGAATCGTATCATTTTTGTCACTGTCAATTAACACCCACTCGCTCTGCTTCATGGAATATCGTTTGTGTATGTGATTGACTAAAGCTGTATACGCCGAGCCAGTTGATGATGGTTGTGGGTGGGTTTTATGTGGATGTTGTGTCTATTACGGTGAGGGCAACTGCAAATGCAAATATGTGTTTTGTTATTGCCAAGGCTGTCAGAGCACATTGCGACAAACCAGACTCTCGATGACGGTGGGAGCACACCGCCGACCATCCCACGGTGTGAGTGCTCCATGACGGATGTGCGGTTCACACAGCGCTCGGTTCACAAAGCACTTCTCTCCCAGGACATCCAAAAAATCGATTGGGCCCGACGGAATCCTCCTAATTGTGCTGAGGACGTGTGCTCCAGAGTTGGCACCGGTTCTAACGCGTCTTTCCTGGTACTCCTACTCCCTAGGCGTAATCCCGAAATCATGAAAGACGGCTTTCTTCCACCCGATCCATAAAAAAGGCGACCGCTTACATCCGTCTAACTACAGGCTTATCGCCATCACCTCCTTGTTCTCCAAAATAATGGAATCCATTATAAACTGCCAGCTCATGCAGTACCTTGAGGACCACCAGCTAATTACTAACCGGCATCGGCAGTACGGTTTTCGTCGGAGTCGATCAGCTGATGATGTTCTGGTCTACCTGACTCATAAATGGGCGGCGGCAGTGAAGTCCAAGGGGGACGCATTGGCCGTTAGTTTGGACATTGCGAAGGCCTTCGATCGGATTTTGTATAAAGCGCTTCCTTCGAAACTCCCTTCCTATGGGCTTCTCAAGAAATTGTGCAATTGGATTATCAGCTTTCTTGCAGATCGGAGCATCAAGGTCGTTGTAGACGGTGCATGCTCAAATTACAAGCCTATTAATACTGGCGTTCCACAAGTCTGCGTGCTATCACCAACGCTTTTTCTTCTGTACATCAATGATATGTTGCAAACCGGTTACATTAATTGCTATGCAGACGATAGCACTGGTAATGCTTTATACACCGGCTGTACCAATATTTCTCGGAATAGTCACCGAGTACCGGAATAAACTTGTGTCTGAAGTTGAGTCTTTGTTGAACAAATTCTCGGATTGGGGAGGACTAAAGCGGAGAATTCATTAAAACATGACGGACATTTTTTTTCGTTTGTCCGGGACTCATCCGTTTGTTTTAGACCGGCTACGTAATCACGTATGTGCATGCAAAACTAATCAGTTTTGCGTGCACATTAAGATGACAACGAAAAGACGAAAAATTGCAAAAGTAGCTGGTGCTACATTAATACTGTCCGATGATACGAAAAAAAAAGAATTTGTTGTAAAGAATTATACAAAAATAGAAATAAGTTTAGCCATATCAATTTACATAAAGAGATAGAAATTGATGAACCATAACACATACATAAGTCGTACAAACTCTTCCCAGAATATTTTATTATCATTAAAACTCATTGCAAGTTAAAAATCTCCAAAGTTCGTTAAATAATAATAAAAGGCCCTCTGCACTGGTTGCTATCCCTCTTGTGTCTGCACATAGACAGCTAAAAGTTACCATTCACGTTCGGGCATAATGATATCGTTCAAACGTTCAACAGGCAAATCTGCAAGATCAGTTGCGACGGTCCTACATCATCAAACTTTGCACAGAACTATAGTAGCGAACTTCGGCAGGCATGTCTGCAGACAAGCCCGTGGGCAAGTCCGTCTAGTGAATTCCCCGCTTTAATCTAGTCCAGTTTAATCCCCAGAATACACAAGATTGCGTGTTTGCCGATAAAAAGAAGTCCTTCGTCGTAGCTCCTCAGTTTCAAGACACTCTGCTTCAGCCAGTATCGGAATCCTCGGCGTCGACATATCGAATCGTGTAGTTTCGGAATTACTTGAAAGGAAAGCCAAATTGGCCTCCAAAAAGCCTGGCGTGCTCTGCAGTGTGGGACAGTATTTCATGTCAGCACCCCGTCTGCAACTTTACAAGGCACAGGTTCGGACTCATATGGAATACTGTTCCCATCGCTAGGTTGGGGCTCCCCAGTGCCAGCTCTTACCACTTGACCGCATCCAGCGCAGAGCAGCTCGAATCGTCGACCATTGAGTGCTTTCCGATCGGCTCGATTCACCGATGCTGCGAAGAGATGTTGCATCCCTTTGCATTTTCTTTCGCATTTACCACGGAGAATGCTCTGGGGAATTGTTTGGATTAATCCCAGCCGCTAAAATTTCATGAACGCACATCGCGGCAAAACTCCCAATACCATCCACACCATCTGGATGTTTGGCGGTCCACCACCGCACGTTTCACTAGCAGTTTTCTTCCGCGTTCGACTTCTCTGTGGAATAGTTTACCATTGGCGATTTTTACGGCCAATACGACTTATGGACCTTCAAGAAAAGAGCTTACTTCTTTCTAAAAGGCCGGCAACGCATCTGCAATTTTCCTGATGTTGCAGCTGTTCAAGGGCAGCGGTAGTCATTTAACATTAGGTGAGCCGTATGCTCGTTTGCCCCCTCTCCTATATAAAAAAAGTGCGCGCCACGGCGAGTCTAACATGATAGCGGTATATGCTTTGGTGTCACTGAGTGCACAAGAACACAAAGGCACGCTGAGTTACTGGAATTGACTGAATCCGTATGCCTGGAGCGCGGAACAGAGATAGAGAGTGCGAAGCGCCCAGGCGGCCTAGTGCGACGAGCAGCGGCGTGTGCTTGTGCCACTCACCGAGGCTATGCGCACCGAGCGGGTCCTTGAGGGTAGGGAAGGGCAAGGGCGCGAGGTGCGGCGCGGGCGGCAGAGCGCGCGCAGCGGGGCGCAGCGCCCAGGCGGCCGAGTGCGACGAGCCGGCGGCGGCGCGCTGCACACCCTCCACGCCCGCCACCAGCGCGGGCCGCCGGTTCACGCACGTCGTGCCGTTGCCCTGCTGCCCATGGTCGTTATCGCCCCACGCCCACACCTGCGATAGTACGAACCGTAGTCATAAGTCACATCTTACGGTTACATAAATTATGACCGTATTGAGTGAGGTAAGGCAGTAACTGAAACTGTTAGCCTTTATATTTTTTGTTTTCATATTTTAGCAACTTCAAAAGCGCCTCCCCTTTTTCGCTTGGCTTATCGTTGAATTTTGGGTCATGTTGTATATACAACACCGAAGGATAGTTATGCCCCGGACTAATCGGGGAAAAAAAGAAAAAAATATATATCCCAATTATGTTTTAAGTTATATAAAAAAAAAATGAAATTCTTCAGAAATTGAGACCGTTTATGATATTTTCACTTCCATGACCACAATTTTTTTAATATTTGTTTCTTATTTTTATAGGCAACCTGAATAGCACTGCTATCTACCACAATTCTTAAAAAATCCGGAATAACTCTTGTTTTATCACGAAAATTAATGAAACTTTTTTATTCCCTAAATTTTTTGAAGACTTTTACTTTTAACCAAATTTAACTTATCGTGGTGTAAAAAAAAGTATGAACACTAGTATGGCAAGTTTTTTTAAAAATTGACGCAACTAACCAACATTCCAAAATGGTATAATACTCTAGGAAAACAAGTTATAAAAAATATGGGCCTATTATTTCTTAACGGGGGCCAAATGACGGTCGGGTGTAATAAAAGTATTAGTTCTTGAAAAATGTTTAATATTTCAAAACAAATGGTACAAACAGTTTCACGTGTAATTTATTAAGTTATTAACATTATAGCAAATGTTCGAACTGTTTGCCACCAGCATTAATACATGCACGACATCGCCTTAAAAATTATCGTTTTATTTGTCTTGCATATCTTCTGCTATTAATGTAATCAGCAGCCTGAGTGATATTTCGACGAAGCTCGTCCAATCTCGCAATGGGTTTTGAGTAGACCCTGTTTTTAAGACAACCCCAATAGAAGAAGTCCAGGGGGTTCAAATCGGGTGAACGGGGTGGCCATAAGATAGGACCAAGTCGCCCGATCCAACGCCCTGGATACTCTTGATTTAAATATTCTCGCACAGGACGGGTATAACGTGCTGGGCAACCATCATTTTGCAACCACATGTTTTGGAGATCACTTAAGGCCACGTCGTCTAACAAGTCATTTTTTTCTTGCAAGTCATTTTGTAAAAAGTTTAAATACCTATTGCCATCTAAGTTTCCTTGTAACTCAAAGGGCCCAATTACTTTTCCATTTAATATGCCGGTCTATATATATGCCGGTATATCCAGGTTAACCTATTAACCTTGAATTGATATTGGGATTTGTCTTGTCTCATCAAGTGCGGATTTTCTTTACTCCAACTATGTAGGTTGTGAAGATTTAAATACCCATCTTTCTTGCATGTTGCTTCATCCGACCATAGAATTTTGTTTAGGAATTGGGGATCTTCACTGTGCCTTCGCAGCTTCACACGGCAAAATGTGACACGTAGCGGATAGTCCCGCGGTAATAACGTTTGCCCACGCCTGTAGTGATATGGGTGAAGCTTGTGACGTTTTAATATTCGATGTGCAGAACTTTTCGGGATTCCTGCAGCTTCTTCTATGGCACGTACCGAAGTAGTCGAATCATTTTCTATCTCATTGAGAACTTCGTCATCACGATCCAATCTAGGTCTTCCAGCACTTCTCCTATTGGATGGCATACGACCCTCCGAAAACACTTGATGCACATTAATAAACACTCGATAATCAGGATATCTTTGAGCATTTGGGTATTTTTCTCGATACAGTCTGCTAGCAGCGTTAGCATTATATCGGCATTCTCCATAGATTAAATGCATATTAGCGTATTTCTGTGGTGTGTACGGTTACGGCATGTTAAACGCCAAACAGTCCAAAATGCGCCGGAATTCTAAATCACAAAACACACAATCTTAGTCCAAGATTATGCCAGGTCAGTTCAGTTTGCAGATCACTTCCAGTCCAAATAATGCCAGGTCAGTTAAGTTTGCAGGTCGATTCCAGTCCAAAAACCCAAGCCAAAAGTCGATAGTATGTATGAGAGCCGCGTAAGTTGAATTGGGAACGGTGCGCAGTAAACAAAGGAGCAGAGCGTACTGAACTGACTTGCTGAGAATAATAACAGCTTCTCTACCTGCCCTGTTGTTGTCTCTTTTTAACGTAAATATCTCTATCTATCTATCTCTCTCTAACATCTAAGGTATGTTGGCCCCATTCAAATTCCTAGAAATTGTAACAAGAACCCATTTTGGGCATGTAGTAAAAGTGATTACTGACAATTACAATTTAAGGAATTTGGTCCCTGTTTAGAAATAATAGGCCTATATTTTTTATAACTTGTTTTCCTAGAGTATTATACCATTTTGGAATGTTGGTTAGTTGCGTCAATTTTTAAAAAAAACTTGCCATACTAGTGTTCACACTTCTTTTTTACACCACGATAAGTTTAAGTTGGTTAAAAGTAAAAAAAAATGTAATAAAAAAAGAGTTATTCCGGATTTTTTAAGAATTGTGGTAGATAGCAGTGCTATTCAGGTTGCCTATAAAAAAGAAACAAATATTAAAAAAAATTGTGGTCATGGTAGTGAAAAATATCATAAACGGTCTCAATTTCTGAAGAATTTCATTTTTTTTATATAACTTAAAATATAATTGGGATATATTTTTCTCTTTCTTTTTTCCCCGATTAGTCCGGGGCAGGTCTATCTTCCGGTGAATTTTGGGACATGTTGTATATGGGCGTTTTTCAAAAAAATTGTCGGTGACGTAGTTAGAATTCCACTTGTATGAGTTGTAATACTTAGCTTCAAAATGTAATTAAATTGATAAAATATAGTATGAGCAGTATGAAAATAGTATTTTTTTAAGAAAATAATAATGAATTTTGAAAATAATTACAATTTTAATTAAATTATGTTCTCAAGAAATTCCATTACGTTACTAATTTTAAAATAGTTTTCATGAAAACTAAAAGAAGTTCAGTATTTTTAACTTTATTAATGAAAAATAAACACAATCTGTTTTCTAAAAAATATTGATAATTCAGCATATTAGATCTAATCAAAAAAATGTTTTAACAAAGATATTCCTTACGCTACTTTTGGGTACTTTGTACTATATTTTTTTCATCCTAGAACGTCAAATATGAGAAATATTCTTTCAAAAGTTTAATTATAACGAATTAAAAATTTATAGTAAACTATATTGAACAAAAACAGTCAAATTTCTTTGAGATCTATTAATTAGTCTTAGAAAATAAATCACAGTAATAATAGGACAGTGACGTTAATGTAATTCGAAAATGACGTTTAGGAACTGTAAGGCAACGTCTATATGACTCTCAATTATGACAACAATCATGGTAACTTGTACTTATCGTATTAAACATAATATTACTAGTATGTCATTTAAGAGCGTTTAAAACGTACGGCATTTCATATAAACTTTCAAGTCCTTGTTTTCGAAATGCATGAACCGATTTTAATGAAACTTCACACGCATAAGCAGAACACATAGTTCTAAAAAGTTAGTAAAGAACATTTTCGAAATGTCTTATTTAAAACAAGATAATTGGAAATATCTGTTTCTATGGAAAATTTAAAATCGGCTGAATTTAGCTGTAACATTATTTTTCGAAAATGTTCTCATTAACTTTTTTGGACCTATATATCCTGCTTATGCATAGGAAGTTTCATTAAAATCGGTTCATTTATTTCGAAATATAAAGACTTGAAAGTTTGTATGAAATGCCGTACTTTGTAAACGGTCTTAAACTGTAACAAAAAACTATTCATCAGTCCCAAGACAAATCGAACAAATGTAGTCAAAAAAGGTTGTTCCGCTACATATCAGGCAAACCCAATTTTTACATGCATTACATTTTACCATTCTTTGTATAATAAAAGGCTCATGGCAATTGTTATCTGAAACAGATACGAATGATTGGGATAGATTTTTCCAAAAAAATTATTATATTATGTTATATATATATAAAAAAATATATAAATTATATTATGTAAAGTGATCGTGTTTTTGGAGGCACTAAAGTGCATTGATTGGATTTTTCATATTCATGGTTTACCCTAGCCCATTTGAACCATGATATAGCAGAATCGAGGTTTTGTTCATCATATGAAATACTCTTACAATCTTTACATTTATTGTACATGCAGTCATAACGCGTAATATCACATGCAACGATGTTCAAGAGCTCCTTTATATTCTTGTAAGTTGTGACATCTTTACACTTCAATGCATTAAACATGTACTCAAAGTTACTGTGCTTAATACATAAGCAGGTTTCTCTATTATTGATACTTGGAGACAGTACATAATAAGGCTTGTATCTGTAAAAGGTGGTGAAGCCGCATGACCCACCGTCTTTTTTATAAATTTCGTATACGTTTTTCAGTGTGTCGACTAAGTATCTTATTTGTGATTTTTGTTTGTCTTTGGACCTGGTTTCCTTCTTACCAGCTGTGCTTTTACTTATGTCGTCTCTCAAATAAAAAAGTTCTATTTCTTCCTGAGTATTCTTATTTATTGGTCGTTGTAAATTAATCCTTTTCCTGATTCTTCCTTTAAGACCTAAAATCTTACTTTCAGGTGCTTTTTACAATATATGCGCCTGTTTCCTAATCACGTTTTTAACTAATTGTTTTTCTTTATTTTTCTTACAATTCCTGTACGTACTACGAATTGATATTTCCATTATTTCTTGTCTTGCTTTCAATTCATCGTTTTCTGTGTTCAATAAATCAAATTCGGTTTCATGTTTTTTTTCATTCGGCGTAATTTCTTTCTCAGAGTCTGTGTTGTTGTATTATATTGACGAATCGTCTTTAAAGCCTTTTTGTAGTTATTTAACAATTTCCGGTACCTAATTTTCAATGAATGTGGAGCTGAATTATTGGATGCGTCACGTGATTGCCCTGATTGTGGATTCGGTTGAGTGTTTTTGTTTTCGTTTTTGTTCTCTCCAGAGTTTTACCTTTTTTCCATTTTCTCGTCCTCAGTGAGCTTTTTAATCTTCTTTTGTTGCTTTCTTTGTCTTCGTAATTCCTTCTTCTTAAATTCTTCATATTTTTCCGGGTTTTGTTTGATTTTTTCTCGGTACCGTTTTGACTTTTCTGCAGCCGTCAAGGGCATATTTAAACCTAAAATCAATAGTGAGTTATCATAATGTACCCCGTACGAAAAATCTCAAATTTTTGTGAAAAAATTTATATAGATTTACAAAAAGCGTTGCGTGAAATAATTGTCAAAATAAATGTGATAACTGTTTATCACATATATTTTCACGCAAAAACAAAAAATTTTCATTCAGGATACCATTAAAATTAAACACTAAATGCAGCCATTTCAACAATATAACGTAATAACTATCGTTATTTCACTGTTATTTTTCTAATGTTATCCTGAATGGAGTGTTTTGAGCCGAAATATCTAGTCGAAAAATCTTGTTTGATTTACACACGAAATTAAGTAATAAGCAATTCATTTAAAAAATTCAAGGCATTTCATTATTATTTTATTCATACTTAATTTATTTAGACTTTAGAACACTAATTAAAACAATGACTTTATGAACCGACCTTTAGGATTCTATTACGTCACTTTTGAGTTCCATTCATGCGATAGTAGCGTTAATGGAGGTAACGTAACCATGCCAATAAAATTTTGAAATGAATTTACTAATTAGTTATAAAACTTTTGTTCAATATAACATAACATTTCAAATAACAATAAATTAACATGTTTAATAGAAAATAGAATGAAATACACATGAATACGTTACCTGGAGAAAAGCAGTATCGTTTGTGGAATTATTTTTTTCACATGAGTCGAGACGACCACTTCGATTACGTTTTGTTGGCGAACTGGCTGTCAAAAATTAAATACAGCAGCCACCATAGACTAATAATGTTGCTATATTTGGGAAAATGCATTGAATTGGTGGTATTTTTTGTTGGAAGTCGTTGAAAATGCGGTCACGTACGCGGAAATTCCATCATACGCTATTTTGCAGGACAACCCAAAATCTGGTATTTTAAAATAATTTTCAACCGTAACATGTACATTTCAGGTTTAAAATTGAAGTTACGGTCATAAATGACCAGTCAAATGCAAAACGTTTGAATAATAATATAACACGACCGTATTATGTGACTCTGAAGTTGACACAGTAGATGTGGGACATACCAAAAACATCGACCTCATTTTACTTATCTTGATTTTATTTTTGATTTATAACAGATTCAGACCTTATTTTTATTTGATTTATGAGACTATATGTTACTTTATTATTAAAATAAATGATATGTAATAAAAACTTTTATAAAATTTGATAATTTATTCTGAAAGTGGCCGGACACTGACTTTTTTCAAGGTACAACTTTTTTGGAAAACGCCCATATATATATATATATATATCTTTTCTCATTATATATCTCAATTCGAGTGTATTTTTTAATATATATATTACTCGGTATAATTATCAATTGTTGACCGAATTCAAGGATTCTTTTCAAATAGGTGGGGTGATCCCATATAAATTTGGGTAGAAAAATAGGGAATGTAGTTATTATGTATATTATGGTAATATCAATATATATATAGGACATTAATAAAAAGAAAAATAAAATGTAAAAAAAACTTTTCCGCCATTTTTCAATTGTTTTTCTGTCCACCAGAATGAGTGAGTATAATGAAGAAATTCGATAGATACTGAGGTTTTATTACAAAAAAGAAAAAAATGTGTTTATGGACCTAATGCAGTGTCGGAAGTTGGTTCAAGCGTTTTCAGCGAGGGAATTTTGATATAAAAGACGCAGCTCCCTCTGGTGGGCGACCAGTCCATCATGCGGAGAAAGTCGATACCATATTGGAAAAACTGGAGCAAGATCGGCATATTAGTAGTAATGACATAGACGAGGAATTGAGGATTGACCACAAAACATTTTTGACCCATTCGAAAAAGTCTGGCTATACAAAAAAGCTCAATATTTTGGTATCACACGAGCTCACTGAAAGAAACCTAATGAATCGTGTATTCATTTGCGATGCTCTATTGAAACGTGATTAAACCGAAATATTTTTGAAAGGATTAATCACAAGTGGATCATCTACGACAAGAACGTGGGGAAAAATCATGGTCAAAGTGTAGTCAAGGTCCACAGATCATAGCGAAACTCGGATTAACAAACACGCATTAAGGTGATGATGTGTGTATGTTGGGATTGGAAGGGCGTCGTTTGTTATGAGCTTTTACCTCCGGGCAAAAACATAGATTCGGACCTCTACTGCCAACAACTAATGAGATTCCAACAAGAAATTGAGAAAAGCTACCGGAATTGATGAACAGAAAAGAACGCGAGCAACCCGGGTTCGATCTTCGGTACCAATGAAATTGTTAATAGCAATTTTATGTGCTGATTTACTACGCGCTCGGCGGTGAAGGGAAGCATCGTGTAGAAATCTGCATGTCTGAAAAAATAAAAAATAAAATATTTCGAGGACATATGAAATTCGCCGACACGCATTGGTGCAGCGCGGCGGACACTTCGAAAAACCTTCTCAGAAATGAGAGGAGGCCTGTGCTCAGCAGTGGGACGTATATAGGCTTTAATTTTAACACACATCTTTGGCCACTTAGCAAAATTTGAGAGCTTGGGTTGAGAAGTGTTAATGCATCCACCATATAGTCCTGACCTTGCACCCTCAGATTTTCACCTATTTCGATCTCTTCAGAATTGTTTGAGTAGTGCTAGATTAACTTCAGGAGAGGACTGCCAAATTTACTTGCCGCATTTTTTTTGTCCAAGATTTCTACACCAACGGAATTATGTCACTACAAGATGGCAACAAGTTATCGAATAAAATGACACATATTTTAAATTATAATTAAATGTAATTAAACTTTGAAAAAGAAATGTCTTGAATTTGTATATAAAATACGAAGAAACTTTTTTCCCGACCTTATTAATAATGATGTACAGTTATTGCAATTTTTGAAAATACGAATAAATAAGACTTCTACTTTTATTTGAAACAATCCCAAATTAAATATGACTTATGGGCAACATCGTTTTTGCCTACCGATCGACCCTTACGAATGTGTGCGTGCGCGGTAAAATCAGAGTAATGCATTACCACGTGTTTTGAATTTAAAATATAAAAAAGACAGAATGTTTGAGATTTTTTTAATCAATTTTTCTTCACTGTTTGTCTTTATTACTTATTCTGAACTTTCTTGGTTAATTGGCAAGCTATTGCAAAATAACCCTACTCATTATGTCCAACAACAAAAAAAGAACCAATTGCTAAATATGAAATGATTATATTTTTCAGTTAAACGTTATTATATTATTTATAAAGCTAAACTAAATTTTAACCAAACGAATTACAGTTTATATTTGTAATTTTAAAATAAAATTAGTTAAAAAAATCGGGTAGCCATAATATGAGACGATACAATGCAATCACCTCCTTAGAATTTTCAAATATTCATATAATGGTCGTAATCGATTAACAAACAAAAAAGTGACCTGGTTGTCGCTGGTGACGGCGAGGCAGTGCAGCGCGCCGACGGCGACGTGCACGACGCGGCGGCCGCGCAGCGCCTCCACCAGCGTGGGGCGCCGCACATGCGCGTCCAGTCCGTGCCCCAGCCGGAAGTAGTCGCCCTTGCCCCACGTCCACACCTCACGTACGTATTATATAAAATTCTCAACACTTTTCCATACTTATTAATAGAGAAGTTGCTTTAAAAAAAATTTGCAACAAATTTACATAATATTTTTTTATATTAATCGTTTAAAGTATATCTAATTTTTTTACTAACAATCTTATTTTTTTTTTTGATAATTTTTTATTAATAAAAAATAGTAAATTTTTTTAATGAAAAAAGTAACAACTTGTGATTGGTGGTGTCGTCATTATATACATTAAGGCTGTGAGCCAATCGCAATGATGCGATACTTTTGTATTTTCTAATTCGGATCACGATATGTCATAAGGTCATAACAAAACATATATTATTGTTACGAGCTTGAGGTTCGTGACAATAAAAACTGCCGATTGAATTACCAAAATTTACACTTTAATTCACTTTACACCAATTAAAATTTATAACACTAATAATTAATCACACTGATTCCCTTTATTTCGCTCCGAAGCTTCGCTTGTCTCGCCAATTTCAATACTGCCCCAATCGCGGCATGCAGCGGGTTTAAATACACTTTTACGCCGAAACATCCAGAATATTCCCGTAGATACGGGCGCCGACCGACCAGATGCAAAAAGTTCGAGTGTGAGGCTTTTAGAAAGCTTAGTTCTTCAATTCGATACTAGATGGCGCTGTTGGTTAAAAGATTAGTCATGTCATTTTATGGAAAGATCTCCTCGCTCTGTTACCCGACACTAGTGCCAGACGTCAACTTAGGCGCGCAACACTGCCCCCTCCTAAGACATGCTCGTCCCGAGCATTATCGGCCCCATAATAACGCGCCAGGCGATCTACATGGACGATCTTAGGAGTCCCTCTTGCGCCTTTCTGTATCCGGTAGGTTACATCGTTGATCCTGGTCACAATCCGGTATCGATATGACAACAAAAACGGTTGTATGTGCTTGTCCCAATCTCGTTGCCGATTGTCTACAACTTTTGCTAGGTACCTCTCCAATGTCTGATTAAATCGTTCTACCATTCCATCAGATTGCGGGTGATAAGAAGTCGTTCTTGTTTTATGAGTACCCATAACTCGGCAAGTTTCCTGGAATATTTGAGACTCAAAATTCCTTCCTTGATCGCTGTGAATCTCTAAAGGTACTCCAAAACGACAGAAGAATTCATGAACTAGTTTATCTGCAACTGTTGAAGCTTCTTGATTTGGAATAGCGAAGACTTCTGGCCACTTAGTGAAGTAATCCATCACAACCATGAAATACTTGTTACCACTTTCACTCTCCGGAAACGGCCCTGCCACGTCAATGGCTATTCTCTCCCACAGTGCACCAACATTGTACAACTTCAATGCACCGCTACTACGAGTCTGAGGTCCCTTTACAGCCGCACAACTTGTACATTTGCGACACCAGTCCTCGACATCGATGTCGAGACATCGTTTCGACAGTGGACCCAGTAAAACCGTTCTCGGATCTTCAGTAGAGTTCGTTTAACTCCCAGATGGCCTCCTGAACAATCATTATGGTACAACTGTAGAACATCCGGTACTTTAGCTTTAGGGACTGTGGCCGGTGAGGAAGGAAAAGGGGAGATCTCCCGCCGGGCAAGGTGTTCTGCCCGGGGAGCGGCCAACACTGCATGTGATAGTTCGGAGATGTTCTATATATGCTGTTTATGATTCGGAATGTTGATAGCGTGATTTAGGCTTCGGTGTATTTCGCTTGTGGCGCGACGATAGCGCCGCTAGATAACCCCCCTGCTCAGACCGGAGGTCGATAGTGCAGCCTCGTTGCCGACGAATGTGCAAATACCAGGAGATTGCCTTGTAGGCTGCGGTGAGTCGAGAAGAAGGCAAGTAATCTGCGAGAGTGCCGTGAAGCAGAGGAGAGCAGTAAGGCTCAGAGCCGTGCCGAACACTGTATAGCGCAGAGAGTAGCTTGAAGGAACAGGAAGCATTATTATTCCAGTGCTGCGATGAACCTTGTGAAGCTAGATGGCTTGCAGGATATGAAGACTGCAGACGATATCTGTTCGGTAGCGAATGGGTGGGATATTCTGGGACGATGATGAAGCTTGAAGTTTCCGAAGGTTATTGGTTGCGTGTTCAGATCACTTCGGGTAGTCACCACTATGGCCGTAGAAAGAAAAGGGGAGATCTCCCGCCGGGCAAGGTGGTGTGCCCGGGGAGCGGCCGACACTCCAAGTGATAGTTCGGAGATGTTCTATATATGCTGTTTATGATTCGGAATGTCGATAGCGTGATTTAGGCTTCGGTGTATTTCGCTTGTGGCGCGACGACAGCGCCGCTACAGGACAACCATTTGCAAATGACAGCCGTCTCCCCGAACATTTTCCCATTTACGGCACAGAACTCCATCCTGAAGCAGCAAGCTGTCCCATTGGGCCCAATAGCTTTTAGTGTTCGAACTCATCGCTAAGACGTCGCTCCACTTGGGCTTGGGACTTGGGCACTGGCCTTCATACATTCCAGAATCGGCTTGATGTCCAGATCTTCCTGCTGTGGATGTTGTAAGCTGTCCTTCCACTCGTTGCTGAGGTGGTCTATCCTGAGCACCCCGGATCATCAGCATCACGGATACCACTTCCTTACTCTCTTGCCTAGTACAATGTTTGCAATCTTCAGGACAAGGTCTTCTTGACAATGCATCTGCGTTGCCATGAGATTTCCCGCTGCGATGTTCGATCTCAAAGTCGTATTCCTGCAGTAGTTCAATCCATCTCGCAACTTGTCCTTCTGGATTTTTAGACTGCAATAGCCATTTTAGTGCAGCATGGTCAGTTCGTAAGTGAAATTTTCGTCGCAGAAGATATTTGCTAAAATGCTGCAACGACTTTACCACAGCTAGCAATTCGCGTCTTGTGACACAATAGTTCCTTTCCGGTTTTGACAACGACTTGCTGAAGTACGCTATCACGACCTCCTGGTCACCATTCCGTTGAGACAACACACCGCCAAGTCCTATATCACTTGCGTCTGTGTCAACTAAAAATTCTTTGCTTGCATCAGGGTATCCCAAAATAGGTGTTTTCCACAGACGGTCCTTGAGCTCCTAAAATACGATACCTAGGCTGCACTAAAAGTGTCGGGAATGGAATATTTCCACTGTTCCTGTCATTTTAAAATCTTTTTAATTGAAAACTCCTTGGTAAAACCAAGGAGTTCAAAATTCAAGAGCGATGATTTATTATGACTTTCGAAGTGGTTTAACACAAAAACAGTGTGTTGACCGGATGATTTCTGCATTTGGTGATGAAGCCCCATCCAAAACCACAATTTATCACTTTTTTGCTGAATTTCAACGTGGACGTTTCAAGCTCAATGATGATCCCCGTCTAGGTCGTCCAAAAACTACAGTCACCCAAGAAAACGTTGGTGCTGTGCGTAAGCTGATTGAGGAAGATCGACATGTGACGTACCGCTAACTTTAGACATTGGCATGAGTCAAATACAAATAATCTTGCATGAACAATTAGGTGTAAAAAAGTTGTTTTCCCGATGGATACCGCATTCGCTCTGTGAAGAGCAAAAAGCGGCTCGCGTTACTTGGTGCGTCAGAACTCTCGAAAGATTCCACGCAGGATCCCCAAATGCTGTACACAACATCGTATCAGGTGACGAATTCTGGATATACGCGTACGAACCCGAAACAAAAAACCAGTCACGAGTTTGGGTGTTCGAAAATGAGTTAAAGCCAACAAAAATTGTTCGTTCACGGAGTGTTGCAAAAAAAATTCAAACGTTGCTGGAGCATTGCATAATCCAAACGGCATTACTTTAAATTGCCACAGACCCTTTCCCGTCCGTCCGTCCTTCTTCTTTACCAGCACCACGGGTGAACACCATGGACTAGACGAAGGTTCAATAACACCATCCTTCACCATTCCTTCAATTATGGTCTCCACTTCCTTTTCACGTGCTACCGGCAATCTTCTTGGCCGCTGACGGATAGGCAATTCTTCTCCTGTGTTTATTTTGTGTTGAACTAAGCCAGTCTTTCCTATGTCAGCATCGTTTGATGAGAATACATCGGCGTACTTGAGTAACAACTTCTACGACTTGACCATTTCGTTCGGGGAGAGAACGCTGTGACAGTCTTCCAAAAGTGTGGTCACTCTCGTTTGTGCATCCTTGCTGGGGGTCCCACTCGATAGATATTGGCACCGACGTAACCAACCCACTTCCTCACGAGTACCAACTAGCGTGCCTCTTTCTATAATCTGCTCCCGGTCACAAAGGTTCAGCACACGTATTCCTTTGATGTCAGTGGTTCTGACCAAGGTTCGAGCTACTTTCCATGGAAGGTCATTGTTTACCCTTTCCATAAGTTCACAACGGTGAGCTTGCCCAGCGTTTCGAGGAACACTAACCGGCACAATCGTTTCCGATCTCGGCGGAAGAACAATCTTCTTAATGCTGTACACGTTCCCTGGTAACGCACCTTCAATAAAAAGTTCCTCCTGTCCACATTTCAAAACACCTTGCTTAACGTCGATCTCACAACAATTATTCCTCATAAAGTCTAGGTCCAGGATGCAGTCGTCCATTATATCAGCCACGATGACATTATGCAGATTACATTGCCTAGCTTCAACTCTATCTCCTTCTCTCCACGGACGGGTATACGCTAACCGGTGGCTGTTACCAAATTAATGCGTTCTCGGTTGTATGCGGAGTCCCTAAGGAACTGACTTATAAGTTGGGAATTAACAACCGTACGAGAGGCTCGAGTGGCCTCACCCTTGATGATTAGACTGTTCCCATTACGGGTTTGTGTGATCGAGATCCTTGGGGCTCTTTTAACATCAGCCAGCACCCGCCCCGCAGTTCTGGCTTTTACTCGTTTCCCTGCTGTTGCTGGGCGGTGCTGTTGGACGCACTACCCTCCTGAGATCGTTCACCTTCCCTTTCTAGGGTTCGCTTAGGGCAGCTGGATCGAAGATTTTCCCCACAGCCATAGCACCTAGGGCTGTATCCTTTGTTGCGGTCGCGAACTGTAGCTGCTGCAACCTCCCTGACGCGAAGGGAACGATGATCCTGCCGCACGGCTTCCACCTCCAGTGCATGGGCCAAGGCGTCCTTAAGCGTCTCGTGGTGCCCGAGCCTCACAGCAGCTATGACTTCCAGGTCGCGGATGCCGTCGATGAATGTCTGCACCAGGTTCCCTTCAATGAGCGCAGGTACAGACCGGTATGCTTTTCGCACCAGCTTCTCCACCTGTAGAGCCCACTGCTGCAGGTTTTCGTTGATGCGCTGCACGCGATCTTTAAGCTGCGCACTAAAGACGTGTTCCAGGTGAGCGTCGCCATATCTCGCCTCCAATGCCTCAAGGAGTTGCTCATAAGTCACTTCCTCACCGAGAGCTTCCGGAACTGTTAAAGCCTGGTCGCGCAGGCCTAGTGTGAGAGCAGTCATGGCCTGCGATTTTTCCAGCCGTTCGCCTTCATAACAGCATCGAACTGGATTTTAACAATATTATAACCTGTATTAAATTGACAATTTTTTTTTAATTTTGACAACGTAAACATGAGTGTTTTATCATTTCATCATGCATTGGCGTTACTAAAGCCATATAATGACGTCACTGGCAGTTCAATTCACATTTTAGTAAATCCGTTTTTAATTGTAAAATAACATAAAAATCAATTGTTAAATTTCGCATTACACAGAAGATATGATAAGGTGCAGCTACATTAAAGCAGCTATATTGCTGCAGCACGAATAGATCGGCTCGACCTAGGTAAAATATGCGATATAAAGAGGCAAATGCCCAGGTTTTTAACTAACAATAAAGTGACAAATAAACTATCAGACCCTTATTGTAAAGTTAAGAACAAACGCAGTCAATTTCAAACAAAAATTGCTATATTTTTTCACTCTTTAAGGGCGACGGTGGAATGCCTTAAATTATTATAAATCTTTGTGACCACAATTACTATTAAACTAACCTCTCCGTCCCTTGTTAAGGCTAGGCTGAACTGTGCACCGCATTCAACTTGTATCACACCGAGGGTATTCAGCCTCTCAATGTTCATAGGCACAGCGCATCCGTCGGAACCTCCTCGACCTAAGAGGAAACAAAACCATTAACGAATAACTATATTAAAAGTAACTTAATAAATAAACGACAATCAATGTTGTACCACAGTACCACAGGCACGAGCGTGTTTTATAGTACTTATTTAACTAATTTTAAGTGCCGTAAAAAAAACAATATCTATAATGGTGAATTATTGTTACAGATAAATGAGTTACTGTGTAAAATTGAATTCAAATGCGAGCAATGCTTACGTTTCCCAGATTTTTTTGTAAATTTTTTATCCGAAATACACTACATAATTAAATTCTAAGTGTCACCTGACATCAAAGACGTTTCACAACTGTAAGGCCTTTAAACTGTAGTTTTTTTTACGTTATAAGGTGTATTTGCTGATAGTACTATGAACTTGTAAGAAATTTATTTACGTATATCATATAAGTAATCAAATCACTTTATAACTCCTTACATTATGTTCAATAATAATTTCAAATACTTGCCCAACTTTCCGAAATCTCCATCACCCCAAGAGAAAACTTTGCCGCAAGCAGTCAATGCTAGAGTCTGCGCGTCCCGTGATCCGCAAGCTACTTGAATAACTCTAAAGCCAGCTAGAGCTTCCACCTTAAAAGCAAGCGATCTTACTTTTATATTAAAATAAATCATTATTGACGGGAACAATTACCTGTGATTTTATCATAGATAATTAATAAAATCAGGCGTTTCTTTGCATTATATTGAAAATGTTAGAATATTATACTCAAAAGAAACTTAATAGAAATTAAGTTCTAACGTCATCAATTAAAATCACTATAGAAGTACTAATGGAATTCACCATAAGACGTTAACATTGCATTCACTATCTTTAAAAACAAGCACATATTTGCCACGCTGCAGCTTTATTGCGACTGCAGCACGTGTGACAAGCAAGCAAAAATCCCAAAAAGAAATATGTCATATTATGCTTAGTCTGTTTTGCAAAGAAATCTTCTTACATGCCTGTCTGTTAAAATATATCATCTTTGCCATGTGTACGGATAAAGTTTTTTTTTATAGGATAGGGTGACAAACGAGCACACAGGCCACCTGATGGTAAGTGGTTACTGTGGCCCATAGACATCTACATCTGTCCTCGATTACAAATCAAAATGCAGATGCGTTGTCACCCGTGAGGACTAAGATGGAATGTCTCATTTCCAGTAAAAAGGGTTTCCGGTTCTCTACTCACCATAGGAAACACAGCAGCATTAAGCTACTATTTTACGCTGGTATTCTGTGAGAGCTTGGTCCTTTCCCGGTCGAGCCGACTCATTCGTGCTACAACTATACTACTAATATAACTGCGGCATGGCTCTACCACGTTAAATATTTTACATTTCATGGTAAAATCTATTTGTTTAAAATATTTTAACGGGACATTAACTCCGCGCCGAGTAGTGAGTGACGGTGTTAGATAATCCAATACCCCATATTATTCCGTGGGTGTTGTGAGAAATAACATAGGGAAATTTAAACAGGAAGTGGACAGCAGTATCTTTCTGATAATATCTCAAATTATTTAAAAAATCCTATGATTACTTAGCTCCTGCCAAGTGTGGCAACAATGTTAAAATCCGCCATACGAAAAGGATGAATGGATGCATATTGCCTGCACCAACTTGCGACCTAAATAGATCACATTGGTTCGCAAGACCTGCATAACTGCTCGTATATAATATTAAATACATGTTGAATAAAAGGTTCAAGTAATAAAGTAAAAGATAAAGTGGTCACCATCTTGGGTGCGAGCTGCGTGACGTCGTCGCCGTGGCCGAGGCGACCGTATTCGCCGAGCCCCCAGGTGTAGAGGTGTCCGCGCGCCGTGACGCACGCGCTGTGCGCGGAGCCGCACGCCACGCCCACCACACGCTCGCCCGCCAGCGACTCGATCAGCCGCGGCGCTTCCAGCGTTAGCCGGTTGCCGTGCCCGAGCTTGCCGTCTTCCCCCTCGCCCCATGAGTACACCTTTAATTACGTACTCATCATAAGCAACGGTTATTTATAGGTCGGCGATAGCAGTAAACAATTTTTTGCACATTTGATGCAGTGGCTTGTCACCAGTTTAGATATTATGAGCCTGTCATTTCGAGACGTTTAAACCACCACCTATGTATCGTTGGATATTGAAAATTTATGATACCAACTGGACGAATTGAGATTTCCAATTTGTTAAGGTCATGCATATGAACCCAAATTGATCTTATGCCAATTTTTTGCTGCAGTTACAAATGTATAAATAAATATATTTCGCTTTTAATATTTAAAAAAGTATAAATGTATAAAGTTTTATATAATACTTAAAAGCAGTTGTATCCACCTCGCTTAAATGTTTGACGTATAAATTAAAGTTAAAATTAAGAAACACTAATATGTATAAAGATTGTATGATATAACAAGTATTAAAATTTTATATTGATAAGTGAAAGTAATAACCAAAATCAATTTAATAGTCGATCTACATTTCGACAAGTACAGTAGCGAGTTTAGTTACAGGGCAGTTGACGGTAAACGGTTAAGTGGATTTTCGTTAGCGAAATATTGTAAAAGTTGATATATAATTAAAGAGTAAAGGATTGTTTTGATGATAGTAAAGAATAAGTTATCGTTGGAAAGTTATTTATAAGTTATTTATTATATAAAGTTATTTATAAACTAAAGCGACAAACAAACTTACATTACATCTGAATGTAAGTGGCTACTGCAGCCTATGGACAACTTCAACCTACTTCAGGCAAATAAGGCTACAGATATGTTGTCACCTCTGAGAATTAAAAAGTACCAATGACTCACACTCTGTTTTACATTATATATATTATATATTTTTGACTGCCTCGTTGGTCCTGCGCCTGATCTCTTTCCGGTCATGTCGGTTTACCTGTCCACATCGGATTATGAGAGTGAGGGAATAGAGAGTGCACCTGTGCTTGCGCATACACTTGGGCACTATAATCCTGTCCTGCGCCGATGGCTAGCCTCCGTTGACGCTGGCCGCCGTGACCGAAACTCGGTCTGGAGGACATTATTATTATTATTTTATATCTGTATTATACTGACTCTCTATACCCTTCAGACTACAAAAACAGCATTGGACTTAGTGACCGAAATACACATAGCGTGCGGTGCAGTGCGGGGTGTACCTTGCCGTCGGCGGTGAGTGCGAGCGCGTGCTTGCCGCCCGAGTGCACGGCGACGCGGCGCACGAGCGCGTGCGCGAGGTACGGGTTGGCGCGCGGCGTCGACACGTTGTTGCTGTGCCCCAGCCCCAGCCGCCCGTTCGTGCCCTCGCCGCACGCGTACAGCTGCCGGGACATAGCATTCATATTATATACTCTATGCGGAACAAAAAGAAACTGAAATATCACAACAACAACAACATGATTACTCCTGTGTTGAATGCATAACTATGAAGAGTAAAGCGCTCTGTCTAACTCATATATGTGAAAATTATCTTCATTTTTGTGCAAATAAATATTATGCTGATGATAAATTGATAAATCTTTAGAGTAAACACAGGAAATAAAGTAAATGGGACTCTACACACTATTGTGAAAGGTCAGAATGTGTCAAAAAGGCACGTATGACAATTCACAATGCTGTATTAGTCCGTACTTTAACGTATGGGAGTGAAAGTTGGGTGTGGCAGAAGAAGCACGAGAGTAGAATAAATGCAGTAGAAATGCGGTCGCTAAGGAGTATGTTAGGGCTGAATCTGTGGGCCAAGGTGAAAAACTGTGTGATAAAAGAAGAGTGTGGTTTGCAAGATGATGCGGTGACCAGGATTAAGAAAGGAATGCTTCGGTGGTTTGGTCATGTATAAAGAATGAAAGAGGAAAGACTGACAAAGCAAATATATGTTGCAGAAGACAATGGAAAAGTCGGAAAGGGACGTCCTAGGCGAAAGTTTGTCGACCAAATTGGCAATATATTAAAAATGGGCCAAATTAAGAGTACCCTTAAGCGACTAGCATGTATGCGTAGGTATATGGATGTGGAAGAGGCGAGAGAGGTATGTCACGAGATGAAGTCTGTAGTCTCTGCCTACCCCTCTGGGTGACAGACGTAAGTGTTTATGTATGTATGTGTAGTAAACAAAAATAGTTGTGCACACGTGAACAAAAATCTATTTTATTATATTCTGCAGCAGATCTCTTTTCACACACTAATACTATTCGCAACAGATTACCATAATATGCAAAATTTGTTTTTAATAATAACTCTATTGAAAACATTTATACGATGTACTCTCAATAGTGGAAAATAATTTTAATATAAGTATATACGTTAATAACAAACGCATTATAGAATAAAAGGAAATGGTAAGCAAAATTATAAATAAACAACTGGCTTACTTAGCTAACATTAAAAATTTCACGTATGATTTAGACATTTACCAAATTTCTTATAAGAAATGCACATTTTCCTATTTATAAAACAAATTAGTTTTAAACGAAAGAACTTATTCCTATATGTTATAAATTAGTTTTATTTATTTTTTCTATATATAAATTAAACATATTAATAGTCGAAAAATTGCTTACTTTGCCATCATGAGACACAACAAAAAGTGTCTTCGATCCACCGGCAATATGAACAGGTCGCAATGCACTTAAAACTGGCGAGAATACCGGCACTTTTACTTTGGAACCTTTTACACAGCCCAACTGATCTTTATCATTCAAGCCCCACACATAGACCTGTAAACAAAATAAAGTTTTTAAATAAGGTATAAAGTTTTGTGATATTCTTTACCTAAATTAAAATGTTTTACCTTTGGACAATCACTGGGTAGCGACGCTGGATTGGTTTCAGCAGAAGTAGCACCAGTTGGGTTATCTTTTTCCATCCAGTCTTCGGCAATGAAATTCATGCTCTATAAAAATAACCCATATCAAAAAGAGTTATAAAAACCACATTAAGCATAAAATAATCATTAACGTTACTTACCATTAATATTTCTGAGTACAGTGGGTTTGGTCTAAAGCCGGTAATGTAAAGACCGTGCACTCGACAGTCTGCATTAACGTTGCGATTTTGCTTTATCCCAATTTCTATGCAGGGATAATACTAAAAATAGAAAATTAACAACTAGAACGTGAATTGTCGCATAAAGATTCTTAAAGGGGCTAGAAAAGTTTCACTTTAAACTGTTTATATGATCGAAGGCACTTAACATCTATACTATTGAAACAGTACTACAAAATAGTTAATCTAATATATTTATCTTACTACCATTACAAACACGAGACATTATGGCTGGGATGCCAACATGTGAGCACACACAAGTTAATGGACGACTTTCGTATTTGAGTCGTGATTCTTGATCACTATCAAGATTATATAGGATGGCCAGATATTCAAGGACTATTCTTTGGGTACTATATAGTGGTTATTAAACATATTGTAAGTATACTAGTTTATGTCGCAAAAATGGCCAATGATAAAACAAAATTTGTCAGATGCGTAAAATAGAATTTGTCAGAAATATAAGAAGCGAGAACATTACCGGCGACCACTTACAGCACAATGTAATATAGCAGAGCAAATATATTTAATGTAGTAAGCAAGCTCGAACAGACTATATTATTACTTTGAAATAATACTAGTTTTTACGGAATTTATCGCGTATATTTAACTTTTTAAATACCCGACGTTTCGAACGCTTTACAGCATTCATGGTCACGGGCGGGACTGAGATGTTCAACGTCCATATATCATAGTCAACCGCGGTTACCATAGATTAAAATTTAACTTTTGTTCCGATCTATACAGTATGAACTTATGGTATCTTGATACGTACAGGATCGCCCCCGTCACTACATCAGATTTGATAGACCGCAAATCCTCGCTAAAGAACACCGATTCCTTCCAAGGATGATTCGCGAGGCTATTGAAATCAAAAAACATCCTAATTTCAATAGAGAAGATGGCTGGGTGCTACCATCTGCTTGGGATCCTATAATAAATAAAATTAAATCCCAACCCACGCATACAACTGCAAGACTTCAAGATACCATAAGTTCATACTGTATAGATCGGAACAAAAGTTAAATTTTAATCTATGGTAACCGCGGTTAACTATGACATATGGACGTTGAACATCTCAGTCCCGCCCGTGACCATGAGTGCTGTAAAGCGTTCGAAACGTCGGGTATTTAAAAAGTTAAATATACGCGATAAATTCCGTAAAAACTAGTATTATTTCAATGTGTAGTGTACGCGTAAATATAAGAAATCATTATATATTATTACTTGTTTTTCCTACATTAGGAAATCAATTTTTTCTTACATCAAATAATATTATTATACCATCTATAAAATATTATATTTCATAATAATATTGCTAAAAACTATTTTGGTTGCAGATTTAGTTTTTGCAAGAGATAGCTTCCATGGCGCAGTGGCTTAACATTGAGTAAACATACTGAGAGTCGCGGGTTATGACCCAGTACGGAAGGCATATTCAATCACGTAAGACCACGATACAGGAGAAAATCCTAGGGGGGAATAACTATTACTGAAAAAAGCCGTACATAGTAGCGTATAATTTTGTGAGAATTGGATAACGTCGTCGTATGTACAAGTGTATTGTGTACCTGCTTGCAATCGGCGAGCAGCTGCACCTGCGCGAGGTGCGCGGGCTGGCGGTCGCGCGACGCACCCGGTGCGACGGGCACTGAGGGCGCGCAGGGCGCGGCGGCCAGCGGCACAAGCGCGGCCTCCTCGAAGCTGGCGCCGCCGCGCACGCACAGCGCGCCCGCCGCGTGCGCGCCGCCCGCCACGCCCAGCCCCAGTCGCCGCACGCGCACGCCGCTGCGCATCGACACGCGGATCCAGTGCTGCGCCCACACGACACTCGTATTTAAACATTATATATACTTATATTATAATTCTTCTGTCCGTGTGTATGTGACGCAACTCCTAAGATGATTACTTGTTACTAGTAGTGGCGGGCCTTAAGAACCATTAAAAAGACATATTTAAATTACGCAAAGCTGAATTTTTATTGTGTTTTAAAACTGATATTATGTTAAAGGAGCTTCGATAAACTTTAGCTACCCAATATAACAAAATTATAATATTAATACAAAAAAATCAAGGTAGCATCTGCATTTTGATTGTTAACCAAAGATAAATGTAGATGTCTATGGGTCTCAGCATCCTTTTAGCGCCATGACAATGTGTTCGTGTTTCATTTCATCCTTATTCTATAAAAAATAACACAAATGTATAAATATAATATGACATAATTGATGACAAATTTCCGCCACAAGCTGTTTTTGACTATATATATATATATATATATATATATTATATATATATATATATATATATTCAAATGTTACTCAACTTTAAGATACCGTTAAGTCTTGTGCTGTCTCTATCACTTTAACTCAAAGTGACGGTGACAGCAAGAGATATGTACAAAATTGAGCAGCGTTTGAGTATTTGTGTATATCTTTATATACAAAAACTACGTGTCACATTCCGTCCGTAATGAATTCCTAAACAAATTTCAATGAAATGTTGTAAACATGTAATGCTTGCTGCAATTTGAGAGGTAGGATAGTTTATATCTCATTAAATGACCCTCAATATTTTTAGCACGAATTCAAGGATTTTGTATATGACAAAGAGTCGTCGGAACAGGCAAAACGATGTCAGCAGCATGCAGTATTAATAACAATCTGTATAACGTACGAAGAGCAAAGAGTGCAGAGTACGTGTGGTACCTGTCCGGTGCCGCTGGAGCTCTGCCAGTAGGTGTGCGGCTGCGCGTCGAGCAGGCGGCGCGCGCCGGCGCCGGGCCGGCACGACGACACGCGCACCGCGCGCACAGCACCGCGCCACCCCACCGCCGCGCCGCCCGCGCTCTCGCCCCACTCCGCTGCCGCAACCAACCGCACGCACACCATCATTATTACATGCTACTATTGCCTGCTCAGTGGGCTTACCCAACATTACGTTCTATGTTCGTTAACAATACAGAAAATTATAAAAAAATGTTGAAATCAACGCCAAGTCACGTGACTTTACGTTCAGATATTTAGTATCTATTCATTTTTATAGTTTTATATAGCATTAACGATCGTAAACAGTGGATCGATCGTAATTAGTGAAAAACCACATGGGTGTACTATTTCTTATTTTGTTTATATCGTCTTTAAAAAACAACATAAACGACCTGAACATAAACATTTTAAGTTGAAATATTACATTCCATTTTTGCTTTGATTACTACATAAGACGAAAGACATACATTACGTCGAATCGAAGGGTAAAGGGACAATCCATAGTTTACACTTATAATAAGCACATAGTGAACACACGGAGAAAATATGCCTAATATTAGTATCAGTTTATTTTATTTTATTTTTATTAACATTCCTATTATTTGCTCGCTTAACATAATAATGGTAGCATAAAAATCCATCCACTGATTTCGTCACGTAATTATTGTAAGAGGCAATAATGAGAATTGCCAGAAAGATTTTATGACCTCTGATAAACCTCTAATAAGACCTCTATAACCATCTTGTAAATAACAGATGTAAAATACAACAACCCGCAACGGCGATCAAATAGCCTTCACATTAGAAAATCGTTTTGCGTTAAAGAAAGTTTTACTTCCACCTTGATTTCGTAAAACCGCACCTAAGTTTTCTTGTACAAGGGATACAAGACGAGAAATAGAACTCTGATCTCTGAAAAATTGTACAAGTAATTTTAAATATAGGTGAAAACAGAGGATATTTGAGTTCCCAAAACATTATTTCGACATACACCACGATTTGCAGACGTTTTGATGATGATTATCATATTATTTGGCCATTTTCATACTTTAGAAATTAATTATTATTAACGAAACCAGGGATGGAAAGTACAAGTTTGCACTTTACCATTCTGTCAGATGCAGAAAGGAAAACAAGAGGATAGTGTAGTGTAAGGCCTTCGTAAGTGAAATCACTGTCCCATATCATCGGTTGTAAGAGACGCAGAAGGAAGTCGGAACAAGAGTTGGGCGGCAGCATCTACAAAATGATTTACCAACATGTCTGCTATACGTGGTAAATATGACAAATATCCTTCTGTGAACAAAGGAAAGCCCTACGCTTGCATGGACCTTTGATAGACTGAAATGCATGATCGATAAATCAATCAATCAAATGTATCAAAAATCCGGCAAGCAAATATATAACTAATCGCAAATATATCGCCACAAATACCAGTTTTGACCAGGTTTCGAATCCAAAACAGCATTATAAAATACAAAACAAATAACGAGCATTTGCTGAAAATGAGAAGACCCAATTGTAATTGTTTCAAATATATCAAAATTAACATACATTGATCTGTGACTAGTTCCATTTCACTGACTTGACCGGTCCAGCCGGGTTGTTGCGGAAAATCTACCGTCAAGTCACGGCCATTGCTAGAAATTCCTGTAATCAAACCTTTAATTAGTTATGAAGTTATCAAATAATTAAATTAATTGAAATAAATAAGTTATCAAATGATAAAACGAAAGTGAAAGTCGTAAGTGTCCAAGTTTGTTTCCACTATATTTATAAGGTCGAAAAATAGTGTGAAGGAAAGAGATGAGCCCGTTAAAAAAGTGCTTTGCAATAAAAGTGTGAGCGGAAAGCAAATAAAGTGAAGGTGCGTAAGTACGCGTACCGGTGACGGTGCCGACGCAGGTGTGGTCGATGCAGCCCCACTTGTAGCGCGGTTGCGTGACGGCGGCACGCACGCGCACGCGGTCACCGGGCGCGAAGGGCGGCGCGCCCGACACTACCTCCGCGTGCAGCGCACGCACGCCGCACACGCGCCCCAGCCCGCGCCACTCCACCTGCGCACACGCACACACCCGTTTATCCCTGGCACATCATTCAATACTAGATCATCAATCCATCTATCCATTACATCCTTGAAAAAGTACCGCTGCGTTTCTTGTTGGTTCTTCCCAGGGCAGAGATTTTTTTTCCGAACCAGTGGTAATTAAAAAAATGACTTTCAATAAGTATTATGCAATCTAATCTATATCGAATAAAAATCATTCATTTCGTTTCATTAGACCACTGCTGAACATAATATATACTTCATAGATTGACTCATTGGAAGATTTTTTTTAATTAATCTAAGCCAATGCTTAACTACAATCCCACCTGATGGTAAGTGATGTAGCTAAGACGGTAAAGCGCACGGACTTAACAAAAACTTATTCAATCTTGCCTTGAAGGCACCCACCCACTGTAATCGGATGAAAAGACAGATGCTGGCTACTTATTCCACTCCTTTGCTGTACACATGATGAACAATGAAGCAAACTATTTGGTTCGAATGCGTGGTAAATTAACAACGAGAGGGTGGAGGCTGGCCGAACGTCTGGTTGTCCGATGGTAGAAGGGAGAAGGAGAAATTAAATTGTGTAATTCCTGTGCACATCTTTTTCAGATTTTGCCATAGTTGCCACCGCAGTTTTTTTTTATTATTTTGAGTTATTTTTAGGAAGATGCTACTGCCCATCTACTGTATCACTTTCCTTCTGTCGCACGTTACGAAACCCTCCGGATGATATGGGGTAGTAGATATTCTTACACCGCCACTACGCGGTTAATAATAGTAGTAATTGGAGTTAATCAAACAATTCTATGTATACTACTAGACAGGGCTCTACGCACTTATTATACATTGCATACTAAGTTATGGTCAATTCTCTGTAAATTCTTTAGTCGAATGCGAGCAGCCGAGAACACTAGTTCTTTTTTTTTTTGTAAACCACGAACGTTGTTTTAGACACTCTAATAATGAATTTGTTTAATGGAACTAAGAAAACATAGTCATGTGCGCACTTTGTCAACATGATTTCAGATAAGTATGAAGAAAAGTTGAGTTTTCAAAAAAAATTCGATTTCTAGTGTATGTATATACTCAAAACACCTCACCTAATACCGAAATCTTCTTTATTTTTTATTTATTTTTTTTACTTTAAGGAATATTATCTTTAATGTCATTAATATAATCAAATATTAATTAATCTTTATACACTTTTCTGACAATTTTACTTCCCCGTCATAAAATCTGTCAAATACTTCACCTCGTTCCAAAGTAGCGCTGTCGTGATGATACAAAACGTTTTGGAAGGCCTCAATACAAACTTCGGACTCTATTTTTAAAATTTATTAAGACATTAGCTAATGTCGACGATGTCCTAACCATGAATGTGCAAATAAACCCTGTGATACATTGTACAACATACCTTAAGACAAATAAGAAGTGTAGGGCTCCGAATAAAATAGTAAACAAGACAAGGAAAATGTTTTTCCTGCGTTTCAATAATGCACAGACGTATATTATTAGTCCGTTATAGTCCATTGCTCGACATGAGCATCTCTTTGTAGAAACTATTTGCTACCATCGACACATTTAACAGGCAGATTGGCGAATAGAACAGACACATCACGCACCTTTGACGTTGTTCTTCATCAGCTATCCACGTTTTTTTACATCTGACATAAACGAGATGATCGATGACCTACTACACCTACGGGAATGTGGTAATGGATTTTCTTACGCTAATTTTAATTTTGGAGATATGATGTGATAAATATTTAATGCGTAACAATAAAAACTTACATGTAGGAAGACATTCTGTTTTATATCACGTTCAATTTTTTGTACTTGACCAACGTCTCCCAAAGCGACCTGTATAGAGAATAAGTTGTGTTAATAAAAGAGAATTACCAACCATAACTAACGCTAAGTGCCATACTTACACTTTCATAAGCTTTACAACATCGCACAGTCATGCCTGGAGCGATAATATCCGAAAGGTACTGAGCGTACTCCTCCTCGGAAGCGAAACAACTGCGCCAACGGTACGGCGCAGGTCGCTTCTCTTGTTTAGATGTTTGAGGTTTTACTTCGTACACCGTCTCATCGAATCCGTGTTGCTGTTGTTCCAGCAAGTAAGCGACCAGTGCTTCCACAGTTGGTATACTGTTACCACCTAAGATTATTAAATATAAAAAAAAATACTGATTATAATAATTTATAGGTGACTAATTTCTTTATATATTACTGATATTAATAATTAAAATTAATAAAGTTAAATCAAATATTATGTGAGAAATTATTATACCCAAAGTTTGTATGGCACTATATACGGCGTGTCGCGAGAAACCCATTTCTATGACCTGTTGTACTTGCGAAGAGTTTGCCCATGTATTAAGATCTTTTCGTGCTGAAAAATGAAACTAATAAATTTTCTGATATGTATTAAAATTGAATAATGAAGGTATCTATTAAAACTTACACAATGACGCTGTACTTGTAGATGGTCCCATGGAAACTTGCATCATATTGCTCTTGTCTATAATTGGAAAATCAGGAGGCGAATCCACGTCTTTTTCATCTCCTACACAGATGATATCGGAATATAATTATATCACACGCAAGTTCTTTCATTTATTTTAATTTTTAAGTTGTTTACAACACAGTGCATTACTTAGTAGAAGCCGGTTAAATATACTACCACCTAAGTTATTTAAATGACATTGCTGATACTTTTTATAGAAAGAATATACTTTCACAGTTGTGTCATATAAATTTTCAGCGGATCCAATAATAACAGAAGTCGATTATGTTTTTTGAAATAATGAGAATGTTGTTGAAATTTCAACAAGCATAGTAAAAACAGTCTTACACCCATCACATTAAAGATCATTATTGTTTACCATGATTACCGGCGACGTGTGCGGCAAGCTGGTGCGCGATGGCAACGGCGGCGGTGGCGAGGTCGCGGGGCGAGTACGCCGCGGCCAACGGACTGGGACGGGTCGCCAGCGACAGCAGGCGACGCAGCAACGTGCCCTCGGTGCCAGTACTGCCGCCCCTTTCCATTGTACCTGAGAGCCACCAAGATAAGTTATCTGTCACACAAAATAGCACATAGAAATAAAATTGTCGTTATCATCACAAGTCTACGACTTAACGTAGGCAGTCACATAATGTCTATCCCTGTTTTATGTTTGTTATTTTTTACAAACTACTAATCCTGTACTGTTTGTCGGTTTGTTGTGAATAATTCGTGGTGAAAAGATAATATAAGTAATTAGATACATACATAAGTAGTGATAATATTATAATTGTCAGTTCTAAAAGTAGTTAAATGATTCAACCTGTAATAAAGTTATAAGCGTTGAAGAAAGCTAAAGTCAAAGATAGGACTTCGTTACCCTCCTCATCAATAAAGCATGAAGATATTTAAGACTATAAACTTTTGATTAAAACTACTTTTACGGATTTTATCTTATTTATATATTTATGTTATTTTTAATAGTCACGGGGGACTGAGGTGACTTTGCGATCATATCCTAGATGGTCCCAACCATTACATCAGATTTGATAGATCAGAAATCCTCGCGAAGGAACATCGATTCCTACCAAGGATGATACGTGAGGCTATTGAAATTAAAAAACATCCTAATTTCAATAGAGAAGATGGCTGGGTGCTACCATCTGCTTGGGATCCTATAATAAATAAAATTAAATCCCAAAAAATAAAACTAAACCTATAAAATTAAAACTAAACCCAAGCATACCATTGCAAGACTTCAAAACACAGTTCATTTTGCGTAGATCGGACCAAAGACAATAATTAAAAAACTGAAGGTACTCCGGGTTAACTTTGACATCGGGACATCAGTCACCTCAGTCCCCAGTGACCATGGGTGTTGGAAAGCACCCGAAACGTCGGGTATTAAAATAACATAAATAAATGCGATAGAATCCTTAAATGTAGTTTTAATCAATGTGTGGTGTTCGCATAAATATAAGAAATCATTGCTATTAAATTTTCTTTACTTTCTTTTAAAGGTAACTTCTTGTTAAAAATTATAACTAAACGACAAATAAACTTACGTACCAGCATTATCGGGTGGTTGCATTAAAACTTTTCGGAGACGCGTTCTAGTAGTAAGCAGCCCTCTAACAGCACATAACATTAATAGCTCCATTTGTTGTCTTCTTAGGCCGTAAACGTCTACCTCAGCTAGAAAATTTAATGGCGTTTGTTAAATTATGCTTATAATTTACACAATTATTACATACATAATATATTTTCTTTCTTTCTTTTCATAATGCATTTTGAATAGTGTACTATATGTAATTATGTTTAAATTGTATTAAAAAATATTTAGGTGTGAGTTAAGTAAGTAGCAATTCTCATTTGTTTAATTGAGGTTAAAAGAAATAAAATAAAATATAAAAAATTGTATGCTTGGCGTAGTATATTTATAAGTGAGTAGTGCCATTACTTGTAAGAGATTGAAAGACAAGCGTTACAAGAGAACGCAAATGCAACTCCGGGTTGTTAACCAATACTTCCATTAGCTCCACAGCTCGAAATTCAATTTCAAAACGTTACATTACAAACTAATGTTCTCAGTCACTACTCCTCTATATATTTGATCAAGCAATAGATATAATGCACAGTATTTAGGTTGAAAACCGCAGTACGGTAAACTAATAAAAGTACCCGAAGTTTCTTGGATACTCGACATTCAGGTCAGTATTACATCGGTCATTGTTGTAGTAGGAATTGGCTGATATAACATCGTTAATTTAAATTCTTTCCTTATTTGCACTGTTGTTATTCGTTCAGTAACTTAGTAGCCGGTAGTGTTGTCCAGCAGCCTGAGTGGACTATTAGCCTACTGGACGAACATGGAATCCTATAGCGGCGGCATCACCGCCGCTATAATCGCCGCGCTTTAATCGAATGATTGAAATCAAGTCACATAACTTGACGTTCAGATATTCGCACAACAGTCAAAACATCCATCCCGGCTATGTGTCAAATATCTATTGTCCGTAACTGTCATTCATTGCGGCGATTCAATTTCCGCCATTTTTTTAAATGTACTTTAATTACAATTATACTTCGCTTTTAGCACTAATGTTATAACAATATATAAATTTAGATGAGAACACAAAATTAAGTAAATTATTTCTCTCGGGCAGTAAATTCAAGCTGCAATGGCTGTAACATTTAAGAAATGACGCCTTTTAGAAAGATACTGCTCAGGCGCTAAGTCACCTCCATTAATATATATATATATATATATATTGCTTGATCAAATATACAGAGGAGTAGTGACTGAGAATTTTTTTTAAATACGTTACCCCTACACTAAGATTTTCTCTTGTATCGTGGGGGCAGTTTACAAACATAAATTGCACAAGGACAAACATCCAGACAAACAACTATTTGTAGGCCATACAAATACGTGTTCCGTGCGGGATTCGAACCCGCGACCCCCAGCGCAGCCACTCATTGCTTAAGCCACTGCGCCACGGAGTCGTCAACATTAGTTTGTAATGTGACATTTCAAAACAGAATTTCGAGCTATGGAGCTAATGGAAGTATTAGTTAACAACCCGGAGTAGCATTTGCGTTCTCTTGTAATGCTTGTCTTTCAATCTCTTACAAGTATTGTCAGTACTCACTTATAAATACACTACGCCAAGCATACAATTTTTTTGTATTTATGTATATATATATATATATATATATATATATATATACATATATATATATATATAAATATATATATATATATATATATATATATATATATATATATATATATAGTCGGACTATTTATTTGTCCCAGGTAAACGTACTAGTCAACAACTTCGAGCATAGTGCTCCCAAACACTACCGGCATAGTTGTGACATGGAGATTGAACATGATCTTTGTTTTGTCCATGTTCATCATCAAGACCTATCCGTTGGGAGACACCATTGAGGTCATTGAGCATAGTGCTAAGGTCCTCCAGCGATTCTGCCATAAGGACTATATCGTCGGCAAATCGAAGGTGAGTGATGTACTCGCCATTGATGTTAATACCGTATCCTTTCCAGTCTAGTAGCTTGAAACCGTCTTCCAACGCAGCGGTGAAGAGTTTCGGGGATATAACGTCACCCTGTCTTACACCTCTCTGCAGTTGGATAGGTTTCGAACTCTGGTTCTGTACTCGGATAGCCATCGTAGCCCTACTGTACAAACACTTCAGCATCGATATACCGACAGTCAACTTGGCACCGCTGAAGGGACTGTAGCACCGCCCAAATTTCGACGGAATCAAAGGCTTTCTCATAGTCCACATATACGCCAGGCAAAGTGGCAGATTGTACTCTTCGGACTTCTGTACAATCTGCCGCAGGGTATGTATGTGGTCTATGGTACTGAAGCCTTTTCGGAAACCGGCTTGTTCGGGAGGCTGGAAGTCGTCGAGTCTGCGTGCGAGACGATTCGTAATGACTCTCGAAAACAAAAGGTAGACGCGGCTCAGAAGGTAAATCGGTCTGTAGTTCTTCAAGAGAGCGTTGTCGCCTTTCTTAAAGAACAAGACCACCGCGCTTCTGCTCCACGCCTCCGGAGTAGTGCCACCATGGAGGACGGAATTGAAGAGCTTCTGAAGGACTTCAAGTACCGGTGTTCCACCCGCTTTCAGAAGCTCCGCTGTAATTCCATCCTCGCCTGGGGCCCTGCCGTTTTTAAGGTGCTGGAGAGCCATTCTAATCTCGCTCAGACTGACGTCCGGGATATCATCGAAATAGTGTCGGGTAAGACTTGCTCTTGGATCGTTACTCACACTTGCGTGTGGCTCCAACGATGATGTGTACAGCTGCCCATAGAACCTCTCAATCAATTTACCTGGGACAAATAGTCCGACTAAGTAAGTCCAACTTCGACCGAGAGGTCAATCGACGGATTCAAATCGGCTGGGCAGCGTTCGGGAAATTACGACACATCTTCTCGTCAGGTATACCTCAATCTCTAAAAACTAAAGTGTACAACCAGTGCGTGTTGCCAGTGATGACTTACGGATCAGAGACGTAGTCCTTCACTGCTGGCCGTATGAGGACGCTCAAGGTCGCTCAGCGAGCTATGGAGAGGGCTATGCTCGGAGTTTCTCTGCGTGATAGACTCAGAAATGAGGATATCCGCAGTAAAACCAGAGTGACCGACATAGCCCAACGGATTAGTAAGCTGAAGTGGCAATGGGCCGGCCATATAGCTCGAAGAACCGATAACCGATGGGGAAGAAAGGTTCTCGAGTGGCAGCCTCGTACTGGTAGGCGTAGTGTAGGGCGACCCTCAACTAGATGGAGTGACGACCTGGTAAGACATGCAGGAAGTCGATGGATGCAGGTGGCTCAGGATCGTGCTTTGTGGCATTACTTGGGGGAGGCCTATGTTCAGCAGTGGACTTATGAAGGGCTGTAATGATGATGATGATGATATATATATATATATATATATATATATAAAATAATATAAACACAATATGTAACGCAATTAACGCACACCCTCAGACACCCCAATTAGTATATTATGTTATAATCATAATACATACACTGAATTTTTAGTTAAACCGTTTTATACACTGATTATTTATCAAATTAGTTATACCAAATTAGTTAGTGTGAATGTTGTGGTCACAGTACAAATCCACGAACGCATAGACTTTAACGTGCTTGAAATAAAGTTCATTTTTCTTTATTTTTCTTGGTTGACAGAATTAGTAATAATACAAATAAAAGTGCACTCTTAAAAGTCTAAAGTCAAAGGCAATAGCCTTAAGTTACGGTCCATTTCAGTTTGTTTTGACTGTACTGTGATTTAGTGTGACTGTAATTTACGTAGTTTTAATTATTTTTGGGATAAAAAATTACCTATATTAAAAATGATAGGAATCGATTCAGTAAACGATTCTGAACAAACTACTTTCTCAAAGTGCGTTAATTATGTTACATGTTATATATACATAAATGGGGGTGACTTCTAGTGAGGTGAATTTATGGTTTATACCCCCATTAATGGCTTATCATAGTGTAGTACACAAAGCTACTAGTATGTATCGGTTAAGAGCGTGGGCGTACTTACCGGGAAGATGGTGTGGGTGCAGAGGCAAAACGTTTGGCGCGGCGCCCAGCAGCGCTGCACACACCCGCAGTGCACTCTCGCCGCCGCCCAGCGCCTGAGGCAGCCGCTCGCACTCCGCACTCGTCACCGAATTTAGGTCCACCTAAAAAAAATACGTATAAGAGATCGGTCTCCAATTTTAAAGCGACATTCTTTATTCGTGTTTGATGAGCTTGTATTCGAATTATAATATGTTTTAATTATTATTATATAAATGTACATATCATCCTCATCATCAATTCAGCCTATCAAAGTCCACTACTGAACATAGCCCTACTTAACAGGAACTTTGATTTGCCATGGTGGCCACGGTTGTCATGCAAGTTGACAACCACAATTTTTTTTTATTATTTTGAGTTGATATCAAAATATTATGCTCCCATTTCCTGTTTCAGTTTCCCTCTGTCATCTTTTATAACATCCTAGGAGATTATATGGTGTAATGACTTATCTTACGTGGCTGCACACATAACATACTCACGCCTGTCACTCAGAGGGGTAGGCAGAGACTACGGACTTCCATTTGGCACGATCCTGACATACCTCTTTCGCCTCCTTTACATCCATATATCTACGCATACATGCTCGTCGGTTAAGGGTACTTCTAACGTGGCCCATTTTCAAAATATCGCCAATTTGGTCGATAAACTTTTTTCTAGGGCGTTCCTTCCCGACTCGGCCATTCACATCTGCCATATAAATTTGCTTTGTCACTCTTTCCTCATTCATTCTTTCTACATGACCAAACCACCGAAGCATTCCTTTCTTAATCTTGGTCACAACATCATCTTGCATACCACATTTATCTCATCACGCAATTTCTCACCCTGTCATTCAGATTCAACCCCAGCATATTCCTTAAAGACAGCATTTATACAGCATTTATTCTACTTTCGTGCTTCTTCTGCCACACCCAGCTTTCACTACCATACATTAAAGAAGGGACTAATACAGCATTATGAATCACCATACGTGCCTTTTTTGACACATTCTGATTCTTCATAATAGAGTGTATTGCCCCATTCACTCTATTCCCTGCATTCACTCTATTCCCTGTCGTTCTATATCCTTATCATATCTACCATCCCTGCTAAATACACATCCCAAATATACAAACTCATCCACATGTTCAATTAACTCTCCTTCTATCCTTATTTCACATACCGTTTTGCTTTTCTCTCTTTCAAAAACCATCACTTTCGTCTTACTTGTGTTCACTTTCATTCCCCTTCCTTTTAATTCCCAGTTCATTAATGTAACCATCATTTGAAACTCAGCCGCCGATGACGCAAATATGACTTGATCATCGGCATACAGAAGGCATTTGACGGTTAACTCGCCCATTCTTAACCCACATTCTTCATCTTTCAAAGTTTGCAAACACCTGTCCATAAATAGATTGAACAGCCAAGGGGAAGCTACACAGCCCTGTCTGACAGCTTTTTTGGATGCCAAATCAGTCCGAGTAGACCCCATTGATCCTGACACAAGCACTAGAGTCCCTATGGGGGATGAGTCGCTCGCGTCCGTAGGCTTCGACCACCTAACCTTAGGCCCACCCTACACGTGTCCCCCGGGTGGTGCTAAACGAGCGACAAAGCCGAAAAAATAGACACGGCTCCTAGCCGTATGGTAGCGGCTTAAAATATACCACTACCCCTAGTTCGCACCATGAGTCAGGAAATAAAAGATATGGTCCCGAGTTCCCGGCGCCCCTTTAATGGGGCAGGGGTGCGAAGAATCTCCTGGAGAAAAACCGGCGACGAGGTTCGCCACCCGTCACGTTCTCTCTCCCGGAGGGGTGAAAAGTGGACTGCGGAAGCCCGTCTGGCTACGCTTAATGTATATGGAGCAATGAATGATAAGATGGATGAAGTATGCGAAATGATGAATGACAGAGGAATAGATGTGTTATGTGTAAATGAGACGAAACGAAAGGGAAAGGATGCCACTGCACATGGCACGTATACAGCGTATTGGTCTGGTGTAGACGAAACCGAACGGGCATGCCAGTGAGTCGGTTTCATCCTTTCAGAAAGAATGGGTCAATGTGTGAAAGAGTATAAATGTGTAAGCCCGAGGCTGCTATGGATACGAATGAAAGTGAACTTAAAGAAGCTGTTCCTGCTAGGGGTGTACGCTGCAGACATGTCTAAGCCCACTTACATCCGAGAGCAGTTTTGGGATATGGTAAGGATGGTGTTGACAAAATGTAAGGAAAATGAAAGTATTATTATGTTAGGAGACTTTAATGGAAGGGTGGGGGTGAAGTGATCTGGTTATGAAAGGATATATGGAACGTTTGGTGTTGAAAGTATAAATGAGAATGATAAAGACCTCCTCACCGTATGTGTGGAAAAGAATCTTCTTATGACGAATACTTTTTTCGTCATAAGAAGATTCACATGTATACATGGGAAGCATGATAGATTTCGTAACTGTGGATGAAAGGAGGAGGAGCGCAGTCGTAGATACAAGGGTTTACCGGGGTTCCAACGTAGTGACGGATCATTACTTGGTCTTATGTCGAATTAATGGTCGTTTTAAGCGTTGGCGGCATCGGACATCTGTGCCTACCACTGCGTTACAGCGTATAAGAATAGAGAAGTTACAAGATGAAGATGTGAAAGAGAAGTATAAATGTAGACTGAGAGAAAATATTAGGTGTTTAAATGAGTTGTGTATGAATGATTTAGACTTGAATACTGTGTGGGATAATATTAAGAAAGGTTTGGTGGATGCAGCCACCGAAGTATGTGGTATAAGTAAGAGAACACATGAAAGGAAAAGTAATACGTTGTGGTGGGATGATGAGGTACGGGTGGAAGTTGACGCAAAGAAGAAAGCATGGTTAGATTTACTAGCAACCAAAGATGGTCATTCTGGTGGTATGAATGATGAGATTGAAAGAAAAAAGGCAGAATTTAGACGTCTAAATAAGAGAGTAAAAGAAGTAGTTGAAAGGGAAAAGAAAGAAAGAACGGGTAAGAATGATAGAAGGATATCTGATAATTTTCAGGCTAATATAAAAATGTTCTGGAAACTCGTAAGAACTGTCAGGTGAAATACAAAACAGCCTATAATTAATGCCATAAGAGACGAGAACGGATGTATTCTGAATGATGAAGTTTCGAATTTAAACAGATGGAAGGAATACTTTGAAACCGTGTTTATAAGTGAAAAGTCGTCTGAATTAAATGAACTAGAAATTCCGAAAGAAGTGCAAAGGGGTATGGAGATAAGTGTAGATGAAATAATGAAAGCAATGAAAAGCATGAAAGCAGGTAAGGCAGCTGGATATGATAGAGTATCACTCGAGATGCTAAGGGCTGGAGAGGGAGTGGTGGCAGGCCTGCTGTACACCTTGTTTAATTTATGTTGGAATTAAAACGGGTACCGGATGACTGGTGTAAAGCAGTTATAGTACCAATACATAAAGGAAAGGGGTCACAGCAGGACTGCAAAAACTACCGTGGTATCAGCTTGCTTAGTATTGTGGGTAAACTGTATGCTAAGGTGTTAATTGAAAGAGTTATGAAAGAAACTGATGGAAAAATTTGGGATGTGCAAGCGGGTTTTAGAAAGGGAATGAGGTGTACAGATCAAGTCTTTTCCATGCGCATGATTGCGGAGAAGTTTTTGGCCAAAAATCAGAAAGTTTTTTGTGGGTTCATGGACTTGGAAAAGGCTTATGACAGAGTGGATGGGAATGTGTTATGGCAAACACTGAACTCATATGGGTTGAGCGCTGCTAATAATATATATTTTATATAAATATACTAATGTATTTATTTGAACGTAAATTAAATATTCTAATGAATAAATTACATAGAATAGTACCTTGCTGACTGAGTTGTCATCGTGTATTATAGTAACTTTTGCCCTCGGTGACAGTTGCGTGACGATTGCATTCCGCGGTGGTGAGCCAGCTGTCACTTTCTGACCAAGTCTGTTACGCCATTCTACTCCACCAACAACGCCCAACGCACCAGCTAAAAATCAACAGTCTTCATATTACACTGCATTATTTCTCCAGATGCATCACATACTCAAGAAATTAAAAAGTACCTATTAGACAAGTATTCAAAGAGGGAGGTGACGGCTTCACTGTTTGAGTTAGGTCTTGACTAGTATGCGACCACCAATGCCAGTCGCTTGTTATCTGGAACAATAATACATATTACGTATTAAATACACAAATTTAAGTTTAAAATTAATACACTATTGCCAAACTATTGCAGATATCATAAAGAAAAAACAAAAGACATTAAATACTGTAAATTTTCTTTTCGATCTTTTAGATCTTAGATTGATAAATATATTTAGATTTTAGATCTTTCCTCTTATAGATGATTAAGCTAAAATATTTTGACTACAAGAGTGAAGACATGGACTTAGGCATCTCTTAAGCTAAAACACGACATACATTTCATGTGATACTTAAAGCGTGATTATTCTTCTGGGCACGCACTCACGCATTTTCCTTTGTATACACAAATATAGGTTTAAAACTATGAAGTTAGTTGCAAATTATTTTAAATGCATTTTTCTCTCCGTCTATCTTTCTTTATTGGTCTGAGAATAACAAAGACGAAATCAATAATTTAAGTATTCTAACAATTTTTATTAGTAATAATGTTTAATGTATGTTTTATGTAGTTTATAACTTTAAATATTGTGGTGAATATCCACGGCCACGTGGCGCAGTAGTTTGAGTTGCAGCATTAAGAGCCGCGGGTTCGATTCCCGCACGAAATAAGTTTTTGTGTTGGCCTACAAATAGTTGTTCCGAGTCTGGATGTTTTTCCTTGAAACTTATATAATATGTAAACTTTCTTCTCGATACAAGAGAGAATCCTAGTGTGGAGCTAACGTTTTAAAAAAAACATACAAATAGTATTAAAAAAATACAATATTAAAATGGATAAACATTTACAGGGACACAAGCAAGGCTTTTCGGAAGGCTTTTCGAGTAATTTCTTTCACAAATATTTTGAAGCACAAAACCCTGCTCACGAAAACCGCAACAGTGACTAAATGCACTTATCTGCTAAAATATGTTTTTTATCAAAACAATACCATTTGTGCTGCCAGTTGAAGCTTTTCGAGGAGAAGTGCAGTGATGGGTGTTTGCCACTGAGGAGCCGCGTGCAGCTGACGCACTAAGTTTACGACGGCTGCGCATGTAGTGCCTGTGTAACTAGCTGTAGCAGGCGCGCGCCACCTGTTGTCTGAAAGCGCAAGCATAATTAATTTTCATGTATCTTTTATTACGTAAACATATTTGCCACATGTTGCAATAAAATGCTTGTACGTATCACGTGCGCAGGATGACGTAAAGAAAAGTTTTAGTGACATGCCTCTCTTTAAAACGACACTTTTCACGCCGCCATTTAAGATTATTCTTTCATTAATTTCAAAGAAAAAACAGCAAAAATGCAATCACACCATAAAATTAACAACTAATCAAGGTGACATAAATATTCATTCTATTCTTGTCGTACGAGTATTATGAAATGTCAGTCTTTTAGTCAATATACAAAATTAGAAGTCCTCAAAGTTTAAAAACTTTATTAAAAGAAATTTGTATAAAAAAGGAGTTATTATGATATTAAATAATTTATAGATGGTAATAACCCCTGGGAATTAGGTTATCACTACTAAGCTATTTCTAATTTGTTTTATGTTATAAGTTGTGTGACATATTATATGTTTGTAAACTATTTTTTTTCTAAAAAAAAGAAAAGAAAGCTGGATTACTTGTTGGATTATTCCAGGACAGAGGTTTCTTTTCCGATCCAGTGGTAAATTAAACAAAAGAGTGACTTTCAATAAGTACTATTTATAATCTATATTGATTAAAAAAGATTTTGATTCTGTTTCTAATCTATTTTAGTCATTCGATTCGCCTCACGCTACTGACACACTAAGAAGTGGAACTTTTATAAAATTGTCAATCTGTAAAAAAAAAAGTATTTTTTTACTAAGGAGGCGAGTGTTCATTTAAAAATGAAATGAGACTGTTCTCTTGGTCTTAAATAGGCAACACAGACCAACAGAATACTATTTTTATACACATAATCAAACGGAATTAAGAAAAAAACATTTAAATTTTGCTAGTTTTAGCTAGTGTAATTATATGATTTCAACTTTACTCACCTAGCTCTTCTTCATCGCCAGTCACAACCATCAAGTGATTTGGTCTAAGCGCCGGGTCAGCAACATGGGTTTCAAGCCACAGCCGTCCCACTAATGCCAAAAGTTGTGCAGTTACGGTCTTGCGCCATTCAGCGGCGCCATTGTGCTCCATTAATACATGCTTTAGTAGCCAGATGGATTGAATCTAATGAAAAAGTTTATATTTTATCGACTATATTTTTATTAAGCGTTCCGGAAAACAGTGGTGATCTGCGGGCGTTACGTTGCAAGCAATTAAACTAGCTGTATAGTTCCTTCACTGCTGGCTCGCTGAGCTATCTATGGAGAGGGCTACGTTCTGCATGCGTGGGCAGGGTAGTTTTGTCAAACTGTCATCATGATCAGGCATCACGGTGTGTATTTAGAATCCGAGAACTTAATTCCGTTAGTTTTCAAGTCTACTATTGTTTTCGATGAAAAATTTCAGAACCCTTTCCATGCCTATTGCGGGCACGGCATGGAAAGGGAGTAGTATATTTTAATTTTGTTAAATGTAAATGATAATGATAGGAGTATTTAATCCCATCCCGGGATGTAAACACCAGCGCTCTAAAAAAGAAGTATAATTCCGCCTCCAGGTCCTTCAAAAGAGTCATTGCCAAGGCAAAGCCGGAGCATATAGGCAGAATTGGCGAGAAACTAGTTCGCATTCCTTCTGGAATGCACGGGGCATTTTGGTCTGTCGCAAAGGCTGTCTAGGTGAATTTCTGTCAGCCATTTTTTCCATCTCTGCACAGGGAGGACGACTCACTAGCGTAACTTGAGGTAACTTGAGGATCACCAGCTGATTAGTGATCGCCAATACGGTCGATCAGCTCGTGATCTTCTGGTCTACCTAACTCATAGATGGGCGGTGGCAGTAGAGTCCAAGGGGGAGGCATTGGCCGTTAGTTTGGACATTGCGAAGGCCTTTCGATCGGGTTTGGCACAAAGCGCTTCTTTTGAAGCTCCCTTCCTATGGGCTTCCCGAGAAATTGTCCAATTTTCACCAGCTTTGTTGCAGATCGGAGCATCAAGGTCGTTGAAGACGGTGCAAGCTCCGATTACAAGCCTATTAATGCTGGTGTTCCACAAAGCTGCGTGCTATTTCTTCTGCATATCAATGATATGTTGCAAACCTGTAGCATTCACTGCTATGCAGGTGACAGCACTGGTGATGCTCTGTACACCGGCCGTACCAAAATTTCTCGGGAAAACGTCTCCGAGTACCGGAACAAGCTTGTATCTGAAGTCGAGTCTTTGCTAAACAAAGTCTCGGATTGGGGGCGACTAAATCTAGTCCAGTTTAACCCTCAGAAGACACAAGTTTGCGCGTTAACGCTAAAAAGAATCCCTTTGTCGTATCTCTTCAGTTTCGAGGCACTCCCCTAGTTGCCTCAGCCAGTATCGGAATCCTTGATATCGACATATCGAGTGACGTGCAGTTTAGTGGTCACTTGGAAGAGAAGTCCAAATTGGCCTCTAAAAAGCTTGGCGTGATCAGCAGAGCGGGACAGTATGTCATGCCGGCACACCGCCTGCAATTTTACAAGGCGCAGGTTCGGCCGCACATGGAATACTGTTCCCATCTCTAGGCTGGGGCTCCCCAGTGCCAGCTCCTTCCACTTGACCGCATTCAGTGCAGAGCAGCTCGAATCGTTGACGACCGAGAGCTTTCCGATCGGCTCGATACACTGGCGCTACGAAGAAATTTTGCATCTCTTTGCATTTTCTTTCGCATATACCGCGGGAAGTGCTCTGAGGAATTGTTCGGATTAATCCCAGCCGCCAAATTTCGTGAACGCACTACGCGGCAAACGTCCAGATACCATCCTCACCATCTGGATGCTTGGCGGTCCACCACTGAAGTTTCACAAGGAGTTTTCTTCCACGTACAACCTCTCTGTGGAATAGTTTACCACCGGCGATTTTTCCGAATCGATACGACCTGGGGAACTTCAAGAAAAGAGCTTACTTTTTTCTAAAGGGCCGGCAACGCGCCTACAATTCCCCTGGTGTTGCGGTTGAACATGGGCGGCGGTAGTCACTTAACATCAGGTGAGCCGCATGCTCGTTTGCCCTCTCTTCTACATAAAAAATATGTACTACGCACTAGATCCCGAACACTATGTTAAACTGAACTGTACTGCAATCCGTACACCTTACTTTAGTGTCATTTAGTGTGACGTCGATATTCATGCAGTGTGGAGCGGCGCTAATAATACAGAAATTCAAATCAAAGTTTGAACTTAGACGTTAATAACAATTGAGTAGTGAAGTAACTAAAATTATTTGTTGTTCAAGTGAAAAAAAAAATTATAATATCGTAATACTACAATAGAAAAAATATTTTTTCATTTGAATGCCACGCCATCTACAATCATAGACTAAAACATGCACATATTCCATTACAAAACAACTGAATGTAGGTAAAATATTTTACTGAACAAAGACTTGACTTGGTGATTTTAGAAAGATTTTTAATTTTTTTAATTGTTTTATAACCAGTTTATATTTTTGAATATTTATTTCATGTTCTCTCTTTTTAGTACAAAATATTATGAATAAATATATGTGTAAATAAAATGGAATAATAAACAATGTAATAAATAAATGTATGCCTTTATATTTTACATTGTTCCAAAATAATAATTAAAATGTAATTGTGACATAATATTTTGTAATATAATAATAAATTAATATATAATATAATTAATAAATGACAATTAAAAAAAATTGTTCTCGATATAATTAACAATATAATATAAATAAACAATTTTTACATACTTATCATTCTACCTACGTAACTACGTAATCTATGATGACAAAAACTGTCCGCACAGTGCAGGTGCAACGCGCGCTTATATCAACTACGCACATTTTATGTTTGGAATATCTTCTCTAGTACGAAGTACATATAACTTAATGCTATAAAAGCATTGGTAGACGTTTTCAAGCTAATTGACTGGAAAGGATATGGTATTAACATCAATGGCGAGTACATCACTCACCTTTGATTTGCCGACGACATTCAGAGGCGGCATAAGGCGTGGGCGACGTGGGCCACCGCCTACGGCCTCGCGATCTGGAGGCTCCGCGCCCCCGAGGGTTTATGCATTACTTAAAAGCTTAAAAAATTTTGCTTGTCATGATACTATATTATCGACATAACTAAATACGTTTTTATTCAGTCCAGCAACATTAGCTTGTGTTGTAATCGCGGGGAATCCTCGCCACGTGCCGACAAAGCTTGGGATTCCTCATTCTGTTTGTTTAGACATAGAATACTGACTTTTTCTTACCACGCGTATGTAGCCTCCATTCTACGTTATGGGGTGATGATATGGGCAATAGTACTGAGAGACAAATGGTATTTATAGCGCAAAAAAAATGCATCCGAGCCACATGTGGGATTCCACCGGGCGAGTCCAGTAGAGCATCGTTTTGGAGCCTGTGCTTACTTCCTTTGCCAGCACTGTACATCTTTGAAATGAGTAGTTTTGTAAAACGCCATACTGAGCTCTTTCAGAAAGCCAGAGATATAAACTCTCGATGGACAAGAAATCCGGAGCGATTAGTGTTAAGCGTCATTCCAAGATCTGCTAAATTCAGAAAAAGTTGTTTAGCAATGTGTGTTAAGGTGTATAATAAGATCCTTACTGACATCATAATTCATAATTATTTATTTGCATAGAATGTAGGTAGATATTACAAGAGTATTATTAAAACATGAAAGTTCCTATACATTCTGCCTTGTCGAGGCGTGCAAATTTTGACTAATTGGATATAACAATTTTTTTTATGAATTTAACTTATTTACAAATATCAAAATGTTCATATGTAAAAACAGTAAAATTAACTAACTAATAATTATTCTATAACTATCGAAGTCCTTTATAAATTCACAGCAAAAAATTCAAGCATTTTTGGATACAGATTTTTTTGTGATCAAGATACTCATTAACAGTATAGAAACAATTAAGTAAAAGCTATTCATGAAATTGTTTTTTTAACTTTGTCATTGGGAAATTTTTAAATTCGTCGGGTGAAGAGAAGATTTTAATCGCCATTATATATGAATTTTTTGGAAGACATCAATTTACATTTTGGAAAGTATATTAGATTTTTCTCTTAAACTTCTATCTCTAAAAAGTTATTACTTGGGAAGTATTCAGGGAATTGTTTGACAAAAATCGCCGCTTGTTTTATATACATACATGCGAGTGGCAGCACTTTTATTTCTTTAAATAATGGTTTGCACGATATCATGGAATGTGCTCCACAGATTGCTCGAAAGTATTTTTTTTTTTGGATTTTAAATACGCGTTCTATTTCAGAACAGTTTAACCCCATATTAGAAGTCCGTACTGCAATATCGATGAAACATAGCCATGATAGGCGTTTAACGCTGCTTTGGCAGATGCTATTTCTCGAAGTCGGCGAAGTGCAAATACAAATCTGTTTAATTTGTCACATATCGATCGATCGAAAAACCTCAAAATGAATTTATTCAAATCGACACTCTATAAGTGGCTTATTGAACTTAAAGTGTATGACATTGAAGAATTTATTGACATTAGGCTTTAATAATTATTGATTTGTTGACATTGATTTTAATGACTATACTTGACCCCTTTGAAATAAATGTTACCTGAACATAAACTTAAATTTGCATGCTAATTATAAGCCAAACATGTGAACTTATTTTACTGTACCACCTACAAACACCATGTTTTAAGCAAATAAAGAAATTATTATTATTGGGGGGTATCAATATAGTTTTCTCATCTGGTTGGGTTCTATAAATATATAATTATAAATGGAAATGAAAAGATAAATATACATAAATATCAATAAAATTAAATAAATATAAAAATACATAAATAAATAAAAGCCCAACCTGATGGAGGCCCTCGGCAGGGGAGACCAAACGGCCGAGGGTTAGGGGGAAAGGGAAAGAAACCGGCAGACGATGCGGGCGGTATCGAGGAGCACCGCCTTCTGCATTTGAGCCTGAATCGGTCCACTACGTAGTCCCAGCCGCTTCAGATGACCCCAGAGGCTGACTGGGATTAGCCCGTTTGCAGAGACGACTACAGGAATAATTTCGGTCGGCAGACCACCCCACATGTCGGTCACCTCGTGAGCCAGGTTCAGATATTTTGTTCGTTTATCTGTTTCGGCTTTCACGAGGTTCTCGTCATACAGAATGGTAATGTCGACCAAAAATATCCTTGACTGTGCCCGGTCCATCAGCACAATATCAGGCTTATTCGCAAGAATAGTCCTGTCTGTGATGATGATGACCCGGTCCCAATAGAGCCTGGCGCGATCATTTTCGAGCACGGCTTCCGGCAAGTACCTGTAATACGGCAATTTCCGATCCACGAGACCGTATTTCAGAGCAAGCTCCTGGTGAAGAATTCTGGCTACTAGGTTATGTCTGTGCAAGTACTCAGAGTTAGAAAGCGCCGAACAACCGGATATGACATGCCTAAGTGACTCACCGGGATGGCGACAAGCTTGACAGATGTCGACGGTGCCATCCTTTAGGATGTATATCCGATAGTTGTTGGTCTTAATAACCTGATCTTGTATTGCACAGACAAAACCTTCGGTTTCCCCGAAGAGGTCACCAAAGCGTAGCCAGTGGAGGGAGGCTACTGTGTCTACGAAAGACTCATGTAGAGCCTAGTAGAACCTCCCGTGGAGCTTCTTCTCCTTCCATACGGTCTCCCGGTCGGAAATGCTCTGCACTGCCGGGTCTTGCCATTGCTCGTTGGCTAAGGATAGAGGGGTAAGTCCCTTATCATAAGAAATGACGTCCTTATAGAATGGATCATCCGATCTCGCCAGGATAATAATATTGTTATAATAATAATAATTATTATTATTATAACAATACCGATCAGTGCAGCCTCCGCTGAACGAAGCTTCTCAAAATTAAAATTCATTGAAAATTATTTCAGGAACAAAATGTTTCAGGGAAGACTTTCAGCGTCGGCAGTTTTGTTTATCGAGGCAGATATGCCATCCAAGCTGGATTACGAGATACGATATAATTAAACAATTCAACAGTATAAAAAGCTATAATTTCTGTTCTTTTAATTTTTTTGAAAATGTTTAACAAAAGTTTCATGCAGTTTGCAGAGGGCCTCGCAAAATGTATCTTGCCCACATAAAATTTAGGTCTTGCCCCGCCACTGACGACATTACAGTCTTTATGGCAGAATCGCTGGAGGACCTAAGCACTATCCTCAATGACTATCATCATCATCATCATGAGGTCATCACCATCATCAAATCATCATGAGATAATGATCATCATTATCGTCATCATGAGATAATGATCATCATTATCATCATCATGAGATAATGATCATCATCATTATCATCATCATGAGCTCATCACAACTTCTTCCAATGCATTTGTAGTTATTTTGTAGCTCTTTACATTATCATTTACCTTTAACAAAATTAAAATATGTGTATACCTTCGTCACCTAAAAATCCTTTTCCATGCCGTGCCGGCAGTTTGCGGCCGGGCCTTACGACAGTTTACCGTTCATGTTTCCGATACAGTTCGACTGTATCGGAAACATGAACGTACTGAAATTTTTCATTGAAAACAATAGTAGACTTGAAATCTAGCGGAATCAAGGTCTCGGATTCTAAAGCCACACAAGGACCTGACCATGATGACAGTTTGTCAAAACTGTCCTGCCCACGCATGCAGACCTTACCGCCATCACGCCAGTGTGAAACTACGTTGTTGCTCGGTCAGATTGCCACCGTTACCGTAACGTCACCTTCTCTGTTTGGTGGACGCTTTATTGCAGAAAATTAAATTTACTTAAAAATAGGGTGTCGAAATCAGATTACAAAATTAAAACAACCCTCTTATATAATATTATATGTAACTGAATAACTTTTGTGAAGTTACAAACCTGTAAATATATCAAATCTTGAGAGATCGGTTTGTCTGTCGCAGAAATAATGCTGTAGCACAATTCAAACCACGAGTCGGTGCACAATGATCTTCTCATTTCAGGAGTTTGGGCGCTTGCTACAGTAAAAATGAAAGATCCCTCTTTATGAATTGGTTTTTATTGGGTAAAGTAAGGTTAACAAGAAACATCATCTTTAGCTACGGACGAAGAGGTAAATAAAAAGAGGATTTTTAACATATAATAAGAAGAGATGCGAAAGCAGAATATGTTCATGACAAATATTAGTAAAATCTATTTGCGATCTAATATCAGCGAATAAAAACAATGTCGAGGTCGTGTTTAAAACTATTGTCAATTGATTTTAATTGTATATTATATTAAACTGATATAAAATAATGACTACAAGTGGTCTTAACTGTCATGTACTAAATAAGGATATAAGGTAAATTAATAATGTAAAATAAAAAGAGATATCTAACGTAAAAAAGTTCTTAATAAAGGAAATTTATTAAGGACAGTACTCTGGTACTGCGTACATTTCAAATGAATCAAAAACCATGCTCTACTTTTTAACATGAACTCACGCACATATCTTTCATTCTTTATCAGCCCGTAAAACCTCACTGCTGGATAATATGATGTTCCCTACCATGTTGTTGGTTGCAAAATTTTAGATGCATATGCGTACGTGAGTAGGATCTTACAATAAAGCAAGGTTTTGTCCTGGTCTTCTGCGTCACTTGAAATTTATACAGCACTCTCTTTCTTACTTTATTGGTCTAAGACTCGTAGAAAATATGTTTGATACAGAATTATAAAGTATGTCAAATAATATTTATAATGTAGGTCAAAGTATAGGTAAAAGATCGCACCTCTAAGCAAAGCGAGTGCGGTGTGCGAGTGCGCAGCGAAGGCGGTGGGGGGCGGCGCGTGGAGCGCGCGGGCGAGCGCGAGCAGGCGACGCTGCAGCGCGGCCACGTTACGCCGCGCCGCACCCCCCGCCCCCGCGGTCCCACTCTGGCCGCCCGCGCGCACGCACGCCACGCGCAGAGCGCAGGTGCACGCCGCGCGCACCTCGCTCACCGGCCACCACTCCACGTTGCTCTCCACTGCCAACGTGATCGTGCAGTAATGAATAATTATTTTCTTGTGTGGTGAAAAATATCGAAAAAATCTTATGACCTCCGACTGACGACGACGTCACTTGTAGCGGATGAGAGCAAAGTGGACTGTATATTTATTTATTCTTGTATACGCTAGGGATAACTATTGCAATGAAATGAATTTAAACTATAACTGAACCTAATCCTATGACATCTATCTGACTAAATAAGGGTTGAGTTGAAATTAAAAGAATTAAAAATTAAATGACTATATTAAACTATATACAATAATTATTTGTGCGGCAGTTATCACTAACAGGGATCTTGAGGGCTTCTTTCTTGCTTGTTCGTTCCGATGTGGCCGCTTTATTCCGCTCGAATGCCGAAGCCGCGCCAGAGGCGCTTCTTATATTGCATCGGTCGGTGTGTCGTAGGCACCGATTTGGTGAGAGCGTTTGTCCTTGCGGGGCCCTTGTTCTAATGCGGGGCGCGAGGAACGTGTCGACGTGGGTGCGGTGCGGGGCGACGGACGATAATCTACTCGCCGTCCGCAACATCACTATTTAGTGTAAGTCAGACATAAAATACTTGGACCATCTAATGATGCGATCAACAATCCTGCGAAGAGGTTTGATCATCTTTGTTGATGAAAAGAAAAGACTACAAGACGACTTAAAATAGCAATGGATTTGTTTAAAGTTTATACAGAATCACTATGTATGTGATAAGGAAGAATAATATAAAAACTTTTTAAAACTACCCTACATGTGGTACACTGTTATTTAACGAACAAGACTCTGGCAACCAACTGATGACAGAAAACTTACTCAAAAACGTCGAGCACGAAAACGAGTGTTTACGATATACGACCTGTAATAAAAGGCATCATTAACAACGTGAGATTCTCAGATACGCGTTTAACATTTTCTAAAACTTTTTAACCTCATGTCCAGCAGAGGACTTTAAAAAGACTTATTACATTATGATTTACTGCAATATATCATGTAGCAGACCTTTTCAGTATGATATGCAGAAGTGTGCGAATGCAAATACAATATTACGATTATAATGATAAATATTAACAAATCCGTTTAGTCACCTCGGCGGTTTTGAGTTAGGACATAATAACTATGTAAAAATAATAAATTCAAATATAAATAGAAAATGATTTAAATAACATCTTTTGGTCTTATACCCCAGTGTCCAAATATATGTTTTTCTGTCTTTCATTAACGCGGACGAAATCACGAACTCTCAAAAACTTGTTGTAGACTAATAATAACACTTCTAGACTCTAAACTTACCAGTGCCATGCATTGTCTCATCCACAGACGGCGGCGGAGATGGGGAACGAGCTAACTTGAGATCATATTTCCCCTCTTTACCCATGCGATACGAGTTAGTGCCACCAGCATCCCAGGCAACACGTACCCAACCGTCTTCGCCTAGCTCTCCAATAACTCGGCCTTCTCCGCCCGGTACACCGTCCTGAGTGGTTAAATTCGAATTTCGTTACATTTTCTTATCAAATTAGGTTGTCATCTTATTATAGGATAACTGCAATATTGGATATATGAAAAAGAATTCAATATTTAAAGTTCAAACTAAGAAAGCAGCATAAAAAGCTTATACTAATGAAAGGCTTAAGGCCGGGGTGCATAAAATATCGAATTTATACACAATATTGACGCTCGTAATTGATACTTCTTGAAATATAGTACGTGAGGGTAATATGGTCAGTCATCCGGTTAATATGGTCACTTTCTTGTAACTCAAAAACTACAGTATTGTTTGCATAGATGGCTTTGTGATACGATAGCTCTTGATCGGTCAATCAAATAATAAAGGGTCAAAAGGGCAATGCTATATTCAAAGCCACTTTCACACAAAGTTGACATTATTGTAAATATTTTAGTATGGTGTAGTGTAGTGAGTTTTTTCAAGTAGATTTTCGAAGTATTCCTAATTATTGCCAAAGCTTGTTTGCTATTTTTCTTAATATTTGTCTCTATCCTTCTACTAGTCTTGGTTTTATATGGCGGCAAAGCTTAAGGGTCACCTTAAGCTTTGCATAGTACCTTAGTATATATTATGCTCGAAAAAATATGCACATACAATAAATACACCATTAAATTCTTAATCGAATAGGCTTCTAAAATAATTTTTTATAAGTTGAGACAAAAAAAGATAATTTGATTGCCAGGAAAAAACTTTGACGTTCGAGTTCTCGTTCTCATTATTTTAAGCTACAACAAATAATATTTTTCGATAATACGAAAGGCATGTTATTGAATTAGATTCATAATCGGCTATATTTTTATTTAAACCCTTCATTTCCTTATAATTAGCAAAAGAAATGATTGACTCGTTAGTTATTGCTGATTATATATTGTTAGTTATTGCTGTGATCATGAGGTTTTGGGTTTAAACTCCAAGTCAGGCAAATATATCAGTTATGGAGTCAAGACGTTGGCGGTGTTTCACTTCTGTACCACGGAAAGCACATAAAGCTTCTGATCCTGTGCCTGATCTCTCTCCGATCGTGTCGGATTACCGTCCCATCAGACGGAAAAAATAGAGAGTGCACCTGTCTTCGCGCATACACTCGGGCATTTAATCCTGTCCCGCACATCTGGCCGCTAAAATCAAAACTCGGTCTAGAGGATATTATTACAAAGCAAAAAAGTTTCTAATAAAGTAACTTTTTTTCCACCGAATTGTCGCACACTTACTTCGTGCTAGACAAATATGCATGCAGTGAAGAAAGAAGCGCTAAGACATTTAACGTTGGGGATCCTCGTCTTAAGATAGTAATAAATCTATAATTTTATATTAATTGAAAAGAAAATACGTGTTTAATTATTGTGACATTACCTGATCACCCCACTTCCAATCTTTACCACGCACAACTCGCGTTCCTATCTTCATAAGAGAAGCCAGTTCAGGACCAGAAAGCGAAGCGCCTCTAGCGCGAGCACCCAGCCTTTCATCCTCGTAAATAACTAAGCATTCGGCTAAAGAAAAACCAAAAATTATGTAATATTCTTATATTCATATACAAAATCAAATAATTTATTATTTTATTTATTCATTACGTACATTTAGATTTCGTTCCATGACAAATTAGGGAAGTATATTGTGTAGTATCTCCACCAATTTGTTTCAATAAAGTCAAACAAGAACTCAATGCTCCTCCGTTAATTAATTGCTCTAATTCCGGGCCATTAAAACCTTCTATCATCAGTGCCAGCAGGGAAATTAGAAATCTGTGAAAATAAAATGATCTGCAATTAACAACTTGATTCATATAGATATAAACTATGTTTACTTCGCATCATACCTCGCTCTTGAAGGTTTGTTCAGCAATGCATGAGCTCCATAGTTAGCACTCATTTTTAAAGGTAAAGGCTGGTGTTGTTCCCCTTCTAAAACTTTTGCTTTTAATTCGATAAGAATGAAATCCATCAACTTCGAACGCTCTAGAAGCACCATATATTTTGAGTATGGTATAACAGATTCGATGCCTTTTAAAGGTGATGTCAACGGGACGGTGGGTTTTAGAGGTGTGCGTGGCGCTGAATCAGCCATTGAGGCTCCCAATAGCCCAGAGAGCGCCGCGTACTTAACGCTCTCGGACATGGTTTGAGATAGGTGTAGAATTTTATTTATTATTTTATAACCATTTTTACGAATCTCAGCTCTCTGCACCTAAAATGTTACAAAACAGTAAAGGGGAAATATATTAACACATTTCTTCATAAGTAATTTTACTGAGATAAATTACAAGCCTACCTGGCAATATAAAGCTCTTCTCAGAATATCAATATCGCAAGGCTCTTCAGTCATTACAAAGTCAATGATTGCTGTTGTCAATTTTTGCTGTTCCTGTGTGACTTCTTCAAGCATCCAATATAAATCTAAATTGTAAATATTTCGTTTTTATTTGAGAATTAAGAAAAAAATTATAAAAATAAATCAGTTTTACATATTATACATACACGGATTTATTTTTCAAAGAGTAACCGAATTCTATATTTATGTTCAATTAAATAAATATTGATATATGTACCGTTATTGCAGTTTCTGAAAATACGAGTAAACATGGCTTCTACTTTTATTTGAAATTATTCCAAATTGAATGTGATTTATGGGCAACGAGTACGCGTACACACGCTTTGAGGAAGACACGCGACAATGTACATAAATTTCAAACCGATCGACCCTTAAGAATGTGTGCGTGCGTAGTAAAATAGTAGACGTTAAATATTTATGAATGACAATCAGTTGCGTTTTGAATTTAAAAGATAAAAAGGAGAAAATGTTTGAGATTTTTTATTCATTTGTTTCGTCACCATTCACCTACATTACTTAAACCTTAAACTGAACCTTCTATACACATTTCGACATACATTGCAAAATAACCCTTTATACCAATGTATTTTATTTCGTAAAATATATTATATTTAACTATTTAATACTATGGTATTTTATAGCAACAAATAAATTACCTTTTTCCTCACATGCTAGTCTTGCCACCCAGGCATTAACAAACTTATTTCTTTCAGAATTATCGTCGTCCTTTTCTTCATCAGCAGTAATTAGTTGATTTTTCAAATCGTCAGCCAGCAACATCACCTGCTTTTCGCTTTCAATCGATTCTTTTAAAATCGAATTGTCAGTGATATCGTTTATAGAGCTAATTGATACCTCATTTGTAGGTGTTTTATCATCATCTTTGTCTAGCACATCATCCCTTTCAGATATTTTTATGTCACTACGAGCTTCGTTACGCATGTCATCGTAATTTGACGCATTTTTTAAATCTTTCTCGAGAGGCTTAACCTTTAGCTTTAGTTTATATTTAGTTTGTTGATTAGCAGCATCTTTCAAAGCTGGATCGTTAACGCCTTCTGCATTAGAATGACTCTTTGGTTCAGTAACTTTTATGTGAATATCTTCAGTGGCTTTGCTTGAGGTGTGTCCTATTGTCGATTTAATAAGAAGTGCATCACCCTGAAGCAAACTACCTGTCGTTCTTAACATGCTTTTACTCAAGCTATTCTGCCTGTTCCTTAAATCCTTTGTTGTTTCAAAACTGAAAGTATTACCGTATTTAATAACAACAACACAAAATAATACAAAAAACTTTCAAGTTTACATATGAAAGAATAATTTCAAGAAAAATAAGTTAACTTTTTTATTAATTTTAATTTTAAATTTTAATTAGTTAGAGTCTATGAAAATTATTATAACATTGCATAGCATATTTAAAGTAGTACGTTTAATACTACATTTTGAAATTTTAAATTTTACTTCGATTATAAACCTATAACAGAATTCCATATCTGTCTATATAATCTTCATGCATAGTGTTTGTAGATTATATCATATTCCTATTTTGCATTATCGACTTTATAAAGAATATATTCATTTACCATTTATTGAAACTAGGCGACTTGGCCATTCGCATGACTTTTTGAAAAATCCTTTTAGCGGTAGGCGGCCGGTGGGATGGAGGCCTCTTTTGTAAAGCCGTGACTGCAGGAGATATCGCTGCACGTACTTCGTGTAACAAAAACCTGGCCCTTTCCAATGGAGCTGCGCATACCTAAAATAATGAATTAATCGTTTTTATACGGAACTATTGCATAAATGTATGTGTTGAAATAATACTAGTTTTTACGAATTTCATCGCGTATATTTAACTCTTTAAATACCCGACGTTTCGATAGCTTTACTCCCATAAATCCAAGATTCTACAAGCGGTACGTAGACGACACTTTCACAATTCTACCTTTGATAAAGTAACTGCATTTTTAAACCATCTTAACTCTATAAATTCTAAAATTTAGTTCACAATGGAGTAAGAAGCAAACAATTCTTTAGCTTTTCTAGATGTGTTATTAATTCGGAATCCTGATAACACCAGGAGGCCCAAATCGCCCCCCCCCCCTATCAATATGGTAGCGGAATTAAATGATGATAGACTACCCCAGGTGGGTACCAGCACCCCTGGAAAATCCCTCGCTGAGCATCCACGACCATGTTTCTCCACTTCTGAGCGTGGGTGCACAGCTGCCCCGCGTATTCTGGGGGGGGGGCAAAATTTCGCTCAAGACTACAACTGCTCGGGGCAAACGGAGCAACAAGATCAAGGCGACCCCTGCCACGCTGTCTGTGAATTTCTGCAATATCACGGGACTTCATTTGCAATATCAGGGTTCTAACCTAAACGCCGTCCACTACCATCTCGAGACGGTGAGGCCGGCTCTGCTCTTTCTGACCGAGACGCATGTGTCCTCTCCGGCCGATGTCTCGTATCTCTCCTACCCAGGGTACAAACTTTCGCTCCTTTGTGCCTCAGGCTGGAGTTTGCGTTTACGTCAGAGAGGACATCTGTTCTCGACGCCTCGGCAGACTTGAAGGTTCGGATCTGTCCATCCTTTGGCTACGCGTAGACAGCGACGACCATCCGCACGTCTACGGGTGCCTCTATAGGTCCCATAGCGATAATGCCGAAACAGACCGACTCTTCGACCACGTCCAAATGGCTACAGATTCGTTGCTACAGCAGATCCCCTTCGCAGAGATCGTGATCCTCGGCGACTTTAATGCCCATCACGCCGAATGGCTTGGTTCACGTTCAACCGATCATGCGGGGAGATCTGTTCATGATTTTGCCTTGGCATATGGTCTGACATAACTGGTTACCTCGCCTACGCGGATTCCAGATGTGGAGGATCATGCCCCTTCCTTTTGGACCTTCTGCTGACCTCTCACCCGGACGGACATCAGATTTCCGTCGACGCCCCTTTAGGGTCCTCGGATCATTGTTTTGTCCGGAGTGTGGTGCGCCACTCACGCTGAAATCGCAGTTACATTCTGCAGGCTGCCACCGTGTACGGCACTATAGGTCAGCTGATTGGGATGGGATGCGGTCTTTCTTTGCATCCTACCCTTGGGGGCGGGTTTGCTTCTCGCCGGACGATCCCAACGTTGTTGCGGATTCTGTCGCTGATGTGGTACTTCGGGGTATGGAACTTTTTATTCCTTCCTCTGTGGTGCCCACTGGAGTCAAATCTCAGCCATGGTTTGGTCGCTCCTGTAAAATTTCATCTTGCTATAAGCAGGAGTGCTTCCAAGCCTGGGCTGACGTATCAGTGTCCCGGGATGTAAACACCAGCGCTCTAAAAAAGAAGTATAATTCCGCCTCCAGGTCCTTCAAAAGAGTCATTGCCAAGGCAAAGTCAGAGCACATAGGCAGAATTGGCGAGAAACTAGTTCGCCTTCCTTCTGGAACCCGTGCATTCTGATTTCTTATATTTACGCGAACACTACACATTGAAATAATACTAGTTTTTACGGAATTTATCGCGTATATTTAACTTTTTAAATACCCGACGTTTCGAGAGCTTTACAACACCCATGGTCACGGGAAGGACTGAGATGTTCAACGTCCTGATGTCATAGTTAACCGCGGTTACCATAGATTAAAATTTAACTTTTGTTCCGATCTACACAGTATGAACTTATGGTATCATGAAGTCTCGCAGTTGTATGCTTAGGTTAGGATTTAATTTTATTTATTATAGAATCCCAAGCAGATGGTAGCACCCAGCCATCTTCTCTATTGAAATTAGGATGTTTTTTGATTTCAATAGCCTCGCGAATCATCCTTGGAAGGTTGTTCTTTAGCGAGGATTTGTGGTCTATCAAATCGAAAACGTCTCCGAGTGCCGGGACAAACTTGTGTCTGAAGTCGAGTCTTTGCTGAACAGAGTCTCGGATTGGGGGCGACTAAATCTAATCCAGTTTAACCCCCAGAAGGCACAAGTTTGCGCGTTTACCGCTAAAAAGAACCCCTTTGTGGTATCTCCTCAGTTTAAAGCACTCCCCTTGTTGCCTCAGCCATTATCGGAATCCTCGGCGTCGACATATCGAGTGACGTGCAGTTTCGTGGTCACTTGGAAGAGAAGGCCAAATTGGCCTCTAAAAAGCTTGGCGTGCTCAGCAGAGCGGGACAGTACTTCATGCCGGCACACCGCCAGCAACTTTGCAAGGCGCAGGTTCGGCCACACATGGAATACTATTCCCATCTCTGGGCTGGGGCTCCCCAGTACCAGCTCTTTCTACTTGACCGCATCCAGTGCAGAGCGGCTCGAATCATCGACGACCGAATGCTTTCCGATCGGCTCGATTCACTGTCACTGCGAAAAGATGTTGCATCTCTTTGCATTTTCTTTCGCATATACCGCGGAAGTGCTCTGAGGAATTGTTCAGATTAATCCCAGCCGCCAAATTTGGTGAACGCACTACGCGGCAAACGTCCCCATACCATCCACACCATCTGGATGCTTGGCGGTCCACCACTGAAGTTTCACAAGGAGTTTTCTTCCGCGTACAACCTCTCTGTGGAATAGTTTACCACCGGCGATTTTTACGAACCGATACGACCTGGGGAACTTCAAGAAAAGAGCTTACTTCTTTCTAAAGGGCCGGCAACGCACCTGCAATTCCCCAGCAGGCCCTTTTGTGCGCCCTTGGTGTTGCGGTTGATCATGGGCAGCGGTAGTTACTTAACATCAGGTGAGCCGCATGCTCGTTTGCCCCCTCTTCTATAAAAAAAAACCTTGAGCCATACTGTGACCATAGGTGCTGTAAAGCTCTCGAAACGTATTATAAAAAGTTAAATATACGCGATAAAATCCGAAAAAAATTGTATTATTTCAATGTGTAGTGTTCGCGAAAATATAATAAATCATTAAATGTATGTGATTCGGATTAACAGTACGTAAGTACAAGTATTTTATTAAATTTTCCTTTAAAATCATAAAACCAATAAATAAAAAATATTTGTTGCCTTAACTCTGGTTATTTTAATTTTCGTTTATTATGGACCATTGCAACCAATGTCAATCAAAGAAGGCTACGGATAGGTCGTCACATAGAATACTAATATATGTATTATACTAATATAGTATTCTGTGGGTCGTCACCTCTGAGTACTAAGATGAAATGCCTCACATCCGTAATTATATTTTTCTGTTTAAAGACGAAAGCAGTGATTGATTATGTTACCCGGTGTAACATAATCAATCACTGCTTTACAATTAGATTACGCCATTTTACGTTACTATATTCCGCAACAAAATCTCAGAACTTATAGCGATAAACTTAATGAACATTTGAATTAATAGAATATCATAAAAGTCCATTCCGTGCAACAATTCCATTATCTTAGCGTATCAAAATAGTTACTTCGTAAGACGAAAAAAACTCAAGCATTTCTTACTTCCTTATATCCACGTGACAACTGTTGCCTCGTCCTCATTAGCGTCCATTTGCTCTGTTGTACGGCTTTTACAATCTCGGACATTGCAGGTGACAACTTCACTTCTCCCTTTTCCATTTCTACACAAAAATAAATATTATAGTACGTTCCTTAGTTCTTACGTTTATATTATTAAAAAAAATATGTGGATGTATATACCAGTAGTTGCAGTTGCAAGCGCGTGTTCCTTCAACCCAGCGTGGAACAGCAACGCCGCTAATAAGGCACGTCTCAACTCTTCAAGCGGGTGCTCTGGGGGAAAGTGAGGGGCGCAACCTTCGCGACGTTCGCACGCCCACCACAGGTGCAGCGCTAATGGATCCTAGGAACATGACCTCAGTATATTATAACATATAACATTTCTACGTATTGATAATTCAGTTCGCATTGCGCTCTAACATCTAGTGCATTGAGTAGAACTTTTAGTGAAACTAAGTTAAAAAAAAATACGATTTAATAAATATCTATAAATTTTTTTATGAGAATGAATTGATAAACAAACTGACAATCCACCTGGTGGTATGTGGCTACTGCAGCTACAACCTTAACAACAAAAAAGGCTACAGATGCGTTGTCATTTCCGTGGACTAAGATGTAATATCTCATAGCCTGTAGTTATACTGGCTCTTTAATTCTTTACACAGCAGTGCTAGCACTGCTATTTGGAGACAGATATAGGTAAGATACTCAAACGAACTTTTAGGCAGAAAACAAATGCTAGAATGTGGTAAATGGTATTAACGTTATGTGGGGACCGCAATTTGTCGTATTTTCTTTAAATGAAAACTGAGCTGTACAAATACTGAATGACCTTTTTACTGATATTTTACAAAAAATAAAAACAAGAATTTTGAATTAAATAAATAAATTGACTAAAATCTATAGAAATTGAAATCATATCCACCCTAGCCTGTGACCCTGACTAAGTATTAAATTTATTGTTTTATTATCGTTCTGTTATAGATCCCCTTTTACTAGGGATCCGCTGACACAAAACACACAGTCAGCACTCTCTTAGTAGCTTCAGTACTTTATTTCAATACTAGCAATACCAGTCAGTCCGTCATACACTCTCATCCGAAACACTCGCCTCTCAAATTAAATTCTTATTTTGTGTCTTTCTATAATTAAATCCAGTTGTAATTTCTAAATAGTTTTTTAAAAGACATTTCGTGAAGCCCCGTATTCGTAAAGTAGGGTGGATATGAGTTGAATTTCGATAGATTTTAATTAATTTATTTATTTAATTCAAAATTCTTATTTAATTTTTTGTAAAATATCTCCATCCACATGTTACATCCTATTTTTTCCAGACGGTAAAAAAGGTCATCCAGTATATAACTGGTTTAGACTGCCTTGTTGGTCTAGTGATCGTAACCATGGTTGTTGTAAGGTCCTGAATTTAAATTCCGGGTTGGGTCATAAATCTCAGTTATTGGATTTTTATCGAGATATTCTCAGTAGCAGGCCGAAATTGTTGCACCCCTGTACCTCGAGTATATAATCACACAAGACCAACGGCTGATCTAGTATCTGATCTCTCACCGTTAGTGGCGGATTACCGTCCCATCGGATAATGAGAGCGAGGGAATAGAGTGTACCTGTGTTTGTATACTCGGCCACTATAACCGTGTCCCGCACAGATGGCCTGTCTCCGGTTAGACTATTTAAAACAATAGTAATGCTATTAACATTACTAATATTCCCTGAAACCATTCCTGGTAAGCTTAAAATGCTTGTATTACGAGTGGTTCACGACAGTAATCGAATGGCGGTTTCGAATACACGAAATTGGTGTTATTTGATAGATGATAGAGGTCCTCCAGCGATTCTGCCATAAGAACTATATCGTCGGCAAATCGAAGGTGAGTGATGTAGTCGCCATTGATGTTAATACCGTATCCCTTCCAGTCCAGTAGCTTGAAAACGTCTTCCAATGCAGCGGTGAAGAGTTTCGGGGAAATAACGTCACCCTGTCTTACACCTCTCTGCAGTTAGACAGGTTTCGAACTCTGGTTCTGTACTTGGATAGCCATCGTAGCCTCACTGTACAAACACTTCAGCACCTCGCTATACCGACAGTCAGCGGTGCCAGCTGAAGGGACTGTAGCACCGCCCAAATTTCGACGAAATCGAAGGCTTTCTCATAGTCCACATACGTCAGGCAAAGTGGCAGATTGTACTCTTCGGTCTTCTGTACAATCTGCCGCAGGGTATGTGGTGATCGGCGGTAGGTGGTACTGGTACTATGGTACTGAATCCTTTTCGGAAACCGGCTTGTTCGAGAGGCTGGAAGTAGTCGAGTCTGCGTGCGAGACGATTCGTAATGACTCTCGAAAACAGCACGTAGACGCGGCTCAGAAGAAAATTCGGTCCGTAGTTCTTCAAGAGAGCGTTGTCGCCTTTCTTAAGGAACAAGACCATCGCACTTCTGCTCCACGCCTCCAGAGTAGTGCTACCATGGAGGACGGAATTGAAGAGCTTCTGTAGGACTTTAAGTACCAGTGTTCCACTAGCTTTCAGAAGCTCCGCTGTAATTCCATCCTCGCCTTGGGCCCTGCCGTTTTTAAAGTGCCGGAGAGCCATTCCAATCTTGCTCAGACTGACGTCCGGGATATCATCGGAATAGTGTCGGATAAGACTTGCTCTTGGATCGTTACACTTGCATGTGGCTCCAACTATGATATGTACAGCTGCCCATAGAACCTCTCTATCTCACTCAAAATCTCAGGTGTCCCGGAGACGATGCTGCCACTTTCAGTCTTCAGCTTTGACAGTTGGCTCTTTCTGGCAGACAGATATCTGGCAAACACTTTGGAGCCCTGGTTCCACTCGATCGTTTCTTCAATACGAGCAGTATTAAAGTTGCGTAAGTCTCGCCGCATGCATTTGGAGATCTGTCTGTTCAGTTGCCTGTATGCTGTCAAATCTGTTGACGATTGCAGCCTCATCTCCCGTCTAACAGCCATGAGATTAAGAGTGTGATCGGAGAGTTTTTGTGTTCTTCTGCGGCGGGCCTTGCAGAACTTAGCTCCGACTGCATGGACAGTTTCCACGAGCTTGTCATTTATATCGTCCACTGCATTGCAATCTTCTAGGCACTGAAAGCGGTTACGTAACTCGAGCTGAAATGTTTCGGGGTTCTGAATCAGAGCACGAGGGGGACGGAGCGTTGACTGCATTACGAGACCTCTCCAATTTAACGTATAGGTTCAGTGTGCATCTAACCATTCGGTGATCGCTGCCAGTTTTCACTCTTGCGATCACTGAGACATCACTGAACAGTTGGCGTCTGGTCGTCATAATGAAGTCAATCTCATTTTTCTTCGAACCGTCGGGGCTCGCCCAGGTCCACTTTCTGTAGGGCCGCTTCTGTAAGAAAGAGTTCATCATAAAAAAGTCCCTCTTTCTCCATGAAGTCGGCCAGCTGCTGGCCCCTTGGGTTCCGTTGCCCTATCCCAAATTTCCCTACATTCAGCTCACCGTTCTTTCTTGTTCCCAGTTTTGCTTTGAAGTCTCCCATTAACACCGTATAGTGAGTTTTGGAGGAATGCATGGCTCTAGAAATATCCTCATACAATTCCTCCACCTCCTCATCCGGATGTTCCGACGTTGGTGCGTAAACCTGTATGACCTTCAGCGAATACCGTTTGTTATTCGCTGAAGGTCATACAGGCTGAGTATAAGATACGCAACCCTCGTCGATACACTTCCAATCTTTACAACGTTGTTAACAAGAGACTTGTGGACGATAAATCCAACACCTCCTTGGGACAGATGGTCGCCCTCCCAGTGATAGAACAAGTTGCCGGATTTTAGAATCACTGTGTCCTCACCCTCTCTTCGGACCTCGGATAATACTATAATATTCCGGCGCAATTTGCCTATCTCTTCTTTCAGCTCCAGGATCTTCTCGTCAGTCCTGAGGGTGCGTGCGTTATATGTTGCCAGGTCGAGTTGTCGTAGGTGGCAAGCGAACCTCCACCGGAGATTCTTAGCTCTATCCCATCCCTACTATCCCATCTAATGGTAATTGGTGAGCAGCCAATGATGGTTAAGCAATAATATAATAAGTATGTATACAGTATGAATATTTCTTTCCTTGTTCAACTAATTTGAGTACATGCATGAGCCATTTACTCGTAGTGGAACAGAATTCTCTAGCCTAAATCCTGCCGTGGGTGTCAGCATGCTTGATAACATTAAGTAATAAGAAACTGCGGTTACCAACCCACCTTCCTCATAATTGCCTCATAGGAGGATATTTGCCAATCGCAGTTTTTTTTGTCATTATTAGGAAGACGCTGCTGTCCCGCTCCTGATTTATTTTCCTTTGTCGCGTCTTGCGGCACCTACGGGATGATATAGCGTAGAAGATATTCTTACACCGCCACTACACGATAACGGTGACTTATACGTTTCGTTCGTATAGGTTTACGTTTCTGTCATTAAGTTACTATCACTTAAATAATTATTTTCTTAAATTTTGTATTAATTTCAAAATGGCGAGGCGTCATGAAAATTATATTTACACGTGGTAGAGCCACGCTGCAGCTATATTATGGTTGTAGCACGAAAGGGTCGGCTCGACCGGGCAGGACCACGTTTTCACAGAATACCAGCGTAAAATAGCAGCTTGATGCTGCTATATTTCGTATAGTGAGTGTAGAGAGAACCGGAGCCCCGTTTTATTGGAAACGAGGCATTGCATCTTAGTCATCAGGGGTGACAACGCATCTGCATTTTGATTCTTAATCGAGTTTAAATGTAGATGTCTATGGGCCACAACATCCACTTACCATCAGGTGGACTGTGTTGTGTGCTCGTTTGTGACCCTAATTCTATAAAAAAAAATCGTATTGTAATGAATGTACGCTCACGTGCAGCCGGGGCTCGGCGAGCGCGTGCAGCAGCGCAACGGCGCGTGCGGGCGCGGGCGCCACGCTCAGGCGCGGCGCGGCCGGCGTCTCGCCCGCCGGACTGTTGCCGCCCGTCGACGACCCGCTGCGAGCCTCCGCCTTTTCTTCTTCGAAAGGGTTCGTCAGCTGAGAAACCTGTGTATTCAACCCCAAACATCTTTCTTTTAAAAATAGTACGTTCTCAATTTGCTTGTACTTTTTTGAAGTGAAAACTTCTTCAGAGTCCTTGTGATTTTAACTCGATGAAATGAAAAAGCGACATTAATAAGACACAAACATTTACATCTATAGGATTTAGCCCGTAAGAGAACAAGACAGAATACAGTATACAATATTTCTTATTATCTCATGTCCTCTTTGTGCGATGTTTCGTAGCCTTTTTCTGAAGGTTTCACCTCCACCGCGTGTGAAATGCACACATTTTTATGTACCTTTATTATTAATCTTAATATATATAAATTACGTATCACGTTGTTTGGCCGCGATGGACTACTAAACTAGTTAACGAATGAAATTTGCACACCGTGTGCAGTTTGGTCCAACTTGAGAAATAGGATAGTTTTTTTTTGCCCATGAGTGACCCACAATTTTTTTTTTTGCTAATTTAAGGATTTTTAATAGGACATGACAAAGGGTCGTCGAAAAGGGCAGAACAACGTCTGCCTGGCAAGCTAGTATTAAATATATTATACTTCGGAAATAATCCTATATCAATAAAAACGCTATCCCTAATGGTGAAAAATAGGGAATGAAATTATTAAGATTAGAATATTTATAAATAGAATTAAAAACATGTTTGATTCAGTGTAGAATGTTTAATCTAATTACATAAAATTAATGTTGAAACTCCTTCCATTTAGTCATTGTGGGTGACGTGACAATCAGATGAAGACGCGGTTGATGCTAGAGGTAGCCATTTCATCGTCACCGCTGTCGGCACTTGAGTTTTCATCCTTATTTCAGTCAGAATCATCATCCTCTACGCGAGAAATATTGTTTCTGTCATCACGTCGACCACATACATGATCGCTTTCACAATAATCGGCCTCCTTTAGCTTCGTGCATAATTTCCCCCATTCTGTTGCTTAAATTAAATTTACTGTTTCATTAACCAAGTCAGTTATCCGTGTAAGGTTCTAACTTACTTTTTTGCTAGTAGTCTAAGATCCCGATATAAAACGACCTTCACCGAGATGCTTATTTAATGAAACGTATTTTATATTTAATTTAATATGTCTATAAATATAATCCATATGGGTTGCCTAGCAAATTTCAGTCCAGAGTATGTTTAATTAATAATTAAAAAAAAATACTTTTTTAAGCATTTCACCGGTATGATTATTAGATAAATTCTATACCAATCGAAAGTATGAAGCCCATAGAATATGCAAACGTTAGGTTGCCTATTCTTTTCCGGTCACAACTATCGGGTTGCCAGGTATAAACAGGTAAATCTGTACTAGCAATTTGCAACGGTCTGTTTATATAATGAAATTTAAATGAAATTAAAGATTATTTTATTCTGAACACGGTGGTATAGGGTTGCCTGCGAAAAATCAGTCCAGAATTGCGGTTGTCGAATTTTAAAAAGTAAAATATTGCTCGAGTGAATATGTGCGACTGAGAGGTCCCAACCGACCATCCCATGCGATAGAAGAGGACACAGCATAGCAGCTGTTTAAAGTCCGCCCACTTAAAGAAAGAGAGTGCGCATGTTATTTGGGCTTGGAAAAGAAAAGGATAGCGATAGACTCGTATATACTATGCATCATTTTGGAGTAGTTTATTATTTAAATAGAGAAATAGTTATTTAATTTTTTTTAATCAATTAATTATTTATGTGTATATTTTTATGTGACACTAAAGTATATATACATCTTTAGTAAAAAAAGAAGGTTATAGTGATACATATATAATACTACCCTGATTAAAAATATTGATTGGAAAAAATTAAAAAAAATTTACTACTTACATGCAAATTATAAATCTATAAATCTAAACAGAGAAATTGAAATCAATTGAAACTATTGGAAAAAATTCAAAACCCATAAAAGTGAATTTTTTTAATTAGGGAAATCTTGCAAATTTTATTTTTATTATAAGACAAAATAAAAAAACAACAATTAAAAATTACTTCTATTTATTGTAAAAAATTAAAAAATACATTTTTTTTTTAAATTATTCAGAATCCGAGTCATCGGACATAAAACTACGATCTTCAACTTCTGAATCTTCTTCGTCATCACTCTCTGTTTCACTTTTTTCGACAATGTCTTCTATCTTTAAAGGTGTATGATCCCCAATGAATCCTACTGGTTTTAATATTCATCTAAGAACCATCCGCAGTTCTCAGGCTCAAGTTTCACGCATATTGGATCCGTTGCATTAAGCCACATGGAATTTACGAAAATAGTTCGTAAAATTTTCTGAGTTAATGATATCCAGCATGGTGGTATAGTGTTGGAGTCGAAGCCTTTTATTTTTTTTAAAAAAGTGCTCGCTGTCTTCTTTTGCAGAGTAATTTTTCATAAAAATACGATGTCTCGCATCATTCACACTGGTGCAATTCCTGATACCGTACATACTAGCCGTAAATTCTTGAACGGTCTTCATTTTTTCGTCAATGAAAATATCAGCAGCATCTGTTAATGATGCAAAAACGGTTTGATATTTTTCATTTTTCGAAAATTGCTGAAAAGGTTTTACTTTCCCTTTGTTGTAAAAGGCTGCCGTGTAATCGCAACCTGTAAATGCATGGAAGGCGGGAAGACTTTGGCATAATTTACTTCCCAACTTCAACGCTAAATCGGTGCAATTAATGCAATCAACAGTTTGATTATTAGTCTTTCTAGTTGCTGAACAGGCAAGCCAAATTTCTGATTCGATAAGTTTGTGCATATTTCCTAACAAAATTATCAAAACGTCAGTATCAGAGGCTTTTATTAAAATCCTTGAGTCTGGTTCCGCTTTAGAAGTATGAAAAATAATCCTTGTATATGCCTCTTCGTGATGACATTCATAATTAGTTTCTTCAGTTTTTTTTTACGGAATTTTCCTGAATTTGATAATAGTAGCAGTGATGGTCGACGGTTAAAAATATTTTTTTGTTTTGGATTATTGTTACCAAATGGTCATTTTCCCAATAATCAGCCAGAAACAGCACCAGAGCCTCTTTAAAGCGATAATTTTTAAGGCTTTGCAAAAAAATTTTTTTAAAGTACAAAATTGTATTTAAAGTGTTTTTTTTACGAAAAGCTAACTTTAATACACAGTTTTTAAAAGTTTCATCATTAAAATCAATTATTTCATCATCCGATCCATACAAAAAACACTTTTTTGCCATTTTTTCCAACAATAAATAGTAGCACGTTTTTTCAATTGTATTTATAGCGACACTCTACTCCAAAATGATGCATAGTACATACGAGTCTATCGCTATCCTTTTCTTTTCCAAGCCCAAATAGCATGCGCACTCTCTTTCTTTAAGTGGGCGGACTTTAAACAGCTGCTATGCTGTGTCCTCTTCTATCGCATTGGATGGTCGGTTGGGACCTCTCAGTCGCACATATTCACTCGGAGCAATATTTTACTTTTTAAAATTCGACAACCGCAATTCTGGACTGATTTTTTCGCAGGCAACCCTATACCACCGTGTTCAGAATAAAATAATCTTTAATTTCATTTACATTTCATTCAATAAACAGACCGTTGCAAAATGCTAGTACAGATTTACCTGTTTATACCTGGCAACCCGATAGTTGTGACCAGAAAAAAATAGGCAACCTAACGTTTGCATATTCTATGTGCTTCATACTTTCGATTGGTATAGAATTTATCTAATAATCATACCGGTGAAATGTTTAAAAAAATAATTTTTTTTAATTATTAATTAAACATACTCTGGACTGAAATTTGCTAGGCAACCCATATGGATTATATTTATAGACATATTAAATTAAATATAAAATACGTTTCATTAAATAAGCATCTCGGTGAAGGTCGTTTTATATCGGGATCTTATACTATAGCGTTATATCCCTTTATTTAGGACCAGGTCATTTCTATAGGATTTAAGTTCGGGTGATGTGCGTGCAAACGAAGTACAGAATGTCCTGTTTCGTTTAATATGGCATCGATATTTAATTTCTTAAATTTCTATTTGTATTTTTTATTAAGTTGTACAACTCGAACTTTAGCACGGTTTCTTCAAATTAAATTCCTTTTTGATGGAGCCAGTTTTGAATGTCTGCTTTCTTTTTATTAGACGTTAGGGCAGCGTCGAGTTGTTTGTTGTGGTACGATGCATTGTCGACTACCACAACTGAATCAGGCGGTAAATTCGCATCAGTTTAGTACAACTCGCGGCACGAAAGTCTGGCGGTGACCGTTATAGCGAATAATTGGCCGTATTGCGCGTTATTACGTACTATGCGTATCGTTTGCATACGCTGATTGGTTCTGCAGTCGCATTACGTCCCCCGTACTGATGCGACATTCGCAGCTATCTCCTCCACGTTTCATTCTGCTCTAGAGTTACGTGCAGCGATTTATACGGAGCCACCGATCGTGATTCTCCAAATTAATGATGTCGTGGTAGACGTCGCTTTTTGTAAAGGCTTTGAACGTGATCAAAGCATTCGGCACAAAACCCGTTTTACCATCGGCGTGCACTATGACCAAGCGGCTACCTTTAGATAGAGGTTTTTAATGCCTTTGGTAGGGCCGTCTGTCCAAGAATGGTGAGACACATAGGAACTATCGATGTATGATTAATCAGACCCCTTTCTCTCTATATTTTCTTATCTTTCTCAGACATTCAAAGAATTTTGAAATCGAATTTGTAACTGCTCAGTTAAAATTTTTCTATTGGTTTCTATTTTTTCCACTTAAATTTTTTTTTAATATTCGCCTCAGACTTGCTGCAGATATTTGGAAATGTAGGTTATCCTGTAAGTTCCTTCGCAACTTGCCTATGGTAGGCAATTATTCTTCCGTGACGTGGAAATTGTGGATGATTCTTTTTATAACACCCTGATCAAAGCTGACAGTCTGTTAGCGGTTTTTGTTTGATTCTTTTATTTTTACCGAGAGTTCGGAAGACAGTTAAAAATTCGGAATCTTTTGAACCTATACTGCCTTATTAATAAAAATTGCTTATTCCAAGCTTAATTCGAAGTTACACTTGGACTAGCTAATCTCAGAGTAACTGACTATTTAATTCGTTATTACAATGTTATTAATAAGCATGGAGTAACCTCGGACTAACTATACATTCCTTACGCCGGGTTTAAGGCTTGCGCTATGGCAACCCACTTATTTTAAAAGTAAAAAAGAGTGAGTCAGTGAATGATTAGTGAATGAATTCAATGCTTGATGATGACATTAATGACAGTGACAGGCAATATTTTGAGTTTGACAAGAGATAAATGTTACGGGTTGTTCCTTGTTCCTCGTGTTGTTTTTGAAATCGGTGGAAAAACTAAGTTCTAAATATAATCATTTTTAATATTATTTGTAACGAAATTTTAGAATTAGGAAAAGAGCGTGAAGGGCAAAATTAATAAAATAACCATTTTTGTTTTGTGTTTTGGGGATAAATAAAATCTTTTGTATATGTAATTATTGTATATTTATTTAAAAAAATTGTTAATAGTGCTGCCCGAACAGAATTTCCTCTAACGGAGTTATTTACTAATTGTGTGACTGATATATTTTCATCATCTCCTTATACTACATCCTCAAGCAGATCTTGCTTTTGCATTATAATGTATATATTGTTTTGTATGCTCTTATTTAGTATTTAGTCCTCGCAGTAAACACCGAAACCTTTGCTTCCCTCCAAAGCATTGTTCTACAGTGTAACGGGACCACCAGATGTGCGACCGGTTGTACATTCTTCCTTTTGTTTATTAGGACGCAGGATAGGCGTGTATAAATAAATAAGAAGTACAAGCATAACCAGAATCTCGGAGAAGTCTGCCTTTAAATTTTGACTGCCCAAACATTTGTTTTAATGCGACGATAATTAAATTTTCTTGAGTAACGTGTGCTGCCTTGCCAATGTGCCACTGTATCCATGAACTCTAACTTTGCATTTGACACTACCTGGAACAAAGCACTCATAACTTCTTTAATATGAAGTAATAGATTGAGGTGATTGTATTGAATCTGAGGAAATAACTAAGTACCTATACGGCAGAGATGGGCTAGCTAGGTGCTATAAAACTTACTTGTACATTTATTGAACTGTATCCTTTCCTGTTTATGTAGTATTGTCCGATGTTTCTAGCGACTTTCGTGATTAGAATATGTAGCAATCAATAGCCCCAATCACTTGTCTAAATTCATATAATGAATAAAAACCTGCAATCACTTTGTTCTGCTCCACATCAGTTCTTGGCATTTTAATCCATTATGCTGTTTTTGTTACTAGTGCTTACAACTTATGAATTTAACACGGGTAACAACGCGCGTAATCGTAAAGTTTTACAAAATGTCAAAATACGGGACTATTCTATGCTTACTCAGTCGTTAAACTAGGTACCGCCAAGGATTAACTTTTATTCCGAGAGTAGATTCGGATTAGTTTACTCCCTCCTTACTCTATGTTTATTAATACTGAAATTAGATATTTTAAGCTTTAAACTAGGAGTAAAGTTAATCTTGCTCAAGTCTGTGTTTATTAATAGGGCTGTAAGTGTAGAGAACCGGAGACCCTTTTTTACTGGAAACGAGGCATTTTAAACTTAGTCCTCAGGGGTGACAAGCGTCTGCGTTTTGATTCTTAATTGAGGATAAATGTAGATGTCTATGGGCCACAGCATCCACTTACCATCAGGTGGACTGTGTGCTCGTTCGTCACTCTTATTCTATATAAAAAAACCTATTACAATTCATCTCATTGTAGACTCGGAACATTTTGTTGCCTGCATTATTATCAGCTTCCCACTTCATAAAACAATATTCGTTACAAATTCGTTTTGCTGCGTGTATGGTAGGATTGGAAGGGTATCGTTTATTATGAGGTTTTACCGGCGGATAAAACCATCGATTTGGGATCTCTACTGCCAACAACTAATGAGACTCAAGCAAGCAATTGAGAAAAAACGGCCGGAATTGATCAACAGAAAAGGAGTGGTCTTTCATCATGATAACGCCAGACCACACACATTTTTGGCCACTAAGCAAAAATTGAGAGAGCTTGATTGGGAAGTGTTAATGCATCCACCATATAGTTCTGACTTTACACCCGCAGATTTTCAACTGTTTCGGTCTCTTTAGTATTCTGTGGGTAGTGTTAGGTTAACATCAAAAGAGCACTGTCAAAACTACTGGTCACATTTTTTTCATCAAAAGTCTTACAGTATGGCTCACGTTAACCACTAACTAAATATCTATTATAAATTTAAATCAGTATTAAACAGGACTTGGGGCATAAAGGTTGTCTCATTTAATATTGTCATGACAATCAAAAGATTTCTACAGCAATGGGATTATATTACTACATGATTTACTACTTTTTATATAGATTTTACTACTATATATATATTATATTTGTACGAATTTCTTAAATATTTAACAAATTATTTAAGAAATTCGTATATATATTTTATTATTAAACTTATAAAATTTTGAAAAAAAAAATTATTTGTATATAAAATTCGAAGGAACATTTTCCCCGATCATATTAGTTATTTATCCGCGACCGCAAGATTGACGACGCTCAAAGACGTATGACTACTGTTTTTATAATCAACCAATGTTAATAAATCTAATCGTTTTATTATTTATCATGCCGTTTGGCACCTTTTTTAAAAGACTTATACAGAAGTGAATTTAAAAGGCTGATTAAGAAGAAAACCCCGTGGTATTGCGTTACATGACAATGTCAAAAGTGCGATATGTCCGGTATAGCGATGGCGATACAAACATTGGGAGGGAGTTGTCAAGTAAAATGAAAAAAGAAGCAATGAGTAGGCACCTGCAAGCCGCCTCTAAGGAAGACAGCGGCAGCGTAGGCGGCTGCGTCGCGCTCAGCCTGCTGCTCGGGCAACGAGCGCGCGAGCCGCACGCCGCACTGGGCCAGCCCCAGCGCCAAGTTGAACGCGCACGACGACAGCACGTGCAGGGCGCGCAGGCTGGACGTGCTCTCCTGCACAAATGTCACATACGTCCTACCCTTTCTACAGAAACAATGCTACAAGCCCTAATTCCATCCATTACAGCCTTCAAAAGTCCACTGCTGAACATAGGTCTCCCCCATAGGGGAGACTAGCTATTCCCCGCGACTTCGTCCGCGTGTAATTTAGGGTTTTCATTTTTTTGCGCGGAGCCCCAATTCCTTTTCTAAAATAAAAGTAGCGTAAGTTACTCCTTACATAATCAGCTATCTGCCACGGATTTTATCGAGTAAATTTAACTTTTTAAATACCCGACGTTTCGAGCACTTTACAGCATCCATGGTCACGGAGGGGACTGAGATGTTCAACGTCCAGATGTCATAGTTAACCGCGGTTACCTTTTGTTCCTATCTACTAGATCTAGTAGATCGGAACAAAAGTTAAATTTTAATCTATGGTAACCGCGGTTAACTATGACATCTGGACGTTGAACATCTCAGTGCCCCTTGTGACCATGGGTGCTGTAAAGTGCTCGAAAGTCGGTTATTTAAAAAGTTAAATATACGCGATAAAATCCGTAAAAAATAATATTATTTAAATTTGTAGTGTTCGCGTAAATATAAGAAATCATTAAGCCGTTACCTTAAAATTTCGAACAAACACTTCAATATTATTTGTATAGATTTTGCAATAGTTGCCACGTTTGGCGAGCGGGTTGGCAAACGCGTTTTTTTTATTATTGAGTTGTTATCAAGAAGACGCCGCCCGGCTCCTGTTTCAATTTTCCTCTGTCACATCTTACGACACCTACGGGACGACATAATTATTTAATGAAAAACTGCGATTGCCAATCCGCTATTATGGAAAATATTCTCTTATCATACAATCTATAGCAAAGGCCTATGTTCACCAGTAGACTGATTAGGCTGAAATGAATGAAAATTTCAAATAGTTACTAGACTGGTAGACTGCAATAAATGAAAAAACGTATAGAACTTCAAATAATTACTAAAAATAGCAACCATCATCAGCAAATAACTCATTGACTTACTTGACACCGGTGGCTATAGATCTGATCGGCATATAACCCGACACACTTCTCAGTGATACTGGACAGAAACGCGGCGTGCGGCTCCTCGCTCAACGCCTCAGTAGCGTCACAACCGCGCAGCTTTCGCACCAGCTCTACGGTGCTGGCGTTAGCACAATCAAAGTTTTCCACGTCAAACACGTGACCAGCCACCACTATCCAAGAACCGCCCTCCTTTATGTGGTTTTGAATGTCGCATCTGAATGTTTAGATAACAATTTAAACTTAATAATAGTCTGAAGTTCACACGTTTATTTACAGGACTTTGATGACCTTGTATTTATGAGTGTAGAATAGACGTACATAATAACATTTTGACGAAATGGTGTTTGCAGATTGGTTTATATGCTACTAACTTTTACCTGTGGCTATAATTGTTTTTAATTCAAAGCAAACGAATAATTATTTTTATTTTATTCCGAAAATTATGTTAACTAATATCTTTCAGAATCCTCTACTGCTATACAATTCTATAGACCATGTTAAATGATTTGTTTTGCTCAACAAAAATGTGCCGATTTTGGATTCAGAAACACGCGGGCTAACTACATAGATCTGACTTCTGTCTACTTTTTATTGCTTGGCCTTTTCTGAAAAATGGTGTTCATAATGTGTCTCCCTAGCCTGAAAATTAGCAATTAAAATCCATTGCTTGATCTGGATGCACCCAGCGTTTAACGTTTTAAAACTACCCGTTTTTAAAACGTTACGTTTTACGTTTACTTTCAGCTTATGAAATTGCATTTCGCATAGAAAGACTGTTATGCGCAATTTCTAATTAATAATGTATATAACGCCATCTAAAAAAAATGTAATTTGGGATAGTATCAATTTTTTTTATAAAAAATACAGCCTTTTTTCTCATCGATTAAGAATCACAATGGAAATGTTTCACCTTCTTGGGGTGTGTAAAATGAAACAGGTCGTAACAGCTGCGTTTTCTTTTTAAATTAGAGTGACAAATGAGCACACAGTCCATCTGATCGTGAGTGGATGCTGTTGTCCATAGACACCTACATTTATCCTCAAATAAGCATCCAATGGTTGTGTTGATTGTTGAGTGACGTGTTGTTACCTCTGAGGACTAAGATAGAATGTGTCGTTTCCAGTAAAAATGATTTTTGGTTCTCTACAGTCACCATACGAAACACAGCAGTATTGAACGATTATTTTACGCTGGTATTCTGTAAGAGCGTGGTCAGCCTGGTCTGTAAAAGAGCACTTACTTGCGCAGGAGGGTGGTGGCGCGGCGATGCTTGCGCGCGAACAGGCCGGGCCAGGCGAGCAGGTCGGCGTCGAGGCGCGCGGCGGCGGGCAGAGCGCACGCGGCGCGGTCGCAGGCGCGCGCAACGCCCGCCAGCGGCGTCGCGCACTCCAGCAGCGCGCAGCTCGCCCGCGCCGCGCACGCGCACACCCACGCGCACGCCTCGCTCACCACGCGCCCTGCACACACACACAAAAATCACTCAACACAACAACCCCATCCTTCACTAGTGTCACAGTGCGTGAAAACACTATTGAAAAGAGATAAATTCAAATATCTTACTACTCGTGTGTAATAATATGAGACCTGAGTCCGATGAACGGCGTGCTTGTACAGTTTACAAAAGTTTTAAATGTATATATTACATCTCACGACGACTAACGCGTACGAGCACTTTAAACAAGTTAATGCTAAATAAAATGTCTTGACCTTGACTTTGAAATTTACCCTGTCCGCGAAATATACACAATATTTAAACAATAGAAATGTTCATGTATGATACATGGGACCACAAAAAGCGGTAAGCTTTTCAAATAATACAAGAAACAAAAAAAAACACTGCTGCAAATTTTTTAAATATTTTAAGCAAAAAGTCTATCCGAGAATAGTTTGTGATTAAAATTATTATTTTATTTTCTTCGTATGTTGTAAACATCTCAATTTATCATGAACAATAACTAAAACTGACCTATAATATCAGAATTGATGACATCGCACAAAGCCACCATCTGGTTGCTATCGGCCCTTCGAAGCGCCCGTGTAAATGAGGTGAGCGTGGCGTCCACGTGCTCTGCCAGCAGAGCACTGTACTGTGTAAGTAGCGCCCGCACTCCACCTCGAGTGCTCCGCCCTCCTCGTGACCACATCGCTTCGCAAAATAGCAGCCTGGAACGCGTATCGCCATTAACACGTAATTCGTCGAGTGATCTAGTGACATGGTTTTTTTGAAGGGAATTTGACCGCAAATGGATAACCGTACATGTAAAGTACTTCACTACTTTAATACGTTCTACGGCTGGCACAAATATCTCATTTATGAGGGTTCAGAACAAGTTTCAAACAAGAACAAGTCGTTCTCATTCGTTTTTTAATAGTTTCTTTATTCCAATAAGAAGCAAATATTAAATGCAAATATATACCTCTGAAACCTTATGAGCAGATCACAGCTAGGGCTCACGGTATCGTGTGCTTTAGGATCGTCCGTTTTGCTTGTTTCGCCATTGATTATTGCATTTATATGCATTTGCGTTTGGCAGGTCGTGTTGCGGATAAGATGCTTGACCTGAGAAAGAAAAAAAGGAATTACAAGCAATGTGTACGAAATCAGTTGTTCATTCATCGAAAGTATAGGAGTGTGTCAAATATTATATATTTTAAAATAAAAAATAAAAATATAAATTTCTTTGCAACCTTCCGATAAATAAATACAATGATGTGTCTTACCTGGATTGAAGAGCACCTCCCGCCATCCGACCGCTAAGTCAGCCGCCGTAGAGTCTACATTACCTGAAGATGCCTCGTGTAGAGGCGAAACACGTATCGTATTATCGTCGATGGTGTGTCTTACCTGGAATAGTGGTGTTGGGAGTAGTGGTGCTAGGACTAGTGGTGACGGAGTTAGTGCATGCAATTGGGAGGGCGGGAGGTGCTCTTCAATACAGGTAAGACACATCATTGTATTTATTTAGCGGAAGGTTGCAAAGAAATTTATATTTTTATTTTTTATTATAATGGATTCCCGCAAAGTAACGCCTGATTCTATCAGTTATTATATATTTTAATAATTAATACCTCGTGGCACAGAGTAATGTGGAAAATGGATATTAGAACTTATTGAAGAGTGGTAGGTAGCGATTTAGCCCTAATTACAAAGTAGTTCTATAGCTATATAGCTAGCCATACTAACATAGGTAATTGTAATAATTAATGCTGACTTATAATATCACCTGCTCTGTAGTTAAGAAAACGATCGACGGCAATTTATAAAATCATTTCAAGTTATAAAATTTTACCGATAGACACTTTAGCAACGTTGCGAACTTGCACTTAACTACTCTTATATGTTATAACTTTTCTTTCATGTATAAATAGTCCACCATTGGACACGGCACTCTTCTACAATAGAAAGGATTTTACATTTTAACCCTCGCGCTATGCAGATTATTGGCAGCAGTCATAATACGAGACATTTTACTCGTAACCCTTGACATTGCTTTCTTTTGCGAGCTTGATTTATAATTCATTTTATATACGAGATGACATAGCACTAAGTTAACTGGAGTCCTTAGTCTTTGACCATGATATAAAATTAGTGTGTAAATTAAAAACACACCACGTAAATTACACTTTATTATTGAACTAAATATAAAAGTTCTATAGGCGCAACTTGAACGCAACTCGGGTATTTATTCTGACGAAAGTAACAGAAATGATCAGTAAAATGTATGGTCCGTTATCGCATATTCCGCATTTATAAAGGCAGCGACTAGCTATAGTGTTTTGTAACTATATAGGTATAATATTTGTTCTGTTCACATGTCAAAGGTGACGACGTCGTAGTCGTGACGTGTTAACATTATATATTTTATGTAGCAACTTGTAAACAACACTTGGAGAGGTGCATCACGCCACTTCCTTCTTGATCACCTCCCCACAACGGAGTTGTTTGCAGTCACTATGAAAGTTTGGCTTCTCGTATGAACGGGGCCATTTTGTCTCTCAGACCAACAAATAAATAAAAGACCTAACGCTGACAAATACAATCCTGAAGCTATTTTTATGTTTTTTTTATAGAATAAGGGTGACAAACGAGCACACAGTTCACCTGATGGTGAGTGGATGCTGTGAGCCACATATTATCTACGGATGCTGTGAGCTACATATATCTACAACCATCTTCGGTTAAAGGAATCAAAATGTAGATGCGTTGTCACCCGTCAGGACAAAGATGGAATGCCTCATTTCCAGTAAAAAGGGTCTCCGGTTCTTTACTCTCACATACGAAACACAGCAGCGTTAAGCTACATTTTACGCCGGTATTCTGTAAGGTATCGGTATTCAGCCGAGCCGACCCATTCGTGCTACAACCATAATATAGCTGCAGCGTGGCTCTACCACGTGTGGGTAGACTCGTGTAAGCGCCTCACCATGCATAAACGCGAAGTGTGCAGTCTACGTAATTACTTGGATTGGATGACCCATTTTGCACAGACGCCGTTTCGAATAATAAAGGACTTAACACTATATGCTTAGCCAACAAGCAATGGCAAGGCCCGGCAGTTCCAAGAATGTTATATAGGAATATAGACATATAAACATAAACACTAACACCTGTCACCCAGAGGGGTAGACAGAGACAACAGACTTCCATTTAGCACGATCCTGACATACCTCTCTTGCCTCCTCGGTTAAGAGTACTCCTAATTTGAGCCGCTTTCAATATATCGCCAATTTGGTCGATATACTTTCGCCCAGGACGTCCCTTTCCGACTCTGCCGTTCACTTCCTCAACATAAATTTGCTTTGTCACTCTTCATTCATTCTTTCCATATGACCACACCACCGAAGCATTCCTTTCGTAATCCTTGTCACAACACCATCTTGCAAACCACACTCTTCTCTTATTACACAATTTCTCACCTTGTCATTCAGATTCAGCCCTAACATACTTCTTAACGACAGCATTTCTACTGTGTTTATTTACTCTCATGCTTCTTCTGCCACACCCAACTTTCACTACCATAGCTTAAAGTAGGGACTAACACAGCATTGTGAATTGCCATACGTGCCTTTTTTGACACATTCTGACTTTTCACAATAGTGTTGGGCCCCACTTACTCTATTTCCTGCTTTCACTCGTCGTTCTACATCCTTATCATATCTCCCATCCTTGCTAAATACGCATCCCAAATGTGAAAACTCATCTACTTGCTCGATCAACTCCCCTTCTATTCTTATTTCACATATTGTTTCACTTTCTTCTCTTTCAAAAACAATAACTTTATATGGGAATATAGATTATGATAATATATTATCCTATGATTTAAAAAACTGCTATGAAGATCGGCACCTGTTCAGATCTTAACACTTTTATAAGTGAAGCCGACGGCTTCACTTATAAAAGTGAAATTTCAGTTTTTTCTTTCAACAAAGTGCTGATTGTTGCCATGTTGTCAGCCTAGGAGCAAATGCTTGGTCCTAGCAAACGTAGTTCTCAAAACCTTATGAGATGACACGCAGTACAAAATGCTGAGATTTATTTTACAAATTTGATAAAACAACATGAGGAAATGTTTACTATTGACTACACCAAAATGGACATGCGTCTACGGTAGTTACCGTGTATATGGAGTTATGGAAGCACTTATTCTAACTGAAATCCACAGGAGATAGAAAAACAGCATCTCTTTCTTCGCCACCACATTGCATATTTTTCCTTTTATGTTTCATCATCATCAGCCTGCGATAGTCCATTGCTGGACGCCAAGGCGCGCCACTAAACCCGTTCTTCAGTTTATCTTAACAAATTTCTCATAGCCTTTTTTTGGTGCTTTTATAAGTAAACTTATTAAAATTGTATTTTAATGAGCAATTTGTAACATTTAAAGTTGTCATAAGTAATCGTAACTTTATAAAAATAATTGGATATTACATACCAAGTGCATTAAGGGAACAGAAGCGCCATTCTCAGAAGATGTTGCATTATCAATTTGGTACTCTTCCGTGCAACCACCTATAGTAATAAAATTTAAGATTTGTTAAAATTGTTCTAACTAAGAATATAAACAACTGCTTAATTCTAACTAATGAATTAAATTTATTTTTTAATTAAAACAATTACCTTGTACTACATCAACATCGTCAGCATTGGCAGACGACTGAGAGCCACGTTGACCCGTCACAATATCGACCTGATCATATTCACTGCAATGAAAAACATTGACTGAAAAATGTACATCAATAAATATGTAACATAAGAATGAAAGAACATGCGTAAAGCTTTATTGAGCTCATTTATGTGCTGAGGAAAATAGAGTATTTGTTAAACATTTTATATTGGCAATAACATTTAAAAAATTATTTATTTTGATACCTTAATAAAAAGGGCATATTTATTTACTAGTCAATAACATCATATTTTAAGTTTCATCATTATTTAGTAAATAAAACATACTCGTCAAGCTGCAAGTGATTGTAGGTGTCAGTAGAATGCGCTTGTAGCGCGTTCTTTAACGCGTCGCGGAGACCCCCGCCTCCGAGTAGAGACCACACCAGCAGCTCCGTCATGAACCTCGCACCAGCACTGGCCGGCGCTGATCCTGTTCATTTTATATGTCATTATTTACATTATTACTGCAAAAATTTAATTTCGTTAATAGTGGAGTAGGTTTTTTCTGATTCTTGTTTTTATAGAAGAGGGGGTAAACGAGCATACGGTTCACCTGATGTTAAGTGACTACCGCAGCCAATGAACAACCGCAACACCAAGGGAATTTGCAGGTGCGTTGCCGGAAAAGGCAGGTCCTTAGCTTTGTAAAACGCGAACGTTGTTTTTGACAATCTAACATTTTTTTGTTTAATGTTACTAAGCAAACGTTGTTTGTGTGCGCACTTTATCAACATAATTTGAAGTTAATTACAGATAAGTATGTTAATATCGTATTCGCCTAAAACTTCGTAACTCTCGTAAATGAAAATACAACTTCATGTCATATTTACTGTGCCAGGTACCCGCCCGCGCGATCTACAGCTGTGACAGTTTTAGTTTCGAATTGAAGTGTAGCAGAATACATATAAAAGTTTGATGTGAACTGACCGTGCGGCAGCAGCGCGATGAGGTGGTGCGCGCGCAGCTGCGGCGTGGGCAGCAGCAGCGGCCAGGCGGCGGCCAGCGCGCGGCGAGCAGCGGCCGCGGCGCCCGCGCCCGCGCGCCCCTCCGCCAGCGCCACCAGCGCGCCGTGCACGCCGCCACACCACGCGCGCCTCTCCCCGCCCGCACCCTCGCCCGCCCCCTCGCCAGCCGCGCTCTCCGCGCCGCGCGAACATTGCCACGCGTGCACCTGTATTGGTGTCAAATTAACTTCCCCGCTGTGAATTGTCAAACGTTTCACCAGTTTCTAAAATGGCCCCGTCCTGGTGACGGAAAAATCGTGAATTCCTTCATTAACTTTGAATGCAACTTCTACTCACTTGCAATCGCAGTAAATTAAGACAAGCTATTGCTAAGCACTCGTTCTCTTTTATAGTTGCCGTACTGCTCTGATCCACCGCAATTCTCAAGAGTCTTTCTAAATATCTGCAATCAAAAATTATCACTTTAAAATGCAATATTTTACACTAATAAGATTTTTCTTGTACGCTATTTTAAGTATATGTCCAATATATTGTTTACGTACATAAATGTGTTTTCAGATAAATCTATAACGAATGGCATCGAAGATGGCAAGTCTCTCGGGTTCTCCTCACTCCACGCAAATATTTGTGTCGGTGCGCTTGAGGAGCCTGTAAAATAAGGGCAAATTATTAAGCAGTAACCCAATTGTTTCGCCGCTGCGCCGCAAGCCCTAGACTTAAAAGAACTGTTCATGTAAACTTTAAATTGTTTTTTTTTCAACTCTTTCCTTTAAAATATCGCTTTATATCTTACCGTTTGCTTTAAAAGAAGAGTTAAAAACTTGCAACAACTGAGGTACTGGTTTTGATATTTGAGCTCGTTCATGTGTTCCCCAAGCGTATAGTGCTCCTTCAGAAGTTAAGGCAATACCGTGCGACGCACCCAAGGACAGGTCAACCACTTTTACACCTGTTACAAATATATATGTTACAAATATATTTGGAATAAAAAATTATTTTTATTCCAAATATACAGCAATTTTTAAAAAAAACATACCTTGAAGGCCTTCCAATAACTTCGGAATCTTAAAAGATTCTAACGAACCGTGACCAAGGCGATAGCCATCACCTTTACCCCAAGTATACACTTGTCCACTGAAAATAAAAATAGAAAGTATTTATTGTTTAGCCCCCTGGTGCAATTTATAAAAAAAAACTAAAATGTAGTAGAGGCTTGCCACAAACTTGTATGGTTAAAAGTTGTAATAACATTTATTAATGTAGTTATATAGAAATCAATAAAACGAGCTATTTTAAGTTTTTAGGTACCTAGTGTACGACTGCAACTAAGCAGCTTTGGACTCAACGGAAGGGTATGTTAAATATGCATATAAAGAGTTTTTGACAGACTTCTTGTTGACACAGTTTGGTGAATGCCAATTTTGCTTATCTCGAGCACAGACGCAAAAAAGTAATATCTCATTCCTCTTTCGTCATAAACATAACACACATCCGAACCAAATAGTTTGCTTCGTTCTCAAATCTAGCAGATTTCAATATTTGTGGGACACGGAATATATTACTTTTCTTAGTGTTTTACATATTGTACGGAGGTTTCTAAGCCAGTTGTTTTTAGGCCAGTGTACTTAACTACAATCTCATCTGGTGGTAACCCTAGATGGTAAAATCACTTTAGCTTGGAGTAACAAAGACGTATATTTATATTTACTAATAGGACAGTAGGTGAAGAAACTTTTCCTACTATGGTATAAGCCCATGACTAGCAATGTATAGGAATGAAAAGGCAAGAAAGCATCATGCAACTTTACCTGTCAGTCAGTACCGCATGCCAGTGTTCCCCAGTGTAGACGCGAGTGACCCTGAACACCGAAAGAGACGACAATGCGTGGGGAGCCCCTCCCTCATTCTCACCGAATACTTGTACTGCACCTTCCAATGTGCAGCACAGCGTGTAGCTCTCGCCCCAACCTTAATTATACGTTTAAATGATAAGATACCTATACATTTTTCATACCTGATACATGTACGTAATTTAAAGTGTATCACATCTAGTTTAACCGCAATATACATAGTGAAGTTGAGATCTTTGCTGCTGTTTGTAATATCTAATGTCCTATGGAACATGACATGACGGTCCATATTACATGTTTTACATTATTTTTAAATATGTTGTAATGCTTAGTACTTCATCGAGTTCGTAGGTATATATTTTATTATAATAGTGGCAAACGAGAAGTGAAATTGCAGTCTTTTTGAAAAGAAGTAAATTTTTTTCTTGAGGATTGAATGATAAATTTTTTTAATCAAACACTAGAATAATATAAGGTAAGTAAAATTTTATTTTATTTTATTTTATTTTTATTATTCACAAAATCCATAGCTTGTAACAATCTATTTACACACAAATCTTATAAAATAGGTCTTGAAGCCAATTACGGATTTACAATATACGTATTTAGCTTAAAAGAACGTCACAGAGTATTCACCACCTTACTTAAAAATAGATGTATGAAAAATAAACATATTTAAAGGTAAACAAAGCGCACGAAATTTATTTAAATGCAGAATATTGTGTATGTTTGCACACGTATGTGAAAGTGAGTCAAAAGTGTACGTGTGTGTGTGTGTGTGTGTGTGTGTGTGTGTGTGTGTGTGTGTGTGTGTGTGTCTGTGTGTGGGCGTGTGTGTGTGTGATCGATACAAATTTTAATGAAATAACGATATTTTAACATAAATAAATATACGTTATAAATATAGACATGATGTATGTAAATTATAGCGTATATATATGTATCCAATTAATACCTGCTACAAAAACTTTCTTGTATTTATAATGTTATTGCTATTTGCTATTTAAATTTATAGATTAGTTTATAATTTGACATATTTTTGCAAATCACCTTGGCAACTTCACGTTTGAATGAAGGTTTACTAGAGTAGAATAAAATCTAAAATCCCATAGAAAATATATATAAAATTTCCTGTACCTAAAGCAATGTCGATAACGCGCTCAATGTTGTGCGCGTTGAAGGAAACGGGCTGTGGCGTGAGGCAGTTCTCGACAGTTCCGTGGCCAAGGCGGCCGTGTGCGCCCCGACCCCACGTGTAAAGCGCGCCTCGCGATGTTATTACAGCGCTGTTAATGAATAAAACTTAAGGGTTAACGAAATAAACTTTGAAGCCAGTAAAAAACAAATAACATATTATCATAGATATAGTATATACTAGATTAGCTATGGAGTTTTTAGGGTGAGACCAAAATCAAAATACACCAGCGTGCGTGTAACGTGCATGTATGGCTAACACATCGTGGTGCATCATGCATTATCTGCCTCAACTTCAATTATCCATATCGATTGCAATATATTCGTATCTTCTGATTTGACGCAGATGATGAAAGAGAATATCTTTACTACGGCAAAGCCAAAAGGATGGTTACAATTTTAAAAGGCTATGTATATATGTATGAATTTATGTTCACCAGTTCCCACAAATCTAATAAGCTACTCATCGTATTTAACAAATTAGATATCTTTAGAAGCATTGTGCCCTTTCGTGGATTTCAGTTTACAATAAATAGCAATTCCCCTGGTGTTGCAGTTGCTCATGAGCGGCGGTAATCACTTACTATCAGGTGAGCCATATGCTCGTTTTCCCCCTCTCCTATAAAAAAACATAAAGTCATATAAAAATTAGTACCACGGCTTATTGCCAACATATAAGTACTCCCAAAAATGAAATATTGAAATATCGTGTTTGGGTGTACAATAAAAGGTGTAACTGAGAATATTCTCAACATTTCTAAATTACATGTTATAAAAATATTAACTATATTAGTATTTATTAGTTTAAGTTTTTTTTTATAAAACTTACTTCAGTTAACAACCAATTTACAGTCCACCTGCCGTTGGTAAGAGACTCCTGCAGATCATGGAAACTTGCAGCTAACTTCAAACAATAAAATTCGTTGTCATCTCTAAGCACTGAGATGGATTGTCAAAAGAATCGGGGTATGGCTATGTCGTGGAATCGGTCGTGGTTTTACGTGAATACGTATGTAAGTAACGAAACGATTTTAAAATCGCAGCGCCCCCCTCTGCGCCGCGCGCGTTGCCGCACAGTTCTCAAACAACGTAAGGAATTCTTTGATCCTGTAGCTATCGAATGGTTACATTTTTGATATAGATGATAGATATGTAGCTGCAACGCCAAACTGTATCCTCCGATTTTGTTATCAACAGTTCTGTGAATTGAAAATTGAATGATGTATTGATGTGGAAAGGCCAGTACCTGGAGGCGGGCCCGGCGGCGACGCGGATCACCTCGTGGTGCGCCAGGTGGTGCAGCGCGGCGGGCGCGTCGCGCGGCGCCGTGTCGCCGTGCCCGAGTCGCCCGTCCTCGCCCGCGCCCCACGACCACGCGCCGCCGCACGACCCGCAGCACAGGTAGTGCCGCCCCGCACCGTGGCACGACACTTGCGTTATCGTCTTACTCTCCAATCCTTAAGGCCAGATTGAACGAAATATCGTTTTTTTATAGAATAAGGGTGACAAACGAGCACACAGTCCACCTGATTGTAAGTGGATACTGTGGCCCACAAACATATACATTTATCCTCGATTAAGAATCAACACGCAAATGCGTGGTCACCCCTAAGGACTAGGATGGATTCTCTACACTCACCATAAGAAACAGCAGTATTAAGCTGCTATTTTAGGCTGGTATTCTGTGAGAGCATGGTCTTTTCCGCGTCGAGCCGAACCATTTGCGCTACGACCATAATATAGCTGCAGCGTGGTTCTACTACCCCCCCGAACGGGTTCCCGCCTTGTCGTGGCGGGGGGGCTTAGTAGCCGTGGCTTGGTCTCCCACGGTGAACAAAGAGGAACCTACGTGGCTGGCCCGAGGTGAAGGGCCGGCCTGAGGTGGCCACTTCGAGTGGGCTTGGGGAGCCCACTTCGGATGTGTTCTGGTGGACTGCAGCGAGTGGGGACTCGCGCACCCTCTACCGCTGCAGCCGAGGTGGAGTCGCGGAGGAAGAGGAGTGTTGGTATGGCGATGCGCCACTCGCCCTATCCTTCGCGACTCAAACGGGGCCGCACCGTTGATGCGGTGGTGGTGGGGCTGCGGGGGGAGAGGATTGTCGGTATTGCGAGGCGCCGCTCTCCCTACCCTCCGCAGCCGAATCTTGGTTGGCGGCGGAGCCATAGACCAGATCCGCCGCTGGGGTCGGGAAGGCTAGTACTTCTAAGTGCTCGTTTTTCCTGGCCCCATGGCCTTTGTGCATCGGACGCGGGGGCGTCTGTTGCACAGACGTAATTGGAGGCCGTGGAGGAAGGCGCGCCATGTGTTCTGGTGCGCCTTACCTGGGAAGGAGAACGGGGAGGAATTTTCCTCTCCCGAGGAGGTGCTGCCATGGGGCGGCAGGCGCTAGTAGGGCCGCGGATGTGTGCGAAAGCGTTCCCGTAGCCCTGCCAATATGCGACAAAGGTGGAACACCATGGGGTTTTAGTCGGTGCGAGTCCGACATAACCCGTCCTTGCCCCCCGCGAGGCGGGTATGCGTAGGCATTTCCCCATGCAAAAAAAAAAAAAAAAAAGCGTGGTTCTACTACGTATGAAATTTCACGAATACAAATATTTTTATTCAATATAGACTTTAAATAATACTTATTGAAAATCACTCTTATGTTCAATTTACCACTGGTTCAAAAATTATGTCCGTCCTAGGAAGAACCAGAAGAAAAACCAGCGGAACATTTAAAAAAAAGAACTGTTTACAATCTGTATCAAATTAAGGTAACACAACAATTAACAACGCAAAACAAATTAGAAATAGCTTGCTATCGATCACCTCATTCCCAAGTGTTATTATCATTCATATATTCCTTATTGTAATAATCCTTTTTACACAATCTTTATTTAATACATTTCTGTCTTCTAGAATTTTGTTCTAAAAGCGTATACTCGTACATCGCCCAAGAATTAATTACTGACTCAATGGATTCGAGTAACAAACACTATTTGACTTACATTTTTTTTACTTTGACTAATTGATACTTTTTGAAATAGTATACGCTCGAAAAAATATATGCGCATACATTACTCAAATAAATTGTCCATAGAATTGTTTTTTTTTTTTTAATATATAGTTTTTGTTAATTATATATGATTTTTTTAAATATACAGTTTAATTTAATCGCCGGAAAAATCTTTGCGTTCGAGTTCTGGTTTTTTAAAGCTATTTTTCGATAACATGAAAGGTATTTTATAAATTAGATTCTTATCAGTAATTTTTGTTCCTGATAATAAACAAAAACGATTCAAATAAAGTAAATTATTGTCCACCGAATATCACACGCTTACTTACTTCTGAACAAATATGCATACAGTGGAAAAAGCCTTTTGACGTTAGAAATTCTCACCTTAGCATAAATTGCACAGTGTAAAAACCTCACCAGAACGTAATGCATACTCTGATAAGATGCCAACATTTAGTAAATTACGCCAAATCTGAATAAGTACGAGACAAACTTATGGGATGAAGTAATGAACAGCACGTTACTTATAATTTACGCTCCAAAGACCAAAACTTTTTTATACTCCATATAGTGTATGATTCCATTCACCTGAAGCAATTGAATCGCCATAACTTAAAAATAATTTAAAATTAAATGCGATAAAATGCGTCATATTGGTGTAAAGATATCAGATAATTAGTATACCCAATGCCCGTTGTATTGCGGATAATGAAATGAAATATATTGATTTCTTCAACGTAAGAAAATGCATGTAAATATAAGTGTTTATTTCATACAATCAATAAGTTTCGAATACCTGGTACTAAATGAGGAGTCAGAGTATCATAAGGCAGTGTGTAGACAGCGCCATCGTGAGTTAGTAAAAGTGCTAGTTTTTCTGCACATGCAATCTGCTGAATTCTAAGACTGCCTAACTGAAGAGGACCAGACCCAATAGACACCACTTCTTGTGCTGATTCAGTACACTGCAAATGATAAAATATTTATCAAATGAGTTGAGGTGGATATAATAGTATAGTAATAAGTAAAACAATTTTTATATAAGTACAGGTATACTGTTTCTAAGAAATTGCACTGAATTAATGTATTTCTATTTTGTACTATATCGTTAGATTACATTATTTTTTAATTATTTACATTATTTATATTGAAATAATACTAGTTTTTACGGAATTTATCGCGTATATTTAACTTTTTAATTACCCGACGTTTCGAGAGCTTTACAGCACCCATGGTCACGGGAAGGACTGAGATGTTCAACGTCCAGCTGTCATAGTTAACCGCGGTTACCATAGATTAAAATTTAACTTTTGTTCCGATCTACACAGTATGAACTTATGGTATCATGGAGTCTTGCAGTTGTATGCTTGGGTTGGGATTTAATTTTATTTATTATAGGATCCCAAGCAGATGGTAGCACCCAGCCATCTTCTCTATTGAAATTAGGATGTTTTTTGATTTCAATAGCCTCGCGAATCATCCTTGGAAGGAATCGGTGTTCTTTAGTGAGGATTTGTGGTCTATCAAATCTGATGTAGTGACGGGGGCGATCCTGTACATGTTCACAGACTGCAGACTTCCCGGAGCGTCGATTCTTCACATCAGCTATATGTTCTTTGACGCGGGTTTTAATGGATCTTTTAGTTTGTCCTATGTAGGAGAGACCACATTCACAATCAAGCTTGTACACTCTTGCATCTTGCAGAGGGACGTTACACTTGACTGATGGTAAAAACTGACCAATCTTCTTCGGCGGCTTGAAGTATGTTTTTATGGAAGCGCGCTTCAAGATGTAGCCAATCTTGTCTCTGAAACAGAGAGCACGAGGGATCTGTGACAGTAAACACCTGGCTGCCGAGCTCCAACATGTCAAGCAAGTTTTGCATGACAACAAGCTTCGGGTCCCGCGCCTACGTCACAGAGAACGAGTGAAGCCGGCCACAGTCGAGCGTGTACCTGCTGTACTGCCATATGTTAGAGGAGTCACTGACAAGATTGGCTACATCTTGAAGCGCGCTTCCATAAAAACATACTTCAAGCCGCCGAAGAAGATTGGTCAGTTTTTACCATCAGTCAAGTGTAACGTCCCTCTGCAAGATGCAGGAGTGTACAAGCTTGATTGTGAATGTGGTCTCTCCTACATAGGACAAACTAAAAGATCCATTAAAACCCGCGTCAAAGAACATATAGCTGATGTGAAGAATCGACGCTCCGGGAAGTCTGCAGTCTGTGAACATGTACAGGATCGCCCCCGTCACTACATCAGATTTGATAGACCACAAATCCTCGCTAAAGAACACCGATTCCTTCCAAGGATGATTCGCGAGGCTATTGAAATCAAAAAACATCCTAATTTCAATAGAGAAGATGGCTGGGTGCTACCATCTGCTTGGGATCCTATAATAAATAAAATTAAATCCCAACCCAAGCATACAACTGCAAGACTCCATGATACCATAAGTTCATACTGTGTAGATCGGAACAAAAGTTAAATTTTAATCTATGGTAACCGCGGTTAACTATGACAGCTGGACGTTGAACATCTCAGTCCTTCCCGTGACCATGGGTGCTGTAAAGCTCTCGAAACGTCGGGTAATTAAAAAGTTAAATATACGCGATAAATTCCGTAAAAACTAGTATTATTTCAATGTGTAGTGTTCGCGTAAATATAAGAAATCATTATTTATATTTTTTTTTGTAGTAGAAGCAGCAGTTAAAAAGAAAATACATTGCAATAATGATAGAATGATTACAATAAAAAACCATAAGAAACTCACAGTTACAAATCCCTTCAAAGGTGGCAGCAAAGGAGCACCAAGCCTGTCCAGGTGACAGAGCAAAGCAATACCTGCCTTTCTTACTTCCATTAACCCATCACCAGCAGGTATATTAAGTTCCCTGCAATATATAATATTTAATAAATATTACAGATATGACTTTATTTTTTATAATTTTAAACAGTAACCGTGTTGTAATTTACATAGGATGAGAATAATAAGCAATATATTTATTTTAACAAACCTTTTAAATAAATCATAAATGTTAAATATGAAGTCTTCGATATTGTATAACACTTCAGCATGCAGATTTGTATGGGAGAGCATAATAATACATCACTCTTCTACTAAATTCCTGCTAATTAAGTTGTTAACAGAATTTACTAAATATTATTTTTTGGGGTACCTATATAGTTTTCTCATCTGGTTGGGTTCTATAAATATATAATTATAAATTAATATGAAAAGATAGATATACATAAATATCAATAACATAAAATAAATACAAAAAATACATAAATAAATAAAGATCCAACCAGGTGGAAGCTCTCGGCAGAAGAGACCAAACGGCCGAGGGTTAGGAGGAAGGGGAGAGAAACCGGCGGACGATGCGGGCGGTATCGAGGAGCACCGCCTTCTGAGCCCGGAGCGGTCCGTCACGGAGTCCCAGTCGCCTCAGATGACCCGAGAGGCTAGCTGGGATTAGCCCATTCGCAGAGACGACTACAGGAATAATTTCAGCCGGCAGACCACCCCACATGTCGGTCACCTCGTGAGCCAGGTCCAGATATTTTGTTCGTTTATCTGTTTCGGCTTTCACGAGGTTCTCATCATACGGAATGGTAATGTCGACCAAAATATCCTTAACTGCGCCCGGTCCATCAGCACAATATCAGGCTTATTCGCAAGAATAGTCCTGTCTGTGATGATGACCCGGTCCCAGTAGAGCCTGGCGCGGTCATTTTCGAGCACGGCTTCCGGCAAGTACTTGTAATACGGCAATTTCCGGTCCACGAGACCGTATTTCAGAGCGAGCTCCTGGTGTAGAATTCTGGCTACTAGGTTGTGCCTGTGCAAGTACTCAGAGTTAGAAAGCGCCAACAACCGGAGATGACATGCCTAAGTGACTCCCCGGGATGGCGACAAGCTCGACAGACGTCAAATATTATTATTATTATAAAATTTTATTTTGCAAATACTTACTTTAGATATAATTCAGTATAGTTGTCCTCGGCCGTAGTTTCATTGTTAACAATCGGATTGGGGGCAGTCACTTTTGCCATGCGTCTTAAAAACGGACCAAGTGGCGCGGTACATTCTTCCAGAATGATTCTTAAAATTAAATATTATTTTTAATCAAGAAATAATAATAATACTATTAATTTTAAATTTCAAACTTTATAAACTATACTTCTAATATTTTATGACAGCAAAAATTCTTCCAGATTCTTAAAATGAAAATATTATTTTTATAATGATTTCTTACTGACTGATACTATTTTTAAGCAAGAAATATTAATTATACTATTAATTTTAAATTTAAATCTTTATTAACTATACTTGTAATACAGATTAACTATTAAGGGGAAAATTTGCCATAACTGCCACGCTTAGTAAACGGGTAGACAATCGCAGTTTTTTATTGTTTTTAAGTTGCTATGAAGAAAATGCTGCACATTTTCCGTTTTAATTTCCCTCTGAAGCGACAGTGGGTTCCCTTACACATCGCAACTACGCGGCAAAAATTAAATAAAAATAAATATAAAGTCAAATATAAAGTTATATATATATATATATATATATATATGATAAATATATATGTGTGTGTGTGTGTGTGTGTGTTTAATTATACATTATTTAGGAAAGAAAGGTACATACCTATTATCGGGTTGTCGCTTTTGGCGCGGTGGTAGTGCGACGAGTACGTCAGCTGCTTTTAATAGTGCAGGCAGCTCGGCCCTGCGTGCGCACAGCTCCACCCACACGCATAGTGAAGTGCGCCAGTCGCCCAAAGGAACATTACATCCTACCTCGCTATAGTAACCAAGATATACATTTATAAATAAACGACAATTACTCAGTATAGTACTCTATGTTCGAGAATACAGCGGAGTGGAGCACACTGACTGAATGGCAAACAAAAATTAAAAAGGTGAAAACTATTCTAACTACTAAGATCAGTGTGCAAAAAAAAATGATGTAGGTTATAGTTGCCTAGTAGATAATCAATCGCGCATATTGTCAAAATGACTGTCCTGTGTGTGTGACTGACTGTGACTGCCTTTTGAGTCTTCTTACGTGAAGTATTATCGATGGTGAAGTTTTTCTAGAGTAGAAATAAGTGTTTTATTGAAGCCTACCTACCTCGTCCGCGTAGGACTTAAACGAAAACCCTGCAGATCTTTGACAGTGGTTTTTGTTTGGTAATTTATAAGTTTTTTTTTGCTATTATTTGGAAAAAACTATTTCTATTTTGTTGGTATTGTTTGGAAAAGCGATTTGCTTAACAATTTCACTGATCCGTGAGTCATATATGAACGTTTCGATTGTTTAACTATTGTCTTTTTCACGAACAGGGAAGTTCTTAAAATAAGTAATGTCTATTAATTTGGCGTAAAAAGGTCTTATTGCCTTATCCATTAACACTTAGTTTGTTTGAATCTACTGACGTTGTGAAATGATGTTGCTCTGACCGGAGAAGAAACAGCGAAAGAAACTTCGCAGGTGTCCTCTTATTCTGTCATTCAATTGTTTGGAATAGTGGTTTCGAATTAAGTGATGGCTTTGAGAGTGCACCCAATAACGAAAGGAGATAAGGTGCTCATCAAACTAAGATATTATTATGATAATTACGAAACTTATAAAAATAGTCTTACTAAATAATAAACTAGCTTCGGCTAATTAAAACTGTTAAATCAATGTAACTGTAAAAAAATGTAACCATTAGTTACTCAAATATTTTTGTGATAATAAACAATGTATTCAACAGTTTATTTTTTACATTTTCTAGGTAGACTGGGGCTGGTTGTGACATTTTTTTATAAAGTGTCGCAATTTTTTGTTTGTTTGATTGTTTTACCGGAATGAAGGTTTGTTTGAATAAGTAATTATTCGGGTTATTAATTTAAAAACAATTTTTGATACCAGACTATTAGAAGTGACATAAATGGATTAATTCTGGGAAAAGAGGCGTGTAACTTTTAGCCCCGCGCCTGGGGCTGGTTGTTAAACTATAAGGGGCAAAATTTTACAACAAAAACCAAATGTAATATAACACTTTTTATTGAGAATAATGACAATTTATAACAATTATTATGTATACAATGTCAAACTATATTTTCTATATAACAGTCTTTTGCCTCATTAAAATAAAAACATAGTAACTTCGTTGAACAAAATTATAATCTTATTTTTTAGACTTACGCCTTATAAAAATAAAATTTAGGTAACTTCCAAGAAAATTATAAATTTCTTTATTAAACAAAAGCTTAGTATAAATTGAAGATGAACAAAAAATAAAAAATAAAATTACACTAGCAAAAAATAAATAAGTCAAATATATCAGTCGGCAAGCAGCACTATGGGGTAGGTAGTAACAAGTAACAACCTGCTCCGAGCAAATGTCACTTAGCAACGCAAAAACTGACCTTTTAAGGTTAAGTAGTAAAAACACAAATAAGTATAACTGTATGAACGTAAATTCGTTGCAATAAGAAAGGATTAGGGCACACGAAATAACACAAAATAAAAATTACGAAAAAACGAAAATGTTACTAACATGCGGTTTTGACGGCAACATGTACGTGCTCCTCTCACAAAAGCCATGGCGCCACAGGTTCGCGCGGCGTGCTAGCCGGTGGTCGCATGATCATTTGTATCTTTCTCACGATAATACAGCGTTCTCAGTTTAGCCACCGTTGCCGCTGTAACTACCTACCCCTGTCACTACCAGCCCCAGTCTCGCCTATATAAATGCCTTTTAATTAGGCACCTTTATGTTATAAAATGTAACCTAATTATACCTCTACTTTGTGACTAGAAACATCATTTAAAATGTTTTATTTTAATATTTTCTTTTCCCTTCATATAAAATACTAGTTAACAATAATCTACTATGAGTACGGATAATAAGTAATTAAACTGGTATTATTTGCTGAGATAAAATCAAAAGCGTCTCTGGTCACAGTTCAGGCTTTCATTCAATAAAAACCACTGCAGCCGGATCGATCTTTTTGTTTAAAACAATATTTTTGTTAGAAAATACGAGAATTAGTACTTAAAACATAATTACCCAGCGACAACTTGATGCAGGAACTTGGCAGCACTATCAACAACTTCGGCCCAGATTTTCTGTGAGCGCGGTGCCTGCGTTACTCCGAGCCCGGCACCAGCGTAGAGAGCCGCGTCAGGTAATGCGCGCACTGCATCCAATGCATCGCGGAGCAGTGCCGAGCACACGTCCGCATCCTCGCCGCAACGCCATGCACGTCGCACAAGCGACAATGCCAGTCGCAATGCAGCGCGTGCGCCTACTCGTGCTAACCCTATTGCACTAAATAAAAAGCGGATACAAATTTTGTGGCCCGTTTTTAATTATATACCTTTACATTTGAATAATGTGACGATTCACAAAATAAAGATATGTAAATATAAGTGCTGATTTACCTCGGCGGTGAAGGTTTGCGAAAAAACCACGAATACAGCAGGCCCAACACTTATCACCTCATTAGAGAGCACAGAGCGGGCTAGTACTTGCAACAACTCCTCTCACAAATAACAGGAGCCTTGTAGAGCTTTACAAATTTTACTTTTCATAGAAAAAAAGAATAAATTACGGCACGAGGAGTGTTTTTTTTTAATAGAATAAAGGTGACAAACTAGCACACAATGCACCTGATGGTAAGTGGATGCTGTAGCCCACAGACTTCTAAATTAATCCTCGATTAAGAATCAAACGCAGATGCGTTGTCACCCCTGAGGACTAAGATGGAATGCCTCATTTCCAGTAAAAATGGTCTCCGGATCTCTAAACTCACCATACGAAATACAGCAGTATTAAGCTGCTATTTTACGCTGGTATTCTGTGAGAGCGTGGTCCTTGCCCGGTCGAGCCGACCCATTCGTGTTACAACCATAATGAAGCTACAGCGTTGCTCTACCACATATAAAAATAGAAAAATAGGGACATTAAGTATTACAATATGTATTGTTGTTATAGAGTTTAACATGCCATAAAATAAATACCTCTCAGAATCATCAGTATGCTCTTCAGTTTCCTCTTGAGTTTCTGAACTGATTTCTACAGGTTTGTTGAGGGTGTTGACAACATTACTAAGTGCTCTGTTACTTATGACATGTGGTGGTTTGTTATCTATTTTAATTTTCTTAATTTCTTTATTATGGCTTTGGTCCCTAAAAGGAAATATTAATTGTATTAACATTTAATTGACTTTTTGAACACAATAATATTGTATAATTATATGCAGTATTTCACCAATGAAATAGCTATTTTCTTTAACCTAATGGCTAGTTTAAAGTTCGATAATATATTATCTCTGCACTACTCTAAGGTAGACTGGTCGATAATACCTCAGGCATTAAGTTCGCCTATATGCATCTAATGTGAATATGAAGTTAAATAAATAAATAAATAAATAATATAGTAGTGTTATTAAAGTTACGATATTACATAACTCAAACTAAGGTTTATAATGATGATTGGAAACCTATAGTGTAAGATTTACATTGCGACAAAACTCGCGATACCATCCATACCAGCTCGATGATAGGCGGTCCACCACTGTGTGATTTACATTACAAGGAGTTTTCTTTATCGCACTATTTCCTTGTGGAATAGACTACCACAAGAGATTTTTGGTACCGATACGACTTAGAGTCCTTCAAGAATATAGCCTACTCTTTTTTTAAAAGCCGGCAACGCACTTGCGATGCCCTGGTGTTGCAGTTGTTCATTGGCGGCGGTCGAAACTTACCATCAGGTAAGCCGCATGCTCGTTTGCCCCTTCTTCTATATACACTCGTCACAAAAAATAAGGGATATAAAAAAATTCTAAATTTTTGGGTGATTTACAACAAGCTGTAAACTCTGAGGAAAATGATCGTATAGCAAAAAAAATTGTAATTCGCAAGTGTACGGTTTTCAGACCTGGCCATAAAATTTTTTTACCGTATTTGATTCTGGAGTGATCCTAAGGAAACTACCGAAAAAAACATTTACCAAATTTTTGCGGGTCTTAAAAAAGGTTAAAACTCTTTTAGGAAATGTACGATCATCTACCTCAGAGTTACAGCTTATTGAAAATCACCCAAAAATTTTTTTCGCAGAAAACAGCAACATTCAACCTAAGCGAAAAAATAATAGTAATGTAGTTTCAGTCGCACTGTTAAGGGCAGATAAGAACCGTATCAGAGACGCATTAATAGGCCATCAGGCGGTGAACTGAACTAAACTCGACGATATGCTTATTGACCGAAAGCTGAGCTCCTAACATTACATGCCACTCCCGTTCTGCACCTTTCACCTTAGTAGCACACACCTGGCCGCAGATTTACACACGGTGCTATACATATCTAACGTGCCGACTCTGCCTATCGGGCGTTTACGGATCGAATCTCGTGTACACTGTTAATGAACTAAAATCTCTTTATAATAAATAAATTGAAATTTCATAGGTAAAATAGTACATAATGCAACACTGAGCTAATTTTCGTAGTAATATAGAGCAGCCTCTATTAGATACAACGAATGTCGCAAATTTACACAGTGCATTTGCACAGATTAGCTGTAATTCACATAGTGAGAACCAGGGACTTGAATACTGGTAATATAGGACTCTTAAAGTAGGAAAGCGTTATGTTGATACTTTATTATTTTTGCAATTTATTTAAAATCTTTAAAGAAATTATATATAATCATACCTGATAACAGCCACAAGATGTCTATTGCAGAGGACAATCAATCGGCGAATTTGAGATATGAATGAGCAACTGACAACTGCATTGATGGCTCTCATCCGTTGCTCCCACATTAGGGATTCCATCAAACTTTGCAGACATTCTGGGCCTTAAAATAAAAAACTTTATTTCGTTGCTTGTAACCTTATTAAAGAGATCAAATTTGTAATTTAGTCTAACTACTACACACTAATTATTATGATTCTGAAATCAATAAAAACAATAAAAGCTAATACAAATTAATAATTTAACCTTATATCTATCCCCAATGTAGAAATGTAATTATATTTTTGGTTCTTTTATACGTGTTTTACATAGTAGAGCCATGCTACAGTTATATTTTTTACGTGGTAGAGCCATGCTACCTGTAGCTTGAATGGGTCGGCTCGATCGGGGTAGGACCACGCTCTCACAGAATACCAGCGTCAAATAGTAGCTTAATGCTGCTGTGTTTCGTACGGTGAGTGTAGAGAACCGGATACCCTTTTTACTGGAAACGAGGCATTTCACCTAAGTCCTCACGGATGACAACGCGTCTGCATTTTGATTCGTAACTGAGGATAGATGTAGATGTCTATGGGCCACAGCAACCACTTACCATCAGGTGGGCTGTGTGCTCGTTTGTCATCCTATTCTATAAAAAAAATATTGTTGTTGTAGTAAAAATGAGTTGGCTAGATCGGGGAAGGACCACACTCTCAAAGAATACCATAGTGTAATAGCAGCTTAATGGTGCTGTGTTTTGTATGGTGAGTGTAGAGAACCGGAGACCCTTTTTACTGGAAATAAGGCATGCTATCCTCCGGGGGTCCTCAGGGGTGTCAATGCATCTGTATTATGGGCTACAGTATCCACTTACCATCTGTCTCTGAGTGACTAACAGAAATATGCAAGGAATTTCTTCCACAACAATTAATTGTAATTGTGTTGGTGGAGCCTTACTGCAACTATATTATAGCTGTAGCATAAATGGGTCAGCAAAACCAGGAATGGACCACAATCTCACACAATAAAATAGCAGCACAATGTCAGTATTTCATGATGGTGCTCATAGAGAACCAGCGCCACTTTTTTCACTGGTAAGAAGGCATTCCATCTTAGCACTCGGGAGCGACAACGCATCTGCATTTTAATCTTTAATCAGAGATAAATGTGTCTATCAGCTACAGCATGCACTTACAATCAGGTGGATTGTGTACCCGTTTATTACCCTTATTCTATACAAAATATAAAAAAAACTAAGTCAATCAATTACTTATAAATAATAGCACACCATGAAGTGTACGCAGTGTAGTGGCACTACCCTATGTACTCCTGTGGGTGTCATAAGATATTTGAAATAACAATTACTTGAAACAAATAGTTCGTTTTCTCTACTACAATAAGCTCAAGGCAAATTTTAGATAACTTTTTTATTTATTTAGTAATAATCATTTTCCCGATGCACGTTTAGGCCAAAACTCTGAGAGATATGATTTGGGAGCTCTAATTTGTAGATTCTATTGAATATCAACCATCAAAAAAAAATATTTTATCTCACAAACATTCTATAATTTAACAATGATAGAATACATTTTCGTTATACGCCTTCCACATAAGGAAAAAAATCGACACAATTCAATTAACGACCAAAAAGTTTCGATAAAAGCCCCAATATCTTCGAAGTTCTACATCATTTTGATGTAAAATTCATACCAAAATAATCGTCAACATTTCCTTAAACTATACTATGATTATTACTTTTTAAATCGTTACTATGATTTTTTTAATTAATTAAATAAAAGTAGCATATATTTCACTGCATCGGCCACGTGAATTCAGTACCACGCGAGTGATTGTCGAGGTTGGACCTGTGTCAGTTTATTTCGCGCGCTCCGTTTAGTTTCGATATTATTGTAGTATGCGTCGATTGACGTTATAGGCGCTGCTATTTTGGCCTGTGTTCCGAAATAGAACTCAACTACGATCGCAGTTTTTGATCGTTGGAAGTATTTACTTTCGTACAGTATATTTCAATTGGTATAAAGTTCGCACATTATTATTATACCAGATAGTTAACTCATAGTTATTTTGATTGTACCCGACCTTTTTTACCAGGAATGGGGAAAAATAAATGCAAGTATCAATATGTCACTAAACATAAAAAAGAAATATCCTATCTCTGGAGAAGTTATAAAGGAGAATAAAAATGTCTGCATGCTCGCCATATGGACTGGCCCAGTTTATGCAGTAAAAGTAATAAAAATCTATGACTACAAATTTTGGATTTTGAATATGTTACCCAAGCTACAAGGGTTTTATAAAAAGTGTACTGCCTGAAATTATTGACTCGAGATAAGTTCGGACAATGCCGTTGCGGCAATTATTTTTAAAATATAAAATATGGTAATTAACTGTCAGTACCGATTAAAAAAATATTAGTTACTTAATGTTATTGTATTTTTTAAAACAGGTTGCTACTCTACTATTTATTTATTTATACCACTATGCTACCATTAGTAGACAAATTCGATTATTAACCAACATCGGTTAATTGATTACTGCAAAACAATTAAAATATTTATGTGTACTTATTTCAACACTAAGGTTCATAAATAATGAAAAATATATCAAATAGATTTTAATAAATTGATTAGATAACATAAAAATCACACACCAAAAATTTTTCATCCTCTGAACTCCATCCTAAGAAAACACGTATAATGGAAGATCAAGACCGTTTAGTCGCTATACTCACAATATCATAGTGCGAGCGAGAGAATAGATATGAAATAAAGTACCGCTCATAACTCGTAACTCTGTGGGAGCTCTGGTTGTCGCCCGCTCGGTGCGTAAAATACCTAAATTTGCGTAACGCCGAAATGTAAGAGGGCTCTTAATAATATATTTAAGTTCTCTTTTATATCCTTAGGGTTTTGAAGTTGTTTTAAATAATTCTGTAGCAAACCAAAAAAAGATGTGATAGCATGAGATCTGATGCGTATATGAGGTGTCAATGTATGGAGGTATCAAGGTGTGATCAATGCCTAACATATTTTAGAATTTGCATGTATACAGGCATAAATTTTCTTTAACAAGCTAAAGCAATCTGTCATCATCTAATATCAAGCAATGACTAGATTAAGGTAGGTCTTTGAGCTTGTAATACATCTGTAAACTAGTATACACATAGGTCATTTATTACAAGAGATTTCATACTCTTTATGTTTTTTTCAAATATCATAAAGAGGTATATATTAAGATTATTTATATAAAAAATCCCAGTTGAGAAAAATACAGATTACAATATCAACAGTAGCAACACATACAATATCAATATTAACAAAACAAAATAGGGCTCAGCTTTCCATTGACATCCATCGAGTTGGGGGGTTGATATTTATTTTTACAGAAAGGTTAAATTATTATAAGCACACACGCAAAGTTTCAAGATGTGGAGACTCATACTTTTGAGAAAAAAATTATTGAATATCAATTATTTTTGCAATATTTATGTCAATCCCTACCGGAGATTATATTGAATTCTTGCCATTGAATGTTTCGTTTTACATAAGGTAAGTTGTCATACATTCGGTAACATTTTATTTTATATAAATTTATGTAAACAATTATATTTTGTACTCATTTCAATAGTTTTCATGCACATGTTTAACAGTTTATATTTAAGTCACAGAATTATTTTCATTACGAGCTATTAAAATTAAAATGTGTAGTGTTTACCGTCTTTTGTCGGTTTGTGGAATGAAACGTAAAACTGATTTTTTTCAAAGAATTAATTAAAGCAATACAATATTAAAATTGACTAATAAATTATTAATTATATTTGATTTGTTTTATTTTAACAGTACCTAGGTAGGTACTGTTAAAATAAGGACTGTTAATAAGGTACTGTTAAAATAAATAAAATATTGTATATTTTATTGTATACCCTTCCTTAGGGGGGAACCCCCTTCCCCAAGGGGTCCCTGGATTTTTACACTTGGTATTAATCCATGAAATGAGGAAAATTTCCTCAGAATTAAAAATGAAAAAACTCGAAAAGGGGGGGGGGACTACACAACTTTTCCTTTTAAGGGGGGATAGTACACATACAGTATAAAAATATATTATAACTCATACATTCTAATATAAAATTCATTGACATAAGTGCTTATTTATTTTAAGCATTCTCTCTACTTAGAGTAATGTAGATATAAAAAGAATGTTTAAAATAGAAATGAAAAAAATGCCTAAAATTTGTGAAGGAATATTTATACCAAATAATAACATAAAATAGTCTTATGTATTGTTGTGCAAACATAACAGGATATTGTGTTAGCTCTGCCCTTAAATAACTATTATGGCAAAGTATACTGTAAATTTTGTACAGACATTGAAAAATAAAATAAAATAGTAATGTGTACCTATTTACTAGAAATAAATATGTATCACCAATTCACTTCACAATTTTATTAGAAACTACATAAGTTTTTCATACCTGGATCTTGTTTCCATTTTAGATCATCTATAACCTGAATTGATGGAGGAGGAACAACTAGCTTTGATTGAATTGCAACACGCTGTTCTTCTTCTGAAGATAAGGCAGAACATGCGTCACAAGCACATCCTGAATGAGGACCACAAAGTCCATCACAACAAGTACAGGTAAGAATCTAAAAAAATGTCATATATAATCAGTTCTAAGCATTCTTGATAAACTAGCAAGGAAAGCCAAATAACAACATACCCTTAGGCCACAGTAATATTTGCCACTGTCACCAAGTTTGGCTGTTATTCCAGCAGCATTTACAAGACCGTTTCCAGACTCAAAATATATTTCACGGTCCTGTATTAGACTATTAAATAACGTAGAAAGAGAATCAGGATTATGCAAAGCATCTTGTAAGTCAGGATTAAGCCACTTAGCATCCAAATGCTGCTGAGGACGAAAAATGAAATCTTCTAAATCTTCGGATGCAGACATTTTTGTTATTGCTTGATTTTATCCATCAAAGAAACCATGAAATTCACTGAACAATCATATTATTGATCAATGTATATTCGAGAACTGATGCCTTTTTTATCATTTCATCTTAAAATACCTATTTCGAAGGAAAATAAAAACAAATGTAGTGTACCATCCTAGAACCTAGCCCTACATTAAGCTCTCAGTAAAGTTATGTAGATATATCTTTTACAATCGACTACTGAAATCTGAATCATAGAAATATTTAATATTTGTAATTTATATGTAAACTACTGAATTCTATCCTGAATCGAGATCGAAATCGAGTTAAACTGTGGTTATAAACTATAATATGTCAACGTCAAATGCGAACTATAAAAAAAGTAGTGTCTATTGTCAAATGTCAATTTTCAAGCCCCCAGAGTACATTTGTATATAATATCAATCCATTTTTCTTATTATGGTGAAAAAAATTAATATAATAATATACGTCAGAAAATTAAACCTAACGTTATTTACATAAACTTATAATAGTAATAGACAGCCATTGTTTGCAAGGGAGAAGAAAATTACTTATAAAATTATATAGCAAGGTTATAAGCATGGAGGTTAGGGAACAGGAGAACGATTGCTACGTACTAAAGCATAGCCCACCTGTCCTTCAAAATTTGTAGAATTTTTTGAGATTTTAAGAACGATCGCCGTAGAAAATAGTGTCCCAGGAATATGTACACCATAAGTGAGGAGCTGCGATCGCTAAGTTCACTCAATAAAAGTCATTTTCAGTATATTTTTCTGATCAGATGCTAAACCACTTGCAAATCCACGCACAAAAAAATATTTCTCCATTTTTCAATGTTTTTTTTTGTCAAAAATTAAAAACTACGGAACATGAAAATTTTCTCACCAATGTAGCGAAGAAAATTGGTACAAAATTCAACTAACTTCATCTACTTGTACTTGTAAACAGCTAACTTCGCAGCCACTACTCACCGACGGCAGCGCCGCTATAAATTCTACAAATTTTCAGGGACAGGCGGGGTATGCTTTAGTATGTAGCGATCGTTCCTTTTCTCTCTAACCTCCATCACCAAATCTAAGAAATACATTTTGACAGCTGTCAACACACAACGTGAACTTATTGCATCAAGCGTAGATAGAGAAGGATTCTCTGTCTACGGCACCAAGCATGCCAACCAAAAAATGGCAACGTACAATATTCGATTCTTAAAAAAATCGATTATTTAGAGTTGGCAATAATTTACAGTTTGGTTTCAATAATACCAGAAGAAATTAGAAACGGATAATTTAAAACACAAGATTTATCTGTTTATTTGAGATTTTTTTTTATAGAAGAGGGGGCAAACGAGCATGTGGCTCACCTGATGTTAAGTGACTACCGCCGCCCATGATCAACCGCAACACCAGGGGAATTGCAGATGCGTTGCCGGCCCTTTAGAAAGGAGTAAGCTCTTTTCTTGAAGGTCCCCAGGTCGTATCGGTTCGGAAACATCGCCGGTGGTAAATTATTCCACAGAGAGGTTGTACGCGGAAGAAAACTCTTTTTGAAACGTACAGTGGCGGTCCGCCAAGCATCCAGATGGTGTGGATGGTATCGGGACGTTTGCCGTGTAGTGCGTTCACGAAATTTGGCGGCTGGGATTAATCCGAACAATTCCTCAGAGCACTCCCCGTGATAGATGAGATAAAATACGCAAAGAGATGCAACATCTCTTCGCAGCGCCAGTGAATCGAGCCGATCGGAAAGCACTCGGTCGTCGACGATTCGAGCCGCTCTGCGCTGGATGCGGTCAAGTGGAAGGAGCTGGTACTGGGGAGCCCCAGCCCAGAGATGGGAACAGTATTCCATGAGCGGCCGAACCTGCGCCTTGTAAAGTTGCAGGCGGTGTGCCGGCATGAAATACTGCCCCGCTCTGCTGAGCACGTTTTCCCGAGAAATAGGCTCGGCCGGTGTAAAGAGCATCACCAGTGCTGTCATCTGCATAGCAATGAATGCAGGGCAACAACTTGATATGCAGAAGAAACAGCGTTGGCGATAGCACGCAGCCCTGTGGATCACCAGCATTAATAGGCTTGCAATCGGAGCTTGCACCGTCTACAACGACCTTGATGCTCCGATCTGCAAGAAAGCTGGTGATCCAATCGCACAATTTCTCGGGAAGCCCATAGGAAGGGAGCTTCGAAAGAAGCGCTTTGTGCCAAACCCGATCGAAGGCCTTCGCAATGTCCAAACTAACGGCCAATGCCTCTCCCTTGGACTCTACTGCCTCCGCCCATCTGTGAGTTAGCTAGATTAGAAGATCACCAGCTGAAAGAAAAGTAAAGTTGCAGGCGGTGTGCCGGTATGAAATACCGTCCAGCTCTGCTGAGCACGCCAAGCTTTTTTGGGCTAATTTGGCCTTCTCTTCCAAGTGACCACGAAACTGCACGTCACTCGATATGTCGACGCTGAGGATTCCGATACAGGCTAAGGCAACAAGGAGAGTGCCTTGAAACTGAGGAGATACGACAAAGAGGTTCTTTTTAGAGGTAAACTTGTGTCTTCTGAGGATTAAACTGGACTAGATTTAGTCGCCTCCAATCCGAGACTTTGTTCAGCAAAGACTCGACAGCTAGTGATCCTCAAGGTACCTCACGAGCTGGCAGTTTACAATTTTGTTACAGTTTTGGAGAACAAGGAGGTGATGGCGATAGGCCTGTAGTCGGATGGATCTGAGCGGTTGCCTTTTTTAGGGATCGGGTGGACGAAAGCCGTCTTTCATGATTTTGGGATTACGCCTAGGGAGTAGTAGTACCGGAAAAGACGCGTTAAAACCGGTACCAACTCTGGAGCACACGTCCTCAGCACAATTGGGGGATTCCGTCAGGCCCACTCGACTTGTGGATGTCCAGGAGAGGACTGCTTTGCGAACTGAGCGCTGTGTGAACTGCACCTCCAGCATGGAGCACACACACCGCGGGATGGACTCCCCCCGTCATCGAGAGTCGAGTTGGACGCAAAGAAAGAGCTTAGCAGTTCGGCTTTCTCCTTTGCGGTATGTGCCAGTGAGTCGTCCTCCCTGTGCACAAATGGAAGAGATGGCTTACAGAAATTCCTCTAGACAGCCTTGGCGAGAGACCAGAATGCGCGGATTGCAGAAGGAAGGCGAACTAGTTTTTCGCCAATTCTGCGTATGGGCTCCGATTTGCCTTGGCAATGACTCTTTTGAAATACCTGGAGGCGGAATTATAATTCTTTTTTGAGCGCTGGTGTTAAACCCAGACTTGGTAGCACTCCTGCTTATAGCATAATGCTATTTTACGGAAGCGACCAAACCATGGCTGAGATTTGCCTCCGATGGGCACCACAGAAGAAGGAATAAGAAGTTCCATGCCTTGAAGTACCACATCAGCGACAGAATCCGCAATAACGTCGGGATCGTCCTCCGAGAAGCACACCCGTCCCAAAGGCTTGAATCGTCGACGACCGATTGCTTTTCGATCGGGTTGATTCTCTGGCGCTACGAAGAGATGTTGCATCTTTTTGCATTTTCTTTCGCATATACCACGGGGAATGCTCTGAGGAAATGTTCGGATTAATCCCAGCTGCCAAATTTCATGAACGCACTATGCGGCAAACGTCCCGATATCATCCACACCATCTGGATGCTTGGTGGTCCACCACTGTACGTTTCAGAAGAAGTTTTCTTCCGCGTACGACCTCTCTGTGGTATAGTTTACCACTGGCGATTTTTCCCGATCAATACGACCTAGGGACCTTCAAGAAAAGAGCTTACTCCTTTCTAAAGGGCCGACAACGCGACTGCAATTCCTCTGGTGTTTCGGTCGATCATGGGCGGCGATAATCACTTAACATCAGGTGAGACGCATGATCGTTTGCCCCCTCTTTTATATAAAAAAAAATTCACTTGACCGGTTGAATATTAATAATTATATTCCCATTTTCATTATTTTATTTTATTTTCTTTTTAAATATATAATAAACAAAAGCAACTATATCGATATCGATAGTTGCTAATATTAAGAATGAAGTTGCTACGGATTTAAGACGTCATGTCTGATGAACGTTATACACTACTACTAAAATAGGGATGTCAATTTTCTAGTAAATTAGAAGATAAATTCAGTTTCACGAAAGAAGTCCCGCGGAAAATATACGAACTAGAATTTAATGTATGTTATTTGACACCAGATGTCAAACTTTGCAAAGACTATGGTGCCGCGGTTAAGGGACTTATTTCGTGAAACGGACTGTACAAGTGTATTTACTCTCACATTTAGCATAGTATGAAGAGGTCAAAGATATTAATTGTCACTTAAGCTCTACACATAAATTGCTTGCTTATATATTATTATATATATATATATATATATATTGTCTCCATTTATGTATAATTGTATATAAATGCCTACATCTGTGCATACAAATGTATTTAATTACTCTGAGGAGCCAATACGTTCTGTTGCTATTTTAGTCCGGTTTCTATGTTTTAAGGTGTTTTAGTCGGTGCGAGTCCGACATAACCCGTCCTTGCCCCCCGCGAGGCGGGTATGCGTAGGCATTTCCCCATGCAAAAAAAAAAAAAAAAAAAAAAAAGGTGTTATTTTTCCAAACTCTCTACCGAAAGACAAAGAGTAGATAAATATAATCGCTATTCGCTACATCCATGGAAGTTAGAGAACCTAATGTCCGTCATTTAGGGATGTTCGATGATCATCGATGTTATCATGTCTTAAACATCGAAACATCGATGTTGACACATGTCAAACATCGATGTCAATGAACCAATAATCGATTAAAAAGAACTCTTGAACCACGCGAACCCGCGAAATCAATATCGACTAAATATTTCATCTCCTATTAAAGCTTTAAAATTTTGAATAATTAAGGATTCCTAAATGCATCGATCACCTAAAAAAATATCATTATCTTTTGTCAAACTCCCTGTTAAGTATGAACTGTAATATCACAGTTGTTACTACTTTCGCTTTGGTATTTTGGTGCCGTTGTCGGTTGTCGCCTAATAACTATTCTACATAAATTGATATTAAAATTAATTGTTTTTTCCTTGATGTCCTATACCCACATAATTTTGAAACTATGTATATCAACACAATTTAATTATATTTAGCTGTTCTTTTGAGTTTGGGGTAACAAGACTATTGTTTGCTTGGAGTTTATGAAAATAAATCACTGGGCGATCGTGAGCGTAGACAATTTCACTGCATAGTGCATTCTACAATGCATTTTATAAATGGCTGTGGATACTTACTGCTTGAGTTGCTTGATTAAAAATTGTGTGAACAAAGGTGACGGAAAAGTCTATTATTTTGTTTTTGTGAAGGTTGTTAATTTTCCATCATCGATGTTACTGTAACATCGAGCATCCCTACTGCTACTACTGTCACTCGCACTTGTCATCAGTTTTTCCACAACGAGGGGAAATTCCCCTTTTCAGGGGAAATTAGGGTCCAGAGGGGAAGAAAAATGTAAAGACATGAAAAGGGGAAATCGAGGGAAATCATGGGTAAAGCCTAGCTTAAAATATTGCGGAAAATTTCGGAGTTATTTTTGTATTATAGTTCATACAAAAATAACTCCCTGTTACCGTATAAAAGAAACAGTGGGGACACGTCATCGGCTAAAGTCGCAGACCTCGTACTTCGTCAATGTTTCAGCGCAATTTTATTCTGTGGTACCTATGCTTGGTTATTATTTAGTATGTATCACCCAATGATAACTGATTGTGTATCACACAATGATATTATAAGGTTGATCGAGCAGATTTTAACTACGAGTGCTAAAACTACAGCAGAATAATTTTTGAGGGGAAAAAAGTCCTGAGAAGGGGAAATCTCAATTGAGGCGTGGGGAAAGGAAATCATTAAAGTGGGAACACTGTCTGTCATTGTCATGTCATTTTTCATTTGTCATTGTCATTCATTTACGCCAGGTATGAGAAAAATTTATGGCGTGTTTTGTTGCGATTATAAAGTTATTGAAAGACTAATATACCTAATTGTTTAGAGTTGTTGCCTGACGTAGATACTTCGATGGATACAGACATTCTGTTAGGGAACAAGGATTACTTATACGGTAATTTCAATATTTTTTATTTAAACATCGAAGGCCGGGTAAAAATGAAAACAATGTACCTGTTCTAGTAATTCATGAAGCTATTAATCTTTGTATTGTGTAATTGTTATGATATCCTTAAATCGACTTTAATCGTAAATTAGAAATGTGTTCAACTGAATTTAATTAAGGTCATAAACAAAAAAACTTTTAGTAGTTAACAGTGTTAACCTGGTAAGACTTACAGTAAGAATGCAAGTGCCTAGATCGTGTTAGTAGCACTACTTAGGCGAGGTCTAAGCTCAACTGTACAAAGCTTACAATCGATTTGAAGGTTTAAACGTTTATGAAGGAGTGAACTTATTTTTCCTTAAGCTTAGTTCTAGTCTTTAAATATTAGATTTGAGGTTTAGTGTCGACTCTTCACTCTTGCACAACGGAGTGATTAAAGGAGTAATTTACCACCCTAAAGCAGCTACCTAAGAAATAGGTGATTGGAGTCCTCAACCAGCAGCCAGGAATGTCAACAAAAAAAAATCAGATCAAGTATGCTGCAACTGCTTTTGTGCAATATTTTACTGACATTCTGATTTTGACTACAAAATCACTTAATTCTTCTTAAAGTGTTTGTCAAGTTCTTACTCAAACAAAACTGTTAATGTCTGTACAAAAGAATTTGATTTCTATAAAATATGATCAATTATTTTTTCTCATTTATCAGAATTCTTCCGATAGATATTTGCTATCATCTTACAAATAACTATTTGATCACCATTGAACATAGGCTAAATAATAATTGATAAAAAAATTTGGTGTCTGCAACCCCAAACTTCTTGAGCATATGGGTAATATTTATTATTATTATTATTTATGGGGTATTTATATAGCATTCTTTATATAGCTATAGATATCTGGTACTTGATTTTAATAATGTTTTTTGTCTAGGAGGCTTGATAGGGTTAAGCTTAAACCTGTTATACTGTTTATAGATGTCGGAAATATGTTTTGAACTAATTAGGATAACAATAAATTTCACTAAAAACTGCTTATAATGAAATGCAAATGTCAATTTTTTCTAGTATTATGAAGTAGACATCCGGTACTTGATTTTTAATTCTGTTTTCAATTTAGGAGGTTTAGGTTTGTCAGGGTTAATCTCGTACCTTTAACACTGTTTTTGGATTTTGGAAATGCCTTTTGAATTAATTACGAAAAAAATAAATTTTACTAATATTTGCATTAACACAATGCAAATATGTCAATTTTTTTTTAACACAGATACACCCATAAAAAAGTTTATCACTGAGACCCTGACAATCCATTCATGGCTTAAGATGGGACTCATATACAACAAATTGAGTCACAGTCAAGAGGTTTTTCAGAAAACAAAACTATAACAATTCACATAAAATTCTTAAGGCACCTAACGACCATAGCTCACCTGATGTTAAGTGACTACAGCCGCCCATGATCAATGGCAACACCAGGAGAATTGCAGGTGCGTTGCCGGCCCTTTAGAAAGGAGTAAGCTCTTTTCTTGAAGGTCCCTGGGTCGTATCGGGCCGGAAATCGCTGGTGATAAACTATTCCACAGAGAGGTTATGCGTGGAAGAAAACTCCTTGTGAAACATACAGTGGTGGACCGCCAAGCATCTAGATGGTGTGGATGGTATCGGGAGGTTTGTCGCGTAGTGCGTTCACGAAATTTGGCGGCTGGAATTAATTCGAACAATTCCTCAGACCATTCCCCATGTATATGAATATATGCGAAAGAAAATGCAAAGAGACGCAACATTTCTTCGTAGCGCCAGTGAATTGAGCCGATCGGAAAGTACTTGGTCGTTGACGATTCGGCCGCTCTGCGCTGGATGCGGTCAAGTGGAAGGAGCTGGCGCTGGGGAGCCGGAGCCCAGAGATGGGAACAGTATTCCATGTGCGGCCTTGTAAAGTTGCAGGCGGTGTGCCGGCATGACATACTCTCCCGCTCTGCTGAGCACTCCAAGCTTTTTAGAGGCCGATTTAGCCTTCTCCTCCAAGTTACCATAAAACGGCATGTTACTCGATATGTCGACGCCGAGGATTCCAATACTAGCTGAGGCAACGGGGAGTGCCTTGAAACTGAGGAGATACGACAAAGGGGTTCTTTTTAGCGGTTAATGCGCAAACTTGTATCTTCTGAGGGTTAAACTGGACTAAATTTAGTCGCCTCCAATCCGGGACTTTGTTCATTACAGACTCGACTTCAGACACAAGTTTGTCCTGGAACTCGGAGACGTTTTCCCGATAAATATTGGCACGACCGGTGTACAGAACATCACCAGTGCTGTCATGAGTTTAGCAATGAATGTTACGGGTTTGCAACATATCATTGATATGCAGAAGAAACAGCGATGGCGATAGCACGCAGCCTTGTGCACACTTAATAGGCTTGTAATCGGAGCTTGCACCATCTACAACGAACTTGATGCTTTGATCTGCAAGAAAGCTGGTGATCCAATAGCACAATTTCTCGGGAAGTCCATAGGAAGCGAGCTCCAAAAGAAGCGCTTTGTGCCAAACGCGATCAAAGGCCTATGCAATGTCCAAACTAACGGCCAATGCCTCCCCCTTGGACTCTACTGCCTCCGCCCATCTATGAGTTAGGTAGACCAGAAGATCACCAGCTGATCTGCCATGGCGAAAACCGTATTGGTGATCACTATTCAGCTGATGATCCTCAAGTTACCTCATGCGCTGGCAGTTTACAATGAACTCTATTATTTTGGAGAACAAGGAGGTGATGGCAATAGGTATGTAGTTGGACGGGTCTGAGCGGTCGCCTTTTTTAGGGATCGGGTGGACGAAAGCCGTCTTCCATGATTTTGGGACTACGCCTAGAGAGTAGGAGTACCGGAAAAGATGCGTTAAAACCGGCGCCAACTGTGGAGCACACATCCTCAGCACAATTGGGGGGATTCCGTCAGGCCCACTCGATTTGTGGATGTCCAGGGAGCGCTCCTGCGCTTTGCGAACCGAGCGCTGTGTGAACTGCACTTCCGGCATGGAGCACTCACACCGCGAGATGGTCTGCGGCGTACTCCCCCCGTCATCGAGAGTAGAGTTGGACTTAAGGAAAGAGCCTAGCAGAGAGCCCGCTTTCTCCTTTGCGGTATGGGCCAGTGAGTCGTCCTCCCTGTGCAGAGATGGAAGAGATGGCTGACAGAAATTCCCCTGGACAGCCTTGGCAAGAGACCAGAATGCACGGATTCCAGAAGGAAGGCAAACTAGTTTCTGGCCAATTCTGCCTATGTGCTCTGACTTTGCCTTGGCAATGACTCTTTTGAAGAACCTGGAGATGGAATTAAACTTCTTTTTTAGAGCACTGGTGTTTACATCCCAGGACTCTGATGCCTCAGCCCGGGCTGAGGCTTCTGCTTATGGCATGATGCTATTTTACAGAAGCGACCAAACCATGGCTGGAATTTGCCTCCGATGGGCACCACAGAGGAAGGAATAAAAAGTTCCATACCCTGAAGTGCCCTATCAGCGACGGAATCCGCAACAACGTTGAGATCGTACGGTGAGAAGCAAACCCGCTCCGAAGGGTAGGATGCAAAGAAAGACCGCATCCTATCCCAATCGGCTGACCTATAGTGCCAAACACGACGGCAGCCTGCAGAATGCATCTGCGATTTCAGCGTGAGCGGCACAACACTCCGGACAAGACAGTGGTTCGAGGAGCTTAAAGGGGCGTCGACGGAAATCTGATATCCGTCCAGGTGAGAGGTCAGCAGAAGGTCCAACAGGGAAGGTGCATGATCCTCCACATCTGGAATCCGCGTAGGCGAAGTAACCAGTTGTGTCAGACCATATGACAAGGAAAAATCATGAACAGATCTCCCCGCATGATTGGTTAAACGTGAACCAAGCCATTCGGAGTGATGGGCGTTAAAATCGCCGAGGATCACGATCTCTGCGGAGGAGATATGCTGTAGCAACGAATCTGTAGCCATTTGGACGTGTTCGAAGAGTCACATTGTTTATCTCTATCATAGCAGAGTTTAGGGCAACCTGACTTTACAGATAAGATTGGTCGAATCTGTTTTAAAACCAAAACAGCACGCCCCGATTCCACATAGTCTTATCTACCCTACCCCTAGAGTGTTTTTGTAAAGCCGTAGGCGCGGAGTGAGAGTAGCCTCCGCCCGGTGTATGAGTGCCTGTCACTCGCTACGCAAAGGCGAAGGGGCTGCACTTCGCGCAGCGCCGAAGCTGTTGAAAAGTGAGGTTATGATTTTACAAAAACAATCATTAACTATAATATACATACACTCATAAACTATACATTTTCGCAACAGGGAAGGGTAAGGGGGGCTTCCCCTGAACCCACTCCTTCTCCCAAACCCCCTCCCACCCCCGTACGCGAGTACCGGATGTCTATAGTTTTACTGCATTCTCATCTGGCTTGGCTGAATAAATATATAAAAGAAAATAATAAATATACATAAATATATATTAAATATACTAACTTAAGTAAATAATACATTAATAAATAAAAGCCCAACCAAATTGAAGCCCTTGCATGGGGAAACCAAATGGCCGAGGGTTAGGGGTAAAGAAAAAAAAACCAAGACAATTTGGACAATATCGAGGAGCACTGCCTTTTGCATTTGAGCCCAGAGCGAAACATTATGGAGGCCCAGTGGCCTCAGATGACCGACAGGCTGACCGAAATTAGCCCATTTGCAGAGATGACTACAGGAATTATTTAGTTCGGCAAACCACCCCACATGTCGGTCACTTCGTAAGCTGGGTCCAGATATTTTGTTTGCTTATCTGTTAGTAATATTAATATTATAATGTAGTAATAGGCCAGCAGCTTATAGCTGATATGCTTATATCTATATTGGTGTTATATAATATAATCGAGTTATATAACTATATAATGGTCCAAGTTCACACCAAGACCCAATTGAATTGTCTTTGAACCATTTGTGCAGTTTGTTTTTAAAACTAATCACAGAGGGAGCATTAACCACGTCTTGAGGCAAGTTGGGTAATTTTATACTATCGCCACCTCACCGATAATGTCACCTCGTTTTTTGGCTCTAGTAAATTGAAAAATCATCCGATTTCGATGATTTTTTATAAATCTTCATCTTTATGGCGGATTTATGGAAAAAAATATGTAAAATATCTCACCTCAAGATTTCATATAGTTTTATGACTTTAAATGTGATCGATCATAAACGCACTTCTTCGAATATAATCGTTCATAACTTTTTTTGCAAAGCATTAAACGAAGTTTATATATTTTTTTATTAATCTACACAAAAAAAGGAACATTTAATTTTAGTAGTATAGTTGTAGCACGAATGGGTCGGCTCGACCGGGGAAGGACCATGCTCTCACAGAATACCGGCGTGAAATAGTAGCGTAATGCTGCTGTGTTTCGTATGATGAGTGTAGAGAACCGGAGACCCTTTTTACTGGAAACGTGGCATTCCATCTTAGTCCTCATGGGTGACAACACATCTGCATTTTGATTTGTAATCGAGGATAGATGTAGATGTCTATGGGCCGCAGCAACCACCTACCACCAGGTGGACTGTGTGCTCGTTTGTCACACTATCCTTAAAAAAAAAGAAATTTCAATTTTATAGAGCCGAAAAATGAGGTGACCGCGATAGTATAAAATTACTGCAACTTGTTCTATATGTTTATGAGACTGTTGTTTAGTGTGTGATTTGGATATACTGTTTTATTTACAACTATCTCCTGAGGCATCAAATGCCTGCAAAGCTATTGTCGCACCACTATCAGACACTAATCAGAATCATTCAAATCATGTGATTGATAATTAAGACATTATTTTGTTAACATATTACCAATAATAGTCTTTTTTTGCTTCAGATGCTGATCTTTTAGATCAATTTACCAATGAATATCAATGGTCGTCACTGTTGGATGTGACTGATGCATCACCAAGTGAGATATTGGCTGATGCTGCTCCTGTACTTGTGCCATCTATTTCACCTGCCATAAGCATTAAATCATCACCAAATGAGAGCAGTAGTTCAGATTCTGGCAGTGAAGATGATTCAAAAAAGTATTGTATATTATGTTATTAATTAATACAATATCTAATATTTGTTTCAAATGTTGTGTATAATAATCATATAAATGTTCTCTTAATTAAGGCGAAATATAGGACATCTACATTTATCCTCGATGAAGAATCAAAATGCAGATGCGTTGTCACCCCTGAGGACTAAGATGGAATGCCTCATTTCCAGTAAAAAATGGTCTCCTGAACTTTACAATCACCATACGAAACACAGCAGTATTAAGCTGCTATTTTACGCTGGTATTCTGTAAAAGCGTAGTCCTTCCCTGGTCGGGACAACCCATTCATGCTACAATCATAACAAAGCTGCACCATGGCTCTAAAGCAGCTTTCTACTAGATGGAGTGACAATCTGGTAAGACATGCAGGAAGTCAATGGCTGCAGGAGGCTTGGGACTGTGTTTTTGAGCATTCTCTAACTACGTTCAGTTGTAAACTTGTGAAGGGATGTAATTATGATGAAGATGGTAAATTATGAGCTTAGTGTCACCACATATTATTAAGGTGTTTCTAAAATTATTATTTTTAATGATGCATTGTCTTAAGCTGCAACAACTGATTTAGGGCATGTTCTTTGTATTAACATTAAACACCTAGCTTCATCTCTTGTTTATTATTTCATGACAATGTCCTGGTGGGGATCTTAATTTCACATTGTATTATTCATATTATTTTGTTTGTTCTTAAAGTGTTTCATCGAATTCTTACTTAGAACAGCATAGGGTTTACTCTGATTTGATATATTCTTCCATAGAGGAATTATTAGTGTACCTTTCAATAGTGTAATAAACAACAATACGGCCTATGCCTATATATTCAGTTATTTTAAAATGACACAGCCGATGCAGTGAAGTAATAACCTGCAATTCTGTTATTTTTAACACTCCATACTATTATTTAATGATCAAAATGAAAACAAATTTTGGAAATGGATACTAATTGGTTGAGGTACATTGACATACCCTTTCGCCATACCTAAGCTGTCGACATACAATGGACACACTTGGCTGTATAATTTTGTACATCATCTTTGTCATGCTGTCCCTGTGCTGTGCCATTTGTTAAGCGGGTTGTCAGCCGAAAAAGAATGTATGAATTTTGCAAAGCTTAAAAATCAACAATCTCATGTAATGACATCTCTTATATTCTTAGGTATCATCATTCATCATCATCATTCATGCATTCATAGAATAAGGGTTATAAATTATAGATCTTATCATTTTTATTATTAGAATATTTTTAATTTTATTGTATTAAGATTATAAAATTTTATTAATTTATTCCCCAACAGCTCAAGTAATACTTCAGCTCGTCAGTCGTCACTATCACCTTTGGATTGGACTTTTGATGATGACTCAAATAACTTAAAATTGGAAGATGTTGAACAGTTTTTACAAAAATCTGGTATACCTATTTGTATAATATATAATAGTTATTAATATTTATAAAATAGTTAAAAAATAAACTATGCTTATAATATACTTCCAGTATATTAATAATTAAAATTGATGAAAGATTTTCATCATAAGTTTTTATTTATTTCTTTTATGCAGCTCCTAATAATAAACCAGAACTATCTGCAAATATACGCAATGGTATAACAGAGAAGAATGGTCTTGTAATGGCTATTGAAAATGGGATTATTAAGGTAAAATTAATTGAAGACTACATTTTATATTTGCCTTTATAAATGCCTTATAATTATTTCTATCCTTTTTAATATACAGGGTGTTAAAATAGAATATGATGACTGTGATGAAAATATAAGTAAGTCAGGTATGTTAAATATACATAAAGGTATAATAAATCTCATTGAAATATCCTCCTTTGATAACATTAACTCTACAATCTTACATCTAATTTACAGATAATAACTTTGTGCAAAATGCCTATTATAAAGTTGTGAATGAAAATTCTTCCATTAACAATCCCAAGAAAGAGGATAATAAAATTCAACAGGTTATGGAGGAAAAGAAAATACCAGCTATTCTTAAAAAGCAGCAATATATTTATATTAAAACTCCAAATATTGCAATTCCCACTGAGAGTACAAAAAGAAGTCAAATTACAATATCGCCACTGTCACAAACAAAACTAAGTGGTGTTAAAGCAGCTTGTGATTACCAAATTAAGGTGTGGTAATTTAAGTACCTTACAATAATCTACTGTATAATTTTTTAAAAATATCTATATCATATTTAATTTGTTTCAGTTTCCAATGCCAGAGAATAATATTGTTGTCAATCCCAAACTAAATGTGCCTGGTGATGAGATCACTCATATAAGATTAGTACAAAATGGATCCAAATCAATAGAAACAGAAGAACCAATGAGCCCTAGTATAGATTTATCAAATTTAAGTGAGGCTGAGATAAAAGCTATTAAGAAACAGCAGAGAATGATAAAGAATCGGTAAATGCACCTATTTAATATTATATGATTCTAAGGTTATTTTTTAACTTTCATTAATACAATGTTGAATGTATTTTCAAATGGATTATCCATTGTATCTCTTTTCAAGCATTCTATGAGCATCACAATCTACTATAAATTCTAAAAGTAAGAATTTTCTACAAAAAATCCAGTAAAATACTCTGGTCGTGTCATTTTCTTTTTAAGTAATAATATTTTATAATAGTTTAATCATATTACAAAGTTTATTTGGACAATTAAAAGAAATACAAGTTTTAAATTATTTGTTTATGGTCTATAAGCTTTTTAATAGAACTTTTCAAGGATTGATCTCTGCCTTTTATATAATACATGTTGTTTAATAATACATAAAATGTGTTATGTAATAAAAAATAACCTTTATTTCTAAAGAGAGTCAGCATGTCAGTCCAGACAAAAGAAGAAGGAGTATGTGGCAGCTTTAGAACAGCAATTATTAGAGGCACACAAGGAGATAGCGCGACTACGTCTAGAAAATAAATTATTAACTGATCAACTACAAAGTATTGGAAGATGTCGTAAGGTACTTTGTCTCTTTAAATCTGAATTGTTAACAACTGAATCACAAAACAGTTGAATAAGGGAATTCTATTATTTAGTTAGTGAATAAATGAAATCTAAGATTAAAATTATCGCCCTGAAGAGACTATAATAAGAATCAAGGATAGAATCACTTAGTCTTTAATTTTAATAAGGTTGTGAGTTTGTATATAACTTATATAAACTCACAACCTTATTAAAATTATATGTATATAGCTCTGGCTTAAAAAATGTAAATGTTTTTAAATATTTGTAGATACCGCGACTGGACACCTCGATTTTAATACCTAAGAAAAATATTGCTGTACTTTTTGCCATGGTGTTCATGGTTTCCTTAAATTGGAATGTATTAGGGTAAGTGATAAGTTAAGATTTAAACAGTTTTACAATTACATAATTTGTTAGTATGTTTACCTATTTGAATTTCTATTTTGTCGTTATATGTAGATATTGTTTTCGTGATATATTTGTCTTTTTTTCCTTTGATTCACTGTATAGAATATAGATGTCGACTCACGAAAAGGCACCTGTGGTGTGGTAGGAAACACAATGAATTCTAAATCTTATTTCATTATTGCAGGGACAGTAGCCATTGAAGCTCGGCTTTCTTCATTAAATTCTCTGCACCCTTCATTAACAGATTGCGAGATAGTATATAAATTTTTGCTCGTATATATATTATGTATAATTGAATAGTTTGTGGATAGCGGGCTTCGCGATTTCAGAATATGGTTTTGAAAAAACATTTTAGGACAGTTTTTTTTATTTTTAATAAAAATATCATTTATAAGAAATTTGGCTTCACAAAAAGGATATTGGCATTGAATGTAGATATAAAACTAGTATCACATATTTCACAGTTCGAGAAAGAGCACCATGATAATGTTGGTGTCCTTTGTGGTCTTTCGAAGCCGTTTTATTATGTGGATCACGTAATTTTCGTTAATAAACTTAAATAATATGGCATTCGTGCTGCCGCACTTGATCTCTTAACATAATATCTCTCCAACCGAAAGCTAAAAGTTTCAATTAACGCTGTAGTATATTCGGAACGTGTGTTAAATCTGGATATCCCTCAGGGATCAATACTTGGTTCTATTTTGTTCAGTCTACAAAAATAATCTTCCTTACTTGAAAAAAGCGCTGTGATTAATTTACAAGTTAATAATTTACATTCTGTCAAATGTTTTGACGATGTTGTGCTGTCAAATCTGTTGACGATGAGGCTGCAATCGTCAACAGATTTGACAGCATACAGGCAACTGAACAGACAGATCTCCACATACATGCAGCGAGACTTGCGCAACTTCAATACTGCTCGTATTGAAGAAGCGATCGAGCGGAACCAGGGCTCCAAAGTCTTTGCCAGAGATCTGTCTGCCAGAAAGAACCAACTGTCAAAGCTGAAGACTGAGTGTGGCAACATCGTTTCCAGGACACCAGAGATTCTGAGTGAGATTGAGAGGTTCTATGGGCAGCTGTACACATCATCGTTGGAGCCACACGCAAGTGTGAGTAACGATCCAAGAGCAAGTCTTATCCGAAACTATTCCGATGATATCCCGGACGTCAGTCTGAGCGAGATTAGAATGGCTCTCCACCACCTTAAAACAGCAAGGCCCCGGGCGAGAATGGAATTACAGCGGAGCTTCTGAAAGCGGGTGGAACACCGGTACTTGAAGTCCTGCAGAAGCTCTTCAATTCCGTCCTCCATGGTGGCACTACTCCGGAGGCGTCGAGCAGAAGCGCGGTGGTCTTGTTCTTTAAGAGAGGCGACAACGCTCTCTTGAAAAACTATAGACCGATTTCCCTTCTGAGCCGCGTCTACGTGCTGTTTTCGAGAGTCATTACGAATCGTCTCGCACGCAGACTCGACGACTTCCAGCCTCCCGAACAAGCCGGTTTCCGAAAAGGCTTCAGTACCATAGACCACATACATACCCTGCGGCGGATCGTACAGAAGACCAAAGAGTACAATCTGCCACTTTGCCTGGCATATGTGGACTATGAGAAAGCCTTTGATTCCGTCGAAATTTGGGCGGTGCTACAATCCCTTCAGCGGTGCCAAGTTGACTGTCGGTATATCGAAGTGCTGAAGTGTTTGTACAGTAGGGCTACGATGGCTATCCGAGTGCAGAACTAGAGTACCAAAACCTATTCAACTGTAGAGAGGTGTAAGACAGGGTGATGTTATATCCCCGAAACTCTTCACCGCTGTTTTGGAAGACGTTTTCAAGCTACTGGACTGGAAAGGATACGATATTAACATCAATGGTGAGTACATCACTCACCTTCGATTTGCCGACGATATAGTCCTCATGGCAGAACCGCTGGAGGACCTTAGCACTATGCTCAATGACCTCAATGGTGTCTCCCAACGGATAGGTCTTAAGATAAACATGGACAAAACAAAGATCATGTTTAATGTCCATGTCACACCTATGCCGGTAGTTGTTGGGAGCACTATGCTCGAAGTTGTTGACGAGTATGTTTACCTGGGACAAATAGTCCGACTAGGTAAGTCCAACTTCGACCGAGAGGTCAATCGACGGATTCAACTCGGCTGGGCAGCGTTCGGGAAATTACGACACATCTTCTCGTCAGGTATACCTCAATCTCTGAAAACTAAAGTGTATAACCAGTGCGTGTTGCCAGTGATGACCTACGGATCTGAGACGTGGTTCTTCACTGCTGGCCGTATGAGGACGTTCAAGGTCGCTCAGCGAGCTATGGAGAGGGCTATGCTTGGAGTTTCTCTGCGTGATAGACTCAGAAATGAGGATATCCGCAGTAAAAATCAGAGTGACTGACATAGCCCAACGGATTAGTAAGCTGAAGTGGCAATGGGCCGGCCATATAGCTCGAAGAACCGGTAACCGATGGGGAAGAAAGGTTCTCGAGTGGCAGCCTCGTACCGGTAGGTGTAGTGTAGGGCGACCCCCCACTAGATGGAGTGACGACCTGGTAAGACATGCAGGAAGTCGATGGATGCAGGTGGCTCACGACCGTGCTTTGTGGCATTACTGAAGGGCTGTAATGATGATGATGATGAGAATTTACATTCAGAAAGTACGACCGTATTTCTCGGAATATTTCTATTAATTTGAAACCCCAGTGGTTAGTATGTATTGATATTTTTGATATTAAGTTCTCCAATCTTCGCTATTAGAAGGATTAGAAAACTGACTAATGTAGCAACAATTATCTATGCTTAATTTCATTACTGTGGGGATCCTTAGCTGCATCGCAAACAATATTTATTTTGCATTAAGTAAGCGATGCGGACAATCTTTAACTTTGATCTCGTTAGTTGCTACGCGACCTTTTCAAGGAGACTAATATTTGACACTTCCGTCGTTCTTTAATATTTGAGAATATCATGTATGCACAGAAAAATATAAATACAATCAGTAAAAAACAGATTCCGTCTTTTAGAACAAGTCGCGGGGATACGCTAGAGATTTCTAAGCTTAAGTTAGCTAAGACGAAAGAGTTTTTTTGAGTAAATCCAAAAAAATTTACAATATAATTCCCAAAAATATAGTACAACAATTAGATACAAAATTAAAAAAAAAACTTTTTAAGCTAATTTTCCTTAAAAAATTCCTACTATGAAATAGATCTATTTGTTGAAGACTAATACTATATTGATGTGTGGAAATAATAATGTGGCTTGTTATTATGCTAAAACGAACATTTTCAAAATATTTCGCTACGTGTGGGGTGAATAAAAATGCCGATTAGGGTGAGAAATGGATGTATTCTTCCACAAACAACAAGTATATAATTTCATCGTCCAAAATCGCTAATCTTCTTCGGCGAGGTCCTTAATAATTGCAGATTTCGTAGTTCGATTGCTTGTAATAGCTTCCAGAACCACATAATTAACTCTCCGGTAAGGGGAATATAGTACTTTCTAGACCAATCTAGGTCGTTCCACTCCAACAAACAACCTGAATATCCAAAAGAGAAAAGGCTTGTGTAGCGTCACGCTTGAATCAATAGTTTGAACGTTATGTATTTTATGTCTACACATTTTATTACTTTCCGGAGGCTTGTAGTGTTATGCTTACATACATACTTACATATCATTTTACACTATTTTATTTTTATTTTTCCATTCTGTTTTTGATTTTCTACATTCACCTCAAAACTGGATATTTTGCATCACCTTTATTTCCATAGGATCCTGTAATATTTTTAATTCATAAGAACACAATAACAAATCATTTTCACTTCGTATTTTCACGTTATCAGCACTTTTTAAATCGGTGTCAATGGAGTCTACCTTTTTCGATCTTTTATTTAGTTCTCCGTAACTCTACAATTTCGGGTTTCGTGCGCGCTCTTGCGCTACCTTTTTTCCTATATAAATAATATCTCATTTTTCACTTAAATCTTGCCGTTTCTGTATTACGAGCTTAAAACCAAAATTTGACATGTTTTGACATCGTTGTTTATCTGGTTGTCGTGGCAATTTTTATTCAAATATTGTTACCGGCCTGATGTTTTTACTTCAAAAATACTCTTTTCTTCTTGGCCATTTACAAAAATTTGCTTTTAATTTAAATAATTTCAAATAATTTCTCGTTCTTATCCCAGATCCGTCAAAAATCAAAGCTGAAGTGAGGACCTCTATCGGCCGATTCTTCGGCTTTTATACTTTTTGACGGATCTGGGATAAGAACGAGAAATTATTTGAAATTATTTAAATTAAAAGCAAATTTTTGTAAATGGCCAAGAAGAAAAGAGTATTTTTGAAGTAAAAACATCAGGCCGGTAACAATATTTGAATAAAAATTGCCACGACAACCAGATAAACAACGATGTCAAAACATGTCAAATTTTGGTTTTAAGCTCGTAATACAGAAACGGCAAGATTTAAGTGAAAAATGAGATATTATTTATATAGGAAAAAAGGTAGCGCAAGAGCGCGCACGAAACCCGAAATTGTAGAGTTACGGAGAACTAAATAAAAGATCGAAAAAGGTAGACTCCATTGACACCGATTTAAAAAGTGCTGATAACGTGAAAATACGAAGTGAAAATGATTTGTTATTGTGTTCTTATGAATTAAAAATATTACAGGATCCTATGGAAATAAAGGTGATGCAAAATATCCAGTTTTGAGGTGAATGTAGAAAATCAAAAACAGAATGGAAAAATAAAAATAAAATAGTGTAAAATGATATGTAAGTATGTATGTAAGCATAACACTACAGGCTATTGACCCCTATCACCGAGAATATTCTCGTGCAACGTGATGCAATACGCAACTGGCTGTCGTAACACTACCACCCTCCTAGATATCATCGTCCCGATCATCACTTGTGCCGTGATATCTTATTAGGCGATTAATGTGTACCATCTTCGATTTTCCCCTATGTTCTTTCTTGATGCAGTATTGGTGTTATCCTCAATCCTTTTAATCACCTTAAAAGATCCTTCCCGCTTCGAGCTTGAAACCTCGGCCTCTTACTATTGTTCCTGAAAAATTTTGTATTCATACGAATGTTCGCACATCGAATCGATTAGTGTTAGTTCTCCGATCAAGACGAGCCTTCATCCTCTCACCAGTCAGATGTCAATTTCTGATAACATTTGACTACAGTTTCATGCTATGTTTGGAGTTCTTAGCTCAAGGTCTCTTTGAAAAATTGTCGGCATTGTTGTGGCCTTTTCCATCCCTATGCTGTCCCTTGCCTTCAGAATTAACACACACCCCTTCTTAACTTTAGGTGGGACTGTTGCTTTTACAATACTCTCCGACCCTGGTACCAGTGCAATGTTCCTTGAACAGTAAACTTTACCGGGCTGGATTTTCCTATAAACATTTTTTTTTCAGGAAATTTCAGCATTCTTTGGTCGATGTCGACAACACACCGCTGATTCTTTAAGAAACCCAGTCCAAAGAGGCAGTCCCCGTTGATACTGGCAACCAGTACACAGTTAAAATATGTCCATTCCCCAATTTTAATCAACGTTCGTATCACCAAATACTAGCACTAATTGGCCTATTACTGTACGTAGCTGAAATGGTGATCGCTGCTTTCACGATATGGTTTGCTTCAGGAGTTCAGGTCTTAGTTCTTTGCGATGCTCTAGTGTCAATTACATATCGGCGGCAGACTTTCTCGTTTAAAGGGCCCTTAATAGTAAGTCAGTTTTCATTGCATGCTTGTGTGATCGTAATGTTAGAGGTTTTCGTTTTTCCGTAAAAAGCCTACCCTTTCTCCATAGAATACTATAATACAACTAGGCAGTCAACCTTATTTTGTACGACGATAGGCGTCGCCGGGAGCATACATACAAGCAATAACGTCATATTATCACTACTACAAACCCGAATCGCTGTGTTGACAGACAGATTTTAATACATATTTATTTGTAAATAGCGTGCAATTTGGCATTTTCTAAATAATTCGCATGGGAAATTCGGAAACGATTGTAAAGTCAAACAAATCTCGTGTTGACATTTATATGTGTGAATTGACGTGTTCACACGGGAAGCGGGCTCCGCCCACTCCTCCGTTCTACTATGTATGTAATATTCTATGCCTTTCTCAGCTTATACCGTGGAGCTTGTGAACCGCTTTCTCTTTTCATTTGGTCGATCGAGCCTGATTTGCCCCTTTATACTTCCCTTCCGTTACCAATTCCCATATTTGGTAAGATATCGAGTGAGTTCGCACAGCTTCCACTTTCAAAGCATGTGCAAGCAGTGCGCCCTTCAGAAGTTTACTGTGGCACTTAATTCAATCATTATGGCGGTTATAAGAGCTCTGTACGATACCACAAAACGGTGGCGCATTCTTCTCATCTCTTCTTTCAATCATAGTAGGATAAATTAATTACTAAAGGATAAATAACTCACTCATTTGCTAAGCCTCTCACGTACATGTACGCATATTGACATTTATTCGTTTGTGATAAGGTTGAAATTACGAATGTTTTAGGACCAAATTACTTTCATCTATAGTTTATTATTGATAATATTTATTCTGAAATACTGTAAAGAACGACAATATTTATTTTTGTTCATTTGTCTTGGTAGCAAGGAAAAATATTTCGCGCGTTGACTATAATCGTAGAGTTTTTCAAAGGTTTATAATATCAAGTGTATACCATTTCGCGCAACAAGAACTTTCTTTCAAAGGTCACGACAGTGAATCTAACTTTTTTAAAATAAAGAAAATATTAGAGATGTTTAATAAAATTTATAATAACATTCATTTTATTTCAAGATATGTTATTTTTGACAAAAATAAATTAACATATCAATAGCAATAGAAAGCAATTGGGCCTAATCTTAAGATAATATATATAATAAATATAATAATTAGCATTAGTAGGCACTAAGTAATTTGTATCTTAAATGGCAACACGAATAAGAAATAGGGAAGGTCATTAAAAATTCTAGAAGGGTGGTGTAATCATGTTTTATTTATGCCAGATATAAAACATATATTAGAAAATTATAATGATATTTAATATTCTTGCGTTTGAGAAGGAAGAGGAAGATAAAACGGCAGCTGACTATAAATACTTAGCTGCCTTTTTCTTCAAGATATTGGGTTAGCTATAATTTGGTAAATTTTCAATCGAGAGGAAATAATAAAAAAAAATTTCAACGTGCGTGGGATACTACCGTTGCTAAACCCACCCACCGAACCGCAGCTGACGTTCACGGAACTTTATGATACAACTCTGAAGCATTTTATGAGTTATTAATTTAGGAGAGGAAATGATTGACAAAAATTGTACCCTGACTTCGGACACTATAAGTCTACCAGAAATGATATGAGACCTGTGCCCATCTATGGAAATTTTATACACATTTCATTTCTCGGACATGTTGGTTTTCTTACGTCGTTTTCCTTCCCCGCTTAGCATGTTGTAAATTGACTTTGACATTTTGTATTTATCTGCTTAGAAGCGCAGTGGTCAAGCGGTTAATGAAAATACCGTTACCATTAGCTACCATTACAGCCTGTCAAAGTCCACTGCTGAACATAGACTTCTCTTATTGATTGCCTTTGGGATATGCCGTTCTGTTTATTTTAGTTCGGGATATTTGCCAACATTGATATTTGGCAACCGCAATGTTTTCTTTTGTTATTTGGAAGACGCTGTTGCCCATCTCTTGTTTTGTTTCACTCTGTCGCCTGTGACGATAACCACGGGACGATATGGTGTAGTGGATAATAATAATATATATCTTTTTTCGCGTGTGTGCGTGCGTGTAAGATATTCTTACACTGCCACTACACGGTGAAAAAGTTAATTGAAATTTACAACGAGCGCTTGGTTTTTTACAGATGGAATAATAATGCACCATTTGTTGGTCCAACCACACACCAAAAGGCTACTAGACATTTATTGTGGGCTGAAGAAAATCCTGACGTTATACCTGGTGAGTGACTTTTAATTGAACCTAGACTCGGTAACATTATTTTTGATATTGCCATATACACCTAAATATGTATGTAATTATAAATATGATGTATAAATATTTTATATCTTTAGTAACAAGGTATGATGATCGTTTCTACTATCATTATAGGTATTACTAAAATGCAATACAGAGTAATGTTAGTTAACATTATTTTTAATGAGATAGAAATTAGCGAAATAGAATTGAAAAAATAGAAATTTTAATATTAGTGTGTATTTGAAAAATCATAATGATCATGATTCCAATATATTTAACACTAGTTAGGTACTCATATCGAGATTACTTAGATTTCACATTTCGTATCACACTCCCAGCGGCGTGTTAGGGTCCATAAGCGTGCATTATATTAAGTACCCGGTTGACCGAGCTTTGCTCGGTATTTTTCGCTCGGTTTTTTTTAATTCGTGTGTCTTGGAAATTATATTTAGATACAAATTACATACTGATGAAATACGAATAATATTTTTTGATCCTAGCGACATAATAGAAAAAGCTGAACTGGTTATTTGAATAAAAAATCATGAGTGCAATTAGTTTAATTTAAATTTTCGTGTTTTTAAAAAATACTAAAAAAAAGGGCTCGAAAAAATAGATTTTCTCAAAAAAAGAAAGGAACTTGAAAAAGAATTAAAAAAAGTCGGTCGGTCGGTCTGGGCTCGAACCATGGTATTACGATTTTGTGACCGCCCAATATACCAATTAAGCTACTTGTAATCATTAATAAACTGTCAAAATTTACCTTCTTATTCTAACGATATTGTAGCAGTTTTTCATTGCCTAAAAACACGGACAAAAAGACATTTTCTAAAAATAAATCCTAGCTAGATCGATTTATTGCCCCCGAAACTCCCTGCACACAAAATTTTATGAAAATCGTTGGAGCCGTTTCCGAGATTCTGATTATATATATATATATATATATATATATATATATATATATATATATATATATATATATATATATATATATACAAGAATTGCTCGTTTAAAGGTATAGGATAGGTAACTAATATGGCTCCCATTAACATTTAAAAGTCCACTGCTGAACATAAACCTCCCCCATAGTTTGCCTCATAGATGGGATTTTGCCATAGTTGGTAATGATGACGAGCCCTGCTTGATGCTTCTTGTTGTACATAGATTGTAGTTCATATTTTTAATATAGAGCTATGGTCAAAATGTTTCATAATGTTATGAAATGAGTTACGAACGAGTGTTTTCTGTCAAATGACAACATTTTTGCACATTCTACACCCAGTGCAATAACTTTTTTTTTTTTCAATGTATTTGTGGCATATAATAATCACTCCATTTTGCACATTTAGAAGTAAGTTAAGAAAATTTCACATAAATGCCTATGATCTCTAGTAGTAGATCAGCGTCATAGTTTTTAAGTTGTTGCATTTTTGATTCATCCATTTGTAAAAAATTGATTTCTAGATTCCTAGAAATTTTATAATCTTTCTATAAAATATCTAATCTTTGGGGGAAGCTTATTTTCAGAAGTAGAATTTTGATAGGAGGTAATGGTAAACATTTCATTTCAAACTGAGAGTTGAATTTTGTTTGTTTTTAGCCGACTTTAAAAAAGGAGGAGGTTCTGAATTCAACTATATGTTTTGTATGTATGTGATATATCTTCGCCAATTATGAACTCATTTTAATGATTATTTCTTTATTAAATGGTTTTTTTTATAGGACCGGGTGACAAACGAGCACACAGCCCAACTGATGGTAAGTGGTTGCTGCGGCCCATAGACATCAACATTTATCTTCGATTACAAATCAAAATGCAGAGGCGTTGTTGCCCGTGAAGACTAAGATGGAATGCCTCGTTTCCAGTAAAAAGGGTCTCTGGTTCTATACACTCACCATACGAAACACAGCAGCATTAAGCTACTATTTCACGCTGGTATTCTATGAGAGTGTGGTCCTTCCCAGATCAAACCGACCCATTCGTGCTACAACTATAATAAGCAAATAAAAAAAAAAAACTTCTAATATAACTGCAGCATGGCTCTACCACGTATAAAAAAGGTTTTCCTATGGGTGCCAAAAAAGGGAATCAATTTTTAGTATTACTATTTAGATGACATTCTCATTGTTACCTTGATTTTACGATATTCCTTCGTCCACACAAAATGGTAAAAAAATTATAGAGTGAAATAATTTATACGTACCAGCTTCTAAAGTCGGAGCCTTAATTCTATCATATACTATGTCGTAAGACTTTAGTAACAATTATTTGGAAATTATTTTATTCCTTTATGGTCTTTGAATTTGGATTTTACTTTTGCACGCCTCATAAGCGAAGCGTTAAGGTTGTGCTCTACTCTCAAGTAATGGAAATCCAGTAATTTCCTGAGCTAAAAATGTTTTAATTTTTTATCTATTGCACTTTTAAAATAATATAAATACACATATATCGAGAAAAATCACGTTTCTATTATTTTCAAAAGTAATTTTCTGTATTTAGTGTAAAAACAAATTGTATGAAAAAAAATATTAATAAATGAGATTATGAGGCGCGTACTTTTGGATTTTCCAAACTTTTTATTAATCGACGAAAACCAGCAACACGGTTCGTACTTTTAAAATAAAACTAAAAGAATAGCTTTTAAATTTGAAAAATTAGCAAAGTTCTGTATCGATGTACCACACGTTTCTTATGAAGTACCATACTATGTCTGTATGTTATAAAATTAGGAAATACTTGCTTTTTCTTTTTTTTTATAGAATAGGGTGACAAACGAGCACGCAGTCCACCTGATGGTAAGTGGTTGCTGCGGCCCAGGGACATCTACATCTATCCTCCATTAAAAATCAAAATGCAGATGCGTTGTCACCCGTGAGGACTGAGATGGAATGCCTCGTTTCCAGTAAAAAGGGTCTCCGGTTCTCTACACTCACCATACGAAATACAGCAGCATTAAGCTACTATTTCACGCTGGTATTCTGTGAGAGCGTGGTCCCTCCCCGGTCGAGCAGACCCATTCGTGCTACAACTATAATACTAATATAACTGCAGCATGGCTCTACCACGTAACAAAACTTGCTTAATTCTACTTCCAATATTTATTTTGCTTTCTTACCTTGTGAAATAATTTACTTGTCATTTTTTTCTAAATGTTAAGTTTTATTTTTATTTTTAAATTTTTATGTGTACCTATGTTTTTTGTTTTATGTTGGAGCCCTTGATTAATTTAATTTATTTTACTGTACCTATGACTCTGATGTATATTGAAAATCAGCGTTATGATTACCGCTATGTGGTTTCTGTAACATTTGTGTTGGGTAGACGCCATTTCAATTCCTAATTATTTTGTGTTTATTACAAATTATATTATTTTATATTTATATTTGGAACTAAATAATTTATTATTACTAAAAGTTTTTATTAAATACTATTTTTTACAATCACTTTATATTTCACCACATTATTGCAGACTATGATACATTTGTTAACCGCAGTAACGATAACGCCGATTGTCACAATAGCACCCTAACAGAGTTTCAAAACATAAATCAAACAGAAAGCATTAGAATAGCGGGTGAATTGAAACGATGGATTGGCGGTGGCAAAACTTTGAATTTAACAAAATCTTCACAAAAAGAATCCAATGCTTACACTAATGATGAGAAAATCGATGGTAAGTTGACTTTTATTTAGATTGTAAATTCATTTTTGTAACAAAGATTTCTGAAGAGACCGAAACAGGTGAAAATCTGAGGGTGCAGGGCCAGGACTAAATGGTGGATGCATTAACAATTCTCGACCAAGTTCTCCCAATTTTTGCTGAGTGGCCAAAAATATGTGTAGCGTTAAATATGTGTACGTAAATATGTGTAGCGTTAAATATGTGTAGCGTTATCATGATGAAAGACCACTCCTTTTCTGTTGATCAATCACGGCTATTTTTTCTCAATTTCTTGCTTGAGTCTCATTAGTTGTTGGCAGTAGAGATCCGAATAGATGGTTTGACCGGAGGTAAAAGCTCAAGCGTTGCCCTTCCAATCCCACCGTACACACAGCATCACCTTATTGCATGTTAATCCTATAAATGGGTATATAGGATTAACATGCAATAAGGTATGGTGATACATATAATAAATGGGTATCCTACAAATCGTTTTGCATGCCTCATAAGCGAAGCGTTGAGGTTGTGCTCTACTCTCACCTAATGGAAATCCTTTAATTTTCTGGGCTAAAAATGTCTTTATTTTTTTACTATTGCACTTTTGGAATGATAAAAATACACATATATCGAGAGAAAGTACTCGTTTTCATGATTCTATTATTTAAAAAAATTATTTTCTGTATTTAGTGTAAAACAAACTGATTGAAAAAAAATTTCGAGGGTGTCCGGATGTCTATATGTGGAAGGAGCACGATTACGGTCGTTAGAATTAATGTACGAGGGTGGATTGAAAAGTACTCGGCCTAACCAAGAAAATAAACACATACTAAATCAGTTATATTTTTATTTTTCTACATAATCACCATCAAGTTCAATACACTTTTGCCACCTCCCCTTCCAAGCATTTAGACCGTTGAAAAAAAATGATTCTTCCTTAGAGTCAAAATATGCGTCTACAGCTGCTTTGACCTCCTCGTTTGTCGAAAATCTTTGACCTCCCAAGTGCTTTTTTAGGTTAGGGAACAGAAAGAAGTCTGATGGTGCCAGATCAGGTGAATACGGCGGATGCGGTAACAGTTCAAAGCCACAGTTGTGAATTTCAGCCATTGACTGTACTGACGTGTGAACACGGGCGTTATCTTGATGAAACAGGACTTTTCTTCTGAGCATTCCTCGACGTTTTTCTTTTATTTACTCTCGTAAACGACGTAGTAAGGTACAGTAGTAATCAGAGTTTATAGTCTGACCCCTTTCAAGATAATCAATCATAATCACACCTTTCGAGTCCCAGAATACTGAAGCCATCACCTTATTTGCCGACAAAATCGACTTAGCCTTTTTAGGGGGTGGTGAACCAGGTCTTCTCCACTGTTTTGATTGTTGTTTTGTTTCCAGTGTACAGTAATGAACCCATGTTTCGTCCATAGTAACAAAACGATTCAAAAAATCATCTGCATCGGCTTCAAATAACTCCAAACAGTCGCGTGAAATAGTCAATCGCGTCCTTTTTTGTTCAACTGAAAGCAGTCGCGGAACCCACCTCGCAGACACCGTGTGGAAACCCAACTCGTTGCCAATGATGTTTTGAGTTCGTTCATAAGAGATGCCTATAATCTCGGCTATCTCTCTAATTTTTAATCTGCGGTCTCCCATTATTAAATCAAGTACTTTTTTAATATTTTCGTCAGTAGTTGACGTCGAAGGCCTTCCAGAGCGGGGTTCATCTTTCACACTCTCTCTACCACGCTTAAATTCTGCTATCCATTTTTTGACGGATGAATATGACAGAGCACAATCGCCTAATGTACTGACCATGTCATCATGGATGGCTTTTGATGATAGCCCCTTCTTATGGAGGTACTTAATGACGGCACGCTGCTCGATTTGCTCCATTCGCGGAAATTATGTCCGATTACTTTGTTAATAAATTTATAAAATCACAACTAATTATCGCACACGTTTCGAACTTCACACAATGAACTAGTCTGAACTGAACTAAATAATGTGGGTAGATTTGATTTTTAGAATTGAATGGATCTGTGTTAGGCCGAGTACTTTTCAATCCACCCTCGTATCAAAATAAATCTTTTTTTATTAGGTTTAGAATCTCAACGCTCAGGTCCTTTTAAAAATCACTGAGTAATTTGGTCTCGTTTAATTGTAGTTAATGAAAATTTAAAAAACAACTGGTAATTTTCTATAGAAAAATATTCTCATGGATTTCTTCTTTCGTCTCAAATATGGAAAAAGAGATATTTTTCTTTTTATAATATTATTTAAATTAGATTATGAGGCGTGCACTTTTAGATTTTCCAAACTTTTTAAAAATAAATTTAACAACTTGTAGTATAGGTATCCCACAAATCATTGCTAAAAATGAATAAAATGTCTTGTAGAATGTGTGTCCAACGAATCGTTTTTAAAATTGAATGATACAACTTGTAGAATGGGGATCCCGTGAACCGTTTTTAAAAATGAATGAAACAACTTGTAAAATGGATATCCCACGAATCGTTTTTAAAAATGAATGAAACAACTAGAATGGGTACCCCACGAGTCGTTTTAAAAAAAATAATGTAACAACTCATAGAATGTATATTCAACTAATTGTTTTCAAAATTAAATAAAACAACTAGTAGAATGGGTAACCCTCGAATCTTTTTTAAACATGAATGAAACAACTTGTAGAATGCGTATCCCACGAATCGTTTTTAAAAAATAGTGAAACAACTCGTAGAATATGTATTCAATTAATTCTTGTCAAAATTAAATGATACAACTTTTGTAATGGGGATATCCCGTGAACCGTTTTTAAAAATTAATGAAACAACTTGTAGAATGGATATTCCACGAATATTTTTTAAAAATGAGTGAAACAACTTGTAGAATACGTATCCCACGAATCGTTTTTAAAAAATAGTGAAACAACTCGTAGAATATGTATTCAACTAATTCTTTTCAAAATTAAATGAAACAACTTGTAGAATGGGTATATCTTGAATCGTTTTTAAAAATGAATGAAACAACTTGTAGAATGGGTATCCCACGAATCGTTTTAAAAATCAACGTAACAACTTGCAAAACGGATATCCCACAAGGCGTTTTTAAAAATGAATGAAATTACTTGTAGCAAGAGGAATCCCACGAATCGTTTTTAAAATTAATGAAACAACTTGTAATATGGATATCCCACGAATTGTTTTTAAAAATTAATGAAACATCTTGTAGAATGGGTATCCCACAAATCGTCGCCATGCCTTTTTTAGTAAGTCAATTCGTGGAAAAATTTTGTGACATTTGTGCGTTAAACTACGTTATATTTTGCAAATTTTTTAGCATACTTTTTTGTGTTTAATTTCGAATCAGAACTCGAAGATCATATTAACGACTTTTGTAAATTAACTTGTTATCAAGACTTTTTTTATTTTAGCTGGACTATTTGAAACGTATGGCCTGTTTAATAAATTGGATTTAGACAACAGTTTATTAGATTTTCCAACTGCCAATAAAAATTCACAGAAGCGTCCTAGGCAAAAATTACGCATGCACAGATTAAAACGCAACAAAGATGGAGAATTTTCCGAAGATAATGCTTATCACTATGGGAAACTTTATCACAAACCAATACGAAAAATGAATGATTTCAATATGGGTGACTTTGGTGAATGGAATGCATTACTACAAGCGTTGCATAGACGCGATGATACGTTTTACGTTGTTGGTGTTGGTAAAGGGGAACATCTATTGTTGCCAGCCGTCTCACATAACGTGACCAGACCACCGAAAATGGCATTGATTCTGCCAGCAAGGACCGGGAATGGTAAGTATTATTTTTAAGGAAAAATATTTCGTTAAAGTTATGTAACTGGCAGGTATAGTTGTTTTATAACAATGTTGAACAAATTTAAATTAAAAAAACATTTCAATATGTTTTATTCTGGCCGGTATGGTTACTTTATAACGTTTTTAACAAATGACAAAAAACGGGAAAAGTTGGGATAAATTTAAAGAGACATTATGCGAACTATCTTCAAGCATCTACTGCTGAGCATAGGCCTCCCGATAGGTTGCCTCGTAGCACGGTATTTTAAATAGTTGCCACCCTTGGCAGTCAGGTTGCTAACCGCAGTTGGTATTATTTTGAGTTGTTATTGTAAAGATACTGCCGCTACTAGATCGTGTAACGACCTAATGAAACATGCATATATCTACTCCCCAGCACCCTCAAAACCGGCGAGGCTGGAATTATAAGCGGATAAAAAATTGGTACTTAAAGTCCTTCAGAAGCTCTTTAATTCTGTCCTCCATTGTTGTATTACTCCCGAGGCGTGAAGCAGAAGTGGTCTTGTTCTTCAAGAAGGGCTCTATTGAAGAACTACTGACCGATTTTATTATATTCTTTTCTATTCTGTACAGAAGACTGAAGAGTCTGTCTCTTGGTCTTGCGTATATGGAGTATAAGGAAGCTTTTCCTTTAAGTATGTCCATGTCACACTTATGCCTGTAGTTGTTGTTGGAAACACTGTTCGAAGATGTCTACGAGTGTATAAATGCTAATACAAATTTCTCGGCTTTTTAGCCAAGGCCATTCGGAGTGGCCACCTCGGGCCGGCCTTTCTCCTCGGGTCAGCTTTTTTAATAGCATTACGTTGACAAACGAACAAACAGTCCACCTGATGGTAGGTGGATGCTGTGACCCATAGCTATAGCATATTTAACCTCGATTAAGAATCAAAATGCAGATGCGTTGTCACCCCTGAGTACTAAAATAGAAGGCCTCGATTCCAGTTAAACGGGTCTCCGGTTTTCTACACTCACCATACGAAACACTATTCGTATTCGTATTCTGCGAGAGTGTGGTCCTTACCCGGTCGAGCCGACCCTTTCGTGCTACAACCATAATATAGCTGCAGCGTGGCTCTACCACGTATAAAAACTCAGTGGGTCCTCTTTGTTCACCATGGGTGACTAAGCCACTAAGCTCCCCCTTGCCACGAAAAGGTAGAAACCCGTTCGGTTCGGTCTGTGGGGATTTACGTCCAAAAGCAGTATTGCAAGAACGTCCCGGCGAGGGTCCCGGCTCTGTGCTTGCAACTCAAAAAGTCAGCTCCATGTGTATGAGCAAGTACATAAACTATGCGTCTGCTTACTGAGTCCAGCAAGTGATCAAAAAAAGGTAATGATGATATTCCAAAAAGCTCAAGCCTAGTACATAGTTTGTTGTACATACGAAGTGTTGTAGTTTCGACCAAAGAAAAAATGTTTTCAACTGTCTATTTTTTAACTATTGCTTAACATTTAATTTTTATTTCAGATTCTTTAATGAATGATCATGTTACACTTATGCAAATAGACTGTTCTGTTGTGAACACATCTCTAGTCAAACTTAAATCCGATACGTTACCAGAAAGCTTGAGAACAAGGAACAAAAATATATCAAAGTCACCCATTTCTGTATATAATGATCCGAAATTAAAATCTAATAAAATTGAATATTTTAGAAGTAATAAAGATCCAGTAGATATTAGTCTCTCATTTTTAATGCAGAATTCAAGCAACAATGTATCTAGTATGGTAGAAAATAAGACAAAAGGTAAATTAAGCAATTATGATACAAACGGTGATTTATTTGCTCAAATATTTCAACCCAAACAAAAAGTTGTAGGCACTACAGAGAAAAGAAACATTGCAGAATTAGTTAAACCTAATAATGTCAGTCTAACATAAAAACTTCTTACTGAAGGCTTACTTATAATATGTGTGCAATAAAGTATAATAACTTAATCGAAATTCCAAATTTATAGACTGAAACACATGTGATAGTGAATTTACTGATTGGAGTATAAAATGTTTAATGTTTACATTTTTACTCCTGCAGTGCACGTGCAGATTTAAACTAGTATAAATAGTTAAGTTTTATATACACAAAAATTACCTAAGTGATTTTTGTCAATACTTTAAAAACTCAGTCCGATCCGTGAGGGTGTTATTTTAGTATCGCTTTTTTATTACGTAATTATATATGTAATATTTTACATCCGATAAATAAACATTCCAGAAAATATAATTGAATGGTAAAATTTAATGTGAACTCGGCGCACAAAGGCGGCAATTGCAAACAAACAGCTGTAAGCCGCGTGTAGCAGCGTCCATCAGTTTGTTGTTTTATTATGACCATTACAAAGGCTTTTTCATGTAAAGACTGAGCAATTACTTGAAGGAAACATCATATGGCGGCTCTTGCACATTTAATTAGCAGTCATCAACAGAAACTAAACAACCTCACGAATCGCTTCATGCTTGCACTCACTCTTACCGAGGCATGTCATACTTATTGGTGGTATAACATTAAAATTATTCTTGATTAAAGTATTTTAAAAACAATTTCGCTAGTTGCAAGATTTTTTATAGGAGGGGGGAAACGAACATGCAATTCATCTGATATTAAGTACCTAATAACCGTTGCCCATGAACAACTGCAACACTAGGGGAATTACAGGGAAGGTTGCTTTGTCGTATTAGTCCGGAAAAATCTCTGGTAGTAGCGGATTTCATAAAAAAGGCAATCAATGAAGAACACTTCCAATTCCAGTAAACCACACTGTGGTGAACCTCCAAGCATCCAGATTGTTTGATCGACGTTACGAATCGTCGTGTACGTTGGTTGAATGTGGCTGCTGGGAATAATCCGAACAATTCCTTTGAGCACTCTCCGTGGTAAATACGATAGAAAATTCAAAGAGATGCAACATCTCTTCGAAACTGGTCAAGCCGATCAGTAAAAACTCGGTAGTGGATAATTCGAGCCGCTCGTTACTGGATGCGGTCAAGTGGAAGGAGCTGGCACTGGGGTGGCATTTCCTTTCAGAGCAGACAGAGAAGTATTCCATGTGTGGCCGAACTTGCGCCGGTGCAAACGGCGTGCAGGTATGATATACTGTCTCGATATACTTAGTAGGCCAAACTTTTTAGAGGTCAATTTAAGGTCGCTGCATACAGGACGGAATTATAACGTGCACGGGACGGAGACGGGACGTGGTTGTTTGTCAACACGGACGGGAGTTTAATGCATACGTACCGTGACAGTGATTCGAAACTAACGTGTTAGTGTTGTGAAAAATTGATTTTTCATTTGAAGAATTGGCATTGATTGCTATTTCTCTACAAACTTTTTTTTTTTCAATTCTCAATCGGCGTTTTTATCATGCGTGAATACTAACACCCTTATCCATAAACGCTCTACAAACACATTTTAACCAATACTCTGTCAAAAAGTTGATTATATCTTTTATGGAGATTTACTTGAATTCTGTTGTATTTAATTCTACTGATGTAATAAATGTCGACATTGTAAAACATGAGTCTATTTTATTTACGTACCTGTCTTTTGATTTGAACATAAATAAGTTCAACTTTTATTGTTACCTATTAATCTATTCATCTATTGTAAAACTGTGAAAACAATAAATGACAAATAAAATTTATACTAACCGTTTGCAGTGAGTCATAATTCCACTTCATTTTTCTGCCACAGAAATTTTTTATATTTTATGTCCAAATACTTTGGGTGTGCAAGATTATACAAACATTCAATCAGTTTTTCGTCGTCCATGTTGTTTAGTACGGCACGCGCATCACTACGGAGCCAACGGAGCGACTGTGCATACGCAGCGGAACCACGGACGGGACGTGGCACGCGCCGGACGGGACGGGCTAAACATCGTCGCCGACGATGTTTTTCTCGTCCCGTTGATGCCACGTACCCGTCCGGTCCGTGCATCCGTAACGTATGGATTATCACGTACATTTTCTATGAAACGATATTTCCAAAATTTCACGTCCCGCTCCGTCCGGGATAAAACACGTTACATATGCAGCGACTTTTAGCCTTCTTTTCTAAATTACGACGAAACAGAATGTCATTCGATACGTCGCCGAGGATTCTGATGCTGGCTGAAGCAATAAGAGCAGAAGTCCCTGAAGTTGAGGAGATACGACAAAGGGTTCTTTTTAGCGGTAAATGCGCAGACCTGTGTCATTAGAGGACTGAAGATTTAATTTTCTCTTTCATTCATTCTCTTATCCGATTTAATCCATCTTAATAATTTCCAGATTTAATCGTCCCCAATCTTATTTAACAAAGACTACTGGTTTGGAACATATCATTGATATGCAGAAGAAATAGCGTGAGTGTTGTTATCACGTAGCCTTGTGGAACACCAGTATTAATGTGCTTGTAGTCGTAGCTTGCATCGTCCCTTACGACATTGAAACTTCGATTTGCAAGAAAACTGATGGTCTAGTTGCATAATTTCTTGGGAAAGCCCATAAGACTTCGAAAGAAGCGTTTTGCGCCCAACTAGATCGAAGGTCTTTACAATTTCCAAACTAACGGGGAAGGCCTTCAATCTTCGAATCTACTACCTCCATCTAATAGTTAAGTTAGAAGATCTGCTAAACCCTATTGCCGGTCACTAATCAGCTGTCGTTGTCAAGGTGCCTCATGAGCTGATAGTTTGTAATGGACTATATTATTTCGGAAGATAAAGTATTGGCGATAGTCCTGTAGTTGGACGGGTCTAAGCGGTTGCCGTTTTTAGGGATCAGGTGCACTAAAACTGTCTTCCATGAATTCGAGACTACGCCTAGAGAGTAGGAGTACCGAAAAAAAAACGTTAGAACAAGTGCCAACTTTAGAGCACACTTTTTCAGCACAATAGGAGGGACTCCATCACGTCCACTTGACTCTTTAACGTCCCTGGGGAAGAGTTCTTTTCGTACTGAGCGCTGTGAAACTGCACATTCGGCACCAATCTCACAGCAGGATGGTCGACGGTGTGTTCCGCCTGTCTTTAAACGTCGAGTTAGACGCATAGAGAGAGCCTAAAAGTTCAAATTTCTCCTTTGAGACATGGGCCAATCAATCGTTCCCTATGTTCAGAGATAGAAGAGATGACTGATAGAAATGTCCTTTGACAAGAGCGCTGGTGTTTACATTAAGGGACATCGATGCGTCAGCTCAGGCCTGGAAGCACTCCTGCTAATGTGATGGATTTTTACAGGAGTGACCAAACATAGATCCGCCTACTATGGACACCACAAATGATGGAATAAAGGAATCCATTTCCTGAAATACCTCATCAGCGGCTGAATCTGCCACAACGTTATCATCATCCGGCGAGATGCAAACGCGCGCCCTTAGATAAGATGTAAAGACCGCATCACATCATCAATCTGCTGATCTATGGTGCCATACACGTCGACAAGTGCAGGCTGCACTTCTTAACTGCTATGAGCTTGTGAAGGATAGTAGAAGCACAAATTATGACATACCTATAGTTGAATATGCCCGTGTGGAACAACCCATATCAAGTATACTACAAGTATATTACAAGTAGAATGTCAGGCGAGCTGCAAATTTATTGGCACGAAGCGATTATTGCCGGCGCTGTGTTTTAGCTCACGCTCAGCCCATTAATATATATAGCACTGAAAAACGTGCCCCAAAGACGATATCCGGAATAAATTATAAAAAGTGTTGTCACGTTTTATAATCTTGCTCATTTAGGGAAATAAAAATTGAAATAGCTTTTGTTTTGAACATTATATTGATTCTTTTTAAATCATGAATATTAAAATTCTTCTGTTAGTAGTTTGTGGTACTATAAAGCGAGAAACAAACTGGTCCCACGTACGCAACGTATGCGATGCATCGTTCCTACGTTTGTGTATACACTTGATCCGCGTATGCAACGTACGTTTGGCGTCGACACTTCTGTCACTTCTTAGCGCACGCACGAATACAAATGTTTTTTGGTTCTGAGAAAGAATTTGACAATGATACAGTTTCTCTGATGGTTATTAACGAATATATCCACGTCACAAAGAAAAATGTTTTTCTTTTACGAACACAATGTTTTCGCATGTTAACCTTTTAGATAAGAAGCAAAGATATCGGGTTTGGAGAATATTATATACTAGTAAAATAACTGTAAAATAAATACGTTTGATTTTTTTCTTTGGTACTTTGGTATGTCAAAATTCGATTTTTTGCGGGAGTAACACAATTATTCTTTACATATTCGTGGATTCGTTTTAAATCATCTTAACGTTCAACATTATTACTACCAAATGTTCTTAAGTTCAGAGCTTTGGGCGTTTGAGTAATAAATTCTTATAAAATGTATGAATATTGCAAACAAATACATGAATTTGTAGAATACAATTTTCTATTGCTGCAATATATAAAATCATGTCTTATATCCTATCGTAACTGGGCTCACTGCTACTTTTTACTTTTAACGATATTCAACACATTTAATTTTATAAAATACATTCGACAGCTTTTAGCCTTTCTACTAGTAGTCGATGACAATAAAACGCACCGTGCACGCGTTTTATATTGTCAATGTCTATTTGTTTATGACGTGCTACGCGTAAGAAACACACTAGTCGTACGCGTGGGATTGCGTAAAACATCTCCTCCACCTTTCCACGCCTATCTGGTCTGATCGCAGATCGACGTTGCTTCGGACGCGTGTGATTGCGTTGCATACGATAAGTGTTCCTAAATGCATAGTTTTTTATACAAAATCAAGAGTTCAGATGTGATAATGTCTTGCATACGTTGCGTACGTGGGACCAGTCTGTCTCTGCCATAAGCCCTTTTTGGATCAGACTGAGTTAATTACACGTGTATGTTATAGTCAAGTTGAACCTATTAAAACCTCATTTGTTTGCTACAATTCTTATAATTTTATGTTTATGTCAATATCAGTAACAATAATTATATGTGATGTTTTAGTGCTATAGTTTAATTGTTTTTGAATAAATTAATTTACTGTCGTATTGCAAACATAAAGACGGTAAAAAAAATTTAAGCGATTTTAATATAATAAAATATTTTTAGGATAGATCCTTCGATCAATTAGTATATTATTGATCGAAAGATAGATCTCAATATTTCTGATACATACCAACATATTCATAATTATTCTAACAAGTTTTTGATTAATGAGTTATGTACGCCATGTTAGGTACGCCAAACAATCGCTTCGGTTGAACTAATTATTACAAGTGCGGACAACTATTGTTTGAAGATCCAATTGGCTGGTCCATGTCTATAATAAAAAGTGATCGGGAACGATGGACATATGTTACCTATTTTAAGTACGACTTCAAAAAATATCTGTATAAAAAACTTTGCTATTTATAAGATTTCTTATATTTACGTCAACACTACATATTGAGTAAAACTATTTTTACGGGTTTTATCTCGTTTCTTTTTAATTCCCAACGTTTCGGATGCTTTGCAGCACCTATGGTCACACGGGGAGACTGAGGTGTTTGATATCCCGATGTCTTTGTTTTTATTTTTGTCCAATCTACGTGTTTACTTTATCTTGAAGCCATGCTGTGTGGTATGCTTCAGCTTCAGCCAAACGCATTTTTTTTTTGAATTAAGTAAGTAAAATTTAACTCGATGAAATCCGTAAAAATAGTTTTGTTTAATTTTGGTATTGTTTAATAATGCTATTTGTGTGGCAGTTTCCGTAGGTGAAGTATGTGTCTGTACTCATAAGCTGAAATTTAATTTCTACATTATGTACATCTATTCACCTATTACTTAGTTATCAAGAAAGTATAAAATTGTTATGATTTTTTTTTTGAGAAAATGCAATTCTGATCATCTAATGTTATGTTTGATATGTTAACCTTGTGTTTGATATGTTAATGATATTACCAAAATGATATCACAAAATCATAAGTGAAATGGTTATGCTAAATATTATGTCAAAGCAATTATAAATTTAAGCTTATATTTTTTATTATCTTATTAATAAGACATTGTTTAATACTTTATAATATAAATCTTGTTTCATGTGTTAATATTTTACATTAATGATAAAATAATTAATTTAAAAATATACTTATTTAATGAAATCAGAACTTTTACTAAAACCTTACTCCGACAACGTAATGAGATTCAACAATCGACCGAGTTCGCAGTCTAATGGTCTAATTTAAAGTAATAGAAGTTTCTTTACTATGTTACTTCTAAACTTCTCCAAGCGAAGTGCAATTACTGGAACAAACACTACTTTTTTATCTACTTGCTTTTTGTGAACATATGGTAATGAAACTAATTGTCTACAGTGATCAGAGCTCAATTTTTGAATTATACATTTATTGAACGGCTTAACATTTGTAAAAATGTTATCTATACATGTTGCACTAGATTCAGCAATACGTGTTGGCTCCAAAAATAAATTAAAAAGACCATAAGATTTAAACAATGATCTAAATTTAATAATGGTGGAGGACACCTGTAGATATTTAATAGGTCTTATACTATTTAAAATCACGAAAAAGCAACTGCATAGTCAGTGCCGGATTAACCGCGTAGCAAGAGTAGCAATAGCTACGGGCCCGCGCAAAAGGGGGCCTCGCGTATTAAAGCCTGCTCATCACCTCCTAACAGCCTGGTCACGGGACATTTGCCGTAGCGAAAATTCGCGCGGCGCGAACGGCGAGGCGTCTAGCGACTAAAACAAATGTATAGAAATGTATGGATCAAGCCACGCGTAGCGGCGAGTGGCGACGGGACCGGCGAAATTTACCGGGCGAATCGCGCGGGCGACTGGCGGCGCGGCGGGCTACTGAAACAAATGTATGAATCAGTACGGTGCATTCTATTTGTTGTGGAATTCTCCATTTATAACCCGATTCCTATTCAAATCATGTACTCCGCAATCTCTTCCAAATATTATGCCTTGAATCCATAAATAATTACTTTCTAAGCAATATAGAGATAACTTTGATAAAGACATTTCACTCTCGGCCTATCTGGTCGCGGCGGCCAACGTGAATGCCCGTGGATCTCAAATCGCGCCGCGCGAATTATCGCCCCACCTGACGCTTCGCCGTTCGCGCCCCGCCGATCCCCGTGGCCAGGCCGTAAGTGTAATTTTTTGAATGAAACTTATTGAGACGTGCTATATTAAATTTACTTGTTGTCACACAAAACGTAAATGGTTATATCTTTTTTGACTAAGACAATCCACGTCAGACAATCGGTAACCGATTATTTCCTTGGCGAAAATAAAATACAATTTTATACTAAAAAATAAAAATATAAATTTCTTTGCAACTTTCCGATAAACATATAAAATGATGTGTCTTACCTGGAATGAAGCGCACCTCCCGCCTTCCCTCAATTGCATACACTAACTCCGTCACCACTATACCAAGCACCACTACTCTCAACACCACTATTCCAGGCAAGACACACCATCGACGATAATACGACACGTGTTTCGCCTCTACACGAGGCATCATCAGGTAATATAGACTCTACGGCGGCTGACCGCTAAGTGAGCGGCGAGTCGAAACAGTTGCTATTTATACACGCTGGCACAATCGCTCCCTACCAAAGTAGCGAGTGACCGCGTCGTGCGATAACAAAACTGCCAACAGTTATTATTATTGTTATGATTATTTTTAAAATACTATTATTATTATTGTTTTGAGTGACCGCGCCGTGCGATAACAAATCTGCTACTAATTATTATTATTGTTATGATTAATATTTTAAATACTATTATTATTATTGTTTTATTGATATTATTATAATTATTTATTATTATTAATCTTAAAATTATTATTAAAGATTGGCCTTAAAGATGTTTAACAAAGGTGAATTAGAAACATTTGTTTGTTCATTCAGCAGTGTATAATTACCATTATTACTTTTTAAAATCTCCAACTGCTCCAGCACACACAGTCGCAGCCTCTTATTACAGGTATGTAACACTTCAAAGGAATGGTCGCTAGCTAGGTTGTGTCCAGTGTCCAAGAGATGTTTAGCAAAATGGGATTTATCAGGATTGCAATTTCTGTACGCGGCCATATGTTCTTTATGGCGCGTCCCGAAATTGCGACCAGTCTGACCCACGTAAACGGCGTGGCATTCGTCACAAACAAGTTTATAAACACCCGATTTTTGACTAATATTTAACTTATCTTTATTATTACAAATATTCCTAAGCGAATTGTTTGTTTTGAATGCCACGTTAACGCCGTTTTTCTTAAGACTATTAGCTATTTTTTCCGATATGGGGCCTAAGTAGGTCAAACTACCCACATACCGCCGGACACTTTGAGATCGAACCGCGTACAAAGAATTGCGAACAACATGCTTTTGTTTCTTTTTAATAAGATTATCAACGAGACTTTTTGAAAAACCATTAGAGACCGCAATTTGATAAATTATATTAAGTTCTTTTAAATAATTTTCTTTATTTAATGGAACAGTGGACAGACGGTTAATGTAACAATAAAAAGCGGCTAATTTATGTTGCCATGGATGACACGATGATGCGGGGATGACCGTGTAGGTATGAGTTGGCTTTCGATAAATTTGAAAAACATGTAACGACTCTTTTATTGTTATTGTTAAATCAAGGAAATTAAGGGAGCCATCTTGTTCCAATTCAAGCTTAAATTTAATTTTTTCGTGGACTCTATTTATTTTATTAAGGAAAACATCCAGTTGTCTCCTTGTGCCTGTCCAGCAAATAATTATGTCGTCTACATATCGATAATAGTATAAGATATTTTGGTTAACAACTATATGTTGTTTTTCGAAATCATCCATGAAAATGTCCGCCATAAGTGGACTTAGAGGGGACCCCATAGCTAACCCTTCTCTTTGTAGATAGAAACGGTTATTAAACCGGAAATAATTTTGTTTCATACGGAGAGAGGTTAAATTAAGAAGATCATTTGTTTCCCCGGGATGCAGACGACGTTTTTTAAAGAGATCTGAGAGTATACGCAAACAGTCAGGGAATGGGACGTTTGTGAAAAGACTATCAACGTCTAAAGACAACAACATAGATTTAGGTGGAATACGAATATCTTTAATTTTGGAAATAAGTTCTAAACTATTTTTAAGGCTGTAAGTGGGGTTGAAACCAGATTTCTCCCGAAGGAGGAAGTTTAATTTTTTAGCAAGGAAATAAGCTGGTGCACCTATATATGAGACAACTGGACGAATAGGAACATGTTCTTTATGTAATTTAGGTAACCCATATAAAGTGGGTGCTTGAGGATTTATTGGAACAAGATTGCTCCGAGACAAGTTGTGATCGGGAAAAACATATGACGACTTTTGTATACATACTTTAATATCCGAAGTAAACTTTTTGGTTGGATCAGACTCTAACAGCTGAAAGTCGTCACCTTGGATAACATCGTTAACCTTCTGGCTATACCCGCTACTCTCCATAATGACAACAGTATTTCCCTTGTCGGCCTTAGTAACAATAAGGTTATTGTCTTTTATTCTATGTTTTAGTGACATAAAAATGGGGAACTCAGGATTGCAATGGGAAGATGCGGGTGCCTCCTGAATTTCTTTAGCTAACAAACTTTTAACGATGTTATCTTTCCTCCCGATCACAGCAGCCACCTCCGCGTCAACGGCTACAGTTTCTAACGATCTTTGGGAGACCGAAGGTGTTAAATTATACTTTAGGCCTTTGTGTAAAAGGGACAACTCATCCGTTGGAAACTGGACATCGGAAAGATTTTTAACACGGGGATAAAATTGGTGATATTCAGTATGTATGTCGTTATTACGTTTACGGGATGAAGAAGATACAAGTCGTTTTAACTTATGGGATTGAATTTGATATTTCTCGTAAATGGCCATTGAAGCAAGTTCTCTGGCTTTCCCATCCAAAATATCAAATTCAATATTATGTAATTTATATGAAAGTTCAGAATATAATACTTTAAGGTGGGTTTTTAAGTTATCTCTATTGGAAAACCAACGACGACATTCCTCATTAAGCCAAATATTCTGAGCTTTGGAAATGGCAACACTGGCCGCTCGACTATGTGTGTTAGAACGTATTTGGATATAATTGGGAATAACATGAAGTTGTTTACACTGCTGATTAAACCAAACATTTTGAGCAGCAATACGATGTAGCTTTGTTAATTTAACATAGAGTCTTGCCTGTTCGGCCGTGCTAGCCTTTTTAAGATAATTGATAG